GGCACGGTACTGGTTCTCTGCTTCTGACCTCTGATCCTTAGATGGACCCGGAAGTGAGTGTGGACTGTTGTATATAGAGACGGCGACTCGGCATGTGTTGGTGCCACCCTTGTGGAGACGGCGATAAGCAGGCATGCCGTTTTGGATGAATAGAACGGCATTTTGGACCTGGAGCTGTGATTGCGATTGTGATATCGAGCCTTGCCTTGCACCGGCTCTGCATTGCGGCCACATACATAGAATTGGGGCCTTCCGACTAGGTATTGCTGCATCCTCACGGCTCACGGATGCAAGGGTTGTGTGCAGCATCTCTCCGCATTACCACGCAAACACAGACGGGGGTAACGTGAGACTCCTCATCCTCAGCCATTTGCTCGTGGCCCGTGTCGTTCGATTCGATGCCTCAAAGTCCAACCCAAACGCGGTCATGATTCTCGTCGCCCAATTGCACACGATGTTTTCTCGACAGGGCTATATCATACATGCCCGGCCGTTCCATCTCCACGTCCGACAACGACGCGGGATGATGATCTGAGGATCAGAATGAGGACACAAAGGCAATGTCATTTGTCACATTGTTGTCATGGACGCGGGCAACATCTCCCCAGCTCCCCGGCGGGCGATTGCCGCATCTTACATCACCACCACGACCGGGCATGCTGGTACCCTGTGCTGGCTAACGCAGCCGGGTTTTCCATATTGCTGCACTCGGTGCAAGCCCGCCGGACCCCTCCTCACCGTGCCGCTTCGGCAGTCGATGGAGCTACGCGGCCCATGGAATCGAGCATCATCGAGACAAGGGGGTTGTTGCGTGAGCGCTGGTGCCAGCCAGTGAAGGGTTGTCATAGGGGTGAAGATCAAGCTTAAAATCAAGTATCAGAGCTCCGGAACGCAGAGGCAATAAGAAAGAACAGCATATAAGCACACCGATCCGATCTCACGGAACGCCCCCCAAAACAGGGAAATGGTAGAAGGAATGAGCACACACTACGGAGCAATTACTAGGGATTGATGGACTAGGCAGGGCAAAACAGGGAGCGACGGTCCATCAGACAAGGGGCGGACGGCAGCCGTAGCGAAGTAGGGGGGCGAGGGAGAGAGCACGAACAGGAAACCAGAAAAGGGCAAGGAAGAGAAGAAGGAGGCCCTGGAGATCACTACATACATAGTACATACATACATACAGCGTACAGAACGGTGCTCCGTACGTGCGTCGAAGATCAATGATGGCCACTCTCTCCCCTCGCGCGTATGGGAGAGCGAACGTGGCACGGGAAACCTGGAAACCCTGCAGAGCCGGTGACACAACAGCGGACCATTGGCATCGGAGCTGCCAGCGAAAGGCCTAGTGCTAGTCCATTTGCTGTCTGCCCCGAATTACTGGGAACAACGTCTGTGGGCTCGGGCTTCTGGGGAGGAGTCTGGGACTCGTCGCAGGCTACGGCGTCGGGCCTCTTCTCTCTCAGTGACCGACGCTGGGCTCCTGGAAAGCTCCAGAGGGCATTACATCAACAGCTACGGGATGATTGGGCGAGAGACTAGGCGACGATTATCCCGCGCGTGCTGGAGAGCCTACCCGAGCCTGTTCCGGGGCGGAGGCTATACTACCATGGTACACTACGGAGGGGGCACCACGGCTGGGACGGGTTACGGGTAGCACGTTGGTGGGATTTCCTCGGTGGAATACGTAGATCGATCGAGATTTGGGGGTGAACATACAGAGTGCACGCGCTCTCTGCACGAGGTACGGTACTATGGCAGTGTCTGGAAACTGCCTGAAGACGGCGCTTGAGAGGGGACCTCGATGCCGGATGGTCGTGGTTCCTACTAGAACGCCAAACAAACTTGTAACCTGCATGGAAGCCGAGGGACGGCGCCTCCTGGATGTTCATGATGGCGACATGTTTGCCGGCGCATGCAGTCCGGGAGCTCGGGCCAGAATGGGGAAGGATGCTATGTGTGTTTTACGTACAGCCTCGTGTCAAGCGTCGGTTTTGGAAGAGCAGCATTGGAGCGGGGAGAAGGGCAAAGAAGGTTTCTCAGAGTCGCGAGATTCGTATGCCCCCGTTGTCAGGCTGGTGGTGAGAGTTTGGCCAGCGTGCGACGACAGCACGACAACGGCAACAGTAGCACGCTTGCCCGCCCACTCGCAGGCTGACAGCGAGAGTGGGCGGGGGGTAGAGAGAGACGCGACGGAACTCTCTTTCTTGTCGACGACGGTGGATAAGAGACGACAGTCGACTCAAGAAGTCCTCCTCATCCCAGGATCCAGTACATACATACAGAGTACACGCGAGCGAAGGGCCGCGGGCGGCAGCGAGCCAATGGAGGAGCAGAGCGCGAGCACACTCTGTGTGAAGTGAGTGGTGGGAGAGAGACACGGCCGTGGGAGCGAGTGGGTGAGAGCAGCCTAGAGGAAGACGAGAGGGGAGCAGCAGAAGAGGGGCCACTCAGCGAGCGAGCAAAAGAGCTACCCACCGGAAGCGCATGCAACGTTGGACCGGGGCCCTTGTCACATCTTGTCATCCCGGTCGCTGGGCCTGTCCCTGTCCCCGGTCTCGTCTGTCCAGGTGCGAACGGTCCTGGTCCTGGTCCTTTCTGCTCTCTGGGCGGCCCACGTCTTTTGCCCACTCGGTCTCTTCTGTCTGCGTCTCTCGCTCTCTCTCTGCGTCTCTCTCATGCACCCCCGCAGCAGTCAGCTCGACGGGGACTTCCTGGCGTATGTACGTAGCGTAGCGCCAGAGATGGGCTCAGTGACGAATGTATACTGGCGCCGTGATATGCTCCCAGCTACCTAGTGGGCGAGGTGGGAACACCAGAGCATCAGAGGCCTGGCATTCCGTCGTCACAATTCGGTCTTGTTCTGCGCGTGTTATCCATAACTTGGCCATGCCATTTCCATCTGATCCGGCCGGGGGGTTGTCGTTGTTGCCCTCGTCTTGTTATCTGGCGGTGGTGCTGGTTGCTTATTTGGTCCGGACATATCGCACCGCGTTTCGAACCCAAGCCGTGTATATCGCCAGTCGAAAGAGAGTACTAAACCCGTCTCGGACCTGTTCTGCGGTGTCTTTGCATGCAATCCCACCTTCTTGGGTTCACTTTGTCGTCGTCGTCGTCGTCGTCGTGCCCGTTGCTTATTTACTAGCACCTTGGCCCGCCGCCGCATTCGAACTTGCAGGCTCCTCCTTACGTCCCCCTCTTCTCCCATCCATCCATCCCACCACCGCGGCGACCGCACCCCTCACGAACGGCCGGAAAAGCGAGGTTATTTACTTCTGAGCCGTGCTCCGTACTCTATCTCAGGTACTCCCATCTCAGACCTGCAGCAGCCGCCGCCTTGCCTTATCTTGGCCGGGGCCTCGCACACCCACCCCTCACTGAAGACAAAAACACAAACCACACACAAACAACAAAACAACAACATTCGACAGCACCAGATAGCAAAGACTTGGCTTGCCGTCCGTCTCCCTCGTGTTGCCGTGTTGTTTGTTGTTTCTCTCGCGCGCTTCTCGTCCGTCTCTCCCTCAGCGGAGACCCAACCGAAATAACCCTTCAGCCCCCAGCCGGGACCCCTCAGCCCTCGCACTATCGACGAAACGTGCCTCTTCTGGCATCATCCCTCGGCGGGGGCACTTATCGAGGGATATACCGTACCCAGGACAGCAGCACACCACCAAGGCCAAGGGGGAAAGAACCAAAGGAGAGAAGGGCACAGACGATCGCCCGACTGAGAGATACCGGGTGGCCGACTCTTCCATCATCTGTGCTCCACAGAGGGTCTGGCTCTAAGCGCGACGGCGGAACGGACACGAGCAAAATAGAAATCCGAGACCCTCTTGCTCGTTCATCGCCCTCTCAGCTCATTGTCCCGTCACTCATCCTCTTTTTCTGGGGACCATTGACTGTGGACTGCGGAGGACTGCCGAACAAGACCTGTTTCTTGTTCCTCTTCTTTCTTTCTGGGTTGTCCATCGACTGGGGTCTTGAGTGATGATTGTTTAAACAGTCATTGAGTCTGGTCGAGAGTCACAAAAACAAAACAAAAAAGGAGTCGCGAGGATATACACCACCACGAGAGAAAGAACGAAAGAACGAAGACACGGGAAATACAAAAGAAAGCAAGACAAGACACGGGCGGCCAGAAAGGAAACGAGCGACAAATCATCACTACTGGGGTCCCTCTTCAGGCGTGGCTTGGCTCCTCTCACACGCTCTCACTCTCACTCTCACACTCAAAACACTCCCACACTCACTCTCAGTCTCCAAAAAAGGTACTTTGGCTTCTCGAGGTACCTTGCCTGAAAATCTTAGCTCCTCTCGGCTTTCCCGACCCAGGGCAACCTCTCTGCCTCATTATCGCCCACTCTCCTCCACCCACGCCCTCTCTGCCCCTGTCCTCCCCCCCCCCCTCCACATCCACATCCCTCACTGACCCTCCCCAAGCCTCCGCTGCTGCCCGCCGTAACCTTCAGCAGCACCCAGCAGCACCCAGCAGCAGCACCCAGAGCGCTAAGAGAGCACCCGAGAGCCCTCAACATTTCGCCCGTCCACTTGCGGAACTTACTCGCTGCCGCCGACGCCGCCCCGGGGACCCGAACTGGCCTGATAATCTCCTCTGTGCCCAACTCCAAACTCGGTCCCTTTTTATTTTATTTCCTCTCCCATACCTCCGACCTCACGACATCTTTTCCCCTCCCTCCTCTACTTTTCCCTTCTTCTTCTTCCTTCCCATGCACCGCGGGCGACATTGAACCCAACCGTCTGCATTGGTTCGCCCGGGAAGGAAAAGCCAAACCACCAAACTTTGTAATCGTGCACCAACCAGTTCGCAGTCTTGGCCGACGACCACGGCCCCCGAACTACCTCGACGTCGACGTCGACACCTCCGAGCAGCACATAGTCTGCCTGTCTGGTCGAGCATTCCTCCTTGACCAAGACCAAGAACACCATAACAACAACACACACACACACACACACCACACACACATCATAAGCCGACCATGTTGGATCCGTCGGCGAGCCGGCGGCAGCAAGCCATGGACTCGTCCGCCGTTTACTCCCATTCCCGCACCCGCACGACATCCTCCAACACCTTCCCCATGGCCATCCAGAGCCCGACACCGATGCACCTCTCCCACGCCCACGCGAATCCCCAACAGCACAGCCGCCGCTCCCCCTCGGTGAACACCTTCAGCACCACCTCGAGCGTGCCCCCGCCCGCCGCCTACCGCACCTCGCCTACCAACGACCTGCGCCGCTCGACTTCCTCCCGCTCCGGCGGCAGCCCCCAGCCCAGCGGCTACGTCGCCCTCCTCCGTAAACAAAAGGCCACCGTCTGGTGCGACCGCGCCCAGTACGAGGACCCCCGCCTGCTGGCCCAGCAGCGCGCCGCCAAGATGCGTGCCACACTCGAGGTCATCGGTGGCCAGCGCACCGTCTCAGGCCTCTCTACCTCCGCCGGCCGTACGAGCACCGGCATCAGCGCCACAGGCAAGGTCGCCGCCAAGATCCGTCACCACGGCAAGCCCGCTGTTGTCGGCTACGCCCCCGGCGAGCACCACGTCGGCGTGGGCGGCGTGCCCATGCGTCTGAGCGCCACCGAGGTCGAGGCCGAGAGCAGCGACGACGACGACCCCCGCCTGCACCACCGCCGCACGGGGAGCAGCGGTCGCAGTAGCACTGCGAGCCGCCGCGGCCCGGGCTACAGGTCGTCCGGCGGGCTCGGCAGCCAGAGCGGCCGCAGGTGGAGTCCCGGGAACACGCCCGAGAGGAGCGGCAGCCTCGTCGAGGAGAAGACGGCCGAGGACGGGACGCTCGGCGACAACGCGAGCGGCAGGGCCATGACGACGGGCTCCGGGAGCAGCGGCGAGCGGGCCGACAACGTCGGCGAGCTGGGAAGCAACGCGGCGAGGCTGGCGAGCAACTCGCTCATGCACTCGACCGTCACCCGAGAAAAGAGCGTCAAGGGCGCCGACGATCTCCGTAGGAGGGGCAGCGTCGACGAGCGCACCACGACGCTCACCGGTGGCCGTCTCTACATCGCCAACCCCGATTAAGGCGGCACGGAAACCCGCACGAACGACGAGAAAGAGGCCCCGGCCGGTCTCGACAATCGACCCGATATACGTTTTTTTTTTTCCTTGGTCGACTTTCCACCATCTCTGTACGAACGCCTTTCTCTTTGAGGCATACACGGTCGTTAGGAGGCGTCTGGTTCCCCTCTATTGTCACAGACTCTTGCATCACTATGGCGTTCTTTGTTTTTACATCTTGGTTTATTGGGTGGGATGATACCATACAGAAGGCCCTCCCGAAGATCACATCACACACATGACGGGTTTTCCGGAAGGTGTCGGGGGGTGTTTTGGGTTGCTTTTTTTTCTTCGTTTACCCTGCTTGTCACAAAGATTTCCCACCACTGTTCGCTCTACGATCGCTACCTACGGGTTCTCCTTGTCCTGTTCTTTCCTAGCTTGTTTTGCGTTCCTTGCGCGATGCGATACTCCTCCACACCACGGGACCGCTATTTTTGGCCCGTTTTCTAATTTGCGGGCAAGACAAAACGTGAGGGGGAGAGGGGGTCGAGACCGAAGCACGGCATTCGGCGGGAGGCGGAAGACAAAAAAGAGAACCGGTTAGGGAAAGGGGAAGGATGATACCACGGTTGACATGGCCTTTGGGGCCCCTGTGAGGGGAGAAGCAAGTGAGACAGAGGAGGAGCTTGAAATGCTCGAATATGAAAAGCCATTCCTAGGCATTGCGGTTCCCAAAGTTTTGACCACTACATGACTTGCCTTGCCGAGAACGTGATTATTCGAGGATATGCGGTGGCTCAAGATTCCGGTTCCGCCAAGGCTGATTTGACGGCAGACATGTTTCCTGTCTCACCCCAGGCGCTGGTGAGATTACCTTATGTTTCTCTCCCCTCCATCAGCCGCACGCCGTTTCCGATGGCCATTTTTGGAGATGGACTTGAGGACAAACGCCGCTTGGCGACCGCAGGCTAGCCCCGTTCCCGCTGAATGTCTCGCATGTTCCTCCCCCATGGGAAACTTGCCAGATGGGCAAAACCAAACCCGATTTCGCATGGCTTGGGGGAGGAGGGGGTGGTTTGACTCGGAGGCATGTGGTGAGCCGCTTGCAGTGCTACTTTGGGGTAGCTTCGCAAGCCTGCGCTGCTGCTATCTTTGGAAGCACATGACAAACCTGAAGTTTAATCTCGCTTTCCCCCCTCTACGGTATTTGGGGTGTCTTGTCATGGTGTCAGATCATTTCAACGCTGCCGAGTCTTTGTCGTTGACACATGCCATCTTTTGCGCCTCTGGGGACGGACTTGTTCCCAGCCCTTGCCCGTGTCCCACGCATTCTCCAGGTTTTTTCCCGTTCCGTCAACTCTCTATTCGGGGGCGACATGTTTTGTCTGTCATCGATGCTAGGGTCTTGTCTAGGGTCAACTGGGTGAATTGACTTTCACTCCTAGTCTGACAAAAGATACGAGCTGAGACGGCAAATGTGAGTTGGGACTGAAGATCGCACTATCAACGCCCTCTCTCTTTCTCTCGCACATCACACCTTGGACCGTCGACGTGCGGCTGTTTGCTATTCCGGGACAGCGAGGCGCGCAATGGCGGGCCAGGTTGGGAAAGTGAGCGACTCTGCGGGCTCCATCCGTTCGTCCCTGGCATTAAGTCCCGTCGCTTCTGCATCTCTCTCCTTTGCCTCTTCCTTGCGGCGCCCCGGCTGCTGCACGTCGTTGCGGGCATCACTGCCCAAACAAGACGGCAAGGAAACTACATAGTACTAGCCACTCGTCAATGGCAGGGATGCTCGTCCCCTCCTACAAGTACTTGCATTTCTGCTGATACCATCGTCCGAGAGCGCGAGAAGAAGGCCAAAAAGGGGATTGGATTGGCCTTTGGGGCAGGCGTCGTGGTCGATCACTTCGTGTTCCCGCAAAAAAAGGACCCCCAAAGACCCCTAGTTTTCTGTTGACGTTCGCTTTTCGCTCGCACCGAGAGTGACGGACGGGCTGGCGGACGGGCAGGGGGTGGGAGACAGGGTGTCGGGGTCTTTCGCGACGCCAGGCGGATGGGACGTCGAAGAACGGATCGAAGGGTGTGGGAACAGAGAGCCTCTCTGCATGGCATCATGATGTAACGTTCTGACTTGGGCCAAGACCCGAATGACCCCCCGAACAGCGGGGCACTCTTCCTTCGAGCGGCGCCGCTCGAATTGGTGTTGGTGCGCGACCGGTCAACCGCCGTCATCGTTGCCCCCATTGAATGTTTGCTTAGAGGGGCCCGTTCTCCATTCTCTTTCGGTACGGGCAAGGTGATGCCGGTGAAGCGTAGAGAGGCAGCCCGATGGACCCCACGTTGCAGCGCTCAGCCACGTCCGCACCAGCCACTGCCGAGGCATGGACCAGCCACAGCGGGAATCGGGGGTTATCTTATCCAGCGTGGCTTATCTTATCGGAACCGCTCAACGCGTCCCGGAGCGTGGGGTCGCGTCTCGACAAAGAGGCCTGTTAGTGGGTTACTCGATGGGGCACTGGAGCATGGCAGAATGGCCTTGCGGTGAGTAGACATTGCGACTTTGAATAGCACTCTTTGTGCAATCGATGCTGGAAGGAACGATTGAGCAGGCCTCTCTCCTCTTTCCAAATTAAACATATCATCTTGTTCACTGCCAGTGTAGTTGAATTTTCGCGGGCTCTCTTACAACCCAGCCTTATTTATGTACAGTTTCATTGACCACAAGTACCAAGCGAGTTGGGAGCACTTGACCAATTTAGCAAGTCACCCCTAACACCACCAATGACAATCCAATTTCAAGTCTCCTGCCCAATCTCCTCTTCCCCCTTCCCCCCCTGCTGCCCTGGCGGCCCCGAGAAACACGACCCCGGCCTCGCCCAACGCCAAATTTACGCGTCCGTCGCGTCTTCCGGAGAACGTTCCAACCTTTCAACCTCGTCTTTCCACTTTACCTATCCACACCCGCCAATTCACCTCTTTGAGCCCCAACGGCTTGCCGCAATTGATTTCACGACCAGAGACCCCTTGTCCTGAAGCCGACAGACTCACCTCGACGATTCTTCAGTCGGCCACTACTCACTTTGATTTGTTCTGTACCTTCCTTTGACGCTGCCTAATTTTCCAAGTTTCCTTCCCCTCACGAGACCCGACGTCAACTTCAACCTCATCCAAACAACACCACGGCCACCTCCGAGCACGGTCGCGAGGATTGCGACACACCCGGTGTCCGATGCCTCTATTCGAGATGTCGACCAACGTACAGCGAGAGTCGGACATGGAGACCAACGGTCTGAAGAGAAGCCACGAAGACTTCTCGGGCGATGAGGTCACGATAGACGACCGCGGCCTCGATGCCGGCGTCAAGCAGCAGGCGACCGAAGCTGTTGTCCAGCCCAGCAAAGGTACGGCCTGCCTAACCTGCCCATTGTGCGGCTACACTTTTGTGGCCATCGCATCACTAACAATATCCCCAGCTGTCTCCCCCGCTCCTCAGATGCTCGACCGCGACTCGATGTCGCCGCTGAGCAGTCCAGGTTCCCTGAGCGATCTCGGTACCATGACACCACCCCGCAACTCGCCATCCCCCAATCCCACACCCACCAAGAGCAAGTGCCCCCCAAAGCAGACCGCCGACGCCAACCCCTCTTCATCAAACCCTCCCGCCTCAAATCCTACGGCTTCCGCCAACCAGTCCGCCAAACGGAAGCGCCGCACCGCTGCCGAAAAGGAGGCCGAAGAAAAAGAAAAGGCCCAGAAGAAGAAGGAGCGTGAGGAGAAGAAGGAGGCTAAGCAGGCCGAAAAGGCCAAGGCCGATGCCGAGAAGCAGGCCAAGCAGGAGGAGAAGCGCCGCAAGAAGGAGGAGGAGGAGCGCAAGGTCCAGGAAGAAAAGGAGAAGAAGGAGCGTGCTCAGCCGAAGCTCATGTCCTTCTTCAAGGCACCTGCTACGCCCAAGAAGGATCCAGCAGCTCCCAAGGTCAAGACGGAGAGCCCTGCCAAAGTGGCTGCCACGTCAAATTCAGCAGCGCCAGCAGTCAAGAAGGAGGAACAATCCGAGTACGAGAAGCGGTTCAAGCCGTTTTACGTCCACAGCACTGTTCGCTTGGCAAAGAACCCCTTTGAAATGGACCAGGAGACGCACAAGGCCAAGACCAAGATCTTGGGAGAATACTTCAGCGGCAAGCGAGAGCCGGCCCACGTGGGCAAATTCGACCCTGTCGACATCTTTCAGCTCCCCTGCCGCCCTGCAGAGCGTGGCAAGATCTATCCGCCTGTCCGATATACCATCGAGAAGATGCTGAAGCTCACACAAAAGGCTGAAGGCGTCAGCGAGGAGGACAAGAAGGCGGTCATGAGGGAGACCACAGATGCACTGAGAGACATCCCAGTCAAGACCCTCAGGTTTTATCAGGACGTGCGTCCTCCTTACAGAGGCACCGTAACCCTCAAACCCTACCAAGCAGGCAGATCAGGCATGCGAAGGCTCGCACGGAAACCGACACTCCGCAACCAGCTCCCCCTTAACTACGAACACGACTCGGAAGCCGAATGGGAGAGCGAAGGTGAAGATGTCGACATCGAAGACGAAGACGAGGAGGACCTCGACGACGGTGACGGCGACATGGACGAATTCCTTGACGACTCGGAAGACCATGGCCCCGCCAGATTTGTGAGCGCCAACGGTCTCGAACCCGAAAGCACAGGACTCTGCTGGGAGGATCGGAAACGCATGGGTCCCAACCGCACCGTGTACGAACATAGGATGGAGTTCATCCTGGGTAAGCCTAATCCCATTTCCCGCTCTTATAGCCGCGTTAACACCTGCTTCAAAGAAACCCTCGACCATCGTTCCGGAATCGACCCCTTTTCGACGAAATACTGGGAGCCCGAGCCAAAGCCGAAGCCGGCTGCCCGGCCGCCCAAGGACAAGGCTGCCGCAGAGTTGTCGAAGCCGTCTGATGCGTTCAAGGCGATCAGCAGCCCCAAGGCTGGTGGTGGTGTACAGTCACTGCCGAAGAAGATTTTGGAGAACAACAACCTCCAGGAGCTCAAGAAGGTCATTGAGGCGAACCCAAAGATCGCCAAGGGTGGTCTGATTGACCTCTCCTATGTTGCACTCGCTCACGCCAAGATCTCACGGAACGACATCAAGGAGGCCATCGCGGCGGTTGCCGAGAAGGTCGGCGGTAAAGGGCATGCCGGCTCATGGACGATCAAGCCCGGTTTCGATCTTTGAGATGGCACACAGCGCGGACGGCTTGGCGTATGAGTGGCGGCGTACTGTTTGACTTCGATGAAGATACCTCGGCGGATATTTTTTTTTTCACCCGCCAATTCATTGTTCGCCTTTGTTGCAGTTATTTGGGAGTGCACGGATTACATTTTGGAACCCTGACGTTACCAAGGCAGGAGGGATACGGACGGATGCAAAGGGGGCTGGGGGAATAGGCTTTGCCCCCTGATACTTCTTACAGGCTGTCCAGGATGATGGGGAGGGTTTGTTGCGTTGCAAGCCCTTCTGCATCTGGCGGCTACGACACGACGGCATGAAGACGGCGTAAGATGGATTCTACTTCACTTCTCAGTTGACACGTTGCACAAATGCATAATTGCTATCTGGTCCCCGGTAACAACGGCGTTGATAGGCATGGTAGATATTAGGGGAGAAAAGATTCTCAACGTTACTCATTCGGGTGGTTTTTGTGGTGACGTGCGTGGCTTCGTGATGAGGTGCCCTGAGGGAGTCTACTCTCAAGCTCTCAAGCGGTCATATGGAATGGTCCGAGGTCGCAGACCACGTGGGTGTCGTGGTGCTCGGCAGGCGTAAGCCGGACGGAAAGCCTTGCAGTCGTATCGTCCGTTCATGCATCGTATACCATTCGGAGTTACTGGCCATTACCAGCCAGGGCACAAATGCATGATGGTTGGGTGTTCGACAATGACACGCCGAGTCGGAATCGCCGCAAACCCCTTCCATAGGGAGTTGGGTTCCATGGCTGCAGGGGTTTCAAGTGATTCATAAATACGAGCTGAGGAAAGGCGTCGTGGGGCCGGAGCGGAGACCGGACGGATGATAGGCGGGGCCTGGCTGTATCTCCGGGTCCGGGTGTCATGCGGGGTTTCCCCCCCCGACAACGGGCTAGACTGGTTATCGTATTGCGGAGTTTGGGGATGACGCCGGAGGAGTATGACGGTTACTCCATTGGGCTGTCTCGACGGTAATAAGCATAACCCTGGAGCTGACGGGTTGCGCTCTGCGGGTTCCCCACGTTACACGGCGGGATTGTTTCAATCGAGTGTCGACGTGTGTGATGTTTGCCTCCGTCGCCCAATTATGTCAGCGACTTTGAGGGCGCAAGGTGGCTCTGTTTGTGCGTGGCATGTTTATCTAATCATGGCGCACACACACATTCACAATCCGTCCTACCCGGCTTACAGGTAGAAATCAAGAAGGGATTCCATCTTTCCGATCCCTCGGCCGGGTCTCGACCGTTTGTTCGGACAGGATCGCTTGGCTGTTGAGCAATACAACCCTGGACATCACCCGGTGGTGGAAGACGATACCTTCCCTCTTCGGTGATAGGAACCTTAGGCACCCAACTGCCTCCCGGGTGCACTATGTGATGAGCTAAGATGCGGGTGAGATTTAAGTGCCACGACCGATATATCCGAGGGGAACGACGGGCGGACGAAAAGTCATGGATGTCTAGGGTTCTTTGTCTGATGAATGATCCTCTCTTCCCTGGCTGTATCGTGTGTATACGGATGCCCATGGGAGGATCAGGTGTCAAACGCCGCGGCGGGCATACTGGATGGGACATTGCGTTCCTGCGAATGTATTAAAAGGAGGCTGGCCGCCCTCGATGATTGACCCTTTGAGCAAGTTTCCATCCGCCACCAAGACCTTACTTATAAACCGACAAGCAAGCAATCCGTCCTCTCTTCATTCAAGAATACCGCTCCTACATCCCAACAATGGCCGTGACGACAGAGACAAAGCAGAGGACCCGGGTCCCGGTCCGCGACCTGGCCTCCTGGATCCCCACGGTCCCGCCATTTGAAGGCGAAGCCACCCTCGACGCAGCCGCCGTCGCCGCCGACTTCCTCGCGCGCTTCTCCTCGGCCGTCCGCCAGGGTGACTGGGACGCCTTCGGGGCGCTCTTCGTCGATCAGTGCTACTGGAGGGACAACCTCACGCTGACGTTTGACAAGCGGACGCTGCACACGCGGGAGAAGGTTGTCGAAGCGTGGAGGACGCTGGCAGCGAAGCGCCAGCCGTCCGGATTCTCCAAGGAGAAGAACGAGTACATGACCATGGACGCGGCGTGGGTGCGCTTCGGCCCCACGATGGCGACCCTGGATGTGCCGTTTGCGTTCCGGACCGAGGCACCCGCGTCCAGCTGTATCGGGCAGGCGAAGCTCATTCCCACGCCGGAGGGGGGGTGGAAGGTGTACATCCTCGCCACGTCCGTGGTGGAGCTCGAGGACAAGCCCTTTGGTCCTCTGCCGCGGACGGCTCCGTCGCTCATTGACGCATCGCAGCGCGGCAAGTCCGCGGCACACGGTCTGCCCCGCATCAAGGACGATGCGGTTCTGGACGTCGTGGTTGTGGGCGGCAGCTGTAACGGCATCGCCAACGGGATCCGGCTCGACGCCGCTGGCGCGGAGTTCGTCGTGTTCGAAACGGAGGAGCAAGCGGGCGGGAACTGGTCGACCAGGAGATACGAGAGCGTCATGCTGCATCACCCGGCCTTTATGATCCAGCTGCCGCAGTTCCCGGTGCCGGAGGGATACCCGGATTACCTCACCGGCAAGGATCTGACGAGGTACTACTCCTCGGCGGTGGAGGAGCTCAAGCTGCCGTTCTTTGGCGGGGTGGAGGTAACCAGCAACGTCTGGGACGAGGGGAAGAAGCTCTGGAGCGTCACGGCGCGGAACCTGTCGACCGGCGAGACGATGAAGGTCAGGGCGCGGAACCTGGTCCTCTCGACGGGGTTCGTCGTCGGCAAGGACAACCTCAAGATTCCGGCGCTGAAGGGGCGGGAGCTGTTCAAGGGGCCGGTGCTGCACACCTCGGACTTCCGCAACACGGAGGGCTACCGGGGCAAGCGCATGCTGGTCGTCGGGTCGGGCAACTCGGCGCACGACGTCGCGGGGACGCTGGCGCAGGACCCGGAGGTGACGAGCGTGACGCTGCTGCAGCGCAGCCCGACGGTGCTCCTCGACTTTGAAACCATGGCGCCCGTCGTAACGATGCGGTACCGCGGGGACATGCCCGTCGACACGGCGGACTTTGCCGAGGGGGCGATGCCAATCGCGGTGCTGCGGGACGTGTTGGCGGCGATGATTGGGGGCATCATCGCGGCGACGGAGGCGCGGTGCAAGGAGCTCGAGGGGGTCGGGTACATGGTCGACCGGGCGCCGAATCTGATGGCGAGGCTGTACGAGGACAGGGGGCGGTCGTTTTACATTGACCACCCAAAGACGTTTGACCTGGTGTTTGGGGGCAAGATCAAGATCGCGCGGGGCGAGGCGAGGGGCCTCGTGGAGGACGGGGTCGTCGTGGTCGACAGGGAGACGGGGGAGGAGAGGGTCGTCGAGGCTGACGGGGTCGTGCTGGCGACGGGGTACGACGCGGTGGACTTGCCGCAGAGGTACAAGGAGAAGGGGTTCCTCGACGCGAGGTCGGCGGACAGGTTGGTCAATGTCAGCTTGTTCGGCGTGGACGGCGAGGGCGAGGTCCCGGGAGTGACGACGTTTTCTGGGCGTGAGTGCTTTTGTTGCTGCGGTGGTGGATGTGGCTGACGTGCGTGACAGACCCGAATCTCTACTTCTCTGGCGTGGGACTTTTCCTTGCCCGCGCGACTGTAAGTTGGCCTGTAGAGCCCTCCCTGCGTTTTTGTTCGATCGATTCAGCTAACCCGCGGTCTTTAGTCGAGGCTCACCGCCATTCAGGTGATGGCCGACGTCACCGGACAGTTTCCCGAGAGATACGCTCGGTCTTAGGCCAAAGGATTGCAATGATGGTTGGGATTCGGTGGTCGAGGGGGTTGTGGGGTGGTAGTTCAGATATACGCTGGTATTGAGCAATCATGGTAGATACGTTTCGTCCATGTCTTACTGTAATTGCAAAGCTCGATTAGACATGCTCGTGGTTGTGCAAAACCTTATGGCTAAATAGTCTCGCGTGTAATCAACAACGGACGTTGTTTCGAGATGATGAGACGTAATGGCCATTTGTCGGTTGGGGACCCGGCGTTGGATAATAATTATTAAGCCAATGCATATGCCGAATGCTGTTTGGTCAAGATTTGGATTGCAACTTTCTCAAATCCTCACAAACCATCTTATTCAACTCAAAGAAACAGGGACGCACACTTGTGTCGCCAAAAGATTGCTCAACCATCATGGCTTCGACACCTTCACCCAGAGTCGAGCGCACGACCATCGCGGGGTCGATCGAGATACCCCGCATGCTCAACGGTCTCTGGCAGCTCGCTGGCGGGCACGACCAGGACATTGATGTGGCAGCCGCCGCAGAGGCAATGGGTGACTTGTGAGACCTCGACATGCTCCCAAGGACATTTGCAGCTGCTGACTCGGCCAAGAATCGATGCTGGCCTCGACGGCTTCGACATGGCGGACCACTACGGCCCCGCGGAGCTCGTCATCGGACACCACAACCACACCTCGCGCCGGCCCATCACGGCCTTCACCAAGTGGTGCCCCCCCGAGGGCGGCGACAAATCCTTCGCCACCGCCGAGGCCGCCGTGGACCTCGCGCTGCGGAGGATGAAGCAGGAGCAGATCGCCCTCATGCAGTATCACGTCTGGGACTACACCGACGACACTTACCTCTGCAACCTCGCGCACCTGCGCACCCTCCAGCAGCAGGGCAAGATTGCGCACCTGGGCCTGACGAACGTGGACGCGGCGCATCTGGAGCTGCTGATCCACTCGGGCTACCCGATCGCGACGAACCAGGTGTCGTGCTCCGTGATTGATCGCCGGTTGGTCCGAGGGCGCATGGCGGAGGTCTGCGCCCGGCACGGCGTCGGCGTCCTGACGTACGGAACGCTGCTGGGCGGGTTCCTAAGCGAGAAATGGATCGACGCGCCGGAGCCGACGGACATGCAAGGGCTGAACTGGAGCCTGAGGAAGTACCTGCGGTTCGTCCGCGCGGCCGGGGGTGGGCGCCTTTCCAGCGTGTCTTGAAGGCCGTTGCCAACGTTGCGCGGAAGCACGGCGTACCGGTCGCCGCGGTGGCGATGCGGTGGGTGCTGGACATTCCCGTCGTCAAGGCCGTGATCATCGGAGCGCGGCTGTCCCAGGAGAGCGGGAAGTACACGGCGGGGAACCTGGCGGCGTTTGGGTTCGCCCTGGACGACGAGGACAGGGCTGCGATTGCCGAGGCCCAAGAGGCGTTGACGGATATACCGGGGGACTGCGGCGACGAGTACCGGCGGGCGCCGTTCCTCACGGCCTCGGGCGACTTGAGCGACCACATCAAGGAACGAGACGAGCGACGCAAGGTCGAGGAGGCCATTGCCAGCGGGCAGAGGGTGGAATATCACACTGGCAGCAAGTGGGAGCCGATTGCCGGGTACTCGCGCGCCGTGAGGGTGGGGAGCATCATCCGGGTGTCCGGGACGACGGCGAACCCGCCGGCCGAGCTGGGGTCACTGCTGGCGGTGGTTGGAGGGACGTCTGCGCGCTCGCAGACGGTTGCGGTGTTTGATATCATTGAGCGAGCCGTCAAGCGCTTGGGTGGAAGCATGTCGGATGTCGTTCGGACGAGGGTGATGATCCGACGGGAAGAGGACGTGGTGGGGGTGTCGGAGGCGCATGGCTGGGTGTTCAAGTGTCACAGGGTATGGCCGGCGAATACGCTGACGACGGCTGGGCTCATTGGGGACGAGATGCTGGTTGAGATTGAGGTGGAAGCGGACGTCGGCAGCGGCGAGTCTGTGTTAGTGGTTGAGTGAATGGTGTTGCTGAGATGTGAATTGTGTCAAGACCAAGTGTCAGAACCCCCAATGGCTGTTGTCAATTGGACACTAGAACACCAAAACACCAAATTCTATGTATACAATGACAAAAAAAAAAAAGTAAGGAGAAGACCACTCACTTCCAATCTGATTCAACTCCGCAGATAGTCAGGTCATTCGAGCAAAAATCAAAATTGAAAGGGACGAGACTCGAACTCGCGCGGGTTGCCCCACCAGGAAACAGATGTTAAGCTGACCTTAACCTGGCGCCATAACCAACTCGGCCACCCTTCCAGAAGATGATCGGATGATCTTGTGTGCTCATCTCGTCCAAGTTTACGAAATAAGTAAGAAAAGTGACAAGCAAAACCCTAGTACCGCAAGCCTTAACTCGCGTGAGGCCGCCGAGCAGTGGGGGCAGTAGCGCATAAACCCCCGAAAAGCCTGCCTAGCTGCCCAGTGGGTCCGGGCCGAAGCGGACGACCAATCACCGCTTTTTATCGACTAACCCAAAAGGGGCAGGCGGGTCGGGTAGGCGGAGCTTCCAAGAACCGACAATGACGTTGATCCTTGTCACTCATCCTCCAAAAAAATCTTTCTTCTTCCTAGTTTTTTTTTAGCAGTGCAGAAATGCTCGACCATTCTCGACAGACTCCAGTCTGGGCTGCCTCGGCCCCAGGACAGTCCCTGTCTTTCGTCACCTCGACTAGTCCCCTGTGGACTGCGTGGATCGAAACCCCTAGGGACCGATCGAGATCGAGATAACGATAAGACATGGACGACGTGGTGAGACTCTTTTTGCCAACGGCGAGTCTATGCGAAAGAGGAGCATCGTGCCAAAGTAATAATCGCCAAATTCATGCAACGCCGCCGCAAAGGCCGTTGCGCATGGAGACGCAGTCGGTGTCTCATTGCGTGCAGCAGAGACGAGTGCAAGCTTGCTTTTTGGAACTGCAAATGTCGTTCGGAGCAGCCGCATGCTCACGTCCCACTGGTTCCTCCGGCTTCCCTCGGGCTGCCCGCAAGTCCGCAAGTGGGAAGAAGCTCCAGGCACAAAGTACACAAAGCACAATCATAGTTTTCTCCGCCCGCGGCGGGAGCTAGAGCTCTGCGGCCTCTCGTTTTCGCCTCATTTCTCTCTCGAACTCCTCCCTAACCCGTTTTGGTTGACCGAGGCAAGGAAACAAGTCTTGTTTGCAAGCGCATAATGGACCGTACAGGTACACTGCAATGACTAGACGAGCACACACAGCCCAGCCCAGCCCACACGACTAATACGCGTAGATGACGTTTCCGCCTTGGGCAAATGGCCACAAGACCACCTCGGTTCGACACCGTGATTGGCTCTGGACGGTTCAAAGCTATTTTTTTATTTTTTCTACCTTTTCTACCTTTTTTTTTTTTTTTTTTTGCGTTTCCTTCGAGCAAGGCGAAAAGGGGGTGTTCGTGCCGTCTTGGACATGAAAAGGAGGTCTGTCCGCTGTCTGGTTTTTTGGCTGACAACCCGGCAGAGACAGACAGCTCCATCCAACTTTTTTGCAAGGAACATTTCCCCCACGGCATTGATTCGACAACTCAGCACCGTTACAGTATTGACTTTGTAGTGAGGCTGCCTGCAGGGAAACACCGGCTTCGAGTTCATTGTCATCGAGTTTCGAAATCCCATCTGAGCCCTGCGCTTCTGTCGATTAATTCGTCCTCTTCTCCCACTCTCTCTGCCCGAGTCTTTTGGTCTACCTATCGTGCAAACATCCGGCACACAAGACAGACAGACAGACAGACAGACCATCGTCGCCCCGTTCCATCTACTGGCCTTTCTTAATTGCACCACTTGATACACTGTAGACCAATAGATCCATCCCTCGTACCCCTGGCCGTGTCTATTGCGACGGCCACCTCTCGATATAGACGTCTCATCTCGCCATCCAATCACACACTGCGCTGTCTTACCGTCGGAGCCCCGGCTGACGTCTGCCTTGTACTGCATTGATCGCGCATTAAAAGACGGGACCAACCTGCATCGACGGAAACATTGGTTTAAAACACCATCGCGACAAACGCATATCCGACCGCGAAAAAAAAGCTTCACAACACAATTTCAGAGGAAAGCGAAATCAGGCCGAATTGAAACTCTCGTTGCCCCTCTTCCTGCACTGCTGCACTGCACCCTGGAACGAGCGAATATTCCGGTCGGCGCATTCCATTCACTTCACGCGGATTCGATCCCTTCTTTTTCTTCTCTCCCTGGGTCCCCAAGTTCCAACGTCGTCGGCTTGTGCTTCAATTCCCGTCTCCCTTGCAGCATCCCTCTCTGCAACTTCAATCGACGACGACAACACAAGCAGTGCAACACACTTCGTCCTGCATCACCAGTCACATCACGAACCACTGCATCGCAAGCGAACCCGGATTGCGAACATTCACAGACATGTCGCCTGCCGCGCAAGCGCCGCCGACGGCTGCCGAGAAGGTCGCGTCCTTCTTCTCCCGCCTGAGCCCCGTGCCGTGCTTCCCCGACTACACCGGCCCCTACAAGGTCGGCACCGTCGACATCGAGGTGCCCGTCTCTGAGCTGGAGTCGCCCAGTCCGACTCCCTACAGCGCATCCGAGATCCACACCGTCCAGTGCCGCGTCTTCTACCCTGCGACCCCCGAGTCCAACGGCAAGAGGATCAACTGGCTGCCCTCGCCGCAGAGACAGCATGTCTCGGCCTACACTCAGTTCATTGGCATCCGCCCAATGCTTGCAGACATCGTTTCGTACGTGAACTCGCTCCATACACTATACCAAGAGGCCTCCGTACTGACTGCCGATTTCTAGATTCCTCCCGCGACACCTGCACTACACCACGATCCCCGTCCACAAGAATGCCGAGATCCTCGAGCCCGATACCCCGACCCGACGATGGCCGACCATGATCTTCTCCCACGGCCTCGGCGGCAACCGAAACACATACTCCCACCTGGCGGGCTCCTTGGCGTCCCACGGTGTTGTCGTCATCTGCCCTGAGCACCGCGACGGCAGCGCCGTGGCGTCATTCGTGCGCATCCCCGGGAAGCAGGATCAATACTTTATGCGCGACACCCGCCGCACTATTCCCTACGTCCGCCTCGACCACGAGGCGCGCCCCGAAATCTACGAAGCGCGCGAGGACCAGCTGCGCATTCGCCTGTGGGAGCTGGGTCTGATACACGTCGTGGCCGTGAACATGGACCTAGGCTTGGCCATGTCGAACCTGAACAAGTCGACGCCCAGCCTGACCCAGTTCAAGAATAAGCTCGACGTCCACGAGCCCGGGTCCATCATCTTTGGCGGCCACAGCTTCGGCGCGGCGTCCATTGTGCAGTTCCTCAAGTCCACCTACTACGCCGAGTCCTCCGCCCTCGCCCACGTCGCCAAGCCTCTGTTCACTCCGCGCAGGGACTCGGCGCTGTGCCAGCAGATCACGGAGAAGAACGTCACCATGCTTCTGGACATGTGGTGCTTCCCGCTCCTCGCGCCAGGCTCCTCGGAGCTCTTCGAGCTGCCCCTGCCGGCGTACGCCAACAAGCCCTCGGCACCGGGGGGCAGTGCCATTCTGGCCGTCGAATCCGACGCCTTCTTCAAGTGGAGCGACCACCTCCACGTCACCGCCCGCGTGCTCTCGCCGCAGCCCTCTGCCAACGTCATCACGCCGCAGCTCTTCAGCCGCAGCGGCGTCCGGCTCGCCGAGCCCAATTTCTTCTACGTCAAGAATTCGGCGCATCTCAGCCAATCCGATTTCGGCATCCTCTTCCCCTGGCTGACCAAGAAGATCTTCAACTCGGAGGAGCCCGAGCGTGCGCTGCGACTGAACCTGAGGGCGCAGCTGCAGATTCTGAGATCCAACGGCGTGCCCGTGGCGCGGACGTGGATCGGCGACCTTGTCGACGGCACGGGCTCCGGTAAGATGGGCATCACGGGCGACGAGGATGCCGACAACGGGCCGGACGACGGGTTGATGGACGACAAGGCCATCTTTGACCGCTCCGAGGACAAGGTGCGGTTCTGGAGGTGGATCGACGTCATCGGTATGGGCGAGCCCAAGGAGGTGCCCACCTCGGAGACGACGACAAACGGCACCGGCGGATCGACCGTGAATGCGCAGGTCGCCGGTGTCGAACGGACAGACCAGGACATGGAGGAAGAGCTGGAGCCGCTTCAGGCGGTTGCGAGTGCGGCGCAAGCCGGCACGATGCGGGCATGACGGCAGTGAAGCGTAGCGCGGAGGCACGTGTGTACTTGGACAACCGGCTTTGTTGACCACAGCATCATTATTGTTTTATTTTCGGAGTTATGTTTTTAGAGGAAGCGTTAGCACCATTGCGTGTTTCATGGAGAACACGTAGCAGATACCTAAGTCGATACAGTATATAAGCCTTTCATCTGAAATGATCGCCGCAGGCCGATACACGTGTGAACGAGACAGATCGATCTGGAGGGACAGCTTGACCGGACCAGAAAGTGAGCCAATGCTAAATCGAATCGTCAATCTGGCTAGCTCGAGTCTCACATGTCTCGAGGCCCATTTTCTCCGCATTGGTCTGAAGATCCGTTTCTTCAATGGCCCGCCTATGACGGGCCCATCCGAGTTGGCGGTTCGCGCTGTGGCCCCCCGGGCATGCAAGTCATCCACGTCATGGAGATTGAAGGCGTCAAAGACGCACAACCCGCGCCATGAGATCACCTTCTGCAACGAGCTTGTCTGGGAGAGCTTGAGGAAATGGCTTATAACGCGGCTGTTTCCCTTTCTGAGGAAGCATCATTGTTATCCACAAATATCCATAATTAACAACATTAATCCACAATGGCTCCCGTAAGTGTATCTCCCCTCAGAACACCCTTGAACTTGGATAGAAGACACCCGCGACTAACACGCAAAACCTCGCAGCAAAAGCAACCTGAACGCCTCAAGCACGTCGCCGAAAAGGCCACGTCCAACAACCCCTCGCAGCTGGGCGACCCCGTCTCCCTAAAGGCCGAGGTCTCGCAGCTCTCGCCGACGGAAAACGACCTGGGCGCCAACTCGAAGCGGTCGTCGGCGCCCGCGAAACCGTCCGGGGGCGGCGCCGCGGGGGCCAAGAACTCGGACGGCTCGCCCGTGCAGGGGCCGGAGAAGAAGCGGCTGAAGCAGGTCGCCGAGGAGAACATGGAGGCCGGCAACCCTTCGCAGCTCGGGGACCCGATCAGCCTCAAGGCGGAGACGAGTAGCACGGAGCCAACGGGTGAGGCGGATGGGCAAAGGAGGGAGAAGTCGAAGCTTTGAAGCGACTAGGTGTACTCTAGTTGTTTTAAATAATAATCTCAATACTTCTTCGTATTTATATCCTAGTTGATTGGATACACCGTGAATACCACCCTCGCGTGTTTCGGGCAGCTGCTACAAGAGTTACGATTATCAGTTCCCAGCCCTTCATTTCAGCCAATACCAGCTTCTTGATTCATTGATAGCTGCAGTCCTAGTTGTTTTACCTACAGCCTTGTGGTGTGCTTGATGGCAGCTTTCCCGTGGGCTTCCTTCTCTAGAGAATCTCTGGTCAGTCAATGGGACCAGGTGTCTTGGCGACTGGGGTCATCATGCGAGGTCTTCATTGCGACAAGCACTCTTTAGGATCGAAAAGGGAAGCTCGAATAGTGTTTTACGAACGCGCGGGGCGCGGTACGACCAGGCTAAAGCTGGGTTGAGTCTAAACTCGGTGGCCAGCCAGCCCTGCTACCCACGGCGAACTTCATCTCTGACCATCAACGCTACTGATCTCAACCCAGCTCAACCCTCGTTGACAGCTTGTTACGGATCGCATGTTGTCCTCATCCTGTTCCTTTTCGAGTGTCTTTAGATCCCCTGTGACTTTTCAACTGATACTTGCTAGCTCCCACAACCGCGCATGCATCAATACGAGCAGAATGCTTCCCTCATGCGCGTTGACTCGGGAGCGTTGCTCATTTCGGCAGTTCACTGGAGATCCTTGCTTTCTCAAGGCCCCCGACGTCGCCATGGCAGTGGGGTCTTTTCGCGGTCTAAGCTGTCCGCCAAGCTTCCAAGGCCTCGTGTTCACGATAGCCGCTACGGAGTAATCCATACTATGGTTAACATCTTGCCTTGGCTCTAATGCCATCAATGCTCGTTCCTGAGGAGAGGCGATGGTTGTATAAATACTCCAGCGGCGACGATGTGAGTTATCGACAGCAGCCTCGACGGAGGTTCTCTCTTGTTTGCCCGCTAAGAGTCAACCCACGGCCCATTTGAGGTCTTGCGAAATCAGCCACCTTGGTCAAAATGTTATCTCGTGCCGTTGCAGCATTGCTGCTCTCTTTCGGAGCGTCGTCGGCGATGGCGAAGCTTCAATGCATCAATGACGACCTAGTCGCTACCGACGCGCCCGCCTTCGCCCTCCCCACGTACGTCAAGCGCCAGGAATCCAAGCCGGTCGACGTGTACTTCCACGTCACCAGCACCGTGGCCAACAAGGACCGAATCACCGACGCCATTGTCGATGCTCAGGTATGTGCCTCCCAAACACATGTCACTCGCCGGCGCCGACGCTGACACTCCGGCCAGTTCGAGGTCCTGCACTCGACCTACCTCCGCCACGGCTTCGAGCTGTCCCTCGTCAACGTCTCGCGAGTCGTCGACGACGTCCTCGGCAAGGGCTTCTACGAAGACGGCGGCATCGGCATCCCCGACTTTGAGGGCTACATCGCCTGGCGCGCCGCCACGCGCCGCGGCGGCTACGACGCCCTCAACGTCTACTTCTTCACGGACCTCAACGAGGGCATCGGGGGGTACTGCAACCTCGCCGGCGTCGTTCAGGAGGGCAGCCAGCAGTTCTGGCAGGACGGGTGCTGGCTCAACGGCGACACCATGCCGGGAATCCCGCCCCGCAGCGGCGGCGGTAACGAGACTGTCCCGGCAAAGGGACATGTTGCCGTGCACGAGGTCGGGCATTGGTTTGGGTTGTACCACACGTTCCATGGGCGGTACTGTGAGAGTATCAATGACCAGGTCGCGGACACGCCGGCGCAGGCCGGTGCAAGCGCGGGGTGTCCTGTTGGGCGGGATTCGTGCCCTGATTCGCCTGGGTTGGATCCCATCCACAACTTTATGGACTACTCGGATGATTCCTGGTGAGTTTGGAGCGCTCTGGGTCAAAGTTCGGAATTGGTCAACTGACATATGATGCAGCACGAGCGAATTTACTCCGGGACAGGAGGAGCGTATGCATCAGATGTTTGACGTCTACAGACGATGGGAGGGATGAACTCGCACAAAAGGCTAGCATAAACATTCAAACATAGTCATGAGTCCTTCACCCTGAAACAGGAATGATAGACGCCAGTGCTTAACACCATCTTTGTCGGCAGGCTGCATTCAGAAACCAAACACGTTCTTGTCCTCTTCGTAGCCCCAATCTAGCCAACTCAGTCAGTATATCTCGGTCACAGGAGGCAGGAGAAACACGTACCTTTCAAAGCCGGCAAAACCGCCACTTTGATCATTGTCGGCGGCCCGCAGAGGAAGACGACGCTGTCGCCAGAAGGCGGGAAGAGGCTCTCCTTCAAGATCTCCTCGTCGACGTGGCCCCTCCGGCCGTCCCAGCCGTCGTCCGGATGACTCAACACATGCGTAATCTTCAACCGTCCCACGCTCTTCTCTGCGAATCCATCAAGCTCGTCCCGAAGCAGAATGTCCTTCTCGGTCTTGTTCGCGTCCACAACTCGCACCTCTGTCTTGTCGTCGCCGGCCGCCACGATCCTTGCAATGAGCGAGTACCCGGGTGTCACCCCCGAGCCGCCAAGCACGAGCGAGACGTGCTTGTACATGCGCTCCTCGCCGTCAATGATGAACTTGCCGTTGCCCTCGTACGTGATCTCACCTGTGGGCCCACGGATCTCGACCTCGCCGCCGACGGGCATCTTGTGCAGGATGTTGGACATGGCGCCACCTGGCTGTCTCTCATCAGGGAAGTACGTCTTCACAACGAGCTCGAAAGTGCCGTCGCCGTCTTTGGGGCCATGTGTGTGATTTACCTTCCCCCCATCCGCGGTTACCTCGCTGGGCGCGTCCTTGGGGGCTGGCATGATGGGTCGCGTGGGTGTATAAGAACGGACAAGCATCTTGTCGCGGAGGTGGAAGCCGATGAAGACGTGCTGGCAGGTCCCGAGGCCGAGCACGGCTTGGTGATCCGGGAGCTGGAAGGTGTACGAGAAGGTGTCGTCGGATAGGGCTTTTCTGTCGATCAGTTTGGTAGGAATCCATTGATGCTTCTGCAACGCGCGCTTCTCATTGCCATTGCCCATGGCTTTTTCGGCGGCCTGCTTCTCGGCGTTCTTCTTGATGAAGTTTCTGGCCTTGTCCGTAACAACACCAAGAAGACATTCTGTGGGATTGTCAGAATCTCTTCCGCAGGTTCACGTGCTGCATGACTTACGCTGTAGCTTCTCGAATGCGAGACCATCGTGAATGCTGTCAAACTCCTCCGTCGTCTCCTGGTGTACTCTGCCCGCATGCGCCATCATCGGCGCCTTTCCACCGGGATGCCACGCCATGACCGACGTCGCGTCATACACCTTGCCATCCACCACGATCCAGCAGTCATCCTCCTTGTCATGTTTCTCAATCTCCTCTCTCGTGAACTGCTTCTGAGGCGTCCCGGAATCCCTCTTCGCCGCCTCAACCTGATTCACCACACTTGGCTTCATCCACCCACCGTTGCCCGTGCCCGGCTCTGTGGGGTGTCTGAAAAGCACATACGTATCGTCGGTTTTAGCGTCATCGACTATCTCAGACTTGACGGTGTACCAACAGTTGTTCATCATGCCCATCAGGTTCCAAGCTGGCTTCTTAGGCTGCGAGTTCTTGAAGACGTTGAAGCACCGCACCTTGATGTCGCGCGCCTGGATGAGATGCGAGATGGGGACGTCAACGTGCCAGTGCAGCCAAGTCCAAAACTTTTTGCCGTGGCGGATGGGCGCCTCGGGAAACTCGCGGATGCAGTAGAGCCAGTTCTCGCCATTGTCGAGGGACACCTCGACTTTCTGGACCTCGTGACCGCCGCCATCGTAGGCGTAGCCCTGAATCTGATAGGTTTTGTGCTTGTGTGCATCTGCGAGGCTGATCCTCTCGCCTTGTTCAGGCCGCACAATAACCGAGTTGAGGTTCTGCTCGTTGCATGCCGTGCTAGGGTGTCGGAACATGGTCTCGGCCAACTCGCTCTCCATGTCTGTGATGAACGACGGTAGTACTCTGTTATCCCAGATGTGGTAATGGGAGTCGTTTTCCTTCTCACTGATCCAGATGCGTTTCAACCACTTGACATTTCGACCCCCGACGTAGCCTGGAATGATGACTCTTACAGGATAGCCATGATCGGGCGGCAGAGGAACGTCGTTCATCTCATATGCCAGAATCACGTCGTTCATCGCGTCCATGGCGTAATCAAACGGTATACTGGTTGCGTACTTTCCCTCGCTCAGCTCGTCCGCCCCCTCAAAGTTGACCCAATAGCGTTGACCTTCTTTCAGTTGCTCAGGGACGCCAGCCGCGAGGAGGATATCCCGAAGATGAGGGCCCTTCCAGTATGCACAGCTCCCTGCTCCTGAGCCCCAGTTGAAACCCTTGGACTGGCGGATGAGGTTGAGCTCTTTTCGACGCATGCCGTCGCAAGCCAGAAATACTGGGATATTGATGGCTTCGAAATCGTTCTTGAGTTGATCCATCGAGAGAACCAGCGCACCATGCTCCACGTCTACCTCATGAAACTCCCATAAAAGACGAGGGACTGGGCCATGATTTCTGACATAGTGTAGCTCATTTGGTGTGACTAGTCCTGCGTCAAAGAGTTTCGTTAGGTGCGGCTCGGCATTCAGCGGGTGCTTTCCCGTTAGGCGTATCAGATCCTGGCTGCGCGGAAGCCAGTTGTCGGGTGTGAACTGATCGGCCTCGTCGATGGACACTTGTTGTTTATGGCTCTTCTGAGGAGACTCTCGCTTGCCGTCGTTGGCTTCCAGATTCTTCATGTATTCGCTCTCATGCTTTAGAGCGCGCAGGAGTGCAAGCTCTTGAGGAGAGTATTTGTCTTCTGGATTCTGTTTATCTTTGTCGCTTTCTCCCTTTAGATGGCTGTTCTCGACTGGTGTGTCTGGGGGTGTTGTAGGGTGAGTATTTCGCTTTGCCTGAGCATCTGGGTCGTTCTTCTTGTTTTCCTCCATTTCTTTCTTCTTCTCTGCTTCTAGGTTGGCAGGCCATTTCTGACCGTATTTGACCCAGTCCTCCGTCATATCGAGGACGTATCGCCAGCCAACGGATCTGTTATCAGGATGCCGTAAACTCAGGTTCTCTTGCGCGTTTACAATGTCCTCGAAATTGACAAGGTCGCCGTTGTCTACACGATGATGGAAAGCACTCAACTTCCCCTTGGCCTCTGCAATATATCCGGGCACCCGGTTGTCCCGGTTCTTGAAGCCAATGCGGTGGTTGTGGCCTGATCCCCAGTTTGGTTCCTTCTCGATCTCCTTCTGAGACGAACCGGGGTGGTCCGTCTTTTCAACGACGAAATGGCTTGTTGCGCCCATATTGGTAGACAATTTGGCTGTGTTTGTATGATTGAGTAGTTTGAAGACCAGCCGTTGACAAACAACATAAAGAAGTAATACTGAGAACAACGGCTACGAGATGTAGGCTGGATCTGATTTTCGCTGATTAACGAGTATCCATGTTCAATGGGGTTCACAGTCTTAAAATTTGCAGGAATGGCATGGCGGATGACGTCGATCAGGACTCCGTGTGTAATTCATCAAACCCGAATGATCCTTGAATGGCGCCGTAAATAGTTGATCCATTTGTCATGAGGTGGGGTGTTTGGCCGAGCTAAGTCTAGGTTTGCCTTTCGGGTCCCTAAAGCATCTCCGCGGGACGAGATGGTTCATAGCCGGAATGGGACTTTGCTGCAAGCGTGCCGAGTCAGCAGCACCCGGCTTGGCGACAGCGAGGCTCCGGGTAGGACGGTTCAGGTGCTGCAAACGTGAATTTTGCACGTGATGCATAGACCACACATAGGTGCTCCATGCAAGTGATGTAGATTGACGGTGATCTCATCTATTGAAGGACTCGATTGTTTCACTCTGAGAATTCAGCATCCTGGCGCCCAAGAAGATCACAACAAAATAGAGCTAATAAGAGAACCAAACAAGTTCCAAAGAAGAACATTGGATGAAGAATAAACTGCCTGCCCTATCAATGCTGCTTTCAGCTACATACATACACCCAGCAATGAATCTATCGATTTCTCCTCTTGTGTTGGAAAACTCCTTGCATCTGTCGATACTCTCCTCGGGATTGTGTCTCACACAGAGTATGTGCCATCTGTTGTGTCTGCAGTCGTTTTCTAAGGAGTTATTTTATATTATTGAACATTGGACTAGTCAGCTTTCCTCCAGCAAAGTCTACGAAGAATGCATGCGTGGGATGCTTGCAAACTCGAGGGCGATGAGAGTGGAAACCAGCGCGCTATGTTCCAGAAACTCTACCTAGGCAAAAGCAAGGAGTCAATCACATAGAGAAATAAACCGGAGCATACAAATATATCCAGTAAGAGGTGGTAAAAGAGAGTCAACGCAAAGAGCGACCTCAAAGTTTCTGGAAGGCTGGGGGGCTCATTCAACGAGCCCTCTCACCGACAGCAGCCACGCGAAGAAGTAAAATTGGTTCTAGGTTTCCAAAGCAATTGCCGTGCCGTCGACTTCTATGTGAGATGATCATCGCCCGAGTTTAGCCTACTTTGACCGTTAATACTCCGCTTAGCACGCAACACTTCATCTACATGATACATAATACCAAATGCATACGACATATGCATAGCTAACGGACTGCAGTACGCATCATATCGTCTACTCATCGAGGCATAGCACCCGACTTCGTTCTTGAGCCAATCAATACAAGTCATCCGGTGTTGTCCAATGCTCATGATGGGCATGGAGGAAGGAAATTCAGCTGTGCACCGTAATGACTTGTCCTAATGTGTTGTTTCTCTGTGGCCCGCACATGACAATCCCCGAATTTGGTTCGCCTTGCAGAAACCGAGCTCGTCAGCCAAGCATTTCCTATGACAGAATATTGATAAGCCGAGCCCATAGCCGGTGCGTCCGTTGCGGGCGCCCTGACGTGGCTGATGCGGCCGGAGAGCAGCAAGTAGCTGTTGGTTCTCTGCAGTGTTGACCGGGGTCGTGTAAAAGGTTGCACGGCGGCCGCTTTTGAAATGGGTCACGGGTTGGCTCTTGTCACATCGCAGCTTGCCCATCCGCTGCAGCTACTATTCTGTGGATCACTCCAGACGCTGGTTCAAACCCAAGATTGCCCTCGAGAGCCCCATTTTTGGCAATGGTATGGGAATATGGGGAGTGTTGCTCGCATACCAGCCGGGCGTTAATTTTGCTTCACGTCAGACCCTGACGATGGCTAGCTCTCTGAATTATTGGATGGCCTCCCGCAGGCGCCAAAGCAGGCTGGACATTGTAGCATTTGGGTGGACCGACATGGGTCCGGGCCTCTTACCTCGCGGCTGTTCTCGTGCGGGGGTGAGGGAAATCCTGCCATTTACAACACACCTTATTTCAATCACAATATCAATAAATACCATAGTCATATCCTGTCATAAAGTAGATTTACTTCCCCAAAGTTAACCCACTATTGCCCCTATTGAAGCCCCACAATGAGCGAGCCAAGCGATTCACCCAATAGCGACGCCTCTGCGGTTTGTCAACCCTGTACTTTCAACATCGTGATACACGTATTGATAACATCCCGCAGCACCTCCGGCCAACTCACCAACTTGAACAGTTGAAAGTCGGGGAAAATGGCGTTCAGCTTCTAGTTTCCACAAAAGATCATCTGTACAACGCCAAAGATGTCGAGGCTGGGAAGTCTGGGTTTCAATGCGTCGGGGCTTGGAGTGATGATTCGGTGCGAGAGCTTGGTCAAATGCTCATCTCCCATAGAAGCGACACGAAGCAGTACCGTACGCCTGAGACTGAGGGGCCGCGTTCATTCAGAGGCACGGGCTATACCACAGGAGGCGCTGTGCATGACCCTAAGCCGTCCACCTAGTCGGAGGAGTTTGAAGATGGAGAGGATATGAATTCGTGTATAACCATTTCGTTTTACCGTTTCATTTGACTTCTAAAAAACTCCTGCAGTGAACCCTCACTCACCGACCCCACAAACTGGATTCCTCTATCGCCTGTCGTTGCGCCCTTGACTCTGAACAGATCCCCCAAGGTCGACACGAACACCTGCTGCCCGTCGTGACCTGTGGTCATATCCTCCAAAACATGAACACCTTTTGTAGCGTGCTCGGATGCCTCATTGCATATGGTCAGACACTCTTTTGTGCTGTCGACTTCTTGTTGCAATCTTTTGATCTCAGTCTCCAGTGGCTCGGTCAAACTCGTCGTGTCCGAGCCTAGCCGTTCCCTATCAACCTCTTCTTGTTGCCTACGTAGCTGAGAAACATTGTCTGTGATAATTTCTCTGCACTGGCTAAGCGTTGACAGGGTCATGACCATCGATCGTGTCAGGTTTCGGCAAGAAATCTCATTGGAGGATGGGTTCGGTGGGATAGGCTGGAATTGCATCTCATCAATGCGAGCTTGTACTTGGGCACAGATTTCGAGACAGATCTCAGTACTGTCCTTTTCGTTTTGAATGCGCTCGATGTTGCTAGAAATGGCATGAGATGACTCTTTTTGGTGAGAGATAAGGTGGTCCAGCTTCGCGTTGACGTCTTCGAGATGCTCTTCAAGATTTTGAGCTGTATTGTGAATCATCTCCTTATATTCGTTGAGTAGCTGGAGCGTGACAGTAGTGGATTGTCTTTTTACAGCTATTAGCACGTAAGCTTATTCACAGAAGTTTCAAGATAAGTCACATACAGGTTTGCACTGCCCAAAGCAATGGAAATGGTGGATTTATACCCAGCTAACATGCCAGTGAAGCCGTTGATGTCGCTCTCCATGTATCTTACTTTAAACCAATCTCTAAAGCTAGTTCTCGGTCGGCCCGAATTCTTGCTGCATCGAACGATCAATGCGTTAAACTCGGCACAAGCTAGTCGGCATTGAAGGAGAGGTAATTTTAGCGATCCCATTGTGCCGTCGTCTTCTTCGCCACGGACAAGCGCATCCAAAGACAGCAGTACTTCGGTGAGGGCCGTGAGTTCCTTCGCAAGCTGCTGTATGTCTCTCCGATGGTTTTTGAAACTCTGGATAGTTTCATACAAAACTTTGCTCGACTGTAGCGTGGCTGTGATGATGGCTATGAGAGCAGATGATACGCTCAGTGGATCACTCATGGTTGGCAAATCTGACAATAGTCTTTGAACTCAAGGTCTACAACTACACCAGACTCGGAGATCGGCCACGATAGATATACTTTCTGCCCAACCCCACTCAATGGATCCTGTAAGCGCCCACTGCAACTCTCCAGAACCTGAGAGGTTAGTGCGGCATGGGGTCCACTATTACAGTCGCTAGGATTGTTCCACGGCGCGGGTAACAGTGGATACGCTGCGGTAATCTCTAAGATGCTCGGGGGAGGGGTAAAGAGCTATTCGCATATCTCCGTACAAAACGTAGGGTATTGGCTTAGCACACAATCGACCCATCACAGATGGAATTTCTCGGGGATGGCGGTGCCGAAACCGATTGTTCCTTGGAAACTTGTTCAGCTACTGTGATTCCCGTACGCTGCTTCTAGTACCCCTCTTCAAGAGTGTTATCACCGCGAAACCTACCAACTCTAGCTCCTGCGAAGACAACGGATTGAACAGTTGATAGGTTAACATTACGATAACCGAAACCTGCGGTTGTTACTTTACTATGTTTGAATTATGATACGCAGCCATGATGAAGACGAAAACACCAATTCATGTGAATAACTTCCGGGAGGGTTTTAGCTGAGTGCTACCCAATGCCTAGGAAAGACATTGAGAGCATTAGCAGCTGCATACATATGGCTATCTAAAGCAAGAATTGTTAGCGCAAAGATATTAATAAGCAGTAATTACGCTCGAAGTCGAGCTCCGCCAAAAATAGTTTTTCTATCGACCTATTCAATGTTGCGCAGACAGGATTCGCTCTAAACATTCCGATACCCCAAACATATGTGACGGCACGATATATGTTATTCTATTCAAGTCTATACCGATCTGAAGAACACAACCAAAGTGATCGAACAACTCGCTACCTCTTATCTCTCTTGGTAATTCTCAACCAGAAATCATGTGTTATCCAGAACCCTGCGCTCCAAAGTCTTAGGGGTTTTTCTGGTTTTGCAATAGCAAAATCGTACCTGAGGAGAAGCTATTTCAGAAGTATTAGTGACATTCTTTATAATACGATGATCTTCCCGCGTACCTCGACAAAAATTTTATTCAACTCCATCAGTGCGATGTTCCTCCCCATGCAGTAAAACTTTCCATATCCAAACACGAGATCAGCCGTCGACATCATCGCTCTGTACTTCTCTTCATCATCGTCCATTGCGGCCTCAGTCCACCTTTCTGGTCTGAAAAGATGAGCGTCAGGTCCAAAAACATCTTTGGATCGGCCGATGCTACAGATGTTTTCTCCTAGCTGGGTCCCGCCGGGCAATCGGTACCCGTGAACAACGTCTCCTCCAACCGGAACTTCTTTGCTTACAATACCAGTGGATGGAGGGTAAAGGCGGAGTCCTTCGCGTATCACAGCTTGCAGATATGGCATGAATCTTGCTTCCGAGTCCTTGATTGGCGAGCTGATCATTCTCTTGGAGATGGCGGTGTCGATTTCTGCGCGAAGGGCGGCAAAAGCCGACGGGTTGGAAAGAAGAGAAAGCAGGATCATGCGGATGGCAGTCGCGGTAGTGTCAGATCCGGCAATTCTAGAGCACATCATTAGACTTATCGGCCGTAATGACATCTGTGGAAGTACTCACGTTTCCACATAAACTTCTTGGGTCAACTCTTTGCGCGTCAGGCCAGCGTTGATGAAAGACTGTATCATATCTCTCCCGGGCTTCGTATCTGGAGCCAATCTTCCATCCACAAACGTTTTGGCAAAGCTACACGATCACGTCAGCATACAAGTTAAGAAGTCTTCGAACATGAGATGCTAAACCTACCCCATAAGTGCCCCAAACCCGGCGGAATCCCCGGACTTCGGTAGGCCCAGATTAAGGGGCCAGCTATGCATGAGTGTTGCTAACCAAGGCACATTGCCCATCGTAATCATGACTGGGAAGAAGGCGTCCTTTGTGCTGACGTACTGGTACAGGTCCCGGTCTTCCTTGAGAAACCCGTACGGTGTGCCGAACCCAAGCTCGCTGATTACATCCAATGCGAAGTAAGTTGACTTGCTTGCCATGTCCATGGGTCTGAACTCCTTGGCATTTGAAATGTACTTTCGGTCAATCAGGTCAACGAAAGCGGTGATGTTCTTATCAATGCCAGCTTCGAAGCCGCCATTTTCGAGACCGGCGTACTGTGGATCATTAAGATTAAGCAAAATGATGTTGAGATTCAGAATTGTTGATGCACTTACACCAGGCCCCATTTTGCTTTTCAGATATTTGCGCTTTTCTTCGTCGCGCATCGAAAACAGGTGGTCTTCACCTGGCGTCGTCCTCCCAACCGCGTACCACTCACCCTTGACGTATTTACTCCGAGCGCCCGCAATTTTTCTGAGGGTGTCGCCGTCGCTGAACATGACAGTATTAGGCCCGATACGAACCAAAGGGCCTTTTCGCGGGTTAGTCGCGTGTCGTCAACCAGGGCAAAAAACCTTGGTTTTCATACCGTATTTCTCATGAAGCTCCATGTAGTATTCGTGGACTGATCCATTTAGCGCGGCACGCGCCATCGAGAAGCCTGTGATTCCATGCCAAAAAGGACCTGGGACGTGTGAAAGGCGATACCATGAGTACAGCTCTCGGACCAGGAGGCCGACAACTACCGCGATGGCGAAGACGAAGAATGCAGCCATCTTGAAGGTCAGAGATACTGAAGGCACATGAAAGACGAGACAGAACGCGGTTGATGAAAGAGCGAAGAGAGATTGCTGGGAGAGAAATGACGGGGGTTGAAGTCTTAGCCGTTCGAGCTAGTGCCATGGGCGAGCCATACGGAGCTCGATGCCGCTTTCGGTGCAACCCAAAACTCCAGAGCACCGAGTGTCACATTCGCCCTTGGATTGCTCAAGTGACGGCTGTTTCTAGGTGTCTGGCTGACTAACATGAGACTTGCGACGGAACCACGCGACCTGCCCGCGAGCCCAAGCTAAATCCGGCATAGTCTGCCATTTAACGCAACATACTACTCCTACTTTCGAGTTCATCACATTTCATCTGCTGATAGTGTGGAAGTCCTTTGACCGTTTTGTCCTATTGTCGCCCTGTCGTTTTTGTAGCTATTTCTGCGCACAAAGTAGCAAAATTTTATGTGGAACGAGACTTCGCGACGACTTTGTTTCCATGCAGGGTTCTTCCAGTGACCCAAACCTGCACACAACCATTCAGCCAATTAGAGATGGCCGAGAATGCTCAGGTAGCCGCAATCGTTACCGGATTGCTTGCGTGGCTGCTTGCTCGTCTTCCACTTGATCACCGTATTGACCGTACTTCTCCCCCTTGCGCCAGCCAGTCAACACAGAATCTTCTAGGTCACTTTTGCTTCGGTTTTTGAAGAGGAAATCGAAAGTCCCAGACGATTCCTCAGAGTCTGATGGTTGTGGAAACTTGCGGCAGCCATGACGGTGATAAAGGTAGAAATCGTTTTTGATTTCGTCTGCGCTGTAAGAACATCCGCAGAAGAACACTACTCGCATTTTGATGACATGAGTTGCTTTTAGTGGTGCTACATCGGCAAGCGAAAGCTAGACAGAGCCATCGCCCTTTACCAGAAAACGTATCCTGGTGGCAAGAACGATGTGTTTGCCATCACCTGGCGACCGTACTACTTGAACTATAACCCGTCATCCAAGAGCGTTTACAAGAGCCACTTAGCTGAGACCAAGTTGAGCGACATGAGCCCCGAACGTCGCGCTGCCCTGGAACAGCGCATGGAGCAGGTCGGTCGTTTCGTTGGCATCAACTTCAAGTGGGAAGGCAAGATCGGGCCCGACACCCGTGACGCGCATTGCCTAGTACGTATTGGGTGTGCTAAAAGCCCCGAAGTTGGGGATACAATAGTCGAGAAGCTTTTTGAAGCGTACCATGAGCTAGAAAGAGACATTTCTGAAAGAGAAGTGCTCCGCGATATAGCAATGGGAGCTGGCCTTGATGTCACGGAATTTAACAGAGTTTTCGATTCAGAGGCGAGTCTGAATGAAGTAGACGAGGATGAGAAGAGAGGTCGGGAGGTTTCTAGGGGCGCCGGAGTCCCAATGTTTATCGTTCAGGGTGTTTATCGAATCGAAGGTGCGCAGGATACATCGGACTTTTATGAAGCGTTTGTTCAGGTGAAGGAAACTGAATCATCAACGTCGTAGATGGATAGAACGTCTGATTCGAGCCTAAAGAATGAGTCGCGAGACTACACGTGTGAAATATATCATTGGAAATCCTTATTAGTCGGCAATATCTATGTACTCCCACGAGTTCTATGAAATACCGATAGTCTACTATACTCTTGTTGTTTCTTGCTGTATCGTTCGCAGTCATCTCGTTACTTTTTGCTTTTGTCATTTGCACTCTTTTTAGAGCTATCAAATCTGGGTTTTAGACTTTTACTGCATAGACCTCATGGTTTGTTCAAAACTTTTGTGCTCGGTTCCTTGTTTTGTGTTATGAATTTTCTGATGAACAAAAACTGCTTCTTGAGTTTCTAATGAGATATCGTACACTTTTTCCAATTTTCTTTCCAGCGATGTAAGTTGTATGATTCACAACTAAACACGATGTCGGATTAAAGTAAACCGTTATACATCTTTGGTGTTTACTAAGTAACTAGTGGGTACTCATTGGAATCGCTGTCGAGATAATAGAAGAGAACAACAGACACCTAGCACCGCTGCATCGCTCCTAAGTGATCTTGACCCTCACCCCTCTTGTGCTCACCGGCACAGGCACGGCCAAGTCATGGTCGTACTCAATCTCTCGCTTGGTTGTATCGTACAACTGCATACGCGGGACGACTCTGAGAACAATGGCTGCCAGTGCCAGATGCAATTCGGCGTAGGCCAACCTACACCAGCGTTAGTGATTTCCAACCACGATCCCGTAGAAGAAAAGAAGGCACTCACGACATTCCAAGACACTTCCGAGTCCCCTTGGAAAACGAAATGAAAGCCTTGTCCAGCTCCCTCCTCTGCTGACGATCCTCGGTCATCCACCGCTCGGGAATAAACTCGTTGGAATTCGGAAAGTAACTCTCATTGAAGTGGTTGACCATGGCACTCATCCCAACCGCATATCCACGGGGAATGAAGTAATTCAACTCCACCTCGGTCTTGGACCCCTTCGGCGTCCACTTGCCACGGTAAACCAGGTCCTCTTCGGTGGCAACCCTCGAGGTCCTAGACGCAACGCCTGGAGCCAGTCGCAGGCCTTCAGAAATAACCGCACTAAAATACGGCAGCACCTCTAACGTCGGCCAGCTGGGAAGATGCTCTGGGTCTGTGACGACGGTACGAAGCTCCTGCGTTAGCTTTTCCAGGATACCGGGTTTGGTGAGCAGGTAGAAGGTGATAACGGTAAGCGTAAAACTAGTCGTCTCAGTGCCGGCGATCATGACGACGCCGCCCTCAGCCGACAGGCGCTTAGTCGTCTTCTCCTCGGGCGGGAGGTCGGAGTCGAAGAGCTCGGCGAAGACGTTGGTGCCTTTGCCGTCGACATATCCCACACGCTTTCGCTCTCTGGCCTGTTCCACGTGCCTGGGGATGACCGTCTGGGTTCGTTTCGTTAGCTGACATGCCTCAAAGTTTTTCTTATGGGATGGAGTTGATTGACGGATCATGCTATGGTCCTTACGTTGAATGTGTCGATGAGCATCGCCGTATCTTTAGGCAGATAGTCCTTGAACCTGCATAATTGTTCGTCAGCAATGCGCCTTCATCTAAAGGAGTCTACTTGACTGACCAAGGTCCCACAAGCAAGATACCCTTGAGCCACGGGAAGAACTTGAAAACGAACATGTGGTTCAATTGCCCGTACACCGCCTCGCGGAAGTTTGGCGTCCAATCCTCCTGACTCAGAAACCCAAAAGCCTCACCAAAGCAGTAGTCCGACACGACGTCCGAAGTGAAGCAGCTGTACGCCTCCGTCAGAGGAACAACCTTATCAGGATCACCGGCTCCGGCAAGGAGCTTGTCGCAAAGCCGCTGGGCCAGGGCGTGGACTTTGGGCTCCAGCTTGAACATCTGGTTTCGTGAGAAGAACTTGTTCATGGCTCCACGGCGCCTGCGGTGGAGGTCGTGGTCTACAGTGCCAGCGATGCCTAAAGCTTGGCTAAGGACGGCGTCAGCGGACGATTAGCGGAATAGAAAGGGTGGAAGATGGAATGGCATACGCGGCCGGTAGGTTCTTGAGCTGGAACGCGTGTTTGTCGCGCTTCCTCCCATTGATGGCGTAGATTTCGTCAGTGAAGTTGGGATCGCTGCAATGCAACTCGTCAGGGTTGATGCGCACGATCGGTCCTTGGTTAGAATCAGCCGTGTGTCGGTCTTCTCTTTGCGCAGAGGGGATCGCAAACCGTAGACCTCATGCATCCGTCTAATCTCAAGAGTGTAGCGACCCTTTTTCACAAAGTCGAACCAGAACTCGTATAGATAAGATGCGGCCGCCAGCGTTGGGCCCGGGATCTTGCTGAGAGGATGGAGCGGAGACGCATTGTAGAGCGCACGCATGAATTGATATACAATCCACGCGACAACGAGGGCGCTGACGGTTCGCCAGGACAAGACGCTCACGGGAGCGACAACTTCGGCCACGGAACCCATACCGAGCGTAAGCAGAGTAGAATTATGAGCGAGCAGGCGCTCTCTGGAAACAGGGGATGCCGCTCACATAACATATCTTTTAAATGTTGACCGGAACCCCCACTCCGCGAGAGTCCTTCTGATGTAAGCCGTGCCTGTAAGCGCGACTAAACAAAGGTTGCGGCCCGGGACGTGAGGCGGAGACGTCCTGTTCCAGGTTTAGACCGGTGGGGGTATCTCCCAGAGCTGGGCACGATTTTGGGTATACTGGCCGTCAATGACGACAGCTGGATTGGGGATAATAATATTTACCTAGTAGAGAGTGGTCTGAAAATGTAGATGCAGCCGCTGCGGCACGCTCAGCGGCATGATGTGCGTGGCTCAATCGGGCAAGTGAGCGTCCATTATGAGTGCGGGAAGACGAATGATTCGTCTGAATGTGTCTTGGGTGGTTGCGCTCTTCACTAAACAAGGCGAGCGACAGGAAAAAGAAACGGGAATAAGAAATGGTGTATGTGCAATTGTCAGGCTGTCTCCCAAAGGGGTCTTATCACGTTTTTCTGGAACTGTAGGGTGACAATGATGAAACAGGATTGCAAGATGACCAGGTGCAATGAGATAAGTTGTTTTATGAATGGTCGGAAGGGGTCGATAGTGTGTAGAACTACTGTTTCCTTGACAGGCAGCCTTGTCACTTTGTCGTAAGTTGACTCATGAGGCCTGAGAGTGACCACCATGCGCTGTCAGCTTCATCGTTTTTTAGACTGTTTCGTCGGTATTCCCATCTGCTGGCAATTTGCTCCATAACTGGCCAAGCCCAGTCTGTTAGCATCGATGTGTTGTAAAGTATCAGATATATTTGAAGTGACAAATTAATATTGGTTACTTGAGCTAGGATATCCCTTTGATTAGGGGTGAACTTGTGCCCTGGTCTGGTGGTTCGATTTTCCATGCCCAGCATCGTGTTGCGAATGTCACTGATAACTAACGTCTTGTATGGAGACCGGTTGAAGCGAGATGAAGGTTCAAAGACTCGCAAGATCTGATAGGGACCAGGTAGACAACAAATCGATTGAGAGACACTTGCGTTTTTAAATGATTCCAATATGCCACAACATAGTTACCTCGCGCCAAGAAGTTGCCCTATGGAGGACAGGTTATCTCAAGATGGCTTATTCCTACGACTTATGGATGTGACTTTCCCTTTTTCAAGGTACGGTTGGGTTGATGTAAGTACACGTAGACAGCCAACACACGGGTTGCGTAAAGAACTTGTGGCTTCCATTGCTTCACAGCTGCCATTGATTAATGCAGTAAGTCTTTGTGTCATGTTCGGTTCCTCGCCGCATTTTGAGAAGCCCACGTGTCTAGGAACCAACAGCAATGTCCCTCTGAGCTGGACATGAATGGTCCCTCGCAACCAGGTACGGCGCGTCTTCGAGACAAGTTGTGAGTGAAGAGATGTTCCTCGGAGTGGTCGAGTGCGTTCATTGATTCGACTGATTGAACTGTGGCGTAAAACTCCAACCTGCTTACTAGAGAATAAAGGGACGAGGATATTGATACCCATCACGTGAGTAATTGAGGAATTGCTGCTCCAGCAATACCCTGTTGATTTCCGTGGAACCTAAGTCGCGATAACTCATTGATATTTCTATGGATATGGACGGTTAGCTTTGCAGTTTTAGGATTAACCTTGGGTTTATCAAGTTGTTGCAACCCAAATCCCGTGAAGCTCACGATCTGCGAAATGCCTTTATGGTCAAGACCCGGATGCTTCCTATCAGCTATACTATGGAAAAAGTATCTGTCTCATCAAAGGCGGCGTCTCTTGGAACAGTATTGGTTGGCGACGACGTTAGATGTGTTTTCATCGCTTATAAACACTGATACTCCTGCTGTAGTAGATTTGACGTTCAACTCCAGTACCAGGGTCCAGGTCCTGAGCAATGACCACAGAACAGTCAATGCAGTGAAGTGGAGTGTTGTTAGCTCTAAACTTGACATTTATTTCCGAAGCCTACCAAGCCTATGTTTACTGTAACATAACATCATGGATGGCAGGCAACATGTTGTGATGTTACAGCTGTTCATGACATAGGCTCCAGGGTACGTCTCAAGCAACTGGCCCAGCACTAATCACGTCTCTGAATCCAAGGAACAAAGATTGGATGCGTATTCCTTGTGACATTAAACGAGTCGTTTTACCCACTTTCTGCTCCATCCATCTATTTCACGTCGTATTACGCTATTGGTCACACATACGGTTCGCTGCCAATGGCCGAACGCTGAAGTGATGGTTCTCGCATCCAGAGTAGTCCGAGAAGATGGGGAGATGGGCTGCATAACCATCACACGGCGTCCAACTGCCTATCCGCCCACCGGTTCCAAGAAATTGGCAGCGAGGCACTCTGATAAGCTGTGGTCCAAGGTGTGTGCTCACTGCATAATCAGGCAGGCAGGTCTCCACGTGTAGACGTCCCTCGGATTTGCAGCCAATTACCTGCGGCGACGATCCACCAGCTGCGCTGCGCTGTAGTGTAAGGCACAAGTAAAAGAGGGGCACGCCAGCAGTGAACGAGCTGGTGGGTTCGCCTCTGTGTCTCTAGGTTGTCAGGAGTCAGTCACCCGCTGTTCTGGTTCAAACATATCAAAACATTTCCAGACGGCGGGAGCGCGCTAGCAAAGACAAGCATTGTGGCGTCTGTGCAGAGAAACACAAAGCGGTTCTTTATGTTTGGTGGTTAGTAGCGTCGAGAGCATTGAGACACATTGGTGCCAGTGTACCTGCTGCGCACGAGAGGCGGCGGACTTTTACGAGGTTGTGTCTCTACTGCCTTGCCGAACTCCGTGCCATTCGGCCTGTGATGCGACCATTATGTTTGTTGGTGCTTGTTGGTTTTCAGTAAAGGGAGGCAGCCTTGAAGCCGAGGAAGGGGATGCATATGGGAGATGAGGCTGGTGAGATGTGTGGTCTGATGAGAAGACGATCACTCTTCCTCCCGACGATCGTTCCTTTCTAGAAAACGGAGAAAATGGGAGTAATTCTTCCGTCCCGCCTCTGAAGAGGGGGCGATTCGGCTTGTTCACCGTACGGTGAAGGACGCGCGACCCCAAGCACGAATCGATGGTTTCCTGCCGGCCAGGACTGACAAGCTCTTGGCGGTCGGTGGGGAGATGAAGCGTGCAATCTGGACGGGTTTGGATGTCGCCCAGGCTAAAGATGGCTGGCAGTACAGTCGACAAACGGAAAGGTGGCGAGACAACATAGGATCAATGAGACAGTAACCCCCGATCAAGGGCATCGCGATGGAAGAGGACGCGGACAACGAGGGGACCGGCATACGCAAACCGAGACAGTATAAGGTGATAGTGGCAGATAGATGGAGAGACGATGGTAGATAGTACGAACAAAAGCAAATGGCGGCAACAGGAGGCAGAAAAGGTGCGAGGTGACGTCTCGGGGGTTCCGTACGACAGCGCCAGTGGGCTGTTGTCGGCCTGCGGTGGAATCGGAAGTGTGATGTTCTCAAGAGAGAGCAGAGGACTGCGGGTGCATGGCAACGTGCATGGTGGCGTTTTGGCTAGGGAGTAGCGGCATGTTTGGCCCGATCTGTTCCTGGATTCCTTCTGCTGGGTCGCCTGGCTCTAAGCTACGAAGGGCTTAGAGGAGTCGGTGGTGTTCTTTGCAGCCTGAAACCTCTGGAACCTCGGGGTTCTTGGTGCGTTCAGCTGGATGGTGTGCCGTTCCTTGACTCGGAAGAGGAGAGGCCGACAAGTCAAATTACTCAGGAGCGTTGCATGTTCGACAGCGTCACCGTCTGCCTCTGTCTCTGCTGGACACGAAAAGTCTCTGATTCGTGACGCTATGGTTGGACCAGGCAAGGGAGGCCCCGCAGGGTATAGGGAGGACGCTATTTAAAGGGGGCAAGCCCGATGCATGCTGTCGCCATCAGGCGTACCTTGACTGCAAGACGCGCAGCAGGTGGCCTGGCGTCATGTGCCGGTACTGTCTCTTGGGACCCGGCTTGGCAAACCGTTGGTGATTGAGGCGAATGGAACACGCTGTATCCGTGAAGGGAACCGGGACTCAGATTCCCCCTTTCCGGGCGGTCGTTACCGGTTCTTGGGGATTTCTTTAGGGACCCTGCGTCGAGGGATAAGGATCAATGGAACTGGAAGGAAACAAAAAAACGAAGAAAAAAGACCTACCAGTGCCGAGAGTGAGAGTGAGAGAAGGTGGGATGTGTGACAGTACACGAGTGGGTTCGATGAGGAAGCGTCATTTGGATGGAATCACGGTACGATCCGGGGATTGTAGAATTGTCGACGTCTTACGTAACATTACCTTTATCGCCAGGAACGGACCAGTTTCGCCCGATGACAGTGGACATTTCGAGAAGTGATGGACGGCAGGGACGAAAAAAGAACAGGAACAACGACGGGTAGGAACCACTCTGACGGACGGCCGAGAATGAAGCAGATTGGAAAGAGCATTGAAGGAAAGGAAGGACCACTGAAGGCGCCCGCGGGTGAGTGGCAGGCAGGCAAGCAGGCTCCAGCAGAAAAGGACGGGTGGAGATGGGATGGCGGGGCGGTCGGGCTCATCGGCGAATAAACCGAGCCACTCTCGCAGCGCACATGTGTGGCGGTGTGGAGAAGCTCATTTAACCGTATCTGCTCAGGGCCCCACCCGCTCCTCTTCTGGCTCTTTCTCCTTCGGGAAAGTCGTCCAGAAAAAAACATGTCGAGGACATCCAAGATGCCGCTGCGCCCAGGGCCAAACATTGGGACGGACGGAAGAGGGTGGGAGATTCCTGTCAGAATCCCATCATGCACCCGCGCGCACTATTGTTTATCGCCAAACCCCTCGCGCCGCGTACCCGACTCGTCTCGACCAACTGCAGTTAGTGCTGTGCCTCCCGTGTCGCCTGGCGCCGCGGTCGACGCCTCTTCATGGCACCGCGCGAGCCCTTGCCGAGTCTTCCATAGGCACCGATTCGCCTTCCCATGGGCCATCCCAATCCAGGTCGCTCCGAAGCCAAAATCCCCATCCCTTCGGCCATCCGAATGTTCGTAGAGTTCGACGAGTTCGGGCCACCCTTGGCCAGGCTGGGCGTAGTGTGCCCCAAAACGCCGGACGGCGTGGCGTTGGCAGCCCGCAGACGTCCGACGATCGCCAATAGACGAACCTCCCATGTCACCCTGCGCTGCACCACCGGCACCAACACAAACACCAGGACCAGCCAACGCCAGCCGTTCCCGACAGCCGCTGCCGTTACATCCATGCCGCATGCTTTTTGGTGTTACCTTCTAGTGCCGAAGCCATCCTGCTCCAAGCCATCTCCATGCTATGAAATGTATGCCAGCCAGCCAACACGGAACCAGTGCGATCGTCAGGGGAGGAGAGGGGGTTTCTGCCAGTCGTCGCCTACCTATCTCGCGCCTGCGAACCAGACGGGACGGGACTTTGGGATCAACCGACCAAGAACGGGCAAACGCAATGGCGACAAGAGAATTGGCACAGGGCCAAGCCAATGATAAGATTGCTCGAGGCCAGCCTCGAACCCGGTCCATCTCCCAAGAGACCTCCTGTTGTCCCCCGACCCCGGCCTCGCTTGTCGAACGCATCCACGCACCTTGCATCCCGAGCCTTTCTAGGCTTGCCAATCGCCCTGCAGCCTGTTGACAAGACACGGTTTCACTGGTCAGATCCGAGCTTCCGTCTCCATCCACCGACCTGAACGTCCGGGGTCGTTTAGGCGTGTCCGCTAGCCTTCAAGGACGGGCCGGGATGGGATGCAATCGTGGATGGGTGGGCGCTGGACGTGCACTGCTGATGCCACGCCAATGACCATGGGTTGGCCCTGCATTGGTCCCACGCTTCTCGTACCTTACGGCCCGTGGGCTGTGCTCGGCGGCGTCGCTGCCAAAGATGCAAAGGATCCGATTTAGTGATAATATCGAGAGCTGCCCGCCTGTCTTCCCGGCTCGTGGAGAATTGCTCTCCCCATCCCCTCTCCGCCAGTCTGGGCTTCCTTCGTTTAGAGCCAAAACCACAACTTCACACGGCCATCCGCCCGTGAAGACAAGCCATTCGCAATGGCTTTCAAGACGTGGTTGTTGACGGCCCTCGTTGGTCTTGCCAACGGCCTGGCCTCAACCGACACCATCACTTGGGGAGGCGACAATTCGCGAGCCGGGTACCAGACGTAAGTTGCGCGATCCATTCATTAGCCATCACTCTCACCTCATACTCCGTCTCTCCCCCGGTGCCGATCGTTGTCTCGTCGCAATGGCACCGCTCCGCTCGGCGGGGAATCAATCAATCTTGGAGAACAGCAACTGACGCGACACCGCAACATGAAGAAACCACAACATGGACCCCTCCGTCGTGGGGAGCTCCCAGTTCGGCCAGCTCTTCCGCACGCTTCTCCCGGGTAGATACGGCAACGTCCCCGAGCAGATCTTCTCTCAGCCACTCGTTTACACGCCCGACGGCGACGACACTCAATACGTCTACGTCGCGACAACACAGAATAATGTCTATAAACTTAATGCAAAGACGGGTGCCATTGTCGCATCCCGCAACCTCCACCTTCCTTTCCTTACCGCCGACCTGTCCGGCTGCTACGATATCCAGCCTCACGTTGGAGTTACTGCTACCGGAGTCATCGATCCTTCCACCAACACTCTTTACCTCACGGCCAAGACGTATGCCGACCAGACCCAGCCGAACGTGGCCCAAGGCCGACCTGCTGGACGCTACTACATCCATGCACTGGATGTGAACGACCTCAGCGATCGTCCTAATTTCCCCGTCGACCTGGAGGGCACCGTCGCGAGGAACAACCCGATCCGATCCTTCAACGGAGGCATCCACCACCAACGGCCTGCTCTGCTCCATGTTGGCAACTACGTGTACGCCGGCTTTGCTTCTCACTGTGTGCAGTACAACTTCACTGGCTGGGTCATCGGTTGGGACAAGACGACGGGCAACATCGTCGAGCGCTTCGCTACCCAGGGTGACGGCGTTCCCGCTAATATCGAGGGCGCGGGCATCTGGATGTCAGGTGGCGGCCTGTCTTCTGACGATGCCGGCTCCATGTTCTACGCCACCGGTAATGGCTACGCCTCCCAGCTCAGCACCATCCCCGTCAATGGCCGCGAGCCCCCGTCCGCCCTGGAAGAGGCTGCTGTCCACATGACCATCAACGAAGACGGCAGTTTATCTCTAGTAGACTTTTTCATGCCCTGGGAGAAGCAAGCTTTGGACGGCGCCGACAAAGATTTGGGAACCAGTCCTCTACAGATTCTACCGAGCACCTTCTCCTGCGGCGACGTTCGCCGTATTGGTGTGGTGACCGGAAAGAGCGGCAAGACCTACTGGCTCAACCTCGATGACTTGGGCGGCTACCGTAATGGCGCCAATGGCCTGGATAATGTAATTCAGGTTTACCAGAACGAGAACTCTGTGTACGCCGGCGCAGGCGTATACCCCGGCGAGGGTGGTTACATCTACATCAATGGTGAGAAACGAGATCCATCAGCTCTTCCAAAACAATCACTAACCTTCAAAAGTCATCCAGTATCCCACCCACGTCTTCAAATTCTCCTGCGATGCTGGAGTACCCTCCTTCACCAAGGTCGCCGACAGCCCGATGAACAACGCCTACATCCTCGGTGTTAGTCACGGCACCGTCACGACCCTCAATGGCCAACCCGGCACCGGCCTTCTCTGGACCACTGATGTCCAAGGCTCGCAACTCAAGATCTTCGAGGCCGTTCCCAAGGACGGCTACCTGAATCTGATCAACTCTTTTAGCGTCCCAGCCACCACCAAGTTCACGAGAGCCGTCTTCGGAGATGGTATCATGTACCAAGGCACGACTCAGGGCTACATTTACGCTTTCGGTTCGCCCGTCACGACTCCCGTCAACTGCACCTCTGCCAATGAGTTTGGCACCGTCGACATTGGTTCGGAGAGTCAGCCACGCACCATCACCTGCACCGCCGTGATTGGTGTCACTGTTGGTGACGTCGGTTTGGATGCAACTGAAGGCTTTACACTCTCCGAGGTCCCCACGCTTCCTCTGACGTTGGCCGTCGGCCAAAAGTTCACCGTTAGCGCCGTGTTCAAGCCAACTACTGTTGGCCTGGTTTCTTCCGACATCATCGTCAATACTACCAACACCGTCGCGGGCTACAGCCAGGGCACTCACGTCAGACTGACTGGTACTGGTGAAAGCGCCGACCCCTTGCTGTCCGTCACGCCTCCCACAATCACTTTCCAGGGCGTCATTGCTGGGCAAGGAGGTGGCACCGATGAGAGTGTCATCTTGTCGAACCAGGGTAACTCGGCGTTGTCCATCACCGATGTCCAATTCTCCACGACCAGCGCCGAGGGCCCTTTCACTAGCTGGGACAAATCAACAGGCAGTCTCACTGTCGGCAAGTTTACCCTTACCAATGTTCCCACTACAATTCCTGCCAACACGGCCGTCACTATTCGCATTGCTTTCGACTCTTCAACCAGCGGCACTTTCGGGGCTTATCTTAAGGTTGCCTCCGACGGTGGAACCCAGGCCTTCACCATTGCAGGTTCTGCAGGTCCTGCTCCTGTGGCTCTTGTCGAATTCCAAACACCAGATGGCACTGGGTGGGTCGAGTATGATGCAAACAATAACTTCACCTTTGGCAACGTCACCGAGAACAGCTCCAGAGCTCTCAAGTTCCGCATCACAAACAATGGCGGCGAGGGCGCTGTCAAGCTTTCCCTCACCGTCTCGAAGCCGCCCTTTGGCATCTCTGGTATCATACAGGCTGCCAACCTGGTGGATCTTGCGGAGGGCACAGTTCTTGGCCCCGGCGAGAGCGCTACTGCCACCATGATCTGCACGGTGCCCAAGACTCAATGGAACACCGACCCCTACACTGGTGTTGCGCCTTGGACAATGAACACCAACGACCCCAACTTCGACAAGCATTTCTTCAACTTTGAGTGCACTGCCGTTGCCGAGCAAGCGCCCCCTCTTCTGCCCAACGGCCAAGGCAAATTGCGCTACATCGGCTGCTATAGGGAGAACAACCCAGGTCGTCAGCTCTCGAACCAGTTGTACGGTAACGCCGCAAACACGAACGCCATGTGTATCGCTGCTTGCGCAGAGAAGGGCTACGTTTTCTGTGGCACGCAGTACCACACTGAGTGCTGGGGTGGCCCGACGATTCCCGTCGAAAAGGTTGATGACCGCAACTGCAACTTCGATTGTGGTGGCGATCTCAACCAGATTTGCGGTGGTAACGGGTTTGGTGAGAATGAGGGCACTGGCGCTTATATCTCGGTTTTTGCCGACTCGGTACAATGGGATGGGAACACCACCACGCCTGCTCCGAGCCCCGACCCGGCGGGTCCTGAAGTCAACCCTGGCGTTGGACAATATGTGAGCCAGGGATGTTACACCGAGGGTACCAACGAGCGCGCGTTGCCCTATCTCATTGCAACCGAGGAGAAGACTGTCAGCCAGTGTATTGGGGTCTGTTCTGCAGGCAGATACACGTACGCCGGATTGGAGTACGGCGGAGAGGTAAGCAGCTTGGTGACATTCTGTCTTTGACAAGAAAGAGCTAACTTTATCCTAGTGTTGGTGTGGAAACGTCCTCGCGAACACCTCTATTTCTGCCAAGGCCGCTGAATGCAGCATGCCATGTGCAGACAACAGCACTGAGTACTGTGGTGGATCATCCAGACTCAACCTGTACAAGCTTGAAGGCGACCTGCCCGCGACAACCTCCAGCAGCGCCGTCCCGACCGGCACTGAGACCTCGACTGCTCCCACCGCCACCGTTCCTCCCACGAACGAACGAGTTGGTGACTGGCTCTCACATGGCTGCTATACTGAAGGTGAGGGCGTCCGCGCTCTGCCGGCCCGCATGTATGCCAACGACTCCTTGACTCTTGAGGTGTGCGGTGCTTTCTGTCAGGGTACCAAGTACTTTGGCACGGAATACGGCCGCGAGTGCTGGTGTGGCGACGAATTTGGCACTGGAAGCATCCTCGCCGTGAACCAGAAAGACTGTTCCTTCCCTTGCGGTGGCGACAGCACGCAGTTCTGTGGTGGTAGTAACAGACTGAATGTCTACATGTACTCGCCCGAGGAAGCCAGCGCGGACTTGAAGTCTTCAACAGCGGCTGCTACCACAACGACTTTCTCGTCGTTGGTGGTCCCCACTAATGGAACCGCAACCGCAACCGCCGCCGCTACAACCAGTGAGACTCTGTCTGAGAATACCGGTTCACAAACTGCGGTCACTGTGAGCCGCACGGTAGAAGTATCTACAACTGCCTCCTTTACACCATCAAACTCTACCATCACTAACGGCTTCGTAACTGCGGAGGCTGCAACATCCACTCTTTCCGCGAGCAACTCCACCACCTCTTCGACGGTAGAGTCTGTAAGCAGTTCATCCACTCTTTCTGCTGCGAGCCTATCGGCTACTTCATCAACTGCCGCCTCGCCATCATCCAGCGTCCTTTCCGCTACTACTTCCTCTGCAGCCACCACTACATCGGCCCCAGCCACTTCCACCTCCACGACCACCACTTCCTCTTCGTCTGCTACCTCCACGCCGACCGGTCCCGTCATTTCGCCCGGCAATGAAAACTTTACTTACTACGGCTGCTTCTCCGAGCCTGAAGTTGGCCGTCTCCTCCCGACCCAGATTATCAACCAGGTCAACATGACCATCGACATGTGTCTGAGCGCCTGCTACGATAAGAACTACGCGGGTGTCGAGTATGGCCGTGAGTGTTGGTGCGGCAACTCGTTGAACCTGGGCGGCGCCGACGAGAGCAAGCCGGCGGCCAATGTGACGGGCACCGAGTGCTCCTTCACATGCCCCGGGAACAGCACCGAATTCTGCGGTGCCGGCGTACGGTTGAGTCTGTACATACTTACCGAGGAGCTTGAGCGGCTGGAAAAGTCGAACGCAACGGTTGCGTTGAAGTACTGAGCAAAAATGGAGTAAAACACGTCTCTTCTTACGTATCTATAGGGGACTAGGGTCACGAGGCTGCACGGATACGGATGAAGCCTCTTCCAATATATACAATTTGATACCTATTTGACTAAACCGGTTCTACCGTCAAGTTTTTTGTGAATGTCAAGACTGTCTTATATGAGGCGACGTCGCCGGGGGCGCGGTCTGCTTTGGCGACAACATCAGTTCAATTTTGAATTGTTCTGATCACCTTGTCGTACGTGAATGCTTGGTTTTGATGATCTGGGACTTGTCCGCTGATCCTTTCGGCCGCGTCGCTAGAGGGAAGAAAGCGGGCTGCAAGTAGGCTGGGTGTGAGATGCTCCAGATCGTAACGTCGGGTTCTTGAACGCTGTATGATTGATGGAAATTAGTCGATGTTTCGAAGGATTTTGGAGCTTCTTTCCGCCTACGCACTGCGCGGCGTAATGCTTGTCGAATACTTGCTGACCACCCGTGGCGTCACCCCGCACGCATCGTCACCAGCAACGTGGTTCGCGAACAAGACGCGCGTATGCGGCGTGCGTAAGAAGCATAGAATGTGTCCAAACAAGATGGGTTAGGCCTTGGCGCGGAGATCGTGCAGCGCATAAGGGTTGAGCGTAGTTTCTTAAACCCTCCGTACTGTCAATTCCAACAAATGCCAGGAACTCTAAGCTCGAGAGAATAATCAGGTGATAAATTCCAAATCAAATCCATCATGTCCTTCGAAAAGCTCGCAGACATTTTCGCGCGGCAGACCGACCCGCCATCCACACCCGGAGAGTTCCTTTTGGCTCTCGGCACACCATCCGTCTCTATCGCCGTCCTGGACAAGGGCAGCATCGAAGCGAGATGCTTCTCGACCGTTGGCGACAATGAAGCGACTCTTTTCCAGGCCGCCAGTATCTCCAAGCCTATCGCTGGCACCGCCGTCATGAGACTCGTCAGTCAGGGCAGGCTGTCCCTGGACGACAAGCTCCTCCACGTCCTCCCCGACGAGCTGTTCAAGAACTTGGGACCGCCCGAGATCCTGCGACAGATCACCCTTCGCCACCTCCTCAGTCACACAGCCGGGTTCCGTACCTCGAGCTACACAGGCTACGCCGAGAACATGCCCTCGGCGCTGGACACACTCCTCGACAGGAACGGTGGCCACAACCTCCCCGAGAAGCTCACCACGTTTCCGGGACAGCAGTTCGCCTACTGCGGAGGCAACTTTGCTATGCTGCAACTCATCTTGGAGAAGGTCTTTGAGAGGCCTTTCACAGAGCTCGTTAGGGAGCAAGTGTTTGATCCCCTCGGAATGTTGAGCTCGAGCTATGCGATGCCGGAACATGACGATGAGGGCAACTACGCGAGGTCTTGGTGGACGGGTAAAGAGCCCCACGGCACACCATGGCACCATCATCCCGAATTCGCATCCGGCGGGGTATGGACCACTCCGGCCGACCTGCTCAGACTCATACACGCCGTGCAGAAATCCCTTGGTCCAGACACCCCAGAGACAGAGAGATTCATTCCTCGGGAGCTAGCCAAGGAGATGCTGACCGAAGTCAAGGGCGGCATGGCTCTGTCGTGGATGGTGTCGCGGAAGAAGGGTCACGCTTTCGGACACTGGGGCGGGAATAACCCGTCGTTCCGCTGCTACGCTGTTGGGTTCGCAGACACCACCGGCACTGTCGGCGATAGAGACCTCGAAGACGGGTGCGGAGTCGCCGTCATGACAAACGGGTGGGAGGGACAGCACGCGTGCGCAAAGGTTGTGCACGCGGTCGCGCACCTCAAAGGTTGGCCGCACATTGGGACGCTAGAGAATGTGCAAGAACTCGCCGTCCCCATCAAGGATTCCTCCCAACAAGTTGACGAGAGGTGGGAAGAGTGGATCGGCGAGTGGTCGAACGGCTGGAAGATTGAAAAGGACAACAACGGCGCACCGAGGGCGAGGTTTGGGGACCTGGAAGCATTGGCGCTTGTTCCGGCTGCGCTCCCGGCGGAGCGCGGGGAGAACGGTCCCTCGATTGACTTTCTGGTCGGAGATCTGTCCGTCATGCTGCGGCTTCATGGGCCCAAAGAGGCGCGGACTGTCGAGATATGGAACGGGCTGACATTTCGGGCGGACGTGTTGGAGAGAGTGTAAGAAGGTCCACGTCTTGATAGGGATGGATTTCGAATTTCAATACCACTGATTTGCAGTTCGTGCTTCTACCTCCATTGCCCGGAACGATAGACGTACAGGACGATGTAATGTATGGTAATCATTCACAAAGCTGGTATCCGTTGCTACCCGTGTTGAGCTTCTCTCTGCGGTTATCCTAACCACCACTAGGCCCATATGGATATAGGATGCAAAGGCTGTCAGATGAGTTTGCCTTTAGAACAGTTTGTGAATGATAGAGTTTTGCTATAAAAGCTGTGCCAAATGACAATTCAGGAGGATGATACAGGAGAACGCGTCTCGATGGTGTCCTTATCTTCGCCACTATCTGTTTACTGCGCAAGCGACCTTGGCGGGCCATCTGGCCGCACCTAAGACTCATAGGGGCAGAGACCCTTCTTCTTCAGACGATATACTTCCAGCCCGCCACCCCCTCCTTCGGCTAGAGCCGTCTCTACATATCACCCCGATCGACTTCCCAGGCTCCACGCCGTCGGCAGAATGCGCGTCTTCGACATGATTGGCGGAGTCGAACGCGGCGAAGTTCCTCCAGAAGCCTTCTTCGAGCACCGGCGTCACGGCGAGGAGCAAACGCAGGACCGGACCGAGGCGAGAGCCATCAGGAAGACGTACGTGCCGGCGTACTGCCCCTCGTTGCCCGGCGTCCACGCGTCCGAGTAGAGCGGCGTCCGGACCGCCTCGAAGAACGTCATGACCATGTCGGCCATGGACATGGAAATGCTGCCGTCTGACTTGTATCCCGAGGCCGCAATGGTGGATGTTACCATTGTTACGGCTGTTGTCGTCGCATGCTCTATATCTATCGTGGACTGGAGCCACTCGCGTCTTCTATTGGAATCTGATACAAGAACATGTCAAGAATCGGCACACTAGTATCTCTAGTGACAAGCATCTGATTGAGGCTGAATAGATTATTTTACTGTCGACAAAACTATTAGATCTAGGGGTTAAGTAGGTTAACAAGATGTAGCCAGTATGACAGTAGGAAACATTTGTCCACGCAATGGCATTATAATCCCAGTAAGATTTGCCCTTCAAATAGAATCCATAAAGAACATTATAATCTTGGCATCAGTCCCTGCCAAATCAAACGTGTCAAAGTCAAACTTCGCTAACAGCCATACCGAAACCTCACCCATGCCTCTCATCCTGATAACGGAACCCCCTTCTGAATCGCAGGTGAGCTGCGCCGTGGCCGTGGTAGTGGTCGTGCCGCCCGGTCTCCACGGGCACACCCATCACAATCTTCGCGCGCTCGGCGTCCGGGTGAGCCACGGCCGACGGCCGTGACCCCCCCAAGGCCTCCGTGGGCCATGTATCCAAGTTCGTCGACGGCACAGTCGCCAGCGTTGTGCCCGCGGCTGGAATCACCACACCGCTCCCGCCAAAAGCCTTGGACTCTCTGCTGCAAGAGAGGTCCTCGCACTCTATCATCTTGACGCTGTCCCGGAGCTCCTACTCCGTGAGGCGATAGAACGAGTTGGCCCCGCGCAGCGCGAGCTCACCATCCCCAAGGATAGTCACCTCTAGGATATCGTCAGTGATTTACTCAGAGCGCATCCAAAGCCACATCCCCAGCTCAGGGAGATCTTCGCCGGGGAAGTCTCTCTGGAACTTGCGGCCCTCGCATCCTGGTACACCGCCTCCGATGGTGCGAGACGGTACCTTGGTCTCATGGCCTTGTCCGCGGCAGCGATGACGTCTGGGTCGTACCACTTGTCCTCCGTTAGGATGGCGTAGCCCGGGTCGTTGGTGGTAAAGTCCAGAGGCCAGCACGGGTTCTGGTAAAGGCCCAAATCGCTCAGCGTGTCCGGCGATTAGCAGTGGATCCCACAAGCGAATTCGGCCCTGTACGTACTCATTTTTAAGTATAAGTACGAATCCCTCCCCGTTGAAGAGCTGCTGCGTTGGTTCATCTATCTGCACAAATATATGTCCCCGCTCTCCCGCAACATGGTAGAGCCTTCATACCCGAGGAACGAGCTCGTCTCAGAGCTCACGTCTTACTATGAATTCCTGACGCAGCTCTACCTGCCCCCTGAAGTCGTCCGATACCCCCCGAGGGTGGCTGGAAGCATATCACACCCGAGTTCGTTGACTCCTTCTGCCTCGGCAAGAACGACACCGTAGCGGACCTAATGAAGCATATTCCCTACGTCCGCCGCACTAAGGAGGACGACTGGGAGCCGTGGATGGTATATGAGAGCGCCACTGCTGTCGACTTTACTGGTGACCTTGTCCTGAGCCTGCCTACTAAGTACGCTAACGAGTTCCTCTTTGAGCCTGAGGGGGGCCACATTTCGGACATCCCGCCCCATGTGTTTGTTTATGCAACTATTCCCTCTGGCCGCGACGGTCATTATATCTTTATTGACACAAAGCGCGGCACAATTGTCCTCGCAGATCCGCAGACCGGTCCAAACCCGACCAGATTATCAGATCCTGTAAGCCTCTAACAACGCAACTTAACTCCCCTCACCGGTTTATCTTAGTCTCTTTTGTCTGAACACTCTGCTGATCTCACGATATACAGGAAGCGCCGGATGAAGAAGCCTGGCGCAGGTTAGAGACCTATACGTTTCACGAGTTCTTCGCTATGGTCAAGGAAAAGTTCAGGAAGTTTGAGGTAGTTCGTGCATCTCTATGCTAAATGCTGTCATTTTTTTTAAGTACTTTATGCTAATCACGATATAGACTGCCTTGAATAGAAAACATGTACATTTACTAGCCCGAATACGCCCCAGGCGCAGATATAGCGCGAAGAGAACGTCTTCACGGAACGTTACAACAGGGAGAGGTGTATGGACAGACTGGACGAGTACCAGAAGCAGAAGGATCGGGCGAATCGGGAGGCTCGAGGAGAGAAAGAGCTGCCGATGCCTCCCCCCGAGACATACCTATGATTCAGGCGTCCCTTCGGAAACTGTATCCCGATATCAGGTTTGTTGATGACAAAAGCCTAGACATGCTGGCAAAAAGTCTTAAGTAGTGGAACGGGGCAGGGTTTCCTGTTCCTAAAAGGGTCGTCTTTGCGCTGTTTTCCCATTGTTTCTTAGCTAAGCAGGGTCTGATCAGGGGTATGGATACCTCTCAGCAGGGAGATCTCAGGTCAGATTCAAGCACACACAGATCTTCTTGATCAATCCTTTCTGTCTTTTGTGATGACCAACAACCTGATCATACCCTACACAAGAACCTTGGGAGCCTCTACTTCGTCCATCGCGTTGCGGCTAGGCTTGATCAGGTCAGGTGTGACCTGATTAAGACAGCTGATTCGTGACTGGCCGAAGGCATCTTGCGTAGCTAACTAGCTATGGTGGGTGGTTGTTGTTGTTTACCGCACCGCACCCCTCCTTATGATCCTGACAACCCTACACGCTTTCAGTAGCCATAAGAAACAAGAGATAAAACACAAAGACACGATCAATGCTACCGCTATCTGCCATCTCTTATCTTACTTAACCTGCGGCTTTTTTGTGTCCTCGAAGAACATATACTGCGTCTATAGATTTACTGTTAAATGAATGCAACTTTCTCTATCTTTTTGGCTTCAATATGTCCCCATATGGGAAGGCTTCGCACGAGCGATGTTTGCATGGTTGTTTGCTGCGTCCTTTTAGATCCTGGCTCTTGTTTAATTATAGCTTATTTTCATTCTATCTTGCTCTTGTAATGCACTATAGCATTGGTGCGTTGTATTGTTTGCAGTAGTTAGAAGTCGTTGATATTATGATAGGGCAACCCGGCTTAGTCTAAGAGACTAAGGAGACCTTAAATAGTTGCGAGATGGATTGAAGTGGAACTGATTAACTGGAGAGAGGGACCTCCTTGCGTCAGTTAAGAGGATACACTTTAACATCACAGACAACATACGCAAGTTTGCAGATTTAACTCCACGACACGCCTTTAAGTAACTGACCTACTAATCACAGCTAGACACAAAAATATCAACGACAATCATCTTCTTTATCGGCTAGGCAGGTAACTTTGAATCTGTAGTGAAAACCTCAATCTGTACTTTGAGAGTTAGAAAAGTGGTTGTCTTAGAAACTATCTGCGAGACGGGAAGTAGTCTCTTATATAGGTTGCTGAGTGTCATGAGTCGTGTGAGAAGTGGCTAACTTAGCCACCTGCGCCACTATTTCGTCTTGGAACCTAAGTTCACAATAGAATTATAAGAGTATCTCCGGCTCCATGGTCCATGCGCAATGCAAAAGTGTGTCAACACTATGACAAGAGTTATTTACTCTAAAGTCTGAGTGAATGAATTTGGCATGAAGACTTAAAAAGTTCGCACTCCCATACTCAAAAGGACTGATCGTGTGTACACCTATCCACATCTGTCACTAGGTCTTTGAAGTCAGAGTCATCTATCTCGGTCTGTTAGGACTGAAAGAATGCAGCGCATCGATTTGAAAATTATCTTTGGTTCCAGAAGCGTCTCTGGCATGGATAAAAAGCACTCGATAAATAATCCAGTCAAGAGCAGGTGTTCGGGACACCCCTACTCTGCCGGTGAAATGACGAATTACGACCTAACTTTCATATTTATGCACCTGCTCACCCTGCTCACCCAGCTTATCACACAAGTCACCCATGAAGGCAATAAAGCAGCCAGAGAGAGGTGAGCAGTATGGTGAGTTGAATGCACTTGAACCACCCAGTTAGCTACCACCTCATATTTATCCATAGACATTGATCGAGATGTGCCATCATCGAAATTCAAACCAAAAACGACTGAAATCACACTCTAGCCATCCTACGGACCAATCTACTGAGAAGAGATCGGACATTCGGTTTTTCTGGGGAGACTTTGTCTCATCACCACTGGCAAGCTCCTCCACAGTGAACGCTGCCATCGTTGGACGTGCCAGATATGGCCCAGCTCGCCGTGCCGACCAAGTTAGAGCCAATCAGTCCACCCCAGTCAACGCCCTTGTTACCCCGTGGGAAGTTGACGGTGACTCTGCAACCTAGTCCGCGAATTCCGGGAATAGCTTGGCTGTTGAAGGCAGCCTCCTCGCCTCTGCAGTTGCCAGAGTAGTTGACGAAGGTGCTATCAATAGCTGCTTTGAGGTCATCGCGGTTGACATGATCGCAGCTACCGGGATGATCAATTGTGACAGTCCACCTTTCGCAGTGGTCGCATCCCTTGCGCCAGCATCGGGTCTCGAGTGCTCCTGGGAGTGACGGGAAGGCGGAGCTTAGGCCGAAGAAGATGAGTAAGGTAGTGAAGACAAAGTCGAAAGAGTGGCTGAGCTTTGCCATTGTGATAGATTCAAGAAGTTTTTGGAATGAACTTGGAGACGACGTAGTCCTTTGGTCTGACCGATTCGATCTGTGGATTTTGATCTAAGTGAGGAAGATGGAAAAAAAACATCTTTTGTACTTCTGCATCGTCTTTCGCTGTTCTAGGTTTATATTTCGATGCTCAAGTTGACAAACACGACAACATCTACTAAGATGATCAATCTTGATACCATATCACCAGGAATGTACAACGTAGCCAACGAGAAGCAAGGAAATAAACACGTTGCAAACTCCTCATCTATCTTAAAACCTTTGGTTTTAATTGATCTACAACTGGATTTCCTATCAAGAGGTCGGTAACGCCTCGAAAGGCTGACAATTGAGTCAAGCTGGAAAGAACTAAATCCTCGTGGCAGAGCTTTTCGGTTCTGAGTGGACGAATGACAGCATTGAACAAGGTTTGCATTTGTTCGGCAAAGTTTGGGAAGAAGTCGTTGTTGCGTGGTTCACAAGGGATGCATGTCTACAGCCGGCGATCCGATGACTGACTCGACTATCAGTTCAACCGATTGTGAAGGTACTATAAAGTATTTCGCCGGGCCCTTTGCTAGGTGGATATTGTGCTCAAAGCTAATACTCTTAAGCTTTGATTATCCCAAAATGTCAATTTACGTGAACGCCATCAGACAAGCTTTTATTCCCCGTGTGGAAAAGAGCTAGTAAGTCCCACATCAACTCCGGCTGTTATAATCAATAGATCCAACCAATGAAGAGCTGTATCTCTTGCGCGTGCGAGACGTATTCATGGATTTACAGATAGATGGTCGTATGGCGGAAGGTAATTGATGACCAACATCAACTTTAAGATTCGTAGCGGCATTGTTTTGCTGCTGCTGTTATTGCTGTTACTCGCGAAATAATAAGAAGTTGTTATCCCCTTCGTGTTGGTCCATCATCCACAATGATAATAAATTCGGTCAAACAGATTTTCTTGAAAACAAACAGCATTCAGCCATGCACTTTACTTCTTTCCTCGCTTGCCTCGCCATGGCGCCATTGGCGTTGGCCATGCCTGCCGAGCTATCCACCGTTGAAGACAGCTCTGTTGCGGTCAGGGCTTTCAATGACGTTGAGCTTCCTGACCTTCCGGAGGACTGGAAGACTGCGATGGAAGCCTACTTCAGAGGTAGAACACCTTTCACCAAATCGAGACAAGGAAACTGTTTCGAATCCTGGTCGTTGACTGCACCTTAACCTTCAGAATAGACTGACAGATCTAATAGATATAGATATCGAGGGCAGTGACCTTGAGAAGCGAAGCGACGTGCCATTTTTGCATTGTGGTTGGAGACGATTCTTCAGTATGGACCTTTTCCATGCTTACAAACTCTGGCTAATGTCATTCTAGGCTGCCTTGGTTCTCTGACACCAGGCGGTGTTACTTGCATGTGGGCGATCGCCGCGCGCGGTCTTGGTGAGTGTTAAAAAATGCTGGTCTAAGAGGGATTCTAACATGATGGCAGATGTCAAAGAAGATTCCAAATGCTCTGCTGCTATCGTGGCTAGTATTCTGTCAGCTGTAGGTGTCTTGTCATCAGTAAGCCCTATTGAAGAACAGATTCTGATCCGTTTAAATAGTCCAACAACTGCAAGCTGTGTGTTAACGGCCATCTCTGACCGAAGGCCAGGTGGTAACAATCCTTTGTGATATGAATTGGCCTAAGCAAGTCACTCATACCGTGCTGAAGACATATTCCAACTTGACTATTCTCCTTTTTCTATTCGACAAGTCACCAGTCTCTCTTTCGATGACGCTCTTCAGTCCGCAAACATTGCGTATTTCCGTTCTATATACCTAGTTGGCCTATTTAGAGCTGTGAATAAAGCCCTTGCGTTATCGTAATAATACTAGTGTGTTTGAAGACACACAATTGGGAGCTATCCGATATAGGCAAAGAATGTATCAATGCCAAAACCTAAGTTTTAGGTAGATACTAGATATATGCAGTCTGGATATTCTTTCTTGGTTAATCATCAAAATTGTTGCAATGTACTGCCTGAACATAACAAATTTCTCAGATTTTGGTGCGGAGGACACAAAAGAACAGCCACGTTTAGGCACGATCAAAAATTCTCAGCGAACCACAACAGCAATGGACTTGGCTGTGGAACGCCACCGTGTAATCGTCGCCCGAGATCTTCCTGCCGGACCATTCATGTAATGGCATTCGGCTGGTACTAAGCTGTCGCGTTCCGCGGCCTGCCCAGTTGTCTTGGCTGCTGACTTGCCAAGGCAGAGCTGACAAACTAAAATACAGCCGAGTTCGTCATTAAAACGAGTGCGAGAGCACAGCCTCGTTTAATTATCTTGCCATCAACTGAATGTGCTTATATGTATTCAGATGTTGTCAATTGAAGTTGACAGATTGATGGTCATGCTCATTGATCGTTCGAGTCTGACGCGAATCATAATCGATATTCTCTTTACTTGAGAACATAACTAACAATTACTATCAACCACTTTTCGGGATCAAATCTAGCTTCCAGGAGCCCGGATTGAACAACTCCTGGAAGGTTGTCTCGAAGACCCACCATTTCCGTAAGTATTTCTAACGAGCAACTTTCCAATATTGTTACTCGTCTGATCGTCCTGAGGCCTTTTTCGGCATCTGTTTTACGATGGCCACTAGTTCAGTGGAAAAAGAAAAAGATGTGTCATCCGAGGCGACTTCTGTGATGATGCAGGGTGTTCTGAGGGAGCGGGACAAGCTGTTTTCAAGACCGAGCGATGCGGTTCACAAAAAGGACGGTCTTGTCGAAGAGCTTGTCAGGTCTGCAGCTGCAGGCATCGGAGTTATATCGGAAGCTTTGCACCATCGGAAAGCAAAAAAGTCGAAACATTTGCATCAAACCAACGAGTTCCGGCATACACAATTTGGCCACGAACCCGGTCAGAGTCGACCGTGCGAGGTCGCATCGTGTCTTGAGGTTGGAAGTAGAGAACCGGCATCAGAGAGAGCAAGATCGAAATCCCCAAAGGATTCGAAAGTCCCAGGCAATCTTGCCACCGCTTTTGTCAGTCGGCACGCATACCTGTATGGCGAGCATACAGTGTACCACAAAAGCCTTCCATTACCTGTCGTACTGCCTCAAAGGCGGCCCGAGAAGAGAGCCCGAGGGTTTATACGCGCCTACGCACCAGTGCTTGCCGAGGTTGGCATCGACCAAGAAACATTTCTCGACTTCATCGACACTTTCAACAAGGCGCTCGAGCCTAGCCCTTGGATCAATGCTCTCAATCTAGCAGGCTTCGCTGGATCAGCAATGCCGGAGCCAGCTTCGATGCTCTTTGGATTCGGGGTCGAGTATGCGACCGAAGCTGCCTTGGAAGGGCATAGTCGCTACAGCTCCAACACCTTTCTCGACCGCGTCAATGCCCAATACTTTAACCCGCGCGGACTTGTCTGCCTTGTCGTGACTTGGCAGCCTGGTATCAGCAACAATCAGCTCACCGTCAACTTTGAGGGCAACGCAACAGCATTTCGATCAGAAACTGGTTTTTCCGAGAGAATAACAGATATTGCAAGACAGAAAACATCGGCGAAGGAAGGCTGGCAAGGTATCAAGGACCAGATGGGGGAGAAGATGAAGTTGGCGAACGGCAACTTCGATTGGCCCGAGCCGGCACCGCTTATCTTCCCCGTCATTGATGATGCCAATGGAAGTGGAAGCGACACCGGTGGCAAGAAGAAAAATGCTTTAGACCGAATGGAGATCTGGATGGAAGACATGTCGGACAAAAGAGCTCAGGCTAAATGGGTTGATGAGAATAGTGACACGCCAGCAGCAAGCCTGATGCCAAATCCCGAGTTTCAATCACGATATGCCGACCCTAATCATCCCGCTGCCAGTGGCGACATAGTAGCACTTGTTACTGGAGGTCGCTGGATGTGCGCAGACAAGAAGCATGTAAAGGTGCGCAAAGCCGACTCTGAGTCGAAGAAAGATGAAAACGAAGGGAAACCCCAAAAAGGAGACGACGAGAAGAGGTCAAAAGAACAGAAAAACGACCAAATGGCTGACAAACATGAGAATAGTGAAAGGTTAGGCCAGGAATCAGACGGCGAGAAACCGCAGAAGTATGACATTAAAGCGAAGTTTGACAAAGAAAAAGATGATAAGAAATCCAAGAAAGACAAGGACAAGAATTCCAAGAAAGACAGAGACAAGAAGTCCAAGAAAGACAGAGACAAGAAGTCCAAGAAAGACAGAGACAAGAAGTCCAAGAAAGACAAATCGAAGGAGAAGCACACATCATCAGGAAAAGACGAGGACTGGCTCAAGAGCTTGTTTCAAAAGGTAACAAGATTCCTTCATCTCATGATCTTAGACTGCTAACCTGCCGAAGGATGTACTCTACCTCGTCGTTATTAATCTGCCTCTTGAAAGGCAACCAGTGGATGTGGCATCGGAGGGCGCTGATGACGCAGAATGCCATTAAATCGAGTCCAGGATGGCAATCCTTAAGACTGTGGCGTGGGTGATCCGTATACAGGGGACTCGTCGTCCTCCGTCCTTTTAGATATTGAATTCGCCCGGGGAGGGCTTGTAGCTGAATATGACTTTCTTTTCGTTGTAACATGTCTCGAGAATGGAAGACGGTACGAGTGAAACACTGGCGCAGTTTGACGCAAGGAACGAGCGCGGCGGGTTGGCTGTATAGAAAGTCCGGAAAAAAGGTTGAACAATGAAGATAACCCCGGCTATGCCAGATGAATCTCTCGTACCTACCCGTGATGAATGGTCTTACTAAGGTAAGGTAGGTTTGGAACCTTACTCACCTGGCTTGGGTCATAGGGCGGGTCATTTAGGGCAGCGTAGGTTGGCACGGCACGATCACGTCGTGAAATGTTGCAAGGGGAAACCTGCGGGCCGGTCAACTGAAGAAGGACTGGGGTCGCGAAAGCCACCAGAACCTGAACATTCAGGAAGCAGACCGGGCTCGGACTAGCCATACCAGGGCAATCCTCGGAAATCAAAAACTAGCAGTGACATTAAGTCGCTGACGGAGCAGCCTTCCGACTAGAGAGCACCTACATTCTGCAGCTCTGAGGCTCAGGCTTTAGTTGCGAGATTTCACGTCCCTCTTTTAGACGACTGAACCTTCGTCGTAGGCGTCTCTGGATTGAGCACCTTATAAAAGTTGTCTTCTAGGACGATGGTTAATGGAGGCAAGCTCCTTCTTTGACATGCGTGGACGGAGGATGGCAATAGCCAATCTACCCAAGTCAGGTAGGGACCGGCTGGCTTATTTTCATGAACGCAGCTCTTGTCCCCCTACTGCTCCTTAAACACAATGGCGCACGCAAGCTGCGAAGAACACACCATGTGACTGCATTCGCATCGCCACCATAACTACGTCACTTCATCATCAACGATACCACCGGATCTGAGTTTGTAATGTCATTCAATGCAGGAATTTTTGTCCTGCTTCCGTCAGAGGACTTGTTGATCAAAATCTGGTTTTCGTGGCTAGAACTCTGTGTGTCGATCCTCTCGAAGGTGCAATGGCGAGCGAATCCAGGGTGCAGTCCGGCTGTGTATAGGACCAGAATCGCGCTGACAGGACCAAGCGTCGCCACATGCCTCGAGAAAGAGCGCAGCGGGAGTATTTGTCTCAAAGAGTGGATACATGAGAGTCTACACAAAGCGGCAGACCTTTTCTCAGCTTTTTTATGAAGCGTATTGGAACGGGGCAAGGTTTATTGCTCCTATTAGGGTGGTCTTTGCGTTGCTTTTCCTTTATTTCTTAGCAAATCATGGTCTGATCAAGGGTATAAATACCTCTCTAGCTCAGAAGGACTTAGATCAGACAACAACAATCAATCACGCAAAAACAATCGGCTTTTCTGTCCCAAGGGTCCCAAAGGAGAACCAAGGGAACATCCTTTCTGCCTTTCGTGATGAGCTAAACGCTGATGATACATACACAAGAATTATGGGAGCCTATGCTTTACCCATCGCGTCGCGGCTAGTCTGATCAGGTCAAACCTAACCTGATCATGGCAGCTGATCCGCGACTGGCTGAAGGCATCTTGCGTAGCTGTAGGGGGAGGTTTTGGTTGCGCACCGGACCGTACCGCTCACTATGGTCCTGATCAGCCTACACGCTTCCAGTATCAATCTCCAATGTGTCCGCTGAACATCCCGAAATCTGGCTCCCCGCCCCCTGGGCCTTTGCAGCCGGGAGGCTCGTCGTTTGGGTCCGAAACCCAGGCTAGACGCACCCAGCGACACGATAGTACCGCCTAGACGAACCTTGCGCACCATGTCGTGTCACTCATCTTAGATTTGACGAACGGTGACTTTGGCTTGGAGGGATATACCATTTGTCCTCGAAATCATGGTCGACGTGCGAGACAAATTCACGAATCCAGACACACTCTCTCCCCCAAACAACTTCGACTTCCTCGATGCTTCCACCACCTATCGAACCCAGTAGTACAGACATTCTAATCACCCTACCGTCCACACTCGTACCCACCATTTCAGATCCGCAGACAACCTCAACAAGCATCCCGTCTACTTCCATGGTCACCTCCTCTCCTATCAACAGTGTCTCGATTGGATCATTCAACGCTCCCGCAAGTTCTTCGGACAGCGTCCCCGCTGGCTCATCCACGATATTAAACACAACAACAGCTACAGCAGTGTCTCCGCCATTGTCGTCCATATCTAATCTTACTATGGCCCCCAGTAGCACTTTTCCCACGCTAGTCAACGCTCCTATACTTCTTACCATTCAGCCCCCGGACTCGGATCCAACGGCAACGAGAGTGGTAACTTGAGCCAGAGAAAGAAAAACTTAGTGGCTTAGACGATGACTAGTGGTGGCAAGAGAAGTCATAAGTGTTGCAATAACGCTTTGGCATGACCGTATGCAGTTAAATCAGGACGAGTCGGCGATAAGTATTCAGGACCAACCATGTGTTCGGCTGATCCTCGGATGCAAGACTCTGACGGCGTATGCTACAGCCAAAGAGCACATAAATCAGATCCCCCCCCTTCATTGCCTTCTGCGTGACCATGCCAATACGTCGTTGTGACTGTCGGAGGAACATTTTACAACCGTATCGAAAAACCGACCGCAAATTGTGACAGAGTAGTACTCGTCTTCATTTGGAGCAGCATTCGTGGAGTCGTAGTCATCCTGGTGCTTCTCGTGCAGGATGCTCTCGAAACTGCGGCCGTGGATCCAAAGTGATCTAGTCCACTAAAACCATTCCCGATATTCCTTGGGAGCTGAAGAATCCGATTGTGCTGCGTTCCTCTCAAGAAGGCAAATAAAGTCCTTGAAGTAATCTACAGTAGGCACGACGTATCGCAAATAACGGGTTTTCCGGTCCAATACCAACCCCCCGCACACACTAATGAGGAGATCCGTTGTCGAGCATATAGTGTCGCAGCAACCTGAAGATTGCAACAAGCTCCGTTTGGAGCTTTTGACGAGATCGAAATTTCTGGATGCGGCCAAACCATCCACCGTATCAACGATAACTCCTCGAGCGTATAGTACCGAGCCTACAAATTCACATACGACTGCTGTATGATCAGACGCTAACAGTGAATTGAAGCGTTGAATTCGAGGTGATTAGCGCTGCAAAGATTTCTGACATTGAATCGTTCATAACGACAAACACTGCAGCTTGGTCTTTGACAAGGGGCTCCAAACGGCTAATGGCCGGACCATGCCAACCACTGTTGGTTGGCATGTTGTTGATAGCAACTCGGCTTGCGTGATTGGTCAAACTTTATCCACAGGTGTGAAGGTTTACTCGGAACCAACATGAACTTATCATCAGCGGCTGATGGAACACGGCGGCTAATGTGGGCATCAACAAGTCGTGTAATCCACCGACCCTCAATTTCTAACTTCATCTTCCTAACTCTCGGATAATCTGGTCGAGTCTATAAATAATTACATTCGCACTTCCTCGCTTGAATCATGTCTTTGCTTTCTCAACTCAAACTTGAGACTTGCGTCACAGCTTTTCGTCTTCGCAACAAAGCCAAGCCTTTCTACCTTCCTCTTTGCGAAAGCTTTTCTCAGACTTCGGCTATTCGATATGCTCGCAAAACTAAGCATTCATATTTCACGGCTGCAAAGTCCGAATCGTTTGAATTCGGCACCGAATATTACGGATATAGGCGCCGATATCAGCAACAATCTTTTTGAAGTGCTGGCATTGGCCTTTCGTCAAGGCCGAGCTGTAGAAGGCATTTCCAAGTGTCTGCTCTCCCTTCCGTCACCCTCTTTTGTTGAGTTTTCTTTCTTTCCATTTCCTTTACTAATTTAGTTACAAAATAGTTGACGAAGCTGTGACCAGCGGCGTTGCTGAGCTTGTGGTGTGTGCCTTGGATGGAGTTGTGCCTACCACCTTGACTCATGTGACATTACTATGCGAATCATACAAAGTTCCCTGTTTGTTCGTTCCTAGTAGCTTTCAACTCGGTCAAGAATGTGGATTTGATTATCCAATCTTGGCAGTAACAAAATGCCATGATCGCAGTGAGCTGGCGGGGCTAATCTCAAGGTTGAAGAAGAAACTGCAAGAGGTCCGAAGCGCTATGCGATGATACTGTGGGACTATTTGTAAATTTTGGAGGCTTTCTTGGACTTCAGTGCTATCTCTTACTCGTATCGGTCTTATTCATTCAGTTTAGCTCACTGCGTTTTCAGGGGGCGACGTTATGCTGACCGATCTTGCAAAGCGAATATGCTAAAGACATCGATGGACTGCCCATGTGTTGAAAAAATTCGAATGCCATGCGTTTTCTTTTCGCTTACATGCGCGAGCCGAACCGCATTGTCATGTTTCAAGAGACACTTCAGCACCGATCAGAGGAGTGGAGTAGTCTCAATCCGGATTCCCATTTAATCTTTTCGAAACGACCTTGTACCCAAGACGTGCCAGCTGCAAGCTTCCAACGGCACCCATCCAAAGCAACATTCAAGCGACTACAGCGTACTTGATGTCCTCTATTCGTTGCTGCTGATGCTTCTTCGGATATAATGTCGGATGACACCTTCCGAACCCGCGTGGATGCCCGGACGGCCACTTACCCGGCCACCCGAGCCGATCTGCCGATCGCAGTCAAAAATGCGGTAGTCGTTCCCTACACTAGATGGATAAGTAGTCGACATTGCAAGCTCTCAGTACCGACTACTGGCGCGAATTTCAATTCCAGTTCGTTTCCAAAGTGGCAAGCATCGACAACAAGTTTGGGCGATACGATATCGCAGTGCACGGTCGCGGGGTAGTGCCACCTTCGGCCTAATGTACCCTTGGTTCGGATGATGTTCACCCAATCTATGGTTGATATGACTCCAAATCAATAAAATTTGGAAGATTAGCCCCTTTGGGACGAAAGTCAAACGTCCATTGTATGCCAGTCATCGAGTGTAAACACTGAGGAGGCGGGGTTCAACCGCGGTCGTCTAAGTTTAGCAGCCCTTGATCGGCACAACTTGGGGGGTCCCCTGCATCGTAGTGTTTCGCCTCCTTCGGGAAGCGACTTTCATGTCCTCTGACAGTGGTGGAAACCCGGATGTTGTGGAGGGCAGCTCATCTAACTCGGGGGGGTTGCGGGCATCAACAGGGAATTTCAGGCCAATCTAGCGGCGGTCAGCAGGCGACCGCCATCAACATGAAGCTTGTCGCTTGCCGTACGCTCAGAGCATGGATAGGTATTTGAGTATGCCGTCTTCCCGATTTCGTTTGGACTTGTCAGGACTTCACTTCACCATCCAAGACCTGATGAACAGTGTTTCGTCAAGATGATTTGGTTCAATCAAGTGGCTCTTTTCCTCAGCAGCGCGTTGCTCGTGGCCGACTTGCTGCCTGTTGGGGCCGTCCGGACCATCATCCCCAAGACCAGCTTCGACTCACAATCCAACTTCAATACCGATTGGAACTACCTCTACCCCTGGGGTACCGACCACAACGGTGGCGCGCGCATGAACCAGAGCAACGTCAAGTTCAGCGAAGGCGTTCTCACGCTCACAGCCAACAAAGTCAGCGGCCAGCCGCAGGCAACGCACGGCGGCCAGAAGATCGACATCAACTACCTCAGTGGCGCGATCCATGCCAAGGAACACTTCAACGTCTCCCGCGGCGGCGGCTACGACTTCAACGCCGAGCTGAAGGCGACAACCACCAAGGGCACATGGCCCGCCTTCTGGCTCACCGCCGTCGAGGGCTGGCCGCCCGAGATCGACATGGCGGAGTGGAAGGGCAGCGGCAAGATCAGCTTCAATACGTTCAACACCAGCTCCATCGTCGCGGCCAAGGACGTCGATTATCCTGATCCCAGCAGCTTCCACAAGATCAAGTGCGAAACGAGAGACCTCAACGGAAAGGACGTCCAGGCCAAGTTCTACATGGACGATCAGCTCATTACAACGCAAGTTGGCGCCGGATACTTTGGAAAGCCCATGTACTTGTGAGTAAAGCTTGTCTATTTACCGGAAAGCTTGTTAGATTGCTGACGGGACTAGGATCATCAATCTGCAAATGGAGGGCTCGTCCGGCTCACCCGGCCCTAGTGAAAGTAAGTTTTATGGGCAATTTCCTCGTAAATTGAGGCTGACCGTCTACGTTCTTAGGTACGGAATTTCAAGTCCGAAACTTGGAAGTATTGAGCTACAATCCGTAAAGAATGTTTTTGGAAATAGCGAGAGCGACTGTTATGTTGGTGTCCGAACTTTCACGTATTTATTCCCTAGGTGACAAACTCCTACGTACATAACTCTGCCTCAAAGTGGTCAAAAATACCATTCTAGTGCTGGCTGTTACACTCTCCTATCGCAGAGTCTATTTCGCTTCAGAGAGCCCACTGCGTATGTTGCCATTTCCTTTTTGGACCTCGCACTAGGATATATCTCAATTTCTTTCATTACTACTGCCATGAGATGACTTCCGGATCTTGTTTCACGCAGACCTGTTCAGTCTACAACAATATTAGTACGACCTTTTCAAACCCTCTTTGAATGGCAAAGTGCAATGCAATCCATTCAAGCTCGCCATAGACATCAAACCCGGTCTCCCAGTCTGGCTAGGCATGATGCTGAAATGAACAAATTGAAGACAACCTTATGGCCTCCCAAGACAGAACTGCCCATCGCCGCGCACTGCCATTATTCACCATCGCTGATGCGGGCATTCCTAGAAAAGATTATTTGAGCGACACAACCGTCTGCCAAGGAAGCTATGTATTAACGCGGTCCATCCGTCACTGTCTTTCTGATCGAAGCCGATGTACTGCTCAAGATACTTCGTCTACAGGAGTTACACTCATGTCCTCGAAAAGCTGTGATATCTTGATTTCTAAGCCCCACTCGATCCTAGTTTGACGCATGGTGTTCTTCAGACGACCGAAGCACATTGGTAGATGCTCTGCAACAAGCGACTAAGATTGAAGCAGAAAAACCAGGGGTGGACTTTGGGCAGAGCTGAACTGCAATAAGTGACCCCAGTGCTTGGTTCACTGTTCTAGTGGTGTAGGTTGGGTTGTCCTCTGGTTCGCGCCTGTGATGATTTACAATGACCAAGGACGGTTATTGTGGTGTTACGGAAGCCGCATCAGCCCGTTGAGATTCTAACTTAGTCGGCACAAGGGTGCAACAGATTTGCAGTTGCAAGGGAGTAGATGTGGGTTGTACATCTTGCCTTTATCAACTTTGCACATGGAGTCCTACCAGTTTGCTGGATCTCGTTCTTGTTCCAGCTGTTAGGAATTGGAAAATCAAAAATCAAAAATGGAACTTAAAACGCCCTCTTCATCTCTGGCCGAGTCTGCTTGCTCCTTCCATCAAAAAAGTCACTACCTATCAAGGAGGGACGAGCACGGGCCGCGCGCATAGCCAGTGTAGGATTCCACGTGAAAGCCCATGTGACTTCGCGTGGAAGTCGTGTGCCTGTCTCACCCTAGCTGCTCTGCACCTGTGTGTCCTTCTTCCCCCCTCCCACCTTCAATCTTCCGACCTTTGTCGCGTCAATCACCCGATTGTTAACCATCTCCAAGCCGATGCGACAATGAAAACCCAAGATGCCACGCTGCAAGACCCTCCAGGCTGCGGAAAAGAAGGCCCTAGAAGGCAGGAACGAGTCTCAAGATAGCCAGGCTATTTTCGACCGCTATGTGGCCGAGTACGGGATCGGCGTGGTACGTACGGGTCCTGGCCATATTTGCTTTTTCCTGGTGGCGTTCATCGCAAGTCTCCGCCTTTTGGAGGCGCATTTTCTGCCTGCCCTGGAAATGCTTGTAGTGGCTCTGCTGGCACTGGATTGGATTGGACTGCTTCGGATGGGGATTTGGCAACTTTCTTTTAGCACTGCGACAACACAGGCCTCAGTGCGACCATGCGCTAACTATTTCGGGCATCAATACAGACAAGCAGCTCACCTCCACGACCTTCGTCGACCACGTCGCGACACGTATCGAGAGCCAGCAACAGCCGTCACGCCTCTCCCTCAACGCGTCACTCCGACCCTCTAAGCTACACAGAGAGCCAGCCCGTCACTGCCTCGATACCCAGCACAGCTCCGCCGGCTGCATGTACCGGATACGCGGTTCGTGACGCCCCCACTGCACAAGCAAGGATGTCTCAACTTAGGCTGGGATGGCACTGACCAGAATTAGCTACCCCAGCAAAACCCCCATCACGAAATCCCGTTGTCCGCGCTGCCTGTTGCCCCTGTTGCTACCGCAGGCCCGAGTTGCGGCCCAGATCTGCCAGACCCCAAACTTTTACCTGGCTGTCTACCCTCGACCCAAAGAACGAACGCCAATACCTCAAACCCTCCCGAGCCGCTCTCTGCGCCTCCCGTCAATGGCGATACGGTAGAGACACCGGCCAACGCGTTCCCCGCACCATGCGACGCCGCAAGACCATCAGACAAAGTCAACGCCCTGTCTCAAGCTTTGTGCCGCCCACCCCCCAAGAAACCCAAGATGGACGTGTCCCAGCAATCGCCGACTCAAGATAATGACGGTCGTGATTACGAGAACTACTACGAGGGCCCTTCCTTCGTCGCGACAAGCCCGATCTCCCAAGACCTTGCTACCGAGAACCAGACACCACGCGATGACGACTCCGCCGTTGTCGACTTTGGCAACCTCAGCCACCTGATGCAAACCGACACCCAAGCTGACGAAGAGCCATCATCCATGCCCGACGACGCGGCCCCTAAACACATTCGAGGAGATTGGCGCAATCGTACCTCGAGCTCCCAACAACAGTCCTCCGTCCAGCGCCCCGATGTCCAGTCGCCGATGCTGCCCGCCAACCCCCTGCCGCAGACTCCGGCGAATCGTCATAACCCGTTTGCCGGGAAAAAGTTGGGAGACCCTGCATTGGCGGGATCTCAACTATTCGGCCAGACGCAGTTTTCGTCAGCTGTCAAGCATTTCAGCCCTACCTCCTCGCGACCATCTCCGATCGTGTACGCTCATAATTCTATCTCACCCAACATCGTGGAGACCTCCCCACTCAAGAACCGGTACAACGTGACGTCACCTCCCGACCTGCTCTCTTCAAGCCCTCAAACTGTTAGAGTAGATCATCAGGTGCCCCACGGCCGGGCACGAAGCCCCAGCAATTCTGGGCCGCCCGACGATGGCACTGTGCCAGAGTCACCGCAGCTGGCCCCTGTCAATCCAAAGGCCGGGCTCGAGCCGATGGAGGTATACGAGAGTATGCTGGATTCACAAAAGAGGAAGTCGAAGAGTACAGGAATCAAAGGTGGTGCGTCTGGGGATGAGTCGGACGAAGAAGCGCGAAAGAGAGAACGGCGCAGACGCGTGGAGTCTAAGAAGAAGGAAGCAGACAGAGAGCTCACCAGCATACCCATTCCCACTGGACGGCCAAAGTCGCGTGAAGCCGTCGAGGTCCCCTCGACCACCAAGAAACATAGGGATCCCCCGGCCAGGACGATTCGATATCGAGCCCGGCGTATACCAGACGAGTCGACTGCATCGGAGGATGAGGCTGACGAGTTCACCGTGGCCGACTCTCAAGACCAGGCGACAGCTCAGCCACCTCGTACCCGAGCCTCTCCTGACCTCGCCGACCAACCCATCGGATCAAAGCCAGGATTCATTTCTAGCAACGATGCGGTGCCTGACAGTGCCGGCGCTACCCAGAAGTCCGTCTCTAATGGTGCCATACCGTGTACCGAAAGTTCTGGTAACAGCTCTCGTCCAAAAGACCTTATACCAGAGACGAGCCCTAACAATACTCAATCATGGGCCCCGCCGAAAGGCAGAGGATCATCGCATGAGCCGTTGCTCGTTGATAATGTTGATGCCAAGGAGGAGTCGCTCGCGCCAGCTGCCCAGTCCAAGGAAGCTGATGCGGATGTCGGAGCTATGCCAGTAACTCCTCAACCATCCCTCCCACAAGCATCCCGTCGTTCCAGTCGCAAATCCAAGCCGACCCTCAAAGCACAATGTTTGAAGAATTCGGCTCATGCCACTGTGTCGTCAGAGCCTTGTGGAACCGACGGGACTGAGACGCCTGCTGAAGATGTGCCGGCAACGAGCGACGTACCGGATAATACGGCCGCAGAGGAAGGGGACGCAGTTACGCGTGCTGAAACCGTTTTTCTTCAAATCGAAGCTCGTGTCATAGATGAAGAACCGCCTCTGCCATCTTCGCCGCCGCTGCCAAAGTCTGGCACTGAGAATCCAGGACTTTCAGACCCGGCTCTTCGGAAGAAACCTGCAGCAGAGAATCCTTCAACACCTGACGGTTGTAACCAGACCGCTGCACCAGATGCTCCTGGGTCTGCAACATCAACACTCAGTGTTCTTACGATGACGCCCCTACAGTCGGACAAGACGTCTCCGGCGACCCAGGAATCTGTGGAACTCCCGCGTCTTTCACCAGACAAGCCGACCCGAGGACGGCAGCCTACTGAATCTTTGCCTAGACTTGTTACCGGTTCGCGGGTCGCAAAACCAGGCACACGGAAGCAAACTCGAAGAGCAGCTCGCCTTGACTCGGCATCGACGGATGAACTGACTCGCTCGCCCTCTGTTAATGGGTTCGAAAATAGTATTATCCAGCCGCCGAAGACGACAGCTCGTGGCAGCCGCCTATCTATGCTGTCTCATGTCTCCAAAGAAAACATTGGCAGACCCAGTATATTTGCCGGCATGGCCTTTGCCATTTCTTTCCAATCCAAGAGGGGCGGCGAGAAGACCGACCACTACGAGAACCGCCTTGGCCAGACTCGTGACATTGAGAAAATGATCACCCAATCCGGCGGCCATCTGCTGGGCAGCGGCTTTGATGAACTCTTCGAACCCAACACCCTCGGAAGCACAGCAACGAGTCCGGTCTCCGAGGACAGGGATGACAACCCGCTGACCCTGACTCCTTTCGCTCAAACAATGGGATTTACCGCCTTGATCGCTGACGGACATTCCCGCAAAGTCAAGTATATGCAAGCCCTCGCCCTTGGTTTGCCATGCATATCCGATCGATGGGTTGTCACGTGCGTGGCGAAGGGAGCGGTGGTCGACTGGCTTCCTTACTTGCTTTGTGCAGGCCAGTCAACCTTTCTTCGCGATGCAATCCGTTCTCGATACCTAGCGCCCTACTCAGCAACCGAGGCGCGGCTTGTCGATATTATCGAGAGGCGAACGAAAATGCTTGAAGGAAGCAAGATCCTCCTCGTGATGAAAAAGTCCAGGGCTGAGGATAAGAAGATGCCCTACGTTTTTCTGGCACACGTCCTGGGTGCAACTCTCTCCCGCGCCTACAATATGGATGAAGCTAAGGAGACTTTGAGACAACGGGAGCTGCTTAAAGACCCCTTTGACTGGGTCTATGTTGATGAGCATACCGGATCAGAAGAGGAACTGTTCAGTTCTCATCCTGTATCATCGAAGGCGCCAAAAACATCGAAGAAGAGGAAGAGAGCCAGCTTACCTGCGGCGGACGAGGAAGCTCAGCCACCGAAGCGGATTAGGACTCTCAGCAACGAGCTGGTCATTCAGAGCTTGATTCTTGGTAGGATGATTGAGGAGGGTGAGTTGGAAGTATAAGTCACATGAGGGACTGACAATGTATCATCGCGTGGACAACTCTAGAGGGAAAAGGCTAGAGCATTATGATGGCGTTTCAGCATTGGCGGAAATCGGGGCATGGAGATGATACCTTGAGCGGAATGGGGCGTCCTTCACATCACATCAGTCGATTAGTGTACTCTTTAGCTAAACATATAAGGGTTATGACCAATGCATTCAAACTCATATCTTGAACATGATTAGCACACGAAATTTATCTGCTAGACTTCGTAGAGGAGTTCATGCTACTCTGAGACGGCGTTATTCGGGTAGACACCTTGATCAACGCATCTTTTTTATGTCACTTGTGTTTAGCTGTTTCTTCGCACCTTCTCTTTAGCCATATCAGGTCTTAGCATGACTGTAATGCCAGGCTGTCATTGCAACTCAAGTTTTCTATTCCATAGAGTCCATCATTTATACATGGACACAACCTTATGTCAACCATTCTCTTCATGACCTGCCACGCAGTGTTAATGGCGTCTTTAAGTACTCCATATCGCCAGGCTTCATAAGTCCATCAATTTCTTCGTGGTACGCACTCTCTTTGACCCAATTGATATGCTCTGGTCATCAGACGGACCTCTATCGGTTTCATCAACGATCGGAAGCTTCAGACCAAAGATCGCTAGTTTACGCCTCGTAGTGCTCCACAGCAGGAGAAAAGAGGTCTCCTTATTTATGGCCCCGATAATGAGAGAGCCAGCTAACGCGCCTGTTCGCGGCGGATCTATGTAGGCTTGATTGGCAATGTAGTAGTTGCTGGGATGAGGCAGATGCCGCGAGTTGAGAAGGGTGCTTCTGGAAGCAGTTGATGAACTAGTAAAATCGTTTGTGGTGCAGCATGCGCCATGAGACGCTATCCCAGCTTATAGGCGGGCTTTTGTAAACGTCTGCCGTAACGACCTTTTCCGCAAGGTTACTGGAGGACCTTGGGTGAATCCGTCTTCGTCCAGTGTGACTCAAGCCGCAAGTTTTTCACACCTCAATGATAGTTTCGATGAAGCCATCGTTGTCATAGTTGTGGCTGATGCTTCAGCCGGTGTGTCCACTCACCTACCACCCTATGTTCAGGATAGCATTGGAGTTCTCTGGGGTGAACTGTGCAGCGGAGGAGTTTACTGAGGCCCTAAAGAGTGGTGTCCTGACTTCGATCGTATTTTGGAAGAATCTTCTTGAGGAGGTGGGACAAGGCTCGCACGCAGCGCGGAGGCCCTTGAGCCGAAACTTGAGATTGGAACTAGGCCGGGGAGCGATGCGGCTGAGAGGAGCTTTTTGGTGCGCCTAGTACGGCCCAGAATGTTGGTGATTTTCTTGGTCTGCTTGGGGGCCTTAGCAGGCATCTTGACTCTGGGTGCCTCGGCAGTCTTTGAGGTAGAGGCAGATGATCCAGAAGATGAGATGTTGGTGCTGGAGGCTGGCTTGGTCGAGTTCAGGTTGGCGGGAGGCTTGTATGAACTGATGGTGGAGTTATGTGTGAGCTTTTTGATACCAGCGCCAGAGGGCTTGAGAGGGCTCTTTTCCCCCTTATCAACGCCTAGAACGCGGATGAAGCCGGCTGGATGAGCGGTTGCCTTGACAAGGGGCATTGTAAAGGAGATTATAAGGTGAAATAAAGCAAAGAGTAGAAGTAAAGTGAAGTGAAGTTGAGTTCTATAAGAAACGCCCCTGACGATAGTGATGGTTTTTGAATCTCAGCTCAGGCTAGGTTTTAAATGGCTGACTGAGGAGAAAGAAGAGTTTCCAACCTTTTTAGAGGAAAAGCGATGTGTTTGAAATGATGCAAAAAAGGATTTCAGCCCTTGATGAGCAGAAAGGGCGGTTTTTAATACTTTGGTGAATGAGGTTTCTCCGATGAATCTACGGAAAGTTTAACATGAATGATTGTAAGCTGACATGTCTCCGTGGTTCGTCAACAAGTTGACCGTTGAGAGTGTTGAAAGTTACCAAACTTTCGAAAAATGTGATCCAATGGAGAATGGGGAGTCCGTGACCGAAGCTCCAATCCCACAGATTTCACCTTGAAATTTTATGGCATCAAAGTGAACCACTAATAGAGTGAATACGGGAGATCAGATTGTTCTTGTTCCACGGATTCTACATGGTAACACCTAAACTATAGTTACATGACGATGACTGCCCTGCTCTTGGTTTTCATGGGTATACTGCAAAACCGTGACTTGAGATTATTTGCCTCGGTGAATGATCAAGACAAACATCCAAAGGTATACAGTTTTAACTAGTATACCATAATTGTACAGGACTGGTGCGCACCTAAACCCAGAACTGATTGACTCGAATTTTGCTTATCGGCCTTTGCGCGGGGTTGCGGGGTAAAGAGAGGATTCTCCGTGTTGAAATGTCGCAAATCTCGTGTTTCTGAGTCGCGCAAGCGGGCAAATCAATTACTTCGTGGCATCGTAGGTCCCAAATTGCCAAGCTAGAGCCGGGCTCATGTAATGAAACGAGCAGGCCGTGGACATCCAGGTCATCAGGAACACTGTCTCAAGGTCCGAGGAGGTTACAAGCTGTGTACATCGATATTCATCACCTCAAATGGGACATATGCTCAGCAGGTCGAAATTCATCAGAACGCCTTCTATATCCATTCATGTCGTCGTCGAATCCATTACGCGAGTCTGAACCCAAGTGATGTTGCCCAACCCATTAGGGGAACAATCGTCAGGCCTTTTATCTGTACGACGCTAGATCCTGAACCTCGTACATAGAGATGAAGACATCTGAGTTGTCGGTCATGCGGTTCAATCGTCATCCCAGTTGGTATCAGAGTAATAGTCAAAAGACACGGGGAGTGGTGCGTCCTTGCTATTTGGACTGTCGGGATCGACCTCGTCCACCAAATGCTCCTTGACTTCTTGGGCGACAGGATTATTCGCATCCACTGGAGCAGTCCCTTGAACTGGCCCTACTGAGTGATGCGTATGGTCGGCGCGCAGCATCGTTGTCATCCATTTTGCCCATTCCCAGGGTCTGTCTCGACCAGAAGGCAAGCTGTTGAAGTACTCCCAACCCATGACTCCTCCGAACCGCGCGTAACGGCCTCGGAGCGTAAGGAGCACTGCACCGAGCATCTCCCACGGCACCCATCCGCCGCCATTTTCAGGATTCGTGACCAGGCCCATGACAACCTTTTCAGCTGGCCAGCCCTTTGCCAGTATCATCTCGTACATGACGGGGTTGCTGCAGTCGCCCCATCCGCAGTAGAATTGGGCATTGTACCAGGCGATGTCTTTCCCGCGCATCACCTCTAGCGCCTCGTAGTCAAAGCCACTGAGGTTTTTGGTTGAGTCGAGCAATGCCGCGGCTACGGGCGCCATGGAGATGATGAAGTCCTTGCCAAAGTCCTGCCTGATGCGATCGATGAGCCGTATGACGCCGCCCAAGCTCATCACCTCCTCGACGTCCAAGTCAATGCCATCCAGGCCGCGGGTCCGAAGCATGTCGCGCAACGGGATATAGTATTCCTCAAACTTGGCTTCGCTGCCGTCCAGTCTTTCATATGATCCCTGCGCGGCGCCGCCGAGCATGCCTAGCACTTTGAGGCCGCTGGCCTGCAACACCCGCAGCTCGGCCCATAACGTGAGGAACCGCGGGTTGTCGGGGGTGTGGTCGTTCAATGTGATGCCGTGGGGGTCATCGTTGATGTGTATCGCCGCAAGGATAACATGTGTGACGCTGATTCCGGGCTGGGTCAAGAGCGGGAGGATCGATATGGGATTGCCGTCGGGAGTGTGATGCGTCTGGTAGTAGGTAATGACTCGCGGGAGAGGCTGCGACGGTATGGGCGGCATCGAAGGGAGGGACTGGCGGCCGCGATCCTTGCGAGATCGACGACACTCGAGCAGTACAAGTATTGGAAGGGTGAGCGCGACACGTGAAGGAATGGTCGAAGATCGGGTGGTTGCATGCACAAGCGGCCGAAAGCTAATGCGGGGTGAAAGCGGCAGGTGTTCGGATCGACGCTTGGAGCTTCAGCGGGACACCAAGACCCTGCGTCATCGGGGACCCTGATGTTTACATAAGCACGTGTCCACTGCTCATCTTGCCTATCAGACATCAGACATGCGTCTCGGTGTTTCAACTCACTCATTAATAAGGACAAGGTGCAGTAGAACAAAGAACATCGTCATCTTCTGGTTGAACTGCAAGGTATCGATGTTGGTTTCGCTCCACCCACCAATCTTCCTTTGACTAAATCAACTGTTGCCAGATTAAATCAGCCATTAGGTTCAAATTCATCTTTCAGGTCTCGAATTGGGATTATAAACATTATCAGTGCCCAGTGACCTGACATGAACGCTCGATGAATTTTGAGACGGAACCCTGCTTCTTTCCAAAAGTTAACGAGTCCTGAATATGCTAACATCAGCGGCCAGTATTCTTCCAACACCGGGATCTTAAGGTGATCACGACGCAACCATGGGGAGACGGCCTACAGACACGCTTTCAGAGCAGTTTGGACTTCTGCCTCCCTCCCGCAACTCATACAACCTCCTCGTACTGATTGATCAAACGTTGAGGCACCAAGCCTCTCAGTACCACAACGCCACCGTGAACGATTCCCCATCGAACCGTTGTCAAGATGTCTGCCATGATCCACACTAAACCATTGGTCCGCTTCCGCTCCCTCCGCAATGTTACCTCACTGCGATCCGCCCGCTCAGACATGCTTGTGATCAAAGCCTCCATCTCGCCTTGCGGATCCCAGATCATTTCGTCCTCCTCGAGTTCTGCATCATCCTCAAAGTCGTCAAAGCTTCTACGGGATGAACTCCTGTAGTTGCGACTTGGGCGAGCGTGATGGTATGCCCAGCAGGTGAGAGTCGCAAGATACAGGCACCATGGCACGTGGAAGAGGTTCATCGCTTCGGTGTTATTGAGGATTCCCCGCGTCTCCCGCAGCATGCGCGCTGCATGCCATGCCGCATCTGTAGCGGATTGCTTCGACTGGTTGCGATTGTCGTCGGCGTCTCTGCGATCTTGTCGTACGCTGGAGAGTTGATCCATTTGTTGCACGTCGAAACTGGCAGCCCATCGTTTCACCACTTGTGCCGATCGGTGGTAGTCTCTCTGTTGCACCGGCCTGCCCAGAATATGGCGCGCTCCAGCGTATATTTGAACGTCAAGAAAGTCCATGTTCAAAAGAGCTTGCGCGGAGTGATACAGCGCCTTGTATGCTGCCGCGAATGATTCAAACTCGATTCGTCGAGCCTCGTCGTCACCCTCATTCTTATTGCTACCCTGGGAATGGGTTTGGGAAGTGTTTCGTGAGGGGACTCCAAATCCCGTGCAATACGCATCGAAGTCGCTCTTCCATGCATCGTATGCAGTGCTCAGTAGCCTGCGCCAACCCACTCCAAAGTTGTCTTGGGAGACAACACCAAGAGCAGTCTGGTCGCGTCTACCCATATCCCATGAGATTGACATCAGACCGTGAAGCACCAGAATGCGTGAGAACCCAGTAAGTCCAGATGGCCGCGACGCCGAAGGAGTCAGGTATGACTTGAGCGTTGGGAGATAGAAAATCCTCTGGTCGCTCAAACTTGAGCGCCACGCCGATGCCCATGATGCAGCGTCCCGAGCTTCCCAGATGCTCTGACTGCAGGGCAATTCTAGGCGCAACTCGAAGGCCGACATGCACAGACTCTGACAGAAGAGAACTGCATGTTGTGTGTCCCACATAAAGCAGAGCAGGGCGAGTCTGGCAGAGTTAAATTAGACTTTTCCGCGAAAACCTCAAGACTTGCCATAACATACCTCTTCTTCTGCTCCCCTTCAGCCCATTTCCTCCACGCTCGATCTAGATTCTCAGCGCTGTCCTCTCCCGATATTGGCGGCGGTCCCGAAGGTCGAACAGACTGACAGTCAGACCGTCGGATGAGATTGATCAAAAGTCCGTGAAACAGGTGGCTCATGTCGTGCTGTTTTTGCCCTGCACGAGATTTCCCGAAGCACTCGACCAAAAGGATTGTCTGTAAGGTCCAAAGCTCCGGCCTAGGTGAGAAACCTGCGTGCGCGAAGATGCTCGGCCGGATAACATCGTGAATACAGACGGCCAGTTGGTGACAGTCTTTGTTAGAGTAGGTTGCGCCTAGAAGCAGGATAGAAAGCAGAAGCAGGGGCTCTGTTTTCCGGCAATCAAATGTTTCGAGATGTATCAACGGATAGGCCGTGTTGAAGCGCGTAAAGAACAGTTCCAGGTAGGTTTTGAGTGAGTCGTTAGATAACAGTGGATGCTCCCATATCGTAAATCGTTGGTCGGGCAGATTTGGCTTGGCCGCGTTTATCACTTCTAGCAGTCTTTCTCTGACGTCTGCGTCAATGTTAGGAGTTATGAGCGGCTTCCTCAAAGAAGAGAGCGGACGCTCTGGTTCCGCTGGAGCTTGTCGACTGATTGTAGTATATCGATGTCGAGACGCTGAAGAGTTATCTGTGAGTCTTCTGGATACAGAGACATCCGAGCTTCTTTCTCTTGAGCAGCTGGCAATCTGTCGACGAGGAGCTTGTGTCTCGGTCTGTATGTTATTGGGTGGACCAGATGGTCTCTCTCCTCGTCCGGGCTCTCTGATACTAGTGTCCATCGGCTCCGTCCACAACTGAGCGCTCTTCATAGACTCGGGGGTAATCACTAGGTTGGGTTGCGTTCTCGTGAGTGGTTGGTTGGTTGAACTTCGAGCACCAAACTCCTCATTCGAGTTTGTCGGCTTTGAGTTGGTAGCAAGAGCTGGAGAGTCTTGCATATTGAACAGCCAACTATAGTCCAAGGCGGTTGTGTATGGCATATTAAAAGAGCTGGCGGTGTCTGGCTGAAACACCTGGTCATAATCCAGCTGCTCGCTCAACAAAGACGCCTCGCCCCAGCTACCCTGTTGCGTGGCGTCAATGCCGAACTGATCGGCCGCCGAGGTGATAAAATCAGAGAACTGTAACGGAGGAGGAAACCCTGAGAAATTTTCGATAGTCTCAGAAGGATTGAATACGTCTCCACGACCGATTGAGTACGGCTGGTTGATGTTCAGATTCCCTGGTCGTAAGTCGAGTGCAGGGTGCCTTTGAGTTTCAGAGGATGCGCTACCACCCGAATAAACCTGATCTCCCTCTCGGTCTAGAGATGGAAGATGGTCTCCCTCGTTAAGCTCAGGTTCCGGTGAAGGTACTTGTTGCGGTTGTGAGTGCCCACGTCCTGATGCGCCCCGGCCCCGTCCAGACAGATTTGGGCAGGGCCGTTTCTCTACAACAGATCCGTCTGGAGCCTTCCAGGATCGCTTTCTTGTGTCTAAAGTGCCATAACCGGGTCCGCCTGCTTCAAGATCTTTTTGGCGGTGACGGTCCATATGCCGTTCTGTACAGGTCAGTTCAGGTGAACAAATATTATCAAGATCGGTAATGACACTAAATCTAATTCCAGTACACTATCGCCAGAAGCTTTTGGTCACTTACTCAATAGGTCAGGCCGTTTGAAGTGAGCACTGCAGAGATCACAACTCAAACCCCCGGGCATGTGATTGAGAGCATGGCGTTGCATATGCTCAGCACGAGTAAATCGTTTATCGCAACTAGGGTGAGTGCAAGCGAACGTCTTCTCGTCACCCACGAGCCCTTCTGAGCTCTCTGAGCGACGATGATTGTCATGGATAGGCGCCATATTCTCAGATTCGTTCACGGCGACCGCGAGGCCCGCTATCCACTTCCGACCAAAATTATGTGACCCCTGAATGGAAAAGAAAGCTTCGACTCTAGGAGCTAGGCAAAGAGGTGTGAACAGTTCTGGTGGACTATTGCAGAATCAATGCACATCATCCTCAGAGATGGGGGAATGGATATGGGCAGAGCCGTCGAACGCCACTGCTCATCCCACTTCTCCGCATCTCCTCATTTGAGGCTTCGAAGAGTAACGATACCCGGTTCACGAGGCCGTACGAAATATCCGAAATGGGTCTGTGAATATGCATTCCTAGCCGCCCCTCCCCCACTCTCGAATCCTGCCACTTCTGATAAGCAAGCCAACCTCCGCAGTGACGACTTCAAGGTTACCTATAGATAAGAGTGGGGTATAGCGACTTCGGCGCATGTACTAAGGTATCGTAAACTCCAACTGCGGGCAAGTCTTATCTTGCGGCTTCCAAGATGGACATATCATGTTTACCGGCAGACGATTGCACAACTCGGACATGCATAGCCGGGGAGGGGAAGATGATGCGCATTGCCTTCGGAACGTCGCGCGAAAGGGTGAAGCCGAGCCTTCTTACACAGCCCACGCATCAATCAATAATTGAAAGTGATGATTCGACGGTGCCACTCTTTCGTTTTATGCTTTTGGAGTAAGAGATGGATGCACTTGACAGCTTTCGGCGTTTCACTGAGGGGAGTTTCGTATACAAGCCGTATCCCACGCCCACCCGTGCGGAGTAAGAATTGATATCATTTTTGGGTTAAATCACGGCTTCCATTGCGAATCACATTCTTGTACTTTACTTACCTCCAAGCGACGACCTGACTGTCTAATCGTAGAACCAACTTCATCACCTCGGCATCTTTCAAGAGAAACAAAGTTGAACATTATGTCGACGCGAAACTCCAGGAGTTATATAATCCAGGAGAAGACACTGCGAGATGCAAGCAGCAAGCTGCATGTAAGCAAATGAAGTTCCGAGCATACAGTCACAAACGAACTGACCCCTATTCTGCATAATAGGTAATCATTGTTGGAGCGGGATTAGGCGGACTTGGTGCGGCCATCTCAACACTTCTTGCCGGACACGATGTGACAGTCTTAGAAGCTGCCTCCAATATCGGGGAAGTTGGCGCCGGCATTCAAGTTCTCCCCAACGCTGCACGAGTCCTCTTCTCCTGGGGTCTGGAGAAGAAGCTTGAAAAGTACGCTACCAAGCCCCAAAAATGCAACTTCATCGGCTGGAAGGGCAACTTTTTGTCCGATATGGACTATCACGCCTACGCAGCGGCCGCCGGGGACTTCCCCTTCTGGGACTTTCATCGCTCTGATCTACATCGGTGCCTCCTTGAGCGGGCAGTTGAGCTTGGCGCGAAACTCGAAACCAACGCCAAAGTCGACACGTTTACAGTTTCTCCAGACAAGGCAACAGCAACGGTCTTCCTCGTCGATGGGCGCAGCATGTCTGCAGATCTTGTTGTAGGAGCGGACGGTATTAACTCGAAACTGAGGGAAGAGTTTCTTTGCAAGCCAGATCCTCCCCAACTGACGGGAGACCTTGCCTATCGACTTCTTCTTAATACTTCCGACATGTTGAAAGACCCGGAGCTTCGACACTTTGTGGAGAACCCTCAAGTTAACTACTGGGTCGGTCCAGACAAGCACGCCGTTAATTACGTGCTCAAGGGCGGCAAGCTGTTCAACATGGTTCTACTGGTACCAGACGACATACCGGTAGACGGCGGGAACACCTTGCAAGGTAACATCGAAGAGATGCGGGGTCACTTTGAGGGATGGGACCCAAGAATTGGCAAGATGTTGAAGATGTGTGACGAGGTCCTCAAATGGCGCCTCTGCATTCGGCCTGGTCTTGAACCGACTTGGTCGCACTCCTCTGGCGCTTTCACCATGCTTGGAGACGCTGTGCACGCGACTCTGCCGTATCTTGCCAGTGGGGCAGGAATGGCGCTCGAGGACGGTGGGGTCCTTGGCTTGTGTCTTGCTCGACTCACCGACAAGTCGCCGTCATCAAAGCAGAAGGCCCTGAAGATCTACGAAGATTGTCGAAGAGAGAGAACGGAGAGAGTTGTTCGCCGTGGCACCTACAACCAATGGATGTATCACCTTCACGACGGTCAGGAACAGGTTGAGCGGGATGAAAAGTTTAAGAACTTTGCAGAAATGGATGAGAAGTGGTTGAGTGAAGACTCTCCTATTTTGCCTGACTCGCAGGAAACCGGGGAAGACCCATTCCCTTGGAGATATCATGGCGTAGGAAGGTGGCTGTTGACGTATGATATGTGGAAGGACATCGAGTCGAAATGGCCATCACCAACCTCAGCTTACAGTCACCAAACTCCTCGTGCGAGTCTATAGGCCCTTGTTTGAATAACACCATTGCTATCTGTTCACATCTCATGATATGTGATATAATGTTCGGAGTGAAATAGAACATTTTTCGCAATACTCTGTAATTACGAGTTCTCAGGGAACGCACTTCCGGCGGCATTGGTCATCGAACTAGTTATGTAGTACTTGTTGTTGTTCCTAGACAAACAATAAAATGCAATCTATGAAGAAAGCTGAGAATTGTTATTTCAAAGCAGAACTCCGATTGGATCTTTTAGTCTTTGGCCTTAACTACTTTGTTGAGCAGCTGTTGTTCCATTTCGGCCGTAACTTATCTTGCCTTTGCACTTTCGATAGGGCTTTATACACTTAGAAGCTACTGTATTGCAGTAACTCAATGCTTAAAACGCTTCTATCTACATACTATGCGAGCAAATTGATGTTTGACAACGAGTTTTCTTTGGGGCATGGCATCAATCGTTGGATATTCAAACAGCACGATAAGTCTTTGGAACATGTGAGAGGCTTCTATCTCATGCTAACCTCTTATTTCTACTGTCTAGGTACAAACTCCTGTCTTTAGGCACTTGCCGTAACCTCCGAGTTATCCACTTTGTAAAACTCATAATCGTTATATCCCTTCTCAGGAGGTTCTGCTCCATAAAACGTCGCACGATCATAGGGGTTTAGCGGCCAGCCATTCCTCAATCGCTCAACTAAGTCAGGGTTGGCGATGAAGTATCGGCCAAACACCACGGCATCCGCTTCGCCGCTCTTCATCTTAGACACCGCATTGTCACGGTCGAAACTACCAGCAGCGAAGAAGTGGATACCCGCCGGTTTCAAGATGTCTCTGAACTGAGTCAAGTTGTTGGTCTCTGACTTTGATCCGGACAAAGAGGCAAGCTTCTGCTTCTCGTCGAGAACTTCATCAAAACGAGGCTCGATCCTAAGAGCGGGCAGGCCCATATTAGCAAGATCCTCAAGGACACGGACGTGCTAAGAGCTTACATGTGTACATATACGGGCCGCTGCGCTTCTGGCAACTCAGCGATTTTCCGGGAAATGTGAGACCAGTGCTTGTTAGGGTCACTGTCCCGCGTACCCTGGAAATAGTTGTACGGGGAGAGACGAAGACCGACTTTCTCTGGCCCAATGGCGGCGCTGACAGCCGACAAAACCTCAAAGAGGAACCTTGAGCGATTTTCAATTGAGCCTCCGTACTCATCGGTACGGTTGTTGATATTGTCGTGAAGGAATTGCTCAAGGAGGTAGCCGTTCGCTCCTAGTTTAGCTATTAGCGATGCCGGGCAAACTGTTACTCGTCGGCGGCTTAATACCATGAATCTCAACACCGTCAAATCCAGCGACTTCGACCGCGCGTTTTGAGGCAGCAGCCCACTCCGCCGTCAGGTCGTGGATCTCATCGACAGTCATAGGTCTGGGAGGGCCATCTTTGCACTCAGTGCCGTCTAGGTACTTCCCATCCATAGGCTGACTGCCTGATGAAATTGGGGTATTACCACCCCTCATGCCAGATGATGAGGCCCTACCAGTGTGCCAGAGTTGGACGAAGATGAAGCCACCCTTGGAGTGGACGGCATCCGTCACCTTGCGCCAGCCCTTCAACTGGGACTCGGTGAAGACACCTGCGACACCAGGGTATGCGCTAGCATCGAGGCATATATCTGTAGCCTCAGCAATCTGAAGACCGCCGGCGCTGGCTCGCTGGCCATAATACTTCGCAACGCGATCACCAGGAACGTGGACACCACGAGACTCAAACTCGCTTCTCATACGAGTGGTGGGCGCCTACATCGACTCAGTATACTCTTTTCAATGTAAAGATCGGTTCTCATAAGAAAGAACTTACTTGCACAATGCGATGTTTGAGACTGAGACCACCCAGCTTCAATGGCGTAAACAAAGCTGTGTCCTTAAGAGCCGCGAAGGCAGGAGGAGGGGTAGTAGCTTTAGGCATGATGGCTCGTTATTGGAAAGCAAAGATTGATAGGGGTTAGTTATCGGATCTTGTCTGCACCAAAGTTATTCGAAGTAGTTGTATACTAATAACCATCTAACACCGTTGAAAGTGCCAGGTTATGAGCAGGCTGTCTGAGGCTTGAGCCATCGTGCGAAGCCACAAATCCATCCACAATTGAATGCACTTTCGTAGTCGGTCGAGATCGCCATGTTGATCGGTGGCTGCAAGCGCACCAAACCCCCATTTCCAGAAGTGGGAGTGGAGTCACCTCCGATGCTGGGGTGGCAGGATGCCTATCTTGGGGGTGGGGGTCACTCACAGATCAAGTAGTTTGTATCTGACCTGTCGGTGACACACCAGCAGTGATCAATCAACCCGCTCCAGGTAACGGGCGATTTCTACTCCCCTTGCGTGTTACATCCGGCAAACGATAAGCTAGGCCAGGTACGGGGAGCTCGGGAATGCGGGACACTGCGAATCCGTCCCCACAAGTTCGGACATCGGCGTGGAGACTTAATTCGTGGGGCAATACTCCTAATTATATGAGCCAGGTTGGAGATAACAGGCACCAAATACTGAGCAATGTTGGCTATCGATGGTTGGATTAGGAAAGTCCTTACCTCAGTCATTTTCTCACTGTGTATAGTGAAAAAGTGAGTGTGATGCATCTCGGTACTACATGATGTTCATTGTATTCTGCAATGATGGCTTAGCAGTGTGTGTATCTGGTTTGCAACGGCTATCCTAAAGTTAGGTACATAGGAAAAGCGTCCGCATGCTGGGATGTGTTGAGAACTTACCCCTGATGCATACAGCGAGTTGTGATAGTTTGGGGAAACTGTCCCAATCTTGTGTTTCATTTAATCAAGCCACGTCCTTCGGCCTTTAGTGGTATTTAGTATTGCCACGTTGCGATGCAATAGTGACATTGCTGTTTGATCATACAGCTACCACAAGGTGGAGTGGTGGTTTCCCAAAGAGTGAGAGTGCGGAAGGAGCTAAGCCCATAATCAATGCTAGTCATGGTTTGGGAAATGAAGAATTGGAATTTAGTGTGGTATCTTCTCCGCAAGGGGACAAAGTCACGTTCATGTAATAGTTGGTGCTGATGACCATGAAGCCTTTCGCTCTTAAAACTGAATCGCTAAATAGAAGCATGCCCGTGTGTCTCATAAGGCAGTCCGAAGCAGAAACCGCTCACCAATATCCATAATGCCGCACTGGCGTATATCGGCACAACAGTATACCCGGCATATGTTGACACAAACGATGCCACAAGACCGCCGAGACGAAGGAGTGTAGCTGCAATTCCCGTCCCTGTTCCACGAACGGGACCGGGGAAGGACTCGGGTGTGAATGCGTACATCACCGCATATTCTATCAAGTGCTTGTCAGCAATATGTCCTGCCCGACCATGTTTGGAACGTCAACTTACCAAAGTTTCCAAGGATTGCGGTTGCACACTGGAAACCAATGTCCGCAGCTTCAGTGCCAACCGCTGTATAGGCAAACAAAAAGGCTCCGGTCATTACAGCCGAGGCCGCCATCATCCACCGACGACCAAAGCGTGTTTCAACGCAAAAGCCGGCAGCTATCGGACCAATCACTCCAGCTGATGAAACAATACAGTAGATCATGTAGGTGTGATCCAGAGACGTGTTTGTGGAGTACGACGACTTAGTCTCCAAATACGATGGAATAAAAGCGAAGTAGAGCGGGTACGCCACGCCCACAGTGAGCCAAATGAGAAAAGTGACGAAGGTATGTTGCGCCATCTTCCTGCCAGCGAACAACTTCTTGTAATTGTCGGCGTTGTAGTCTCTGAAGCTCTCTCTCAGAATTTCCATGTGCGACAGTTTAGACCCTCGTGGGGCTACATCCGCATCCAGTGGCGCGGCAATGCTGCTCACGCCATCGTCTGAAGACGCAACTCCATTGCAGTGTCTGTCAATGGCTTGAAGCATGTCGAGAGTAAGAGTTTCGGGGCGACCGTTGTATCGAGCAATATAGTTGACAGCCTCTACGGCCTCGGCATCGCGGCCCTTTGAAATGAGGAACTTGGGCGACTCGGGGATCTTGAAAGCCACAATACGGATCAAGCCAAAGGCAATGGCAATACCGCCGAGGGTGATCATGAGATAACGCCTACCAGGTCAATGTTAAGAAGATGTTTCGATCAAACGATGCAAGTTTTGCAAATAAACTTACCACCCCATGTTGTCTTGCATGCGACAAGGAGCGTCCGTTGATGGACACGCAAAGTTTGCCAAGAACACCCAAGCCAGGAGAGACACAATAACCTGACCCAAGTTCCACCATGCTGACAGGCTGACGAGCAGCCATTGATGTGTTTGGGGGACGAACTCCAGAAACACGACGCTGTCAACGGGAACGTTGCCTCCGGCTGCTGTGCCAATGATCGCCCAGAGAATGCAGAAGCCAGTGAAGTTCTGAACACCAGCCACAGCACATGCGAAGATACCACCATAAAGGATAGTCGCATTAAATGCCGGCTTGCGACCGATGAGATCGGCAGTCGTACCCCAGAAGGAGGCACCGACTATCAGACCGACATAATAGGCTACTGAGCTGAAGCTGAGGCGCGCAATATCCGTAAACTCATTGCCGATCGGGGGTCGGATGGCTGTGATGCCCTGAGACCAAAAGTTGTCGACAATCCAGCCGAAGCCATTGACGACAAACAGAATCCATTGGAATCTGGTGCGAATATCCGTTAGTCACAGTCGCCAGAAACAAACAATTGCTCGTGCGCTCCAACTTACTTTCCCATACCAATTTCTCCAAGGTGTTTCGCGATGAGCTCCGACTTCATACGGTAGTTCTCATTCACAGCACCCGTGTAGAAGTCACGGAGGGCTGAGTCGGCGACAGAGTCCGCTTCGCCGTGCTGGACGGAGCCGGAGGGTGTCTGCCTCAAGCCGGTCTCCGTCGCGCCCTTACTGACACTCTTCTCGCTTGGAGCAGACATCCTGAACACGGTTCGGTTCGCAAAAATCGCAAGAAGACAGGTGAATGATTAGGTCCTGCTCTCAGAAAAGAAAGACGAGAAGCCTGGGTACTGGTTTTCGGTAACATAAGCCTCGCAGGGCGCCAACTCCCTCAACTTTATTGAAGCCAGGTACACCACTGGACGAGCTGTTTACCTTACATAAGGGTCCAAAGAATTGGAGCTAGAGGTCGAGGAACCGGCCAACACGTCGAACAGTCGCTCCATAGCTGACATAGCGACAGACCCGTTATGCCAGGGGTTTTCTGGGGTGAAGGACAAATCAAGGGTCCTATTCCGCTGGGGCGATCTTTACCTCAGCCTCACATGAAGAGATATGGAGATGGATATGGGCTATCGTGGGCTATCACTCGCCTGCATGTATGGATATCGATAGGGTCTATCTTCCCTACCTGTCACCGACGGTGTATCGCCCCAATCCCCTAGGATGAATCCTAGAGATTACGGGTCCCCACCCCCACTTTGGCATGCACGGCTTGTTCCAAACTTGACGTTGACTCCATTCCTGCTAGGGTGTCTGACATGGTCTCTCCAATCAACCGGACCACGCGCCGCGTCAAGCCGTTTTTAGAGTTCAGAAAACAAGGAAATAGTTTAAACTCTCCGCCTGCATGGCGTGCTATGATGATTTCATAGATGCGGGTTGGCTGCATTCCGGGGGGCCACGCAATTCTAAAAACCCCATATTAAAATATCTGCAAAATCTCTGCAGGTCAATTTTGGGTGCTATACGTAAGAAAAGTGACCCTGAATTTCTTACCACATCGTGTACCGGGTAAGCGAGAAGAGATAGGCGCATATTATCCATGTTTGTTAACTCGGCTACATGGTTGTTCTGCGCTTTTGCCTATGGAAACTGGGTAGCTTTTCATTGTGTTGATATCGAGGATACGTACGTCACATCAATTTCCCATACTCTGGACGGCTGGGACAGATTGACTCGAATCGCGCAAATTGTGCCGCTTGTGCTGCATGTCCCATTTCCTGCCTGTCACTTTGTCTACACCGCTATGTACTGCCTTGGACCGCGGCAAGCGCAATCTAATAACCGTCCGCTATTTGTAAGAAGCCACCAAAGTAGTCATCCAGCCACTTTGCCGCAAGCTCACCGACGCCACGATCTGTGGCGCTCCAGCGGCCAATTGATCCTACGTAGCCGTCTGGTCGAACGATGATCACTGCAGCCTCATCGGGTCCTAGACCACCTAGCCACTTGTCCGTACACGATCGGCCCTGTGTGTCAAGGGACGCCACATCGTCCAGGTAGACCGTCCAACCACTCTGAGAAAACAAATGTGGCAGAGACGCAATCTCGAAGTCATCTTTATTTGTAGATGCTGTGTGAAAGCTGAGTCAGTAACAGGCGCGCAGCAGCGTGGTCAATTGGCAGGCGCTCATTGGCTAGTAACCGGGCTCGGGGCTTCCTCCGACGTGGAGAACCGAGGGAGACAACGAAGAAGAACGACTTACTGATGAGGGCAAATGTGCAAAGTTGGCTGACTGAAGTATATCTTTCAGGACGCTCATGAACGTTATCGGCTCGTTCGGCTCGGGGCTTCATCTCGTAGGACTGAGCCGCTGCCGTTGACAGCCGCGACACCAGGGAAGATGCCGATGTTACGCCATCACTGAAGCAGCTTAGGAACGAAGCTCCTGCAGCGCTCAAGATATCGTTTGAAGCTGCGTACACGCGGAACTGACCCAAAATAGGAATGTCTAGCTGGGCATCTACCGGACAAGCGTCGATATACCGAGTGAGCTTTGCAGGTGGGAGATTGCAGCCAGGCTTAGCGTGACCTTTCACGGTCTCTGCGCATCTTCGGTTAAGCTCATTCTCGCCATATTCAACACCCACGCCCGAGATAAAGCGTGTGTTCGTTTTGAAATTCTCAGCTAAGCGTTTAGCATCGCCGCCAGCAATTTCGTTGGCGTGTTCGAAGTCGAAGTTGATGAGGTCGTGTGCAATTTTCTTGCGCTCCTGCTCATACGTGCCCAACAAAATGTCATTCTTCGCAAATCCGCGCAAGGCCAAGTTCAACTTCCATCCTAAGTTCCAAGAGTCGTGGATGCTTGTGTTCATGCCTTGAGCGGCCTTTGGACTGTGGGTGTGACTGGCGTCTCCAGCGATGAAAGCACGCTGGTTCGGGTCTGAGAAGCGTGCGGCCACACGCTGAGCGACTTGGTAGTTGCCGAACCATTCTACAGAGCGCCATTTGACGCTGTACGGCGCGAGGATCAGTTTCGCTTGTTCCATTACGTACTGCTCGCCCAAGTCTTTTGACGATGTCGAAGACTTCATCTCGATATAGAAACGGGTCATGTTGCGTTCTCTAGGGATGATAAGGATGGACCCATGTTGTTCCGAGAACACTACCGTCTTGCTCCAGATATCAGGAAAGTTCGTCTCCAGTTCACCATCCAAGACACCCCATACCGAGGTGTGTGGCGTCCCTTGGGCGTATGTATCGGGAATACTTTTGCGTACGAGAGACCGTGCACCGTCGCAACCAACGAGATACTCCGAGCTTATTCTCATTGGACCTATCTCAGCGTGTTGGCAGTCAATTTGCAATGAGCCGTCGTTCAGAGCACCGTAGGTCTGGAAGCTATGGTTGCGCTTGATCTCAACACCGCTCTTGCGAAGGTCGTCGATGAAGACACCCTCCATCATACCCTGATGACACAGCAGGATGTAAGGCTGTAAAACATCAACAACAGATGTAGGGTAGTGAATGGACCGGCTCAGCCGACGCAGGTCAGCTTCGCTCGAGCTCTGCCACATGCAAATGTCATGCACCTTGACTCCTGTGCGGAGGAGCTCGTCACCGAGGCGGAGCATCTGCAGCGTCTCTATTGACTTCGGCTGGATTCCGTCTGCTCGACCGACAGTTGTCTGGTCTGGTCTTTCATCAATAATCTGAACATTTTGACCGAATCTTGCAAGCAAAGATCTGTATCAACGGATTAGCACGGAGAAGTGGGGCAGAAACATCGGTGATAGTGGGGCACGCACCCGAGCATAAGGCCGGCAGGCCCGGCTCCGACGACGCAGACATCAGATTTGCCTCGATGTGCGTTCTGTTGTTGCCGACCATATAGGTTATGGCCACCATTGCTGTGAGACCCATTAGGCGCCGCTGAGCTTGTCGTCATTGTGCTGTGTATGTGAGAGGGAAATCCTCGAGTGAAGCTAAACCTTTCAGTATTGCCGATTGTCAATGTAGAAGTAAGAGTATGTAGGGTCCAAATTGGGGTCTGTGGTCGAAACGACTTATACCGACAGATCGGGGCTTCCTAGCTTCGGTATAAGACCAGTGCTACTTGCTAAAAGAATAAATCTTAAGAATAAAACCAAATGCTTGAATCAGTATCTCGTGCAAAGCTCGTTAACTCACTTCACAAAAATGGCTCGATATCCGGCTGATGATGATGCCAACAGGTCCCGCAAGCGTGGTGCCATTTTTGACATTCCCATCAATGCGCGGAGACGTACCTCCATGTATTGCGGGCATTTCCTCCCACTCCCCAACCCACGCCGATGTCGTATCGAGTTCCCTTAGGTCCCCCACTTGCGAGGGGTAGAGCACCTGCTGGCACAAACCATCCTAGGGTGGAGTAATAATCCGCGGGGTAAGGTGTTCAACTCATTCGATTATCTGTTGGGGTATCCACTGATAAGCCAGTTTCGGTAACATCTCGGCGACCCGAGTCCGATGACGGCGGAGCTGACGGCCGGCTGTTCCACCAGTCGATCCGCTCGGTGTCCCGAATCTCTTCGCGCAGCCGGGCTCGCCACGGAGGCGTAGCTAATCACTTTATAGTAGAGGTAAAGAATCTCCTTGCGGTGTCTTGGAACAAGTGAAATCATTCGCAGCTGCTCACTAACCTTGACATCCTTACGCCTTCTGTGCAACGCGACAGCGACCATGGCGAAACTCACAACCCCGCATTCCATACAAAGATGGCAAGATGTAGTGACCAAAAAGAGACAGGTTCGGGCGGAAGCTCTTGCTGCACAGGCAGATAAACAGTCAAGCGATTCGAAAGCTCTTGACATCGCTAATGTGGCGGACGCCACGGGTCTTGTATCGATGATGTCACAAGGCACGATTTCAAGTGAGGATGTCATAAACGTGTATATCCAAAGGTTCGCTCTATGTTTCATTAAGTCTGATATTTCTTACTGAAAATATCGCTCACGTCTCCTGCAGAGCGACCGAGACACATGGAAAGGTAGGTTGTTGTCTTCTAAAGTACTGAAAACACACTGACGCCTTCTGGCGGGGTTAGACAAACTGGTATGTGAAAGTTCTAAGCTACATCTGGCGACCGGTTTACTAAGGCTCAGTTTGTCTTTCAATGTACAGTCTGACGGAGATACTGTTCGAAGATGCATTGCAGCGCGCGAGAGAATTGGATGCCTACATGGCTAAATTTGGGAAACCTATTGGCCCCTTGCATGGCGTTCCAGTCACACTCAAAGATCAATTCAACGTTCAAGGGTTTGATTCAACTCTTGGTTATGTTGGCAGATCTTTCAAGCCGGCAGGAGATGACGCTGTTGTGGTTAAAATGCTGCGATCTTTGGGTGCCGTCATAATTGCCAAATCAAACTTGCCACAGAGTATCATGGTCAGTCAAACTGCATCACCTCTAGTCAAGTAACTCGTGGTTTTGATATTGGAAACCAGCTAACATTCTTTGCATTCTCATTCTGACAGTGGTGCGAAACAGAGAATCCTTTATGGGGTCTCACAACCAATCCTTTGAGTGATAAGTACACTCCTGGTGGTTCGACTGGTGGTGAAGCAGCACTTCTTGCTTGTCAGGCGTCTGTGTTAGGATGGGGGACGGACATCGGAGGAAGTATCCGCATTCCATCACACATGATGGGGCTATATGGATTCAAACCTAGTGTAAGCCAATCCTCTTGCAATAATAAGCTGCATATTGCTAAGGGAGGATGTGCCGAATACATGAAAGCTGATTACCCTTGCAGAGCGCACGTTTGCCCTACAGAGGCGTCCCAGTTTCCACAGAGGGCCAGGAACATGTTCCATCGGCGGTTGGTCCAATGTCACGCACATTCGACACCATTCATCTTACGATAAAGAACTTGGTCAACGCTAAGCCCTGGGAGCTAGATACACGTTGCGCACCGATTCCATGGCGGGAAGAAAAATGCAACGAAACTTCATCTAGGCCTCTAACTATTGGTGTTCTACATGATGACAACGTTGTCCGCCCCCATCCACCTTTGACCCGAATTCTTCTTTCCGCAGTGCAAGCTCTGCAGGCAGCAGGCCATGATGTTCTTGAATGGAACTCTGACTTGCATGAAGAATGTATCAGGACAATGGTGAGTATGGATCAGGCTCTGCTTTCAGGTGTCCACTGACCGCCAACTTTAAGGACCAATACTACACAGCCGACGGTGGTGAGGACATACGAACAGACGTGTTAGCTGGAGGCGAACCTTTCATCCCTCACGTTGAAAGACTCATCAACCGTGACGAACCAATCTCTGTCTATCAATATTGGCAGTTGAACAAGCGCAAATGGGAGTTGCAGCAAGCATATCTCGAAAAGTGGCAATCAATTCGATCAGCCAAAACTGGTCGCATGGTTGACATCATTCTCATGCCACCTATGCCACACACGGCTGTGCCGCATGGCGGGTGTCGTTGGGTTGGATACACAAAAGTCTGGAACTTTCTCGATTACCCCGCGCTAGTCATACCTGGAGGACACGTCTGCCAGCAAGATCTCAACGAGCCTTGGTCTGCGACGGCAAGGGGAACGGAAGACGAGTGGAACAGCAGTTTGTGGAAATCTCACAGAGAGGAGATGGCTTCACTTAGTTTGCCGGTGGGATTGCAGATTGTTGGACGCAGACTCGAGGAAGAGGTGGTGCTTGCCGCTGGCAAGATCATAGATGATGTTTTGCGAAGGATTGATACAGGTTGTCAAAGGACAGATTCTTTGGCAAGAAGTTGAATTGATTCTCGGCTTCGAAAATACCGTCTGAATTAAAGGAGATTCACAATGTTGGAACAAGGGCAATCGGAGGCAGCAAGAGATGGGAGGCATAGGCCCGTCAGCCACACCTGACAAGGTGTGGCCAGCCACTCAGCCACAATGAGGGGCACATCCCACTCCACCTTACCGCTGGCCACGCAGTTAGACTGCCCATCTCCATACCTATAACCAACAAGCAATATCACTACTTTGACGTGACCATTGCTATCACTCGTACGAGTATCACCACCTGTGAAACTAACATGTATTGAACTGTTTTCTTCTAGAAGAAAGAAAGGTTCCCGAAATGCATATCGTACCGCTTGTGATCTATACCCATGGTTGCTCCGGTCAAGTTTGATAAAAATGTTCAAAATTGGCATTACGACCATGGAGTGGCTAGTGATAGATTGCTTTATAAGGCGGAATAGAATGTGTTTTAGAGGCTTTACATAATACGACATGAACCATGAAGCCATTTCGACATACAAAGATAGGCGGTCAGTATATGAAAAATCTCATACCCATTACTTATCAACTGTCGGCGATTGTGTCTTCTTCCAATCTTCGTACTTTTTCATGACTTCTTCACGGCTGGCAGGCATCAAACCTCCTTCTGGAGCCGGGTTCTTAGACTTGAAATAGTCACTCATCTTTCACCAGGTTAGGACTATACCTAAGTACGAGAGATGGAATAAAAGCTTACCTCTCCCATCGTCACCCACTCGACGCCTTCGTGTTTATTAATGTGCTCAATGATGCGCTCATGCATCAGGAGAACGTGGGGCCGGCCCGAAACATCCGGGTGGATGGTCATGGGGAAAATGAACTCGTCTGTCTCCAATGTTAGAACAGGCAACCAACCCTTGCTTCTTTTCCGTTTTACTTACCATACTCCCTGTAAAAGTAGTCGAAATGGTCCCGCCAAATGTCTTCAACATCCCTGCAAGTCGCGGTTGTCAGTCGTGGGTACCTCCACCTCAACATCAACACCAACCACCAACCTTGGGTTCACCCAGCCGTGAGAATTGGCCGAATTCTTCATAAACATCATTGGAGGAAGATCGTCGATATACCAAGAGCCTGGTATCTCAACGAGGCCGGTATCCTTTCCCTTCACTAAGGGCTTCATCCATGTGTCGGCTTTTTGGGTGTAGTCAATCTTGGTCCAACTGTCCCCTGTTCTCAACCAGTACGCTTGGCAGTCATGATGCGACATTGAGTGATCGTACTCGATACCATAGCTCAGGAGCAGCTCAGTTCCTTCTTCACTAGTCTCCCACCAAGGCGCAACACTGCCCTTGGGGGGCTTACCGCCACAGAACTCCGTGAGCATCTTCCATGTCTTATCCAGAACATCACGTTGCTGCTCAAATGTCATGTCGACGGGGTTCTCGTGGCTGTAGCCATGCAGACCGATTTCGTGACCTGCATCACGCACCATGGCACACTCCTCTGGGAACGTTTCCAGCGAATGACCGGGGATGAACCAAGACGCTTTGATGTTGTACTTTTCAAAAAGCTTTAGAACTCGACGCGTACCGATAGTCCCAGCCCAGATACCTGGGGTTCAGTCACTTGTCAGCCAGTCCAGCTTAATAGCGCCAAGGATTATGGACCCCGGAAATGGGACTGGACTTACCTCGACTGATGTCACTGGTACTATCCTCGCCACCGTAAGAGCCGAGCCAACCAGCGACGGCATCGATATCAACGCCATAGCTGCAATAGGAGGCATGTTAGAGGTTGTCTGTATTGGAGCAGTGTGTCTCAAAGGTAGCTCCATACCAGACAAGAACCTTCTTCTTTCCCATTGTAGCGGAAACTTTAATTTTGTGAATCACTGAAAACTTATGATGTGAGAGACTCAAGGCTATGCAAGTTCTGTTGTTCATTGAAACTGTGACCTTTTTTAATGGTGCAAATCCGGCCCGGTCCCAAGATACTGTGAAGTTGTTAAGCTAGAGGTTTGGTACTTTGTTGGCAGTTGACTTCAAGCTCCTTGAATCCACTCCACAAGAATGGGGGAGGTTTTCCAGGTTTCCCAAGTATCCATGTCTTATCGCAACCTTTGGTGCACTGGCACCGGTTGGCTGCGCTTATACCCCTACTGCAGCATCCATTGATGGGGGAGGCTGAGCCCCCACTCCCATTCTTGGATCAATGTAATCCCACTTTCGAAGCACATCCACATCCAAATATCCACTCAAATCGAGATAAGGACTGGTCAAGATCTTCTCTCTCCTTTTACGTTGATCGTTAATTGGGCTACGGGGATGGGGTTGTTAATGCATCGGATGGCCAGCTCAAACAACTACTCACATTGATCCCCTGCAACGCTATACTTGTGGAACTACAAGCCACTCTTGCCAGAAGGATCGCCAAATAGCGTTAAATCTGGTGGTCACGAATGAAACCCAACAATCTAGAATACAGCGCTTGGTGCGTGAACTACTGGGTGGATTGTATTTGTTGTGTCTCCGAACAGCCGAGACCTGGTAAGGGAATGGGGAAGGCTTTCATAGTGCATCTATGCCAGCATGGATCGTGTCATTGAAACATTTTCATACTCTTTCCGATCGATACTAGCTTGGCTTTTAGTGGCAGTTTCCACAAGAACGAAATAGGAAGAACCAAACATCGGTATTCGCTTGTCGCCTTTTTGCCGAAGCTATTCAATTTTGCATTTTATCTTCCTTGAAAGCATTGTGTTTCCACTTTAGCTTGAGTTACGCTGTGTACCACAGAGGGCACCCCCTATTGTTCCAGTGTATCATATCTGTATTCAATACCTGTTGTGCTTGGCAATTCTCAATCACGTAAGATACGCACACAAGATCAATATTTACGATGTCAAAAGTATGTTGCAAAGTCACAGTCTCTTTGATTGATCTGCTGCGAGGTTTTGGTGCCATGAACACTAACGACTTCAGTTTTCTCTGCAGGGCCGCGTCGCCGTTGTCACTGGTGGTGGCAGGGGTTGTGGGTTTGCCTTTGCCCAAGGTCTCGCTGAAGCGGGAGCCGATGTTGCCATCTTCGACTTGATCGAACCAGAGCCCACCACCTTTGAGCAGCTCTCTACAGCGAACGGCATTCGAGCAAAGGCATACTCTGTTGATGTGACGTCGCTTTCAAGCTTGGAGAACGGGTTCGCATCTGTTGCGGCTGACTTCGATGGCAAGCTTGATATTTTCGTCGCTTGTGCTGGTGTGAACAAGAACGTGGAATTTCTTGACACTGAAGAGGCAGATTTTGACAGACTTTATGGTGTTAACTGTAAGGGATTATATTTCTCTGCCAAGCTTGCTGCGAAGGCTATGATCTCCAACGGCACCAAATGCGGCAGCATTATTTTCGTCGCGAGCATAGCCTCTCATATCGCCATTCGTTCACAGCGCTCTACTGCCTACTGCGGCACAAAAGGGGCCGTTAGAGCTATGGTGGCACCTATCGCTGCCGAACTGAACAAATACGGCATCCGAGTCAACTCGATCTCGCCCGGCTATGTGAGAACCGAGATGACCGCGCCTTTCCCCCATCTTCTGGAGAGCTGGAAGGATGAAATCATGAACGGTCGTGTTGCGGAGCCAGATGATATCAAAGGTGCATGTGTCTTTCTAGCCAGTGATGCTAGCAGGTAAGTTGTTTTGTTACAAAAGCCTTGTTGACCGAACTGATTGGAATTTCACAGATATTGCCAGGGAAGTGATATTCTAGTTGATGGAGGTGTCACCAAATGGTAGCTATAACATATATAAACATAGCAATTGCACTCGTACTTTTCCGTATGGTGTTATGCCTAGGTGCTGTCTTTCGAGGCTACACACATGAAAACCCTCTTGGTTTGTGAACATTTGTTAGATGGGTTGTTTTCACAACAACAGAAAGGTGCGACTAAACGTGACACAAAGGCTCTGTATTTGGCAATAGCTGCGTAAGAAATCCGGCTTATGCACCATTTTTGCTGGCTCTTTGCCAGCAATGCAACGTAAGCGCTGGGGTGAGTCAGTTTTGACCAAGTCACGTGTACTTGCCTTTTTAATGCAGTTTTATGACGCCGACCAATATTTTTGAGTCACCCTGATGCATCCTTGAATGTACTGAAGTTTTCCCCTCATTTAGGTTCAAGACACTCTGCTCAACGCTAAGCAACCCGAGTTGTACACAACACCACCGAAATGGCTGTTTTCGCCATTGTTTGGGCCACAGTGGCAAATGAGGCCGTGTTCTTGTTTCTCATTGCCCCGTTGGCAATTCTTTGTGTCTACTTCGTCTTCAACGTTTTCTTCCATCCTTTAAGCGGGGTCCCCGGGCCGTGGAGAGCAACTGCCGCTCCGCTCTGGCTATGGTATCACTCGTATGCTGGTGACGAGACCACTTCAATCGAGCTTTTGCATACAATTTACGGCCCGGTCGTTCGAATAGCCCCAAATGATGTCGATATTAGCGACGGTGCAGCTCTTGCCCCTATCTACTCGGAGAAGGGCGGTTTTTTGAAAGCCCCCTGCTACAGGAACTTTGACTTTGACGGGCATCCAACAATATTTTCTGCTCTGAGTCCAGCGCATAGATCCATTCGCGCAAAAGCAGTTGTTAGCATGTTCAGTCCAGCTTCGCTCCGCAAAGAGGGCGATGCAGTGCTTCAGTCCTGTGTCAAGAGACTTGTTACCCATATCAAGGAAGAGGCTTCCTCGGGAAAGCCGGTCAACGTGCTCAATATGGGCAGATGTCTGGCCCTTGATGCCGTTACCGAGTATCTACTCGGCAGGTCTTATGGAGGCATCGTTGAACTTGAGGCGTCCAAAACCAGCAAAGCATCCAAAAAACTCTCTGCGAGCGAGTTTGTCGACACTTTTGTTGCAGTTGGCCGTTTCTTTCTGTTGCCAAACTGGATCTTCCACGGACTGGAGTGGGCTCTACCAAAGCTGTACCCTGATCGAGAGGTCGATCAGTCAATGGATCTTGTCACGAACTTTTGTCGCCAAGTTGTTGCTGATGCCGATCCTGAGAAAGATCAGACATATCAGGCTCGGTTGCTAAGAATTGGCATAAGCAAGGAAGAGGTCGCTGTACAGTGTATGGATCTCATTTTCGCTGGCACTGACAGCACAGGCATGAACTTCGGCACGATATGCTGGCATTTGGCAAAGTCCCCAGAGGTGTATCAGAAGCTTAAAGTCGAGCTTGCGACATCGTCAGCCATGCAGGCTGATCCGCAGACTCTCCCATATCTCCGAGGCGTGATCCGCGAGGGACTGCGAATGTCGATGGCAAATCCAACAAGGCTGCCTCGTCTTGTGCCACCAAACGGATTTCTGTTCACAACTAAGATGCCATCGGCTAACATCACGGCCTTCAAATTCCCCGGCGGTACCTCCATCGGATGTGCACCATTTAGCCTACACTTCAACGAGCATGTCTTTCCTGATTCAAGATTATTCAAACCAGAGCGATGGCTCGAGCCGACTGAAGAAATGCTGCGCGACTACATTCCCTTTGGCCTAGGCCCAAGGCAATGCATTGCTCGAAATCTTGCGTCTAGTGAGCTGTTCTGGGCAGTTAGAGAGTTGGCTGTTTCTGGGGCCCTCGATGGCGCTCGACCAACGGGACGTATGGAGGAAGGCATTGTTATTGACGAGTGGTTTAACTCAAAGGTCCGGGGCCACACAATCGAGTTGACTTGGGGACAAAAGGAATAATTGTGGCCTTACTATGATACTGGCATGGTTACTAAGACTGATGCTCAGATTTTTACGCGGCGATGTCTCTTAAAGCAAGGCGAACGTTTGCATTCATGCCAGGAGGTGACAAAAACAAGGTGCTACCCTCAAAACTAATACTCTCCGAGGGCCTTTAGTAGAACTACCGCAAAAAAACTTCCAAAATCAAAGTGAAAACTAAACTAACGTGAAAAATACTTCAGAACATCTTCAGCTTATATGCTTTTGCTCAGCAATTGCTGAGCAAAACTGACAGGGTGAAAGTCACATCGGTAGAACAGATTATTAGCAGCAATTGATGAAGCGGCGTGATGCTATTGTCACTCGGTAGCTCCTTGACTCGAATCTTCCGCTGGAATCCTTTGGCCCACGTCACTGAGAACAGGACGTCATGATTTGGCCTGCGCTGCAAGGGCCATCGGGTACAAGAGTGACGCCGAAGCGGAGCAACTCTCCACAATACTGGGTCAAACTCACACCTTGGCCTAGATTGCTTACAAACGCTGAAACGACTGTTGTGAGCGAAGCTTTCGCAGGGGCGAACTCGCGATAACTACTTGATAAACATGACAGAGGCCACTCATATCACTGAAAGTTCCCAAATCAGGACAACTTGACAGGTCTCTCCGCGTCTCACGTCAATAGTCGCGCTCCATTCTATTATCAGACATATTCATTCAATATGACTCGACGATGGACATTGAATGGCCAAAGTGGCTTTGATAAATGCCTCAAGTATGAGGTGAACGTCCCGAAGTCGAGCCTGCTTGGCCAAAACGAAGTTTTGGTGGAACTACACGCCGCCAGTTTGAACTATCGTGAACTTGCAATTGCAGACGCTGAGGTTAGCTCACCAAAGTATGGATTGTCTAAGGAGCTAACATCCTTTGTAGGGATCAGCAGCCCGAGCAGGCCCAATTCGGCCCAACGTTGTACCCGGCTCTGACGGTGCAGGAATCGTGAAGGAAGTCGGGGCGTCTGTGTCGAATTTCAAGCCAGGTGACCATGTCATCACCCATCTCGCACCAAAATTGGCCGAAAGATCTGGAGACGAAGAATTACCCGCCTATTCCGATATCGCAGATGGTCTCGGTCAGGTTGTTGATGGAACATTGCGATCAGAAGGCGTTTTCCCAGAGACTGCACTTGTTCTTGCTCCCAAGTCTTTGAGCTGGTCGGAAGCTGCGACATTGACATGCAGTGGACTCACAGCTTGGAACTCGCTGTTTGGTCTCAAAGGCAGGGAGCCGGGTCCCGGTACTTGGGTTCTCATCCAAGGAACAGGCGGTGTGAGTATCGCCGCACTGCAACTGGCTGTTGCATCTGGTGCGACTGTTGTTGCCACAACCTCATCTGGAGAAAAGGCCAAACGATTGGAAGATCTCGGTGCTATGTACACCGTCAGTTACCGTGAGAACCCTTATGATTGGGGCATGAAAGCTAGAAGTGTTACTCCGAACCAGAGCGGGTTCGACATTGTTGTCGATATTGCCGGAGATGACTCTTTAGCCCAATCAATCTCAGCAGTTAGAACCGACGGCGTTGTTGTGGCAGCGGGCATTGTAGGTGGACAAGCTAAGCCTGTACCAATGTTGGCTGCCCTTGGGCGCCCGTGCATTGTCAGAGGTGTACTCTTGGGCAGCAGGAATCAATTCCGAGAAATGATTCGTTTCGTGGAAGACAAAGGCGTAAAGCCAGTTGTTGACGACGTAGCGTTTGAGCTCGCTCAGGCTAAGGATGCGTACGCTCGACTGAAAGCGAAGAAGCATTTCTCTAAAGTTGTCATCAAGATAGACCATTGAGCCATGAGTCAATGGTCAAGGCTTATAGAACAAGTCATATACTTTGTGTATATAAACTCGCGGCCTGTATCCTTTTTTTAAGGTTCTGCTCTACTGGCTTTCCTATGAACATGTCTCTACGCTATTGACCCCCGAATCTACCTCAGTATCATACCAATTTCTTTGAGCATCGTTAACTCTATCAGGAACACTAAACGAAGTATCTCCATCTCTGGTCTTTCTCGCCCTCACTCAGATCCCGCGTCTCGACATCCTCCGCTCTCAGAGAAACACCCTGTTCCTTGTTTTTTCTGTTGTTTTCTCTTCTCATCCAGATTCCAAGCCAAAGGGTAAAGACTATGCAAGTTACATTGCAACCAGCTGTTGCGATAAGTGTTGGAGCATATCGTGGGGCATAAGTTGTTCGAAACGTCCCTGCCGAGAGAATACCACCTAGATTTCCAAGACCCACAAGCAGACCAGTCGTCGCGGCCCGTGAGTTTTCGCTCAAGTTATTGTTATTGTGCCAACTGTGAACAAGACAACTTGGAATATAAGCGCCGGCAGTGAGTAGGAAGGTCGCGAAGTATGCAATCGCAATGTGGGCTCGAGCGTCGATAGCAGCCAGAACAACGAGACCTACGAGGCTAGTTGTCAAGCTGGCGACAATGTGAAAGGTTCGCTCTCTGTTCCTGTCGGAGCTATAGGTAACAGCGAGTAGAACCAAAAAGCCAGCAACGTTTGGTGGAACCGTAAGTAGGTTCGTCGTAACCTTGTTGTAGCCTAATCGACCAATAACGAGAGGTAGAAAGTTCGCCGTTGTGGCGAATGCCACAGGATAGGTGAGACTGATGATGCACCATATCGGGAACTTCCAGTCTTTCCAAGTCTGGAAACATTTTTTGAAGCTGAACTCTTCCTCAACGTCACGAGTGCCATCCCTGAGGGACCGAAGAGAAGCAACCTCCCGCTCTGCTTGGGTCAGAAACCATGCAGTTTGCGCATTTGCAGGCAGCCACCAGAAGGCCACAATACCAAAGATGACTGTGAGAGCACCTATGTTTTGTTAGTTCCTATTCATAAGTGTATTTGATCACATCCATACCTTCGATGATAAAAAGCCACATCCACCCATGGACATGAGGGTCTTGGATTCGAAATACTCCGAAAGATATGAGACCAGAAAATGCGCTAGCTAACAACGCACTACCGAAGAACAAAGCAATGCGAAAGCCAAGTTCTCCTCGTGTATAAAACAAGGTCAGGTAGAAAACCGCTCCGGCGAAGAAACCGGCTTCGAAAGCTCTGTTGGAAATAGTGTGTTAATATCATTTTAAGTTATGTATGAAGACATTACTTACCCAAGAATTAGTCGAATAGCCAGCATGCCTCCAAAGTTCTTACAGGCTGCTTGCAAGAGTGCCATGGCTCCCCACCCTACCATCAGTCCCGGCAATACAATGCGGCCCGAATAACGCTTGGTCAAGAGGTTTAGGGGCAGGTCACAAAGACCATTTGGTATGTAAAAAAGTAAGATAAGCAGTGAGTATTGTTCTCCGACAAATCCCAAGTCCTCACTCATACCATCTGTTTCGGCGTTTCCAAGGTTGCTCTAGCCGCAAAGTTAGCAAACTGGCCTCACTCAACTGCTACATGACACTTACCCTATCAACTGCGTTGAAGAAATACACTGCTCATGTCAGCATAATGGCCTTCGATTATTGAACCAAAGTGTTCATTTACTTATCGACAGAAAAGGCAGAAGCCACAAATCCATCTTGCGAACTGAGTGAAGTCAGCATCAGAGTCATCTACCAGAAACTTCGCCTCAAATTCACTCATGAGTCTTACCGTAAGCATTTTCTGTGGCGGCACTGATCATTGTTTGCGTCCCAGACTCTTGGTCCCCAGCTTTGGGGTCTTCAGAGGGTTTGGGTACCGTTTTGTCAAACTTCTCCATGTCGGTTGCAGGGGGTTGCACTGAAATGATGGGAGTCAATGCCGACTAATATACTATTGTGTTTACAGTTTGCTTGAGGATTGGCAACGTACTGAACTTGGTTATATAAAGTCCATGAGCAATATCATATGCGGTATTCTTATTAGTATCCAACCACCTATATGGGCTTCTCCTCCCATCCGCCAGTCACAGCTTACAGGTCAATGTTCAACATAAGATAACCGATAAGAGCGGTGCAATGATGATAATCCAAAAAAAGAGGGGTTCCTTTGAGCCGCATTAATCCCGAGGCCTCGACCACCAACACAGTACATGGTGATATGCTGTCAAACACACAGGATCAAGAGTGGGGGTTGTCACGTAGCATGGGGGATGGGTTTTGTAATCTGGAACAGACCCAAGTTCCCCATTAGTGATCGCTGCCCACTTCAAACGAGATCCTAACAATATCATTGCTATACTATGTAGAACTTGCGACTCTCGATTACATGTCTAGAACCTTATCCTTACGCGACAGCAATCTGTGCCGGCTGAGCTTCTGCTTGCTGCGCTTGCATCTTGTTCGCTGTGGCTTGCTCCAAGCCCTGCTTGTACAGTTGTGCCCGTCCGTAAGACTCAGCATATGATGCGGACACCGCCTGCTCCACAGTGACAGGCCCAAATTTGGCCGGTTGAGTCTCCGACTTGCAAGTCGGAATGCACTCGACCAAGTAGTCAGGGTTACCAGAAACAAAGACAGGAATAGAATAACGTTCTTTTCCAGACTTGTTGATGACCCTATGAATGTTGCTTTTGTACAACTCGTTGGTCCACCTTGCCATGAGATTGCCCAGGTTCACTACGAAGGCTCCCTCAGTTGGCGGAACCTATCCATTACTTATTAGCACTGATGCATAGATAGAACGCCAAGTTGACTATGAGCCCTCCTACTTACATCAATCCATGTCTCGTTCTTCTTGTCCCACACCTGTAAGCCATCCACTTCATCTTGAAGAAGCATGGTGATGGCGCCAAAGTCCGTGTGAGCACCAATCCCGCGCGTCAGCTTCTCGTCTGCGTCTTTGGGTTGTGATGGATAGTGAAGAAGTCTCATGGTTGCAACAGCTCCATCCATGAACTTGGCAAAGTAGTTTTCCTCGAGGTTCAGTGACAGCGCAAGAACCTTCATCAAGTCAACAGCTAGCTTCAGCGTCGAGGAGTAATATTCCATCGAAGCTTCCTTGAAACTTTGCAAGTCACTTCCCAGGCCCTCTGGCCACTGGTTAGGACCGCTGTTAAGCTTCTTGTTAATAAAGTAAGGGTGAGTCTCGGGGATTTCAGCTCCAATGTAGAAACCCTCTTTGAGTTCTGGCTGCGTCCCCTCCTCCAGAATTTGTGATCTCAGCATCTCATAGCCGCGGTTCCAGGTGGTGTTCTCCTTGGCAACTTTCTGCTTCTCTTCGAGGGGAAGAGCAAAGAATTTCTTAGCGTTGTGCATGGCGGACTTCTGCTGCGCTAGAGGTACAGAGTGACCGATGATCTGGAAGAATCCGTTGTAAAGGCAGCTTTCACGGACCTGGTCCACGACCTTCTGCTTCTGCAACGGATCCTTAGAATAAAACCCTGCGAAAACACGTTGTTAGATATCACACTTCAGGCGACGCATATTGGCTGGGTCTAGATTTACCTGAGAAGTCGATAATGGGGATTTCAAGAGCAGCCATGGTGGTTTAGGTAAAATATGACTTTCGACAGCAATAGTGCGCTCGGCTATAAAATGCAAGATCCAAGTCAGGTTGCGGAAGTCTTCAAATTGTTTAGGCAGTCTGTGAATGTCTACGCAGTCGAGCCAGGAGATGCCCGCAACCGATCTTCGCTGATATAGTCCTGAAAGCATGTGATATCTGAGATCATCAACACTCTCCCGAACACAATCACCCCCTCTTCGCTCCTCGGATGCTTGCTCTGGCGACGGGATGCCACAGTCAGGAGTGGGGTCAACGATAGTATCTCCTGCGTGGATGGGTGCCAAGAGCGCGGCATTTACCGGAAAAAACACAGTGGTGGTAGACTAAGACTGATAAGAATAGATGATAAGTTTACAGGACAGACTAGACGCCGCAGGTGCCGTTCCGTTCTCGGCGTTGGCCAATCCCCCGCCCGCCGGAAAACCCACTTTCCCCTCTTGCTGAAGAAAGATAAGGTGTGTTCCAGCACCTTGAAGATAGCAAATGACATGGTTCCAAACCTCCAGCCACACGTTTCGCGCACGCGGGGTGCATGATTATGCGTGCTAATTGCCACACGGCTTCAATCAGATTATCATCGCGCAGAGGGCAACCCACTACATCGAATGGCTTTCTGCAGCGGACTGATGATCGTAGCCAAGATCTGCTTCTTCTCGCTGCAATTTTACCTACAGATGGAAGTTCATCTCCCTTGTCTTGGTTGTATTTCTTTTGGTGTTGTTTGCTCGCAAGGCTTCGCCTAAGGTTCATCAGGGGAAATAAATTTCGCCAAGGTCTAGAGTGTAACCTAATTACAACCTCAACTAACTTTGGCGCACTTGGTCGTTCGTCGTGGTACGATGGTGTTTATATTTTCGGAAAGCCTTGAAGATAGGCCATGTATTTAGCAGACAATAGTTACAACCGCTTTAAATGTCAAATCCAATCTGAGGGTTTATGCCAACATAAGAAATAAACCAAGCGCTGAAAGCTCCTTGTGTTGTCATACATCATATTCCATACATTTCATTCTCCAAAGACCTGATCAGTGATGTGACTTCCTATCGAGAGCTCACCACGCAAGCTCCTGTCGTGATCCACAACTTGCTTTCTCAAGTTCAGAGCAGAACGCTTCGTCTTCGCTCAGTTTCCCCATAGTCATGTCCCTATTCAATTGCGGAGTCGCAGGCCATATCTCTCTCCCGCCCTGGTTAATTTCCTTCTGCCGATGTGCCATGACTTCCTCTCGGACAGTGTTCTGAAAGTGAATGGGTCCCTGCGTAATATACCAGTCAGTAATGCCAACATTGGGGGAAGCGGGTCAGGCACTTTTACCTTCTCTTTGTCTGGATGAAGCTCGCCGCTGACAAATACACCGGCATTGAGATTCTCTTGTGCGCCTATACAGAGTTGTCGATCCTCTTCCAGCACCTGCTTATAGAATGCGTTGATCGCGGAGAACTCAGCATCCGTCGCAGTGTGTGCCCGATAAACTTCGTTTTCGATTCTTGTCTTGGTCGCGCTAACCGGGATCATTCGTTGAATGTAAAAGAAGTTCTGGCTGCAGAGAGTCTTAGTTGATACGTTCAATAAAAACCTTAGCTCTGGTTTACTTACGTGATTGTGACCGAAGTTGAAGGATAGAAGAAAGTGATGGATCGTCGAAACTCGTCCTCCTCATCTTGGGCCTTCTTGTTGACGATCTCGTGCTCGAGACACCCCCCACTAGGCTGAACTCGATATTTCGTCAAGTCTGATACCCCTGCAATCAAAGGATGGGACGTTGGACAATGATAGCACTCGTTGTAGTTCTCAATCACCGCTTTCCAGTTGGCTTCCAACTCCATCTCCCAAACGTGATCGTATGTATAGCCTCCAGCAAAATCAAAGTTTTGCATCCTCGGCTTCTGGTAGACGCCGCCAAACTCATCTTCCCACTTGACTTCTGGATCACCTGCTTGGAGATTCACCCAAATGAAGCCAGCTTGATCCACACGAACATGGATTGGCAATAGTCCGTTCTGGTTTTTATCGAAGCCCTTGACCGTGTCAAACCTCGGTGCTTTTGCAAGATTTCCCTTGTAACCGTATGACCAGCCGTGGTACTTGCAACTGAGAATGCTTGCTTTGCCCGATCGTTTCTCAACCACGGGGTATGCACGATGACGGCAAACGTTGTGAAAGCCGTTAACGTTTCCATCGCGATCTTGGACCAGAAAAAAAGGGAAATCAGCGTAAACGAAGGAGATGAAGTCGCCAGCTTGCTTGAACCTCAATGAATGTGTGACCAGTATCCATTTCCTGGATATGATGGCTCGTCGCTCAAGTTGGTGTAGTTCCGGAGACCGATACCACGACGCTGGAAGGCTTCGTGATGGCTCAGGATTAGAGTCGTTACTCGCCGAAGAGAAACCAAGGAAACGCAACATGGCGTTGAATTCAGTATATGCGGAAATGTGGGTATGCGTATAGGAAACTTTCAAACCGCAGCCATGAAGCCCTCGATTGGAATCAGCAGTTGAAAACTATGGGTACTGCGCTTCTATCCTGTTTATCCTCGACTCTTTCTTTGACTCTGATGCACCATTGCTACTTTAAGTCCGCATTTCGGAGCTACGGTTGCACAGCCCATGGTTGGATTTCGGTGCACTCACTTATCGTAGGTGGGGAAAACGTTTCCAAAAGATGCTTGATAATGCAGTTGAGAATGGGGGTGGGGTTGCATGGTGGCCGAGGGGTCCGGAGGCACGCCTCCGTGGTCTGATAAGCAGCTTACCTGGCAGCCACGGCTTTTCGGATCACAGTTCGCATCTAGAACGCGTGAACAGATTACAGCAACGCGGGGTATTGGGGCGATATGGGCGATCAACTCCGGGATCCAGATTCAAAATCGTCGGCTCTTGGATCACGTTGGATGGGATTTTGGATGGGATAACGGATAAGTAATAAAGCAAGCATATTGGCTGTTACACACATTACCTGGTTATCTAAAGCAAGAATACGCAAACGAAATGCGTAATACCATTGAAGAAGAGGAATAACCTTAGGCACCACTGCTTGCATTTAGCGATGTGTCCCTCGTCCAATCGTCCTGGATTGTGCAAAAAGGTAAAAAAAAAAAAAAAAAACAGGTTAGCCAGTTGTATTGAAGGCTTCAAAGCCCCGATATTGTCGCCAGTTTCCATCTTACTGCATGTGAGATACATCTTGGTAGACATGATTTCGTTTGTGAGCGTAACATGGTTCTAGAGATGCTACGAACATGTTGATTGGCGATTGAGTATCACACTCAGCATACACAATTGTGACTTTCGGAAGAGCAAAGCGCTAATGAGAGTAATGAAACATTTCGTGATGAGAAATCAATACCAGAATAGGTCTCTTCAGATTCTGCTTCGCTGTTAATTCAAACCTGTTTGATTTTGCTCCTGTAAAACGTTTTGGGGAGAATCATGGATTGCGTTCACGCTCTCAACGATTCAATGATAAATTATCTATCATTTAATACTAACATACTTAAGCTTATTTCCATCTTTCGTAGGCAAAGTAAAGGCAGTAAGCATCTACAATGTTGTCAGTTACGGTTTACAAGTAGAATTCTCACTCAACTTTGGTTACTGAGCACGTGCGCAATGTCGGATGCGGGCAGGACATCTCTGAAGTGTCGGGTTAGAGGCTCTAAAGTACTACGGTTGCGTATTCTCACTCCGAAGACTGTCCTGCTTCAGCCTAAACAAACAGAAAAGGCGGCCTTAGTCTTCAACATGCATATTGTGGCGTTAGGCACATCGGCCTGCAGACTGCAGGCTTGGTTGGGCCGCCAGGTTTGACGGTTCGCCATCAGCTAATTAGCACGTTGAGCCAAGCCTGATTCGCCCACGTCACCAGTTTCCTTCGACATGTCACCCTCAAAACCTGCAACCCGAGTCAAAGGTAAGCACAGCAAGGAACCATGATGACGGAAGTTATGGTGTGACTCGTCAAATGACAGTAAGGAGGGAGGCTGGTCTAGGCTCCAACCAGGCCTTGTGATCAATAGCAGCTATCGAACGCCGCTTGAGATATTTTTTCTCAAGGATAATCCAAGATGTAGTGGATGTGTATCGCCCAAACGTAGCTGTCTAATTTGGGAGACTCTGTGGCTTATGTACGTTAGGCTGTCCAAAATCTTGAGATGTGTTTGGCTGGCGGAGATTGTAATTCGTCAATCGTTAATGGAAAATGACAATGTCCAATTGAGCGAGGTGCGTCTTCTTTGCTGCCCAGTTCCAGACCACCGCTGCTTATCAGGCCCGACCCCCCTTCCCGACGCAGGCCTTTTCTTCCATATTCCACTGAGCGAGTCTTACGAGAGGCGCAAACGTTCTTAAAGGTCTCCTTGGTCGGATGAAGTCGGGTAGAAATTGATTTAAGCCACACAAGACCCCAACATTTATGACTTAGTCTTTCTCCCTGCAAATTCGATTTCCTTCGAACATTGTTGATTTCTTTTCCAAAGTGACCTCGCACTGATACTTGAAAACTCTTTGCCTTGAATACTATCAGTAATCAAAATAATTCAGATACTACCAGCGAAAATCCTTCACCATTATGACGCAGCGTCGCAGCCATCACAGAAAGCAAGGGGCTAAAAGGCCACAAAAAGAGGGTCCGCACCCAGAATCTTCCAAATCCTATACTTGGAAAGAAACCATGATGTTGCAGCCACAAGCGTTTGTGGTACCGACCGCTGGCCCGTGGTCAGAATGGGCACTCGATCCCGAACGGGGTTTCTACTACCGCACCCGCATAAACGCAATAGGTCAGTAGTCTATGGTAGCTGAAATCGGAATCCGTGAGAGTCTAATATTGTCTCAGGAAGATATGAATGGGACTTCAGCACAAAATCATCAGCAACTCGAACTTTCAGATACAGGCAACCCGAACAACAGACCAGTGACTATCGCCCTCCACCTACAACAGTGCCAGCCTCAACTTTCGGTCAGACTTTGATTTTTCCTACAAAGCCGATTCTAAGAGAAGACCAACCTAGTTCCGACTCTGAGTTTACCCATGATTTCGACGACGAGGTCACATCTCGTGTCGCAGGATCGAGCTTTGTAATCCCCGCTATCATCGACGTTGATACAAAGAACAACGTCAAGGTCTTGGTGCCAGACCCCAAAACTGGGGAGGCCACCACAATTTGGGACAACAAGCATAAACACTCATACAAGTCGAAGGTCAGCCCAGATGTCAAGGTTCGGGACTGGTTGTACAGAGAACAGACAGGTATACTCAAAACTCCTAAGGGCGAAGAAGGATGATGATTAGTTCTCAAGCGGATTGGAAAATGTCCATCTTCCTAAGGATTCTAAAAGCCCATCATTGTAGCGTTCGTCTTCTTAAGACAAATAAAGATTCCGATTCGTTCTCGCCAAGGGAGTTGCAATTGCCATAGAACGACTACAACTAGCCGTGGACCGTAGTTTTTTGCCCGTAATTTACGGCTTTTGTCATTATGTTGTCGAACCGCAACTGGTGTGATGTATCGAGGCAACTAAACTCCGGAATGCAGACGGAGATTGACGTCTGCCTTCCATGGCTGCACAGGGAGATGGGTCGTGCTGAGGCCATGCTGTTTCCAGTTACGAATTCAGAAAAAGAACAATTTGGCCTGCGAACATATAGAGTGTGTTGTGTGATGCGTTCGGCTGAGATTGCAAAGAAGCATCTTTCCCATGGTGACCGGGGCCAATACCCTTCCGGATTCTGCTTTGAGACATCTCGAGATAGCATATAATGTGGCACGAGTTATGGTTCTCCCTTTATTATTTCGCTCCTCTATCTGCAAATGCTTCTGCAAGAAGATCGAATACCATGCTACGAGATATTAATGCCAGTTGAGACATATCATCTGGACCCCATGAGAGGAACCGAACAGATTCGGATGGTGGAGGAACCACTACTTGATCCCATTCACCGTCTCCTAACGCTGAGATTTCTCGGTGGAAAACATTCTCGGTGGTCAACGCGCTGGTAGCGCGGTTTGGGCAGATGCAACGTTTTTGGCCACTCTTGGCTTGGAAAGCCACTGACGCACAAGCAAAGAAAACTATTGCTAAGGCTCCGGTGTACGCATCAGGGTTCTTATGTTGAAAGTGGCTTATATTGTCAAAGTGAAATCCAACGCGAGACCGCTTATAAAGTCGGAGTTCCTGCCAAAGCCGGGCGAGGTCGCGTGGAAAGTCAGGAGTCGTGTGGAAAGTCAAGGTAGTCTATATAGGCAGTGTGGGCTTTCACCACGAGGGTATCGTTACATTAAACCCTTGCATTTAGATACCTCCATGTGTCTTCTGTAAAACAAAAGAGAGACCACAACACCAAGGCAGGATTGGAGTGAGCCAGGTTCAACGCTTGTTGCGGCCGAAGTATCCAAGAAATTTTCGTTAATATTGAGAAGCCATTAAAACTTATGTGCCTTGGGTTAGATACCTTGCTTTGTACACGGTTCTTCTTTCCATCAAGCCTGAGCTGGTATCCTGCTTTCCCAGTTCTCATTGATGATATCATACTCTCGCGGATTTGTGACTTGTGGTTCTAGAGTATCCCATCCACGACGGCAACAAGACGTCAAACCCTCATATCCACTCAAATCTCCACATTTTCTCCCAAAACGACAATCTTCAGGCATATGATTGGGTAAATATTTCTCAGCACTATCGAATGCAACATGCAACTGGCTTTACCCCGCTTACAAGGGCTTTTGATTCCTTGCCGCGGTCGATGGGATATGTTGATATTCTGATTTGGGGCAAAAGAAACGTGCAAGTTCTCCGAATTCTCGGACATTGATTCCAAGCGAGCTCTTGGGGCGAACGCAAGGCAGGACAAACGACATACCATAGTACGCCGATACTAACGTGTAATAATTCCGTACTTCCGTAACTCCACGGCTTCGGATCGCCTGGCGTTAGCCGATTGTAATCCAAATACCCACTGTGACTCTTCCCCGTCTCCTATAGAAAAGGAATTCAAGCGGTCGGACGTAAAAGGAATACGCACACGAGGTTAGTAGATCACTTCCAAGAGTATACTAGAACAACACCACTTGGCCGTTAGAGGTCTTAGTCAGTGTTAGGGAACAGATAGTGACATTAGTGCAAGCTTCACAGAATAACGGATAGCAGCCCCCCAAAAGGCTGAGGTCTCGCAGACTGACCGACAGATTGACACGGGAAGCTATGTACTAGGACGTAAGACTTTCTCGAAAGGAGTGAGCGGATGACTTACCCTTGTCCCGGCACTGCCGGAATAGATTCTGGAGGAGGCCGCTAGTCAAGGCCGGGGCCAGAACGCGGGGTGGGCCTTACCAAATGCCGAAGGGTGCAGATTCGAACTCGACTATTTCCATCCATGTACCGGTAGTCCGCGCTCGGTATCTCTATTATTCCATCTGCCCAGACAATGACGCCTCCCTGACGATACAAATGCGAGAAACACACATCCGTCACTATTAATTATTACGGAGAAATGCTGTTCAACACAGAGCTGGAACCAATCGTGACCGACCGAGGCCAGCCGTTACCGCCATCCCCTAGCCATAACCCTGGAAAATCGCATAGTCCCACCTTGGGAGGAATCATAGCAAGAAGTCAGTCGGTCATGAAGCTTGGACCTACGATTAGAGATCCACGTAGTAGTGGTTCCTCTCAGCGTCCCATGACGACATCGTCAGCATTCCTTCTGCAACGCAAAATAGCCGTGGTCAGATTCTGCTCAACTGCGGTTGGGCCAGTGTGGCACCCTTGATGCAGCGCACATATCCATTAGCGAATCCCAGCTGGCGAGATCAATGCGTAAATCGTTAGTCGGCATCGCTCATCCCCCCAGTATCAGTAGCCCACAACAGTTTCCACCTCTTGGGATCAATGCCAAGTCAGATTTATCCAAGTTTTGGTTCCTGATTTTCTTCTCAGCCGATGAAAGAATTTGCTGCGTGAGCTTACCGATATGTAGTTCGGACCGATTCCTCAAATGCTATATAAGCCAGCTTTGGTAAGTGCAGTCAACCAGTCTCTGCGTGGATCTGTAGATTTTGATCTTTCTTGATGGAAGTGTAAGAAACAAACCCAAGAGGCTCTCATCTATCTACGTATACATTCATTATGCACCTCTTCCCCTTAGCAGCCGCCCTTACGGCGACCGCTAGCCTGGCAGGCGCCTCATCAGTCCTCCTCCGTGGTGGCACCATCATTGGATTCGACGAGGAGAACAACTCCCTTAACGTCATCCGCAACGGCTCGCTGCTCATTACGGACGACCGCATTACATCCGTCTACACTGAAGACCAGGCGCTGCCCCGAACATCTAACGACACACAAATCGTCGACGCGACGAACAAAATCATCACGCCCGGCTTTGTGGACACACATCGTCACGGCTGGCAAACAGCGTTTAAGACCATCGGGTCAAACACATCACTGGCTGAGTACTTCACTCGCTATGGCGAATACGCCGCCACTGGTTTGCTGAGCGCCGATGATGTCTACATCGGTCAGCTTGCGGGTCTTTATGAGGCTCTGAATGCTGGTGTCACCACGACGCTGGACCATGCTCATCACACTTGGTCCAATGAGACAGCCGAGGCTGGGTTGAAGGCCAGCATTGACAGTGGCGCGAGAGTGTTCTGGTCATATGCCTTCCACAATGTAACCAACTACACCGTCTCTGATCAGCTCGAGAACTTTAGGGACATTGCAACCAAGGCCGAGTTTGATGGTACTGCCACCAGTCTCGGCGTTGCCTGCGACTTTTTTGGGCCTGACCCCGTTCTTGCTGATGTCAACGCCGTGGTCGGTCTGGCCAAGGAGTTCAACGTCTCCGTCATCACCACTCACAGTCTCCAAGGACCTTGGGGTAGTAAGTTTTGTCTAATACTTCCCACCCCTCATGCATCTATACTCACAAGTCTCAAGTCACCAACAGCCCTGAGGATCTTCACGCCGTCGGTGCCCTCAACATTAGCATTCCTGTTGTCTTCTCCCATGCTTCTTTCCTAACCTACCAGGGTGCTTCGCTGCTACGCTCCACCAACCAGTACATCTCTATCACTCCCGAGTCAGAGATGCACTACGGCCACGCCCACCCGCATAGTCACCTCATTCAAGACCAGGGCTCTCTCGGAGTCGATACTCACTTCACCTTCTCAACCGACATCCTCACCCAAGCCCGCCTCTGGCTGCAGAGCACTCGACGATTACTTTACCAGCAGGTTCTCGACCATTGGCGCATACCCACCACCACACCCATGACCGTCAACCAGGCCTTCCTCCTAGCCACCCGTAATGGTGGTCTTGCCCTGCGCCGCCCTGACTTGGGCGTCATCACTGAGGGCGCTAAGGCTGATGTCATTGTCTGGGATGGCGAGAGCCCTGCTCTGCTTGGCTGGGTCGATCCTGTGGCTGCTGTAATCCTCCACGCCAACGTCGGTGATGTTGAGCATGTTCTGGTTGACGGCAAGTTCGTCAAGAAGGATCGCAAGCTTGTGGTACCTAACTACGCGGATGTCAAGACGAGGTTCCTGGGGAGCGCACGGAAGATCCAGCAAACCTGGAAGGATATCCCGTTCGCTTCCCTTGAGGGAGAGTTCAGCGCTTCCGGCTCGCCCTACGAGGCACCTTTTTCTGTTGATGTCCAGGCTGGTGATGAAACCGGATACGGAACAATTCATGTCTAGGTGGCAAAGTGTGAGGTTGTCATTCGTCTGGGATAATCTAACCAAGTAATGCATTTTTATCAATAATTCAATTAAAAGTATCTTTGCAAATTATCGTTGCACCCGACGGTCATGCAGATTAGCCCAATGTTGCAAAGTCTGATGCTGTCTTCAACAGCGTACGCTTGCGCCGAATGCAAATCAACATGGCACTTTGATTGAATAGAAAGTCTTATTGTTGTATCACAATATGACATCGACCATTGCTTACCATTATAATTGCCAAAGCCTCAAGAGCGACAATGTAGTTGAACGCTGTGCTATTTCAAATATTTGATCGCGATAGGATATTTCCGGTATTCGGTAATTGTTCAAATGTGTTTCGGTATTTAAACTCCACGCTTCGGGCGAAAGTGTGGGTCCGACCACGGCGCCACTGTTTCCGAGCTGAGTCAAATTCCTCGACCTCTTCCGAGTACCACATATCACGCCCGGAGGTCCTCTCAGTATTGCTGAACCTCTTGATCCAGATTCCATCAACTCAACTTTCAAAAATGGCGCCTACTCTTCAGTCCAGCAAGATCGCCTTCATTGGTATGTATACATACCATCCCATTCAGTATTGAAGACTGAAATGGGCTAACGCGGGGTAAATTAGGTGGCGGCAACATGGCCGCAGCGATCATCGGAGGCTTGGTCGCCAAGGGTATCGACAAGCAGAACGTCACCGTCTCGGAGCCGTGGGAGGTAAACCGCGAAAAGATGGCCGCCCTCGGCGTCAAGACGACAACCTCCAACACCGAGGCTTTTTCTGGCGCCGACATCGCCATCCTGGCTGTCAAGCCTCAGGTCGCCAAGGGCGTCTGCAACGAGCTCGGCAAGGCCGTTTCGGGACACGAGAAGGTCCCTGTGGTTGTCTCTATCGCCGCTGGCATTACCCTTGAGGCTCTACAGAAGTGGCTGGCACTCGATGATGGCCGAACGCCCCACGTTGTGCGCGTGATGCCCAACACCCCGGCCCTTGTGGGTGAGGGTGCCTCGGGCCTGTTTGCGGGCAGCGATGTTACGGAAGATGAGAAGAAGTTGACCGAATCGCTCATGGCGAGTGTCAGCAAAGCTACTGAATGGGTTGACAAGGAGGAGCTGATTGATGTCGTCACTGGACTGTCAGGTAAGTTGGATCTACGATGTGCATTGCAACGAGGGGCATCCTAACTAGTCCCCAGGATCCGGTCCCGCATACTTCTTCGCCATGGTCGAGCACCTTATATCCAGTGCTGTTGGCCTCGGTCTTTCGCCGGAGCAGGCGAAGCGCTTGGCTGCCCAAACCTGCCTTGGTGCCGGCAAGATGCTTGTTGAGTCGCCTGAAGAGCCTGGTCAGCTGCGCAAAAATGTCACCAGCCCCAACGGCACGACGCACGCTGCTCTCCAGAGCTTTGAAGCCTCTGGGTTTCAGGAAATTGTCGACAAGGCTGTCAAGGCTGCTACGTCTCGCGGCGAGGAGCTTGGGAAGACTTTGGGTAACCAGTAACGCTGAGAAACCAATCGCCTAGAGAAGACCTGCCCAGGTACTGGGCTTGAAAGTAGTAAAAGTAGTAGAAGCGAGAAATAAATGATGACATTTCATGACTTTCGCTTTGTACAAAGTTTTTTCCCAATCAATCACCTGCCAACGGTCTACGAATCTTGAGATAATCTTTTCGACAAGGGCGGATGGACACCAATAAATCAGCTTAACGAATGCGACCTGTTGGGTCTCTTTACGGATTGATGCCATGTTTTATTAAGGATTCCTTGGTAACCAAACTTGAGGGGGTATGAGGAGTAATCATGCTGTCAGTCGGGGACACACCTCAAGCGCCCGGACAAATTGGGTTGTAGGCGCTAACTGATTTAGCTATTAACAACCGAAGCTCCGTGAGTTGCGTGTTTTGGGCGGCTACAGTTAGGCGGCTATAGTTTGGCGGCTAACTACAGCTGTGTGGTCACAGTTGTGCGGCCACAATTGGGCGGTTATGGCTTGGCGGCAGCCCAGTAACAAATAACCCAGTAGGTTACATTGGCGCCTAGTTGAAGAAGTGCGGAGGGCGTCATAAACCCGGCCTCTCTTCGGTCATCAATGACTGATTTGGCCAGGATATCTTGGAAACCGTATTAATGATAGACGTGCTCCCCCCAAACGCCATAGATTGACCCATTCCCTTCATTTTGTCTACCGAATCCCTTATCCTATTTTCCGATTCCCTTCATTGTTCTCACCGATGGCTTTTGAGGGCGTGACAAAACCTGGGCCAGGCCGCCACTTCGTTCGATACGGCACCTTGAGCAGCCATAAATTGGTTGTTTCCAGCAATCGCACTTCAAATGACCCAAGAAGGCTTGTCGACTCCAGCACTGTGAACGTCGAAAAGAACACCGACCAAATCCTCCTCTGCAGGGTGCTGGAACGTTGTGGTATTGAACCCCGAAGGGCGGCGCTGGCTGCTAGAACTGGGCTGTGGCTCTGGGAACCCGCCGATGTCGAGCCAATTCTTCGCCGACTTACATTACGAGGGCGGGACCAAAATCCATATGGGCCTGCGTCTAAACAGCGAATGTTTTCTCCTTTCAAGCGAACATGGAGCGGATATAGCCCTGGAAAATTGCTGAGGCCCCTCGTCGATGCAAACCAGTATGTCATGGCACCACTGAATCTCGTTCGCCAGTCAATTCAACAGCAAGCTGCACTTTGCGTCAACCGAGAGGGGAAATTTCAACTGATGACGTCGGGTTACTCGGTTATGTCTCATGTCTGGGAAGAGACTATGGAGTGGAATAGTCCTGATAACTCCGGGAAGGTCGATCTCAGCCTGAGGAAGAAAGGGATTCATAGAGCCCACTTCTTGAGGCTCTTTGATCGCTGTGGTGCCACATGGCTTTGGGTAGACGTCCTCGCGATGCCCCAAATCCTGAAGGACATGGACCGGGCGCGAAAGACTGAGATCGAGTCTCTCCGCGTCGGCGTCATCAACAACATACACTCAATATATCAAAAGGCAGACAAGATGGTTGTGCTGGACAGTCTAGCATTGCAAATTGACACCGGCAGTCTCATTGATGTCGCTGTTATTCTTTCATTGGGTCGCTGGATCGCAAGGATGTGGACTGTGGTTGAGGCGAGGCTGGGGAATAGAGTCTTGATTAAGACTGCAAACGGAGAGGTCGATTTGGATGAGATTGTATCACTACTGGAAGAGGAGGCTATTGAGGCCAGTCATCGTTATGGCGTTCTGCTGAGAATTCTGTCGACTACGCGTGGAAAAGCTTCCCATTTGGCCAGGTCTGGGCTACATGATTTGGTCGAAGCCTTCAGACACTCTCACACTGGGGACAACGTCGACAGAGTACGGGCAGCTTTTCCATTGCTGGGTCTCAGATGGGAAGCCGGATGGGGCCAAGAAGAGGGTATGCAGCATCTGATCACAAAGATGTCCACAGATTCTGCCTTTCTTGTTAGCCTCTATGGCGAACGGAGAATCTCTGGGTGTTACCATGCAATACCCTCTGTCTTGAATCAGCTCCGAGGACGAATTCAGTCGAACATCCAACCAACCATCACGAAAACCGGCATTTCATGCCAATGGAGGAGTGCCGCGGTGGCATCCATCACGCTTCGCAGTGGTACCGGAATCCAGGAAGATCCACTAGTGGCTACAGTTACCATCGACAGGCTGGTTGTCGAAGTCCAGATTCTCACCGATCATAATGTGCCTCAGCTCGAGACAATCGCGAGGCATGGTCTTCTAAAACTTCTCTTCCCTGAGGACAGAAATTTGTTCAACTTCCTGCTAGTCAGCGAAAGCGGAGCTGCAATCTCAAGAGGATCAGGACAAAGGGATTTCACAGGTACAGTTCTTGGCTCTGGGCTTTGTGTGCTCGGTGAAACGGACTCGGTCCGCCTGCATACTCAGACCACACTCTGGGTATTATCATGAGTATTGATATTCTTATACGTCATACAGATCTAGTAGGGGTCATGTGTAATTGTGTTTGATGACGGCGACTACAGTATATGTAGCATCTTCTGGTTTCTTTATAGATTGCAATGTTTATTTTATCGAAGGTTCAGTTTTGCACGCCACCATGGAATCCTTCTCCCGTTTCCTCAGTCGTGAGCTCGCCATGCATTCAGAACCTACAAGCCCGCCGCTACGGCTAGTTCAAAAAGTTCATCGTGGCGGGATATGACAACGCACAAGTCGGTCATGGTCAGTCCGTGTCGATTTTGACTGTTGCGCCCAAACTCCCGCTAAGGATGCCAACTAGCAACTCAAGGCCGCCTTCGCATGCACCTGATATGTGATCGCCTCAAACATCAACCAATTTTATGGGACACTTTCATCAGATAGTCTACTTCAACTGATATCTCCCGGATACTTTATGGGGTGGTAAGCTTATTTCCCTCAAAAGTGTTGTATTCTTTACTTCAACGCGAGGATTGTGGACTCCTCCCACCATATGCCATAAGTCCACAGTGATAGCCCAGTATTTCCGTCTGCTAGATTTCTCAGCTACCTGAATACCGACAATCCATTCATGCGGCTTGAGCACGAGTTGGGTCACGGTATCTATCGAAATCGCCAAACAAACCTGTTCCCAATGACAAGCTCCGACGAGTCGTCTAGACCAGTGACCACCGTAGAACACTCCAGTAAGTTGCAGATTGAACTGATCAGGCTCGGTTTGGTCCCTTGGCCAAGGAGCACGGAGAAAACTGGTCTGGATGTTGTGGAACCTCAGGTAGACAGTGGCAACGGATGAGCAGTGAAAAGCCGTAAATCACCGATCCGCGTTGATGTCGTCTTTGAACCGACACTAAGCAAGGCCCTCTAGGAACATCAAGAAATTTATCGGTAATACCACTGCTGTCAGTACAGAATGTTCTGTGAAAAAGATGCCGCTAGCTTCTTGTTCGTATTCAGGACATGTTGCGGGCACATGGCGACAACAGGAGCAGGACACCGCCGAGAGCCTCCACGCATACGACTGCATGATACCAGCATGGTTTCCATGCTATGCAAAATAGCCAATGTTACTTGATCGAAAAAACATGCAGCGGTGGCCTGGGATCAGATATACTAGACCTAGTCTTTTAACTCCTAACCGGAAGTTAGCCGCCGATGCTATGAAGTAGTCTAAAAATACATGTTTGCCGACACCCCAAAAGCCTTGCCCTAAGCCGATGCTACAGTTGCCTCCGCCAAAACTCAACCACACAGTCCAGTCCTGGTCTGTTGTTGGGGTCCCTCTCAACGCACTGCATCACCATGTCCTTCCACGCCGGCGGAACGTCCCTCGCCATCGACGTCCATATGGTTGGGTCGGCAGACTGTTCAACCTGCTCCAGCAGCATCCACATTGTTCTGCCCAGGCTAAAGACCTCCGCAAGTTCGGCGGCACGGGGGCACGTTGTCTTCCACTCCGGGAGGACGTTCCAGTCCGGGAAGCCCCACTTCTGATTCTTGCGCAACGCGCCGGTGTGTGGCGTGTAGATGATTAGGGGTTTGCCATTCCGGGCGGCGATGGTAGTTGCCTCCTCGGCTTCCTGGTCGATGGTGACCTCTGGCGGGTGCGTGAACATGGAAAAGCCGCTCTGTTCCCAGTCAATGAGCCGCAGGTTGTTCTCGTCGTCGACGAGGATGTTTCCGGGCTTTAGGTCCATGTGGAAGGTGTCGGCGACCTGATGCGTGTGTTGTATCGCTAGGGCCATCTGGTAGCACCACTTGGCCTTGAGCTCGAGCGGGAGACGCCGGCCGATTCTGTTGGCGTGCATGACTTGTTCGTCGAGGGATTCCTTTTCCATGGCAGGTTGCAGGAAGCCACATATCCGGTCCTTATTGTCTGCGTCTCGCACGACGACGAGACTCCTAGGGCAGGGCATGATGTTCGGGTGGGCTGGAAGGGTGTACAGCGTTCGGATCTCGTGGAGGAGGGTCTTTTCCTGGTGTTCTCTAAAGTCTTTGCTGTCTTTCTTGTAACTTTCAAAGTCCATGCCCTTGAAGAAAAATCTCGCTGTCGGGTTCGTACCAAAGGACCTTCTGGTGACAATTCTAGCGCCGGTCTTTCCTGGTAATGGTCCGACAATGGTAAGGTCCGCCACGTCCACGGCCTCGAAGCTTGCCGGCTGCCCATTTTTGCCGATAATGGAGACGAACTTGTCGTAAGGGGTGAGTTGATGGATGTAACAGTCGCGAATGGAGCGCGCCATGGTTGCTGGAACTATGCTGTCTCTTGTCATTTTCGCTGCGTGGCAACCTTACGTCGGTTTTCTAATGGTGACGTGTTCTTCGCAACAATGTCGAGGCCTGTAAAACGATGCAGATTATCTATTCTCGTTTATAGGTACTATAGGTGAATACGCAGTCCTATATTTCTGGGTAAGTTCGTGAGGCAGACAGTCGCAAGTGAGTACCCGATGGTGAATACCTCCAATCCATGATCAATGCTGTGATTGGATGTCAACTGAAGCCTGCAGCGTCCGAGAGTCCCATCCCATCTGATAGCACCATGCCAGGCTTTCTTTTCTTCTTCCTCCGGACGTAGTGAATTCCCTGTCAAGTATGGTGCAGGGAGCGGATGGATGCGGTGAATGACGGGAGGTCTGCAGCGGGCGCGCTCGGGGCATCGTGTGGGTTTGAACAGACAGAGCCGGAATGGTATAAAGGCTCCGGGGACAGCCCAGACTGTATCGACTGAGACTTTTGAACCAAAACACCGCCCCGAGAAACCGACTCCCCAAACCCTGCATTGAACCCTGGCCTGCTTGGCCTTGGGATAGTCGTCAACGATGTCTCACCGTGCAGGCTCGCGGCTTTACCGGTCATCTGACCGAGGCGGATGGGAGTGAGGCGTGCGTGAGATGATATCACGAACGCCATCATCCGCAAAAGAGTCGACCGAATTCATGCGCGGGCAGGACGCATGCCACCGGGCGGGTGGTGATTGGTGGTATCCCGTCAAGTCGACAGGGCGCAGGGTTTCCGTCGTCACTCACATTCGATATCTGACAGGTAAAGTGGTGTGTGTCTGACGGGAAGGGTACGGCCCATTAGCGGGAACCAGACATCTCGGAGTCGCGCGTGCGCTTGTGGAAAGGGGGGCCACTCTGGGACGCAATATGCTGCGGTCGGAAAATACAAGGTAAAAGGTGATATATGCAGGTAGCAGATCGGGGAAGTTGCTGTTGAGGGTGCCCAAAGCGGCTTAGCCATATGTGCCCTTCTCTGCAGAGTCACATCCATCGATACGTGACGTAAGACACGCAATTGAAACCAGCGCAACGCTAGGTTCCTGTAGGTCTTGAGAGGGAATTCAGGTGAGCAAGGTGAGTTGCTGGTGATCTTGTTGGATGGGGGCTGAGAGCCGACCTTCATTGGAAGATTCGAGCTGACAACGGCATGGGTTCACATTTATTGAGCTGTGCTGTGAGAGTGCTTCAACCAGGATGGCGTGTTTTTCTTCTGTCCAGACGGCACGTCCGGGACATTGGCTGGACACACAAACGTTGGGGGGTGGTGGGCACTAATGCTGTCTCAGTTTGCCTCTGGGCATGTAGAGAGTGCAGTATGTATATGATCCATCGCTGAGACAGCCACAAAGGGAAGATGGATATGATATGGTTGCCATCACAATCCAAGTTGAACGTGAAAGAATGTTGATTCATACCCACAAAAAAATAGAGGAGTTGCTTGGAGCGATCGCCGATGCCCAATCGCGGTGGGGGATCCGTCAGGCGGCCTAGATGAGCCGGCCACCATCCTCGCCGATCATCCCATCGGAAAATGTGATGAGTTGACGGTCTAGGACTCGAAGGGAAGACCCCTCAGCCCAAAGTTTGGGTCGGGGAAGCAGCCCCTTGTCTTCCGTGGTGGTGGGGGAGACACTTGGCCTTGGATTGGCACTCGACGATGTCTCACAGAGATGCGCCAACAGTAGGTAAGCAGGCACGCAGGTAGCCACATGGGCTACATAGGTCCAATGAAAAAAGGAGCGAGAAGAAGGACTGGCCTGGGCTCGTTTCCTTGCTTTGGAAAGGGGCCACGGCAAGGAGTGTGTGTCGCTAGCTGACCGAGGCCATGGTCCCTGAGAAAATGTGCAAGGCTTTGCGGAAACCATTTTAGCCGCCCGCATCCTTTGCAGCCTTGGACGCAGGAATGGCAACTCTACCGAGCTTACCCTACCGTTGTAGCAAACCATTATTTCTTTCCTTTGTTTCCACTTCAGCACCTTTCAATGGCTGTTAAGCGATGGCGGGCGCCATCGTGAATCGTGCTGAAGATGATAGCGTAGGGCTAAGCTGGTGGAGGGCATCGGCAGCTGTCGGAGCTCTACGACTGGGCTCACATGCAGATCTTGTCTGGAAGTAGCCTGTTTTAACATCGACAGTCCCGAACTTGTACAGGCCTCCTAAAGAGCCATAACAATTTCACTTCCCTACCGCCACTCCGCCAAAGCGTCAACATCCACCGACACCAAAGTCTCGATGAAGCCACTCATTTTCTTGCGAGCAAGCTTATTCGCCTAGGTCTTGCGACAAGGATTAAGAGTGTTTGCATGAGATGGCGCTACAAAGCGAACAACCCCAGGTGAGAAGTGGCGCAGCAGATCTACGGTCTCGCAGCAGAGAGGCCAGTTGCAACGCACTCAATCTATGCACGGCCCCCGGTGGAGGAGCCGTCACCTCACGAGGTTCTCGGGACCGAGGACGAATCTGCGGAAGCTGGAGACGTGGGTCTTATCCCCGGTGGGATCCAGTAGTATTTCCGACTGAAAGCATACGATAAGAGACACATATCCACGTAAAGAGGCGGCATTCTCGGCAAGGTTGTTTATCATGTTACCAGCCGCGCAAGAGAGCTCGTCAACTTGGTGTGAGTTCCTCAAGAGCTTGTCTCCAGCATCCCCTGTAACTCATTGGATCAAGGTTGAAACCTATCCCAGCCTACCGTTGGTCGGCTCGCTATATCATCCTCAATCATTCGCTCTGGTCGGCGTCTAGCACATAGCTTCGTGGCCTTCGTCCTTGATAAAAGACGATACGATGACTTTGATAGCGGGGTGTCAGTTACCTTTGTCACCTCTCGGATTCTAATCAAGGTCTCGGTCTGGCTTCACTGCATGGGGGCCAAGTACTTAAAGTACCGCGACGGCTCGGCAGCGCCAACCATCGAGTTTGGAGACATTGCTCTTGGAAATGAGGCAGCCTTGACACACTCTCAATCGACTTCCGATAAAATCGCTGGGGAGTTGTCGCTACATCCCCGGTCTTGGTTCTGAATGGATAATGATTGCTACCTAGGTACCTCCGGGTGCCTTATTTCCCGGAAACCTGCAGCCTGTTTCTCGTCTTGGTTAATGTGCGCAATACCGTATGTGATGGCATGATAAGACTTGCGAGTACCGCCAACCAGCAGCCACTTTATAAACTAATAAGGCCTGTCTGGCGAGTACCACTAAGAGTGTCTGGTCTGTAGCGTCTATGAGTTAAGTGGTTGAGAAATTTGCAGAGCATCGAGTTCTGTTACTATAGCAATCCAGGAGTTTTTGCTCGAACGACACAACAGTCGGCGAACCACGACACACAGTGCACATCACACAGGTTGGGTTAATGACCGATACGACCCGCTAGGTGGTGGGTTAAAGCGGCTAAACTGGCAGGATTCGGAATCTGGCGCGAATTGCATGCCGTGTGTCATAGACGACTTGGACTGTAGTGTAGTTGAGCATACTCTGTCTTCCATCGATTCCACATCTATTGTTCACCTGACTCGTTCCAATGCTACCGTGGTAAATAAAAATAAAAATACAAATGACTGTTGGTGAGTGAGCCTTGGTAGGCGGAGTATAGCCAGTAACGTTATCAAGTGATATCGAGTTGGACCACTCCCGCGGGATGAATGAAACGTGCCGATGTCAACTAAGGTGGTGTCTAGGACTCGCAATCCATTCGGTTCCCCTGCTTTTCAAACCCCCGCCGCCGTCGATTACCGACACTACGACCCCATCGACCTGGTTGGGGAAAAAGTTGTGAGAGGGTGTGTGACATCAGACGGCGCGTCTCCTTGACCGACGGCGGCTTTTCAACCCCCCCCGGGCGCCAATGATCCACCGTCCCCTCTCCGGCCAAGTGTAACCTTCCCGAACGGGAATGCAACTGTGCAAGCTTGTCTTGGCTTTATCCGCGTGTTCTGTTTGCTTTATTTCGTTTTCCTCCCCAGGCACAGCTGATAACCCCTCCCAAAGCTTTCCATGCCGTCAATTTTAAGTCTTGGTACTGACATCAGACCAACTTTGGCAGGTCGTTACCCAAGCCCCTACGTGCTTTGGTCCAACAGTTCAGCCTCAACCACTCACAACCGCCGCCGAGACCGACCAAAGGCAAGAGGCAATGGCCTGGTCCATTGGAGCTCCATCATAAGCTCTTGGCATCCGAGCACAACATGCAATCATCGACACCAACGATGGTCTGTCGCACCGTCGCCCGGTGATCTCACCTGTCCGCCGTCTGTACTCTGCGTTACTGCAGTGGAACACGGCCCACTGCATGATTAATCTGCATGGTCAATTGCGTGGTCAATTGCATCAATTGCATGGCCTTTGGACCCGGGAAGCCTAGGTATAAATCTGCAGACTGCTGCTGTCGTCGTCGTCGTTGTCGCCGTCGCCCTACCCCTCCGCCCCTGTTCCTCTCCGCGTCTGTCACATTTCCCGTCCCTCGTCCCTCTTGCACCAGTATCTCTAACGGATACTCGAGAGACTGAGAGACGCCAGACATTAGAGATGGCTCGCCAGATCCTCCAAGTCGTCACGGCGGCCCTGCTGCTGGGCGCGACGGCGGCCATTGAGCCGCCTCGCCCGCCGCACCAACCAGTCGGAGGCGGCGACCGTTTGGTGACGTGGAACGAAACAGTCGTCTCCCCACGATTCGGCGCCAGCTCCCGATCCGTCAGTTGGCTGTCGGGCACTGAGGATGGTCGGTTCATCACGCTCTCGAATAATAGTCTCGTGATAGAAGATATCATTTCGGGAGGGATCGAGACATTCGTGGCCGCCGACAAGATCCCCGATTATGCCGAGTACTGGATCCGGCCTGATCTTAAAAAGATCCTCTTCGCGACCAACTACACTAAGCAGTACCGCTACTCCTACTTCGCCGATTACTCCATCCTCGACGTGGAATCTGGCGTTCTCGAGCCGTTGGTCGAGGATCAAGTGGGTGACATTCAATACGCTGAGTTCGCTCCCGTCGGCGACGCCATTGTAAGTCTGGCCCGATTTCCGTCCATTTCCCCTGCCTTCCTGCGCGCGCCGGGTAATCCATCTTGGAACATACTTCAGATATAAGGGAAAACCAATGGTGAGATCACTGGCTTACCTTTATCCAGGCGTTCGTTCGAAACAACAACCTGTTCCTTAGCAAGAACGGTACCATCTCCCAGATCACGAACGACGGTAGTCCAGACCTTTTCCACGGCGTGCCTGATTGGGTGTACGAAGAGGAAATCTTCGGTGATAGAAGCACTCTGTGGTTCTCCCCCGATGGAGAGTACCTTGCCTACCTCAGTTTCAACGAGACGGGCGTCGATACTTTCACCATCCCCTACTTCATGGGCAACCAAAAGATCGCACCTCCTTACCCCGTCGAGCTCGACTTGCGATACCCTAAAGTCGGCAGCAAGAACCCCACCGTTGCGCTGACTCTCTTGGATCTCGAGACCCAGGAGACGACGCCCGTCGCCATTGAGGCATTCCCTGCCGATGACTTGGTCATTGGCGAGGTTAAGTGGTTGACTGCCGATCACGCCAGCGTTGCTTACCGTGCTTTCAACCGCGTCCAAGACAAGGAAAAGCTTGTCCGCGTTGACATCGAGGGCTACACGTCCAAGGTTATCCGTGAGCGTGATGGCTCCGACGGATGGCTGGACAACAATCTCGGCATCCAGTACCTCGGACCTCTGCAAAACTCCACCGACGCCTACTTCCTGGACCTCTCTGACGAGTCTGGCTGGAGCCACCTTTACCTCTACCCAGTCAATGGCGGTAGCCCGATTCCCTTAACCAGCGGCGAGTGGGAGGTCTCCTCCGTGCTCAAGATCGACACGAAGCGACACCTCATCTACTACCTCTCTACTGAGCACCACAGCACCGAGCGCCACCTCTACTCCGTCTCGTACCCCTCCGGGCGCAAGAAGGCTCTCGTCGACGATACTGTTGCCGGATACTGGAGCGCTTCGTTCTCTTCCTCGGCCGGTTACTACATCTTGACCTACCAAGGCCCCAACGTTCCTTACCAGGAGCTCTACGCCATTAACTCCACCCAGCCCATCAAGACCATCACCAGCAACGAGGCCCTCGTGACCCGCCTGCAGGAGTACAAGCTCCCCAACATCACCTACCTCGAGCTCAAGCACCCTGACGGCTACAGCCTCAACGTCATGCAGCGCCTCCCCGCCAACTTCGACCCTTCCAAGAAGTACCCTGCCCTGTTCACCCCCTACGGCGGCCCTGGCGCCCAGGAGGTCACGAAGCGCTACCAGTCCATCAACTGGCGTGCCTTCATCGCTTCGGACCCGGAGCTCGAGTACATCACCTACACCGTCGACAACCGCGGCACGGGCTACAAGGGCCGCGAGTTCCGTTCCACCGTCGCCGGCCACCTCGGTCGTCTGGAGCCCCTCGACCAGATCTGGGCCGCCGAGCAGCTCTCGTCGCAGAACAGCTTCGTCGACGCCGACAAGATTGGGATCTTTGGCTGGTCGTACGGTGGCTACCTCGCCGCCAAGGTCCTCGAGGCCGACTCGGGCGTCTTCTCCTCGGGTCTCATCGTCGCGCCCGTCAGCGACTGGCGTTTCTACGATTCGCTATACACCGAGAGGTACATGAAGACGCTGGAGACCAACGAGGAGGGGTACAACGAGACCGCCGTCCGCAAGGCCGACGGCTTCAAGAACCTGGCGGGCGAGTTCACCATCTTGCACGGCACTGGCGACGATAACGTCCACTACCAGAACGCCGCGGCGCTCATCGACCTCTTGGTCGGCGCCGGCGTGCCCCAGTCCAAGATGAACTGGCTGGCTTTCACGGATAGCGACCACAGCATCGTCTACAACGGCGCCAACATCTGGCTGTACAAGTACTTGACTGAGGCTCTCTTCAGGGAGAAGCATCGTTCTGGTGACAAGTTGGTTCACCAGTGGAGCAAGAAGAGCGAGGGAGTGAACTTCGACTTTGAAAGGTCGTAAGATGCCGGTGCACTTCCCTATTGCCGTTAAAACATCCATGATACCATAATCAAATAACATTTTAATCCACTGCCGGGACCATTTGAAGAGCGTGATCACTTACATATTGACCCACAAGCCAATAAGGTAGGTGTCTTGGGTATCGGAATGTTCGGTTGGTCGTAAAGCGCTTACCCCGCAGCTAAGGGTCTTGAAGATAATTGGCGTGGCCTACTCAGGACTTATCGCCGCACTGGTAAGCTAGTGTTTTATTGAGCCCAAACCTAGGTATTGGTACTGTAAGGGTCGATATCAAAATAACCTTGTTACTATGACTTCCATGGTAAATACCACCATTTCGCACCCTCTACCATCCTCAATGGTGTCTTGTACTCAAGGATCAAAGCCCTGTGTCCGAGGCAATTGTACAACCGCTGTAGAGCAAGTATTCAATTTCGCAGTCTTCCAATGTGCAAGTATTTTATGAAAGATGTGAACTTGATTTAGAGTAATTATACGTAGTCATAATAAACCTGCCCAGCCCTGCTACGGGCTCTGGTATAATCCCATGATCAGAACAGAAAGCGGAAAACACGTCCTCGACCCAAATTAACCAAATGTGCCCGACGCCAGCAAAGAACCACCAAAAACATAAACCAGCTCGCGCTATCTACTTCATGCTCAGCCCCCCAAAAACGCGGTCCAGCTCCGCCCCTTGGTCGTTGAGCGGCATCTCGCTCGTGCCCGCTATGGCAGACGTTGGGTGCGTCTCCTCGGCCTCGGAGGAGCCGCCGACCTTCTCGGGCTCCAGTATCCGCGCCTCGCTGTCCAGCCATCCCGGCGCAACCCTCCTCTTCTCGGCCAGCTCGCGCTCTTTTATCCTGTCCTCCAGCTCGCGCAGGTCGCGCTCGGCATCCTCCTGCATCTTTGTAATGTGGGCCTGCAGCGCGCGACACGAGGCGATGATGTCGTCCGGGTGCGCGGCGTGTCCCGACTGCGAGATGACGTATTTGGGCTTGTTCGCTGACGGGTCGCCGCTCCCTGCCGCGGCGGCTGCGTTGTCGGTCACGGCTGCTGGGACACCCGTCGCGGAGGGCGGCAGGGCAGAGGGCATGGCCTTGTAGTTGTAGGAGAGGGTTGTGGCCGTGGGCAGAGAGATGAAGGGGGAGACGGTCAGAGGGACCTGCTCGAGGAGCGGGTGGGAGCCTGCGCAGTCCATCAGTCAGTACCTAGGCGATGATTAAGTATAGAGAAGAGGGGAGGAGTACGTACGGTTGCTATACATGATGGACAAGAGGCCTTGCCTTTGGTAGGTACGCGTCAGTGTGCAAAGCAGAGAACGAACGGGATTGAATATGCCGTTTTGAAGGCCGTACAAGCTCGTTATGTGTAGCAAAGATCCTACTTGCAATTGCCTGAGACTCGAAAGGTCCGTGGGCGAAGAGGCGGCAGATAGTTGCGAATGCGCTCCGTCAATGGATCTTGTCGTCCCCGCGACGCACAGTACTAGTTGTTGCAGTACGTAAGGGCCCAGTGGCCAAGTCCAGAGTGGCATCGGTGGTCGGGAAGATGTCGGTGGGGAAGCTCAGACCCTCCGAGCGCATGTGGAGGCCGGACCTCGCATCTGGCCAATGGATACCTCACCGCCTTCCTCTTCCTGACCAGTTCGCTTATGTCACGAACTTCAAGGCATGGATCACGTGGCGATAGCGATAAGAGCTTCACTTTCTCCAGCTTCAAGCCAGGCACCCCACCATGAACGGCTTCACAGCACAACCCAAGCAGAGTCCTTTGCAGGACCTCTTTGACATCATCACCATGTTGCCCACAACAATCCGCTCTCCCCCGTCTGTTGGGGATTTTACCCCCATCGAGGAGCACCAGGCGCAAACTCCCGAGACTTTCTTTGGCGGAAAGCCCGTCCTGCACTTTCATCTTGAGGGCGCCAAGGCTTGGATCCCGGCCTCGCAAAAGGGCAACCTGGCTGTCTTCCCAGCTGATGTCGCGACTACGGCCTCTGCTCCCGAGGGCGCGACGTTGAAGGAGGTCTCTGAGGAGCTGGTGGAGCAGCAGGTTTCCGTCTTCGTCAACTCAGAGTAAGCTATCTTTCGTGCCAATGCGCCGATGCCTGCTAATGGCTTCCACCAGGAACTTTACGATTTTCTCCGCGGCGCAAGGCGCCGGCGTCGAGGTTCCCTACCCCTCGATCTCCATTCATGCAGTCAAGCAGGTCGGCACCATCTCCGAGGGAACCCCGCTCCAGGCCATCTGGATGCAGCTGCAGCTTGCCGATGGCGGTGACGGCGACGACGACTTTGATACCATCGACTTGACTCTTGTGCCCGCAGTCACGGCTGGCGCTCAGGTTGATGTACAGAAGTTCTACGATGCGATTTCAGCTTGCTCCGATCTGCACCCCGACCCCATCGACGAGGAGGATGAAGAAGAGGATGGGCGGATTGTCTTTGAGGGCGAGCATGAGCCTGTGGAGGGCTACACTGGAGTCATGTACGGCGCTCACGATGGTGGTCTGCCCCCCGCGTTCCCCGGCAGCGGTGGTTGGATCACAGCGGAGAACGTGCACGAGCACTTCGATGCCGATGGCAATTGGATCGGTCAGAACGGCGGCGAGGAGGAGGAGGGAGCCGGCGAGCTGGGCGAGGGAGCCGGCCGAGTCCGAGGACACGACGAAGCCAATGGCGGCGTCAACGGTCATGACGACCCCGATAACAAGCGTCCGCGCGTTGACGAGTCATGACCTGAATGGGGGATGGGTGCATGAGAATTGACGAGGAACGACTTGATACCATGGATAGGACTCGGAGATTCAATAAACCGAGGTAGGGATATCACATTTCCAACTATTCGTCTCCCACGTGTCATTGAGCTCGTTATGGTTTGTGAGTCAGCCTTTGGAAGCACAGTACTTTTCAATCTCGTCAAGAATATTGGATTCGAGTGATTGTGATATTTGGGAATTTGCTAATAATCTACTAGGTATTACGATGACGCCGTACTCAGCTTAAAATAACCGATGCAGTAAAATCACCCGCTTGCTGTCGCTGAAGGGCAACATCCCCAATCGTGAGGATCGCCATGGACAAAGGAAAAGGTATAAGGGAATCCAACACAGGCTGGGCTATACTTTTTAGCCCTAGCAGCGAGTTTGTCCCGTGAGCTCAGTAATTGAGCGTCTCTGATGTACATGTCCAAAACAGCCGCACCATCATAATCACTGTCGTTTGGTTGCTTTACCCAAGTGGTTCTAGCCTTCCCCGTCAACATGGACTTATGCTCGCCGAGTGGGACTTTCCGTCACCAACGGGGTTTCTCTTGGCGCTCCTCTAGCGGCGCTCCGCGGGGTCGGAATCATAGGTCGTGGCCCTTTGACCCATGGGCTGCCACTCGCCTCTTCCTCTTTCTCCTCGACTGCCACTTGCAGCGTTTCGAAATGCTTGCTCGCTCCCGGTCGACTTTTGAGCACGGCAATGGAGTTCCTGGCTGACCTGATGGACGAGTGGGTGTTCCGCCTTGCCTTCGGGCTCGTACCCATGGAAAGGTAGTTCTGGCGACCAATCTTGCTCACGCGGCTGTTGCTTCTCTCTGGGCTGAACCCGCCCCCACGCAAGTTCGGCAGTGTCGGGCTTTCTGGATCTGATATGGACGATCCGGTGCTCAAGGTGCTCATCTGGCTGTTCATCCGGCGAAGCTGAGCCACCGTCGACTGTAGTCCAATGACCCCGAAGTCCCGGTGGAAAGGATTTCTCTTGGGTGAGTTTAATGGCTTCAGTACGATGGAAGGACGGTCAGAAACCGGGAGCACGCGGTCGACACTGTTGGCCCGAGCATGTGGCTGTTGCGAGAGCCCGCCATCCCGAACTGGACTCCCTACGCCGCGTCTCCTATACCTTACAGGCGTGGGGGATCCGGCCGGGCTGGGCAGAGGTCCTCGCGTTGGGGAGGTCGGCGTACGGGCCCCTGAGCCACTGTGTCTCGTTGGAGAGGCGCTCCCACGTCGGACCGTTTCCGGGCTGCCGGTTACCACAACGCCACGAACTGGTGATCCCTGGCCCGGTCTCAGTTCAAGAGGTGGCGGGATAACGGTGCCCTTCTGACCAAACGTCAACCTGTTGTTGGGCATCGGGGGTCGGTTGTTGTCCTCGGGTGATGTGCCAGGGCTGGCCTTCATACTGACGACGCTCGTGCTCGAGGCAAGGACAACCGGCTTCATCGACATCACGCTCTTCGGGCGGATGGTCTCGGGTGACGTCGCCACATCAGGCGCCTGCGTTACAACTGAGCCCTGCTTCTGGCTTCGATTGACAATGCAGCTGTTCCTCACCGCCTCAAACTGCTTCGCCACGGGTGAGGTACTTGCGGACCTCGGGTGGGAGGGCGCGTAGAGCACCGTTTCCTTCACCACGTCCTCTTCGTGTGGCGTGAGGTGTCGCAGAGGCGGCAAATTGGGTGCTTGGCGTTTGGGGCTTCTCAGAGGCAATTCTGGCGCTGGCGTCACGAACGGGTCGCACATTTGTGTATCGATGACGAGGCCTTTGGGTTTCCGGCCACGGACGATACCCTCCGACTGTCCTGTGCCGCCGGTCTTGCTGTCATCCTCTGGCTCATTGATGCTGTATAGGGTTGAAAGGGACGACGAAGCGTCACTGCCGGGTGATTCTATTGACACGCCGTTCTCAGCGGGCCTGGTCGGGGAGTTGTGGTCCGATCGCCTGCTCGGGGTTGACAAGCCTGTAGGCGACATGTGTTCAACGTCGGGAGTCGTCTCACCAAACAAGCTGTCTGCATCTGACGCGGCTGAACACTGCGAAATGTTCCGCCTGTGGTCCGGGGTCTCTATAAGCATTGAGACGACCATACGCTTTGACGGACTGGGTGTACGAGCTCCTCTACTTTGGCTTTTCACCGGGGAGTGTGATCTGATTGGTGATTGGCTTTTCTTGGGCGACGGAGCCTTGAACGGCGACTGCGCCTTGACCGGCGAATTCGACTTCGTGGGCGATGCGTGCTGGGTCTTGACGCTCGATCCCGCTGACGCCGACGCGGCGCGCTGTCGGGTCGCCGGCCGGCTGTTGCTGGGCGTCCCGTTCTGCAGCCTCTCCTCTGTCGACCGCAAAATCTCGGCGAGGTCCGACTCGGTCGTCTTGTGCCGCAGTCGCTGCAACGGCACCAGGCGCGGCACCTGAGGTCCTAGCGCCCCCTGGAAGTTCTGCGCACTCGGGGGAACACTGCCTCTTGCCGCAGCGGCCAGTTTCTCGGCCATTTCGTATGATGCGGTCCTCTGCAGCGGCGCCCGTGGGGCGTGGCCACGCTGTGCTGGCAGGCTCACGGGGCGAGGCTGCTGGATGGAGTAGTTCGTGTGGTCGTCTGGGAACTTGAAGTCCTCCTTGTTGCCATGCCCAAACAGATCCGGCAACGTCGGCGTGCGGAGGATGAAGCTGTCCCGGACACTCAACCTCCTGCCGTCGTTCTGCACTCTCGGTCCGTGGATGGCGTCCTCGTCGATCCAGCTGTTGTTCCTCCGAATGTGTCCACCACGCTGCTGCCCACCAACGGTCTCGGCAGATCCGCCAAACGCATTGGTCTTGCTTCGCGTCAGGACAAGGGACGAGAGCGAGCGGTACGGTTTGCCTTGGATCTCTTCCATGTGCGCATACGCCTCGCCTGGTTTCTGTTTCGTCAGGCGCCGTGGACGCGGGCTGGGTGAGCGGATCGAGCCGCCTTCTGATTCGAGGTCGAGTCTTGCTCCAGGTGTTGCGGAGCGGGCGCGGGCTACGGCTCGGTGGCGGCGGCCGGCAAGGGCGATGAGGAGGAAGGCGAGGCATATGAAGAGGAGTACGCCGCCTCCGATGGCGATGCCGAGGACAACCGGCAGAGTCATGCCGCCGCTGCCGCCGCCTCGTCCTACTATTCCTTCGCGGGCGAGCAGGAGCAGACTCGACATGACACAGCGGGTAAGTGAAGGTTGTGGTGCGGTACTCGGACGGTGGCTTTACTTTCGAAACGGTGATCTGGGCGATATCCAAGGAGCTACGATGGTATTGAGGACGTTGATACTACGGCCAGGATCTCTCATGATGCGAGAGCGGTCAGCCTTGTTCACAGTCACTTCTCCCTCTTTTCTCAAAGCTGTGTAACAGTCATCTGGTGTGTAATAGGGTTTAGAGTAAGAGGCACTTGAGATTCTGGCGAGGAGACAATGTCAAAAAGGCAGCTTGTACAAACTGATGGTCTGTAAACAAGCCTGGGAAGAATGAAAGGCAATTCAGGAAAATAGGAGCAAGGATTAAACGAGGGAAGGAGAGTATCCAGGCACAACGGCGGAAAGATGAAAAGACCCAAGAGGCCGGCGAGTCCTGCGTACCAAAAAATGGGAATGGCTGGTCCATCTCCCACGGGTCTCTCTTCCTCTCATGCGACCCGCCGCCCGTGACAATGGGAGTGGTTTGTTTTGGGAAGCCCCATGTTGGGAAAAAGAAGGGAACAGAGGGTGGTGGTCTCAGGCTAATCTGGCCGCGGGGAATGCGTTGCCATCCTGTCGTCCTAGGGCATGCATTCCAATGGAAGGGAGGAAGTCTCCCCGCCTCACCGCATGACGCCCGTCCGCCCACCATGCAAAGCAGGCCGAGATCCCGGGAGAAAGTAGGAGGCTAAAAACAGCATGGTTCCAAAGGGCGAGGGAACGTGATGTAATATGAATTTGCGGGCTGGGCGGGGTGGCGACGCGCTTGGGTTTCTTGCGAATAGCCTCACGGGGGTAGGGGTGTGTCTCTGTGTGTGTGTGGCTTGGCATGCGGTTTTGCGCGGGGCCGGTGGGCTTTCATCAAATGCGAGATGAAGTTGCGTTGCTGAGCAGGGGACCATAACAATAGTCCTCACTACTGTCACCTTGTTTGGGTGACTATATGCGTTGTTGTTTTCTCGGACGGGGGTTGATGCGATGCATCAAACTTCTTCAAAAGAGCCCGAGGCACACACTATTGACAGCCGAATCTACCCCTTGCGTCCGGGAACCGATATCATCACGCGCGAGATCTCCGCAGCCGCTCCCCCATGTCACTGTACCATCCCTCGCGACCCTGAAGAAGCCACTCTCACGTGCGCGCCGGTTTCTTGACGCACCTGACCTCGTTGATCCTCAACGCCGCCGTGTCGTGGCTCGCCAGCTCGACCTTGTACTCGTCCTCAAACACGCCCACGTCCTCGCCCGTCCACATGTCGTGCACGACGTACTTCTTCCCACCCTCCAGCCCGGGCACGTCCTTGAACGCAATCGTCTTCTCCTCGGTTCCCGCGAGCGTGTTGAGCACGAACACGTGCGTCCCGGCGACGGACTCGCCGGACCAGAACTCGGCCGGGTGGGTGATGTTCCAGGCGCCGTCCGGGTTGACGCCCCACTTGTACGGCTGCGCAGCGCCGCCAAAGACCGGGTCCTGGTTGAACCGGACGAGCTCCTTGTTCGCCAGGACGGCCAGGATCTCGGGCTTGATGCCCTCCAGCTTCGTCCCGATAATCAGCGGGCTCTTGAGCGCGGCCCAAAAGGCGAAATGACTCCTGCTCTCCTCGTACGTCAGGTTCCCGTTGCCGACCTCGAGCATGTCCCAGTCCCCGTGGCCCCAGAACCCGTTCACGTCGGGCCCGCTCCAGAACGCCGCGTGGTTCAGGATCGGCATCAGGCCCCACGACCACTGGTGCTGGCCGTACCACTCCGGGTAGATGTCACCCCACATGCGCCAGCTGTGGCCCGTCTCGTTGCCCCAGGCCTCGACGTGGGCGTGGCCCCAGGCGCAGAGGGAGTACTGGATCGTGCGGTTCTGCGCGAGGAGAGCGTCGCGCATGAGGCGGTAGCGCTCCGCCGTCAGGGAAGTCGACCAGTCGTACCCGGCGGGCGCGGGCTTGCCCGTCTTGGAATTGACTGGGTCGCCATTGTCTTGGTTCTCGTTAGGGGGCCCGCCGAGCCAGAGCTCGGGGACGTATTTCCAGTCGTCGAACCACTCCTTGGGGACGTTGCAATTGTCGTACTTGAGGTCTGCAAAAGGTGAGTAAGTAGCATGGCCAGAGGGTAGGTGGATGATGACTCCAGGGATTCGGATGCAAGGGGTGAGGTAAGTAAAGGGAGACGTGGCCGGTGCAGGGCGAATGCAACCACAACGGTGAAGAACTTACAGTCAATACCCCATTTCGCAAACGTCGCGGCGTCGATCTCCTCGTAGCCTAGCGATCCCTCGAAACCGCCGCACGTAGACGTTCCTGTGATGATCATGTCAGAGCGCTGTCGCAAGGCTAAACACTAGAGCACCCAGAATTCCTTCCACTTGCGCCAATGGTTTCTTCTTCGACAACTCGTTTCACACCCGCATGTCCATGACGGAAAAAGATTGAAACTCACCCGCGTCGCTGTAAATCCCAACCTTTAACCCCATCGCATGGATCCGATCCACGGTATGCTTGATCCCCTGCGGGAACTTGACCTTGTCGACGACGATCTCCTTGGTCACGTTATCCCTCCGCAGCTCCTTGTCGCTCCAGCAGTCGTCAATGTTGACGTACTCATAGCCCAGGTCCTTCAGGCCGTAATCCACCATGTGCTGCGCGACGGTGAGGAACACCGTCTCGTTGATGTCGCAGCCGTATTCGTTCCATGAGTTCCACCCCAGCGCGGGCAGACGTCCTGTAGTGCCGTCGCGGCTTACGAGCGCCGCGGCCATGGAGGACAGGCCAAAGCCTGCGAGAGAGGTGGGCAGGAGAGCGGATCGCATTGTGAAGAGGTCGGCGGGTTGTGGGTTGTGGCAGGTCTGTAAAGGTTGTCCTGGTTATCGCGACCGTGCTTCAACTTTGCTCCCCAAGATTGAAATTGCCAGGCGGCTGAGGAGAGGGTTGGACTGGTAGGATGGAAGCTCATAGTTACAGGACCTTGGGTAGGAGGCTCATATAGGCAAATGTACATCTCGGATGCATGCGCATACAATATGATCTTCATCCGCCAACCTACTAATCGTCCCATCCTACCCGACATCCGACCCCTCAGTAGTATCGAGCTTACAACGAAGAAATGCAACCTACCCCAAGTCCATCCCAGTCCCACTGCTGGGCATGGGCTGGTGACCACGCGGTAAACAGGAACAAGATGACGGCGCCAGTTGCCATGTTCCCCGCGTGACGCATGTTCTGACTAGGCTTTCCCACTTGGCCAAGGATCGCAGAAGTCGACTAGACGGCGGAAAAGTTCAAATGCTGTCTCTGGAGGGTGCGTCGACCCCAGCTCGCCTTCGAAAAGAGAGCGGTTTTAGACCAAGCTTCGGACGGATATCCACGAGTGATTGACCAACCGACCGTCCACCAACCGTGAGTGGCGTCCTCGCAAAATCTTAAGTGAGGGGTCGGTTCCCAACTTCCCGGCCCTTCGTGAGGAGAAGCTGAGGGGAAACCAGAATACTCGTCAATTGTTGGTGGGCAAGCAGTGTCAAATCCAGGATAAATGCAACGCCATGAACGACGCGGCTCAGATGCGCGGAGGATCGCCGCCCGAGGAGAGATGAAGCCACGTGCATGATGAGGGGAACTGCAAATTTAAGCCCTTAAACCGCCATTCTCCTCATCCGATCGGTCTGGCCGGGCTACTCCGTGGACAGCTCCCTCAGCTCATAAGATTTGGGGGAATGGTTGATGATCGACGGCACATCGGCCCCGGTGCTCAACGGTGGGGGGACTCGAAAAGTCGGGGTCGGAAGTGGCCCGCTTCCATGGCGTCGGGAATGGCGCCATGTGATTCGACAACTTATTGCAAAAGCATATGCAGGTCAAACCGCGTGGCCGTTGATGAGCGGGCTGATCCGGATGCGGTTTAGAGTTTTAGCACCCAGCAACACATGGCACCCTTCGACGAAAAAGCGGCGGCTTGGCCCCTCTGGTGCTTGACCTAACGACATCGCTTGTGCGGAAAGACGGGTGCAGAGGAATCACGAGATGCGGGGAACACTAAGATGGGTTGCAAAAGTGTGATCATGGGTAAATCATCTGGAGCTGTGTAGTACATGTCAGGAACCCGGACAACATGGGATAGTAGACAACGATATAGGGGCCTTGATTACCGACTTTCCATATAAGATTGACAAGATGGCGTCGGGAGGACTACAAGGACGGCAAATGGAACCGGCGGGAACAACCTCGTTGCAACAAAAGGTATCTCTCAAACACAGACCAACAACGCCTACGACATGGACGCAATCAATGCGAAGCAAATGCAAACCCCTCTCCCGACTACGCCTCACTCGATAAAACCGCCAAGAACAGATAAGAGCCAACTCAACTTGATGATTTGCCGCCTAATGTTCACCGTAAACTCATGAAACGGGCCATATCGTGACCGGACTCTGCTAGCTACCTCCAGAAAAAAGTGTGTCTGCTCTCAGAATGTCCAGACAACATCAGTAGCGTCCTTGAGCAAGATGTGAGAGAACCAATGCGAAGCCAAATCGTCTCCTGGGTCAGGATCCCATGGGATAAAGAAAGAGGACGCCACATCCCGATGCGTGTCCTGTACAAACGACGTCCGCGACCCTGATTTGTCGCAATCGATACAAAGAGGGAGTGGTCGACTCCGAGAAACCGAAAAAAAAGCACGTCTCCTCATCTACATGTGATGGTGACGGTGCTGGTGGAGGTGACGCTTGGCGCGCAGCACAGGCGTCGGAGTCGGCGTGACGGTCAAGGTCGAAGTGATGTCTTCGTACTCAGTCACGTACACAATATCTTCTTCCCAGTAGACGATCTCAACGGTGTTGCCGTTGGTGATCGTCTGAGTAGAGACGAAGGAGATGCTCTCAGAAGAGCTGGCAGGAGCGGACGTGGTGATGGGCTCGAAGACCGGGGTCGGGGTAGGCTGTATAGTGGGCGTGGCCTCAGACGCTGGGGCGGAGACAGCTTCGGCGGCGACGGAGCCGTATGGGGTCTTGCCGGTCTCGTAGAAGACATCACCGGGAAGAGGATTAGCCGTGGCGGTCTTGCCTGGCTTGTAGGTAAGGGTCGGGACAACAGGAGCTGCGGCGGTGGAGGAGCTGACGGGAGCATCTCCACCCTCAGAGCTGCCATCGCCGGTGACGGGGACGTTGCCAGGCAAGACGGAGTCGGGACCAGTGACGTTGTCCTTGGCGATGATGTCGGGGATTTTCATCTCACACTCCGCACATGCGGCTTCGTCCTGGAGGTCGAAGATGGGGCAGTCCTCGATGCGACCAGACAAGTTGGTGCAGGTGTTGACGGCCGACTGGAGGAAGTCCTCGTCCCAGCCTGAGATGAAATCGGCGTGGTATCCGAAGCCCGTAAGATCGCCGTTGGCAATCACAAAGCGACCAGAACGGCTCTTGAAGGCGTTGGTGTTCCAGATGACCTCGTACAGAAGGTTGGGGACCGATGTCTCGAATCCGTCAGGGCAGGTTCCGTCCATGACGAGGTCAGGGTAGGCCACATGGGACTTGTGGTCGTTGGAGTCGAGGTCCTTGCCGTTCCAGCACGAAGGGAACATCATTTCGAACCGGACACCGTTGGCGCAGTTGGCATCGAGGTAGGCCTTGTCGGGGAGGAAGTGACGATACAGGGTGCCCTCAGGGTCACGGGCGTAGTTGAGGCAGTTGAAGCCGATGGCGCGCTGCTCAAGGATAGACTGCGTGGTCTGGCCAAGGGTCGACCACGCTGACTTCTGGGGATCGGGCTGGGAAGGATCCCCGGCAGTGTAGTTGCGGCGGTCGGTATCCCCAGCAATCATGCGGAATCCCGGGGGGAAAGCCTTGATATCTTTTCCATTCAGAAGGTAGTACCTGGGAGACAGTTAGCTTCGAGTCTAACGGACGGAAGATGGGAAAACGGACGCAAGCATTCCGCCAACTTGGTCAACCAGCTCGAACTCTCCAGTGGACGAGTCCTCGAAGTACAGGGCTGGGTGCCAGTAGGCTGACTTGTCCTGCTTAACGCGGCAAGAGGTGCAGTCGGCAGCGACAAGGTCGTCGAAGTTCGAAGTGGGAGAGATGCCTAGTAATGTTAGTCAAGATGGCAAGGAGTGAGTCCCACTCGAAAGCCACCAGAGATCGTGAGGGGACCGGTGGAGACGAGCGGTTGCAATGAAGAATGACCGTAACATACCGCTGGAGCCGTGGATGGCGTGGACGTGAGGAGAAGCTTCTCCAAAGTTCATGAGAGGGTCAACTCGGGCAAGACCGACGCGACTCGGGCACTCCATACGCCAGAAGGCATCGGCGCCAGCCGCGAAGAGGCCGGCCGCAGCGACGAGGTTTGAGATGGAGTACTTCATTTTTGGCGGTTCGTGAAGTTGACGGTGTGAAGCACGAGTGTGAAGAAGGGTGGTTGAGTGATGAGACGAGAGGTAAGAAATGATACAACTGGGTATCAAAGATGAGATTGACTGAAGGGCAAGACGTGAGAAAACTCGGCGAGTAAAGCAGGCGGTCTTTGTCGTAGTTCACTGAGAAGACTTGAGGGCAGGAGCGACTGGTTAGGCGGGAGCGCTAACGTGCCGGGTCAAGATGAGGTTGGTGGTGAAAGGAGCAGGTGCGAACCGCTCACCGAACCTTCTGTTTCGGGAAATGCGACGGGTTCGATATCGAAATGCCAACTAAGGGATTTCGACACGTCTCTGGCTTTGGAAAGCAACAACTAAACGGATTCCGACGTCGATGTCCAGCACCACCGCAGAATTCAGATTTAGGCTGTGATGAGGGTGGGTGCTAGATGCCGCGTACACGGATCTACGAGTCCGGGATACGGGACGAGTCGAGTGGACGATTTCAGAAATCGGTTAAACTTCCACTTATACGGTTGCGCAACAACTTTCAGCTAAAAACCAGTCGGGTTGTATGCGCGGGTTGACGTCGAGAGACTGAGATGCGACGGGGTCGTTATTGCGCTGCGAGGCGGTGATATCGGCGAGTGGTGTAAGACGATGTCGAGGATGACACTGGCCGCGAGAGACGAAAAGGAGGCTGGGAGAACCGATGTAACAAAACCCGCCACAAGGTAGACTCGAGTCTTCGATGTATCAGTCGTCCAACGGTTGAGTTTTTGCCAAACAAGACAAGTCGAGTTTAAAATACGAATGCGGTCAACACACACAAACGGGGGTCCAGGAGAAATGAATGTGTAGGGTCCTGCGAGGCACAGGAAGCTGAGAAAGGAGCGGGGATCCGCAGTTGGGGATCTTGGTCGAGTTGGTAAGTAACAAAAAAAGGAATGGCTGAGGGCAACGGCCAGAAATGGACGAGGCCACGAGAGAGCGAGCGAGCGTGAGGGTTACTGAGTGAGAGAGAGTGACAGTCAAAGAGACCCCGTTGTAGGTGACGAAAGGAGGGGGAGGAAACGAGGGGAGAAGAGGGCGGTTGGAATGAAGGCGATGCAGAAAAGGGCATCAAGAAGAGAAGGAAACAGGCGGCAGGTGGAGAGACATGGCTAGAGGTTATGGCATTTCTGGTGGTGGGATGGGGGCCGGGAACTCAAGGGGCGCACGCAGGACAGGGGGGGTCAGAGCATGGATGGATTGCCGACTCCCATTTTGCAGTGCAGGTGCGTGCAGGTGCGTGTGTGCGATGGTCGTGAGTTACACCCTTTGCGCGCTTCGGTACCAAGAAGCCACCCACGCCTGTCCCTCGAGATGGGAATTGTGGGAAACGGCAAGGTACCTCGTCTCCGTCACCCAAGCATAATCCGTGATCCGTCTCCATTGATCTCTGCCCTTTGTAACGGGGGGGACGGGGGAACGGAAGACGGGCGGGTTGATGGGCCAAGTGAGGTGAGATTAGCTTTGCTCCTTACTGCGTTTGGTTTGACGACGATGGCGGCCCAGGAACTCCAAAGATGACAGCATGGGGGACAGCCGAACAAATGGCGCACTCTTGCAGTCGGTTCAGAAACGACGACTCGTCTCCGCCAGGGATCCGGGATTGCCAGCAACGGCTGTGTAAGTGCATGTCAGTGTTCGTCTGGTGTCCCCTGTCATCTATTCATTGCTAAAAGGTCTCTACAAACACTAGTAAGTATGCTCAACTGCTCAGGCCACATGGGGGCACGGCACCATCCGAAGCGACGTCGTTGACAAATGGCGGTGCAGCCAGGAAGAGGCTTTGCTTCTCTGGAAGGAGAGAGAGGATGAGTCTTGGAGTTGAAACCGAAAGGTCGAAACCCCCTCCCCCGGCTCTGGGACTGCTAGCTGTGGATGTCTGTGTTAGTGACAGCGGGCGACAGCCGCCTCCTGTCTCCGAGGTGCAGCCACTGCGACGCTGCACACACTACACCACCAACGAATCCCATGGCGCCCCTCTTCCCCTTGCCTTTCGTATGCAACGGCGGTATGCCCCAGGCCACTGGTCGGGCGAGCAGTGTGGGAGGGATCGCTCTTGAAGTGGGTTGAAATAGATTAAAATCCTGCTTCAAGGGGCCGAAACCAGCGCGACGAGGGCCAGGGTCGTGCTGGTTGGGTCGCCGGGGTCGACCAGACACAAGCCACCCTACGTGCCGTTTTTCTACGTAGCCCACAGAGTACTTTGGACGTTTAGGCACCTCCGGGGTCTTGTCGCTTGGCCCCTCGGCCTAATTGCATGCCACTCGCTCCTTGGTCTGCTTAACCATGGGACCAAACGGAATCACGTTGCTGCTGTACTCCAGACGACGGCGGACGCAGGATGGCGGGCTAAACTGCTGAATTGTGGAGGAGGCAGGGCACACGGAGGGGAACAAGCGAGAGGCGAAAAGGCCAAAGGCAAAGAAGCATGGCATGAAGCAGTGATCAGAAAAGACGAGACACACAGAAACAAAAAAAAACAAAACGTCGAGATAGGGGACCGACCCATAGGGAAGCGGGCATCGCAGATTGCAGCACTTGGCTAGTGTAGGCCCGCCGGCAATGGCAATGCGAGATTAAATGACATGAGATGAAGGTAAGATGAAGGTGAGATGAGTTGTGAATCGGTGGGGGGGGGACGGCGCGTGTGCAGTGACGACGCTGTGCGCTGCGCTGCGCTGCACTGATATGCGATGCGATGCGATGCGACGGGTTACGCAGAGACGCATTGCGACGTGTTGCTGGTTATGATGGTGCTGTTTGCCCAAAGCCGAAACCATCGTGGCTGCTTCACGATCGTATGCGTCGCTGGCCTTGTGGGCTGGCAACGCATCTGGGCTGGCAGAAGATGAAGCAAGCCGTTTTGCCACGTCCATCCACAATTCTAGGGTCGGGCTACGGCTGCGTTGTTACGCATCGTGCATGGCACCAAGCATTTAGCACCAACGGTTTGGCGGGAGATGTGAGGGACGGTGTGGCATCTCGGGGCGTACCGTTGCACACACCAGCAAAAGAAGCACTGAAAATGCCGCGGGTGGCTTCAGAGTGACACAGGCGATATGCAGGTACCGAAAGCTGTCTGCCGTGCTCCACACGGCGGACAACCTTGGGGGCCGCACTTGACCAAGGATACCTAGGTAGGCTGGATATTACTATGTGGCGATGGACGCTCAGATGGCGACGGAGGATGCGATGCGATGCGGCAATAGGAAAGAAAGCAGGGAAGGAATGGAATACCAAGGTTCTCAAGTCTCCAACCGTCCCTCCCCAAAGTGCTCCAGAGAGGCCCCTTCCTTTTTTTCGTCCGAGGATCTACGGCCAATGACACCTTCGGCGGGGGTGCTCCTGTTCCCGGTGAGGGAGGGAAAAAGGAGATTAGAAGCAAAAGGGAAAGAGACACGAAACCGCCATCTCTGACTGGTCCGTCGTGACCTCGTCCCCCTGCACCGCCCAGCGTCATGTACCCCAGTACCGTTGGTTGTTGGAGCGTGACCCCCTTTCGAAGGAACGGGTCGGAGAGGGGGCAGGAGGCGATCTCACTTTAGGTACGTATCCTCCCGCTCCACCACGGTGATTGGGCAAAACGACACGACAGCCAATGACGGCCCCCTTTTTCCCATCGCAGCCCTGGCGATCTCGGACCAATAGGACTGGCGCCAGCCGCCAGGACAGATTGTGGGAGTATGGAGCCGAAGGGGCGGCTGGGATCTGCGCTAATGCTAGTCGTCTGCAGGCTGCGAATTCCTAGCAGGCGCCGGCTCCGACGAGGGCGTGACTTCATTTGGAACCAGGGGCAAGACGCCGGCGCCGGAACCGACCCTGTGACCTTTGCCTCTTTCGCGCACCTCGCTCAACGAATCAAGTCGCCGTCCCCAGATCACCGCGGCCGAACAATCTACTGGCCCTCTTTTAATATGGCCATCAGAATCAATCCACGGCAGCCACGGCATGGCAGTCCGCCCTGCGACCCAGTAATCCTGTATAGAACTTACGCGGACAGAGGAAGCAATCACGAAGCTTTCATGCGCTCATACTGCCAGATCTGGGCAGCAATACGCCAGCCGAAAAACCAGCGTCGAGAGGCTTGCTTACACAACCTACCTACTCGCGTGGCATTTTTCGCCTTGTCACTCTCCGCCGTCGTCCACAGTCCTCGCAGTCCACTTGCCTGTCATCAGATCGGCCACCATCATGCGTCCGTCAGCCAGGAACGAGAGACAAATTCTGCGGATATTCCGGCGAACCAAGGAGATTATTCCCAGGGCTTCACTAACCTTCCGAGAGTGCTGCAACAAAGTCCCGCTGCCCGACCGAGACTCGAGTTTCAGCTGAACTTCGCAGTGCCGTCTCGTCGTTATGTTTGGGAGACGCAACATGTGCAGACACAACAACCAAACACAAGCCCATGCACGACAGGCGCTTATAATCTGGACGGTGTGCACGCGCACATCTTACCAGTGGTTATTGTCAACGGGAAATCCCATCGTGAAATTGTTGGTTCTCCTTCGCACGACAGCGTCGAACCTGCCCGTCTTCCTGACTACGATTGTTCCCTTTCATCTTACTCGAGGCAACGGCTGCTACTTGGCGCCCTCGTGCCACTCAGTAGCTAGTGCTTCGTGCACCTTAAAGCCCAAACAAGCCAAGAGGAAGAATCGCACAAGAAGAAGCAAACGTTCCAGCCATATCACGATGACATCGGCATCTTTTCTTCTTCCTTCCATTCCAACGGTCGGCAGTTTCGGGTGATCGGCAGACCATCAGGCTGCTGGACCGCCAAACTCAAATCTACACACCGGCACACAGTCCCATCGAACGATGGGGACCGCTATGGGACTGCTTATACGAACAGTATGTCTTACAAGGTGCAGCAGACGCTGTGCCCCGTGAGGCTCTAGCCATCGTGGATAGCGCTGCGTTCGTTGATCACTCGCGAGTCAAGCATGAGATCATCGTCATCACCAAAGCCAAGATTACGTTGGCCAGAGATTCCGATAGACGCGGACACGGTCCCCGGAGCACCCCGAGCAGCATCTCGCGATTCAGCCGTGGACTAAAATAAAACCGTCAGAAACCGGCTCTCGTCAATCCCACTTCGTATTTGCTCCTGCTGCGCTGTAATGGCCAGAGGGCAATAACACAACCTGGTTACGGTGAGGGCGAACAAAAAGGGAGGGGTGAGAGTGGCTTATCCTTCAGCATGCCCACCCATCGCGTGTCAGCTTGGCTCAGCCTTTTCAAGATCTTCTTCTCCTGATCGTCCTCATCAGGGAAGACCCTGGACATCGGTATACCCTGTACGACCCGAGTTTCAGCGGCTGTCTACTGGAGGCGGTGCGCCAACCATCCGAACTTCTCTCAAAAACGACGCCAACAGCCAAGGCCTGCTGCACTGGGGAGTCGCAATGCATTCAAGCATTGTCCCATCTCCACCCTTTTGCTTTGCACCGAGTCTCTGCTGTCCTCACGCTGGCCCTCAAACAAGCATGTTTTATGAGCCTGTCACCAAGAGGCAAATCTTAACCTTACAGCAATTGTTTCTTTGGCACAGAAACAATGAGCCCTATCCTTGCATCCTCCAGAGGGCCACTTATACTCTCTTGCCACTTCAGACGGTATTGCCGTGGGCTTTAGTTTGGCCGCGCATGTTTGGGGCATTATACCGAAACTTATTTGGTGTGCAATATGACAGCACCGCCACGTGCTGACCACAGCAAAGTATCAGTGGACCTCGCCCTATGTCAGACATGTCAATTGATCCCTTACGTGACAAGTCCAATCCGCTATTGGGCAGCATGGAGAACGTGTGTTGAAAAATTGACCTACAACACTACACTGTCAGAAGAGTCTGGTTCACTTTGAGCTTTCAACGATCCAGCCTTAGACCGAAGTTACGAAGAGGAAAAAAGCAAAACCGAAGCCTAGGGTAATGATCTCTATCCCCATAATCAGGGGCGCTCGTCAGCGTTATTTGGCTTTTCATAATGACTCAGCTTTGAGTGGCACTCCTTCGGCCGAAAGCGCTGTGGTGATATTATGTAGATCTCTGAGCTATAGGTTTCGAAGTGATGGAGATGCACGCTCATCCCCTAATTCCCTTCGCACTTTTGCCGCCCCAGGAGCCATTTTGGTAGATAGGGGTCTCCGGCCGCTGCTGCGCGGCAATTAGCAAAAGCGAACGGCAAAATATTGCCGCCATTTGCAATGTACTGTGCCTCACTGGTGCTATGCCGAGCGATGGATGTGAGAGTGAGTACCTGTCGGTATCTACCGTCGGTCATAATCCTCCCTCTATTGACGTCTCAATTCCTCTGGTGCTCAGGTAGTCGATGACTAATTTGACAGATGGGAAGTACCTAAACACCCAAAGTCAATGCAACAGTGAAATAGTTCTGGATGCGCTTGGAGTCCTGGCTGGAATGCCACGATGATACATAGTCGACTGGAATTCACCAGCAGATACAACCCCGCCGCAGTGCTCTTTGTGGCTTGAATCCGAAACCACGGAACCGCATCGCATGCAACCAAGGGACATACATGACTGCAATGTACGCAAAGCTCCCCACGAAACGAAGCTTCCAAGCTCATCGAAATCGGGGAGGCAATTTGACAATCTAGATGTGACAGCAGCAATCACCACAAACGCCCAGAGATGCCAACTCCTATTTTGCTTTCGGCGCCATCCGTGAAATCTGCAGGGAACCTGGGTCGTGCGGCGTACCCGAACTCAATGAGTAGAGCCGAAGGAATTAGCGCCGATGGAGAGAGTTGATGCCTTGATGAACGTGGCCTATGCTCAGGCAGATTCCAGCCACTGGTCCCCAGCTTCAGCCACAGCCGCGCCACATGCCACCTTATGGCCACACGACACCGCAATCAGCCAGCCCGATCCAGGAGGCAAGAGACCAGTGGAATTCTGAAGAAGCCGAAAACGATGCATTGAGCTGTATTTGATGCCCTCACGACCCTCACGAAGCTGATGAAATGAAGATTGCACCTTGAATGTTCCCCAGTGCTCAAAGATGGATGATCTCTCGGGGCTGAACTGGTCGTCGTCGGCGAACCAGCCGAACAACAAGCCGCCGCCGATGAACCCCTCAGGTGCCAATTACTTCGGTTCGATGCGACCGGCCAACTCGACGCCATCCCCGTTCCCCTCCGGTCGCAACACGCCACTGTCCGCCCAAGGCTCCGGTACGCTTGCCGCGAAACCCCCCGCTGCGAAGCCGGCCGCCGATAGCTTCAGCAACCTGCTCAGCTTCGGCGCCGCTGGTGCTGCCAAACCGACGTCGAAGCTCACCCTGCTGGAGCAACAGCAACGACTCGAAGCGGAGAAGAAGAAGAAGGAAAAGGAGAGAAGGAAACAAGCGCAGGCGCAGTTTGGTGGGGGATTCTTGGACACCCTCGGATCGGGCTCCGTGTCGCGGACGGCGTCCCCGGGCATCTTGTCCCCCGGCTCCTCTACCGGCAAGGAGGCCAGCGACGACGATGACCTCTTTGCCGCGTTCAACTCCGATACCAAGGTCGACAACGCCAGCTTCTACCCTCCGCCGCCCCAAAAGAGCCCCTCGCCCGCGAATGCGCCGGGCCTGGACCTTAGCAGCCCGAGCGCATGGAGCCAGGCTCCTATCGCGCCCAATAATGGTGGATTCGGGGACGACGATGACCCGTTTGGTCTGAACCAGTTGAAGCCCAAGACCGCATCTCCGGCACCGCCTCCGCCGATGAATGACGACGACGATTTCCTTGGTGACCTGGCCCGTCCGGTTGAAGAGGTTCGGCGCAAACAACCTACTCCGCCGCAGCCCCAGCGGTCCGAGCCCGGAAAGCCTATTGAGGAGTCCGACTCCAGCTCTGAAGATGAGCGGCCGGCCCCCAGGGGCGAGATGGCTGAATTTGACCGAGCTGTTGCCCAACTTGTCGACTACGGCTTCACCCCTGAAAACGCCCGACGTGGTCTGACGGAGAGCGGAGCAGGCCTGAACGTGCAAGCGGCTGCCAACTGGCTTTTGGATGATGCGCACCGACAAGCCAAGGCAAAGGCACAAGGAAAGAATCCCGCTGCCGCGCAGAGGAGAGGACGGGAAGATGGCAGCAGGCATGACGACCAGCGGAGATCAGACATTAGATCCCCAGCAAGTGGCGACCCGGATCTCTCAAAGACCGCAGCCGCCGTTGGCAATAGCCTTTTCAAGACAGCTAATTCTCTATGGAAGACGGGCAAGAAACAGGTTCAACAAGCTGTCGCAGAATTTAACCAGCCGGAGGGAGACCACAACCAGCCTAAATGGATGCGCTCGGCTCAAGTCGACCGCACCCAGCCCGAGAGAAGAGTGGCAGAAGCGACGGACGAGGCCATGATGCTGGAGTCTGGTGGTCGCCCGCCAAGGAAGGCTGGACAATCATCACAGTCACCGAGACCAGACGCGCCGCGGAGGACGGCGTCGCCGCGGGATCATTCTCCTGTGGTGTCAGCCCCTTCTAGCGGCAGAGGAACCCCCGTGCCGAGATGGCAACAACAGGGTGGCCCAGCGGTGCCGGATTCGAAGACCCGGGCAAGCAAGCTGGCGATGACGGACGACAGTGCCGCATCCTATGTTAGTCCTCACAGGAGAAAGAAGGCCACGCCTCAGCCGGAAGCGCCGCCGCCGCAGCAGGACGAGCCTGACCTGCTCTTCGGTACTCAAGCCCCCAAGCCGGCGCAGTCACTTCCGCAGCGTCCAGCTCAGCCCTCGCAGCCATCTAGGCCTGCCCAGCCTGCTAGACGCCCTTCCCCGCCTGCACCTAAGCTAGCACCTCGACCTGCTCGTCAAATCCCACCGATCACACCCGCAGCGATACAGCAATCTACGAAACACCGTCTCGACGGTACGGCTCATTTCAAGCGGGGAGATTATGGCGCAGCCCACTCGTCCTACTCCTCGTCTCTGGCCGCCGTGCCAGCGTCGCATCCGCTCGCCATTGTTATCCTTACAAACCGCGCATTGACGGCCCTCAAGACCGGAGAGCCCAAGCAGGCCGTCGAGGACGCCGATGCTGCACTCAAGATTATTGGTCCGGCAGGCGGCCAAGGCGAGCAAGTGACTGTCGTAGGCGACAACGGCGGTGAAGAGCGCCGTGAGATGCGCGATCTGTATGGCAAGGCATTGAGCCGCAAAGCCGAGGCCCTCGAACAGATGGAGCGCTGGGGCGATGCCCACGCCGTCTGGTCGACGTGCGTGAAGAATGGCGTAGGCGGCCCCACTGCCATCTCCGGCCGTCAACGTTGCCAGTCTGCCCTGGCGCCGAAACCGAAGCCGAAGCCCAGGCCTGCTGCTGCTGCTAGGCCGCGGCCGGCGGCGGCTCCGGCGAAGAGCTCCGAAGCCGTCGAGCGCCTGCGCAAGCAGAACCAGGCGGCAGCCCAGGAGGACGACGAAAAGTTTGCCCTGTCGGAGAAGGTTGATGCCAAGATCGCCGCCTGGAGAGACGGCAAGCGGGACAACCTGCGTGCCCTCATCGGCAGCCTGGACCAAGTCCTCTGGGAGGGCAGTGGTTGGAAGAAGGTAGGGTTGCACGAGCTCGTCATGGCCAACAAGGTGAAGATTCACTACATGAAGGCCATTGCCAAGTGTCATCCCGACAAGGTACGTGTCGTCGGAGCGACAGACGTAAGGATATGCTAACACGCGGTCCAGCTTCCTCAGGACGCCAGTACGGAGGTAAGGCTCATTGCGGCGACGGTCTTTGCGACGTTGAACGAGAGCTGGGACAAGTTCAAGGCCGAGAACGGGCTGTAGTGGGGGGCATTGGTTTATGAGCGGTCTCGGCTACAAAAGCCAGACGAGCATGGGATAAGCACGAGACAATAGGGAGACCACCTTGAATGCGAGCGTCGAAATAGAAGTGAATGAATGAAGCGATATTCGATTCCCCAAACGCCATGCTATGCGAGTCGTTCTGACCATATCTTTTCTAAATCCCTGCAAGCCGGTCTGCCAGTGTACCGGCGCAGTTACCTCTATGTGGAACATATAACCTTCTTCCACACACACACACACACACACACACATACACACACCCTGCCCGCTCCTCCTGACGTAACACAACATCCCTTTTCTACAAACCCAACGACCGCCGCACGCCGTCGCGGACCTTTTGTTCGTACTCGGTGCGGCGCTCGCGCCACATCTTGGCGGCCTCGACGTTGGCCGGGCTCTCGTCGTTGGGCTCGGCGAGCATGCTCATGACGGAAATGAGGATCTTCTCGACGGACTGGATGGGGGACCAGCGCTCCGAAGCGTGCTCGTAGTGGTTGGGGTCGTCGCCGGGCGGGTGGAGGATGGAGATGCAGACGAGGCCGCTGGGGTAGACTGGGAGGGTGCTGTCAGCTGTCGATTCCGCAACCAGATTGCCCTGTGCTTGAAGCGAGGGGGAAAGGGGGCGTTGGGCCCGGGAGAGACATACTGTTCGGGTGCCACATGTCGACGAGGAACTTCATGGTCGGCGGGGCGAGAGGGTAGTCCTTGGGGAACTTCAGCTCGGCGGGGAAGACGCCGCCCTCGAAGGGGGTACCCTCGGGACCCTGGATCAGGGCCTCCCAGTGCAGGAGATCATCCTCGGATACGGGGCCCGCGGTGATGCCCTCGGGCGGATTGTTCGTCAGGGCGCGGTACTCCTGGAGGAGGCGGCGGTGGGCGGTGGACTGAGCCATGACGCGGGCAGGAGTTCGGAGGCCGGGGGTATATCGAGGCGCGGATGGTTCGGGGACGGAGGTTTGGCGGAACGGCACAGATTGTGCGATGGAGGAATGCAAGGGTCGGAGGGGTTTTGTTCGAATCGGCTGTGTTGTTGTACGTGGTCGGCTGTTGACACCGTTTGACTTACACACGGTGGGTGTTGGGATGGACGTGGAGCGAGTGTCGGTGCGGCAGTCGGCAGTGGTGGTCATAGTGGTGGAAGGTTAGCGGGGGTGGGGGGCGCGGATGAACCGCGCAGCTGTCATCGCTTGCTGCACAACTGCGGCCAATTCGCCGAGGTTTTGCCCGCCACGCGCAGTGGGCTCGGAGCTTGGGTCGGGGGGCACCGCAGCATTTTTGGGAGCTCTGTCCATCTGCCGACCTCACCCGTCCTCGACCATCCCGGGCGAACATCACGAACTTTTTTTTTCTCGTAGTCGAGACACGAACGAGGGGACGCAACCCCCCCCGTACTCCGACACAATGCCTCCGCGACTTCCATTGAGGCCAATTGCCGGCCGTGCGGCGTCGTCGCTGTCCCTGGCAAAGCAAACGAATGCTTCCTCGCGCGCTGCAACCTGCTTGTTTTGCTCGCTGTCGACAGCTCCGGCTCCCTCGCGATCCACCACCGCCAGCCGGGCGCACGCCGCCGCCGCCGCCGCCGCCAGAAAGGCATTGAGACAACGTCGATTCCAATCCACCGACTCGGCACCGCTCGAGGATGCAACACCCGAGAACCCCCGCGCCGAGCTCGTCGACACGCTGCTGGAGCTGCAGAAGCATGCCGTCAACCATGTCAACCTCTCCCGCCTGCAGCTCGCACTCCAGGGCTTACGGCAGGAGCCCGGCCAGGAGGCGATTCGCGTCGCCATCCTTGCGCTCGCCAACGTCGCGGAACCGGGCAAGGCCGCGAAGGACCTGCTGAGGCTCATCCTCGCGGATCCGCTGAGCGACGAGGCGGAGTGGGAAAGGGAGCTGGCGCAGCACAACCCCGCGCACCCGCTGGTTGTGCGGATCGGACAAGAGCACGGCAGGGCGGGAGAGGATGCCGCGCCGAAGGTGACGATATCCAAGACGAACCTGCTGCACGAGCTGGACGTGTCTTCGCCGGCCCTCAATGGGCATGGTATTGAGCTGTTGCTGATGGAGGTGAACCCTTTCACCGCAGCGCCGAGCGAGGCGACGCAGGTGCAGGACATTGAGGAGTCCGTTCTGGTGCCTACGGTGGACATCCCATCAAACACGGGGCGGTACACGCCGATCACGACGCCGGTGCACAAGGCTTTGGTTGTTTCCGAGGGGGTCATGGGCGCGGCGTCAGTGGCATCGCTGCCGCTGGTTGAGTATCGCGACACGGTACTCGCGGCTGTGGATCTGCCGGAGTATCCCGTTGAAAAGGATGCGCAGGTGCCGTTCCAGCCGGTCGATGTTTTGGTGGGCGTCAAGGGGCTTGAGCTCATCCGCCAAAACATCGGCAACGCGATGGAGTACGAGCGCTCTTGGTACAAGAGCAACGTGCCTGCTGTTATCCAGTGGCTAAAGTCTGGCGTACAAAACGACGAGGGCCAGATCACCAAACCGGCCGTGCGCCTGCTCATCGCCTCTCTGCTGCGCAACACGTTGGCGGAGATTGAAGCCGAGGAGACGCGCTTGCTGTCCGGACGCCTGTCGACAGAGGCCGCATCTTCTGGCCTCGCTGTCATGAACGAGAGGCTGGCTCAGTGGTCGCAGTTCGCGCACGAGGAGCTGCAGCAACAGCTCGATCTCGCGTTCGCAGGAAAGAGATGGCGCAAGCTGGGATGGTGGAAGCTGTTCTGGAGAGTCGACGATGTGGGCGCGCTTACGACGGACATGCTCAACCAGCGCTTCCTCCCGGGTGCCGAGAGGGAACTCATTTACCTCGCCGGCCGTGTTGCCGAGTCCGGTGTCGCCAATGCCATTGAGCCGCCGGCGTACTCTCAACCGACGTCGGAGCTGCAAAAGTCGCTGCCGGAATCAAGCACAATCGCCAAAGCTGTAACGCAGAAGCCAAAGTGGCCGACGCACATCTCCTTTACACGTCGCTACCTACATGAAGAAACCGTTCCCGCCCTGCAAGCCCTTGCGCAGAAACTCGTTCTCCAGGCCTCCAGCACCTCCGCCCTGACTAGTGCGCTGGCGGGCCTGCTGTACGTCTCACAGTACGCCTCCTCGGTCTACGAAGCAGGCGCCGTCGCGGCCCTCGGTATCATGTGGAGCTTGCGCAGGCTGCAGACGAAGTGGGAGACGGCGCGGTCCTACTGGGAGGGTGAGGTGCGGGAGGAAGGCCGCAAGGCGGTTAGGGGTGTCGAGCAGAGCGTTGCTGATGCGCTGGACGGTTCGCGCGAGGGAGCCCCCATCGAAGGCGCGGAGGAGCTGCGCAAGGCTAAGGAGCTTGTGGAGAAGGCCGAGGACGCACTGAAGCGCTTAAAGTAAAAAGAGGCGAGAAGAGTGGTTCCTCTGTCATGTTGTACCATCACCTGTATAATGTATGAAAAGATGTCACCATAGACATACACGCAAGACTTCGATACCAAAACACACACAGAAGGAGACGAAAGTTTGGGCGCCGAGAGGGCGTTTGCATTCTATTTGCGGTCTTGTGTCAGCTTTCATGCCCATCGATGTCAGCTGGTCCATCTGCTGAGCTTGGCTGCACCGTCTGCAAGTGAGGCCTACCCTGGCGACCGCCACGAGTTGCATATGGACATCTGCTGCTAAATCGCCGGGTTCCCAATGGCAGAGCATCGTGGTATCATGCCACCCCTATCTTCTTTGATCTTCCGCCATGCCGCAGTTTTGACTTCCCAGAACTCTCAAGAAACCTTTAAACGCCAGGAACTTTTTTTTCCCAGGAGCTATGCTGGAAGCTCCGGTTCCAATCCCCCCATTCGAGAAAATCCACCCGCCAATCCTTCTCTCTCTCTCCGTCGTGGTAGATCTGCATGATATGCGCGCGCGCGATCTTTCCGGCCGTCTGGTTCGCGATAAAAGTGGTGCCTTGTGATTTTGTCTCTCGTACAGTCGCCTCTCGTGCGCGTGTGCGTCTCACGTCCGAGCCGATGAAGAAGGACGATCCTAGCGTCCGCCGCGACCGCTGGCGCGGGCCCTGCTGACGGTAGCGCGACCGCGGGCCATGCCGACACCGCGGCCACGAACGTTGCGGGAGCGGAACATGGGGGCGTTGCGTAGCATGTCCGGGACGATGAAGAAGCGTACGTGGGAGCCGCGGATGTAGACCTGGTCGAGGTGGGAGACGCGGCCGTCGCGGGCGGTGACGGTGATGTCCTTGAGCTGGACGTTCATGTTGTCTTCGGCTGTGAGCGGGAGAGTGGAGAGTGGTTAGCTAGATGTTTCTACATGAGAGGCTAAAGACCAGAGAAAGAAAGGGGAAGGAAGTGCAGGGCAGAGTGTACCTTCAAGAAGCTTGCCGCGGTAGGTTTGGCCGGAGGTGATCTCGAGAGTGACGATGTGGCCCTGCGCGCGCATGGGTTAGCTATTGCTTCCTTAGGGTCTTGGGAGGGGTACCTGAGCCTCATTGAGGAGCTTGATTGGGATACCGATCGTGGACGTCATATTTGCGGCTTTTGGGGGTGGTTTCGAGGTTAAGCTATCGTGGGGTTGCGGATGGGGGGCAGGCAAGCAGCTTGTCGCGATCGCGGGTCGCCTTGTTTGGGATGATGAAAAGTGAAGGCAGCAGCAGTAGATGGTAGCTGGAGGTTTATGTTTTTCCGCCCCGGAGGTACGTAGTTTGGAATTGGCCTCACCGTGTTCGGGACAAGGTTCACCGAAAGCTTCGATGGGTGGGTGGGGCCGAAACTGGGGGTGACTTCTAGTTTGGGGTTTGGCTTTGGGGTTTGGCTCTAGAGGCTGCCTCTGGGGTTGCTTTTTCGGAGAATTGCCAATTGATTCCAAAGCTTGACGCCCAAACGACATTAAGTTATGTTATGCATACCATGCGATAGCTTTCTTGTTACTGCCTCTGGTTTTTGAAGTCGGTACGATTATTAAAGCATCGTCGTGTACCTTGATCAATCGGACAGTGTGCCGGCGGCTACCTCGACCTCAGATCAAGATGTGACTCTGAGACTTCAAAATAATGCCTCGACACCCGGCTAGAGGGTCTTGGTGGGCATCACTGTAGTGCAAATGTATATTGTATTTGCTTGTTTGGCCACTGCAGTAATCGAATCTACCCTGATTCGACCCGACAGCTTGGTTTCAAAGTCGAGTTGTGGTGCAAGATGATTATGCCAAGGTTGCAGTAAGAGGATAATAGTTGGATAAACTTTTAACACAGAGTTGGGCAGCGTTACCACATACACATATCTCTACATGTCCTTGGTGTTGCAAAGGTTTGTCTGGCTGGTTCGTCCCTTTGGTCATCTGATTCCAGCACTGCCCCGGACGCGTGGTTGCGCAAGTCGCTCGCCCTGCGGCCTGTGTCCGTCCTTCGATCCGAGAGCACTCGCAGTAACAACTTTGGCACAGCCTATGAATGAGTAAGCGGTACGCGGTGGCGAAACAATCGATCAACAGTCTAGATCGAGGAGTGGCGTTCTCGATTTGCGAGTCATCGACAGCTGCGTTTCGAATTTGGTCGGGCTCTGGCAAGATGAACGCATTTCGACGGGTTGTCAAAGCCAAGCAACAATCGCCTATGTACCGCATCAGAAGCGCATTGTGGTTGGCCTATCCAATAGCGCTATACGTGGGTCGCAAGACCTCGGGTTTTTGACAGGTGGGTTTCTCGGTAACGATTTCCAGGATGGGACGAGCGCAAAATTGCCGAGTCCGTGGGACCACAAGCCTTGGAACTTTTCTTGTATATGGAATCGCGATTAAGCCACGCGGATAGGACGCAACTGTGGGGTCCCCTGCCGCGCCGTCTTATGTTGGGCGGACCTGTTCGGTCGGGAGCTAACAAGGACCCGAACTCCTCACGGACGAGTTCCCGTCCGATTCCCACTCGGGTCGCCCCTGAGCTCGAGATCGCCGACAACACAAAGCTATCATGCAAAGTGAGGAGACGTCTAAATTCAAATAACATGTCTCTTCACTCACTTGAGACCACCAACATCACAACGCACTATAGCTTTTGACATTCAACATGGGTTTCAAGGTCATAATTGTCGGCGGCAGTGTCGCTGGCCTGTCACTGGCCAACATGCTCGAGAGACTCAACATCGACTATACCCTCCTAGAGGCGTATCCCGAGATTGCACCACAGGTCGGCGCGAGCATTGGTCTGTTGCCCAACGGTTTCCGAATCCTCGATCAGATTGGATGCTTCGAACCGATTCGAGAGATTGCTGGAGACTACCACCTCAAGTCGACCTTTCGTGGACAAGATGGCAAGGCTAACACCGAGCCGAGCAACGCCGCTGTTCACCATTTGGAACGTCGGTATGTGGCTTTCCAGACAAGGATCTGTATTGCGGACAGAATAAGCAGATGACGGCGTGGCTAACAATCAAGCAGAACTGGATATCCTTCCATTTTTATTGACAGACAAATGCTCCTTCAAGTCCTCTACGATAACTTGAAGCAAAAAGACAAGGTTCTTCCGGAGAAGAGAGTGAACAAAATCGAGCTTATCAACGGTGGCGTACTTGTTCACACAAAGGACGGTTCTGTCTTTGAGGGAGACATTGTGGTCGGAGCAGATGGCATTCACAGCACCGTAAGAGAGGAAATGTGGCGTATTGGTCATGAAGAGAGTCCCGGATACTTTCCCAAAGACGAAGCCTCTAGTAAGTCGCCATGTCCCCATTTTCTGTCCCCATTTTTTCTGTCCTCTCTGGAGGGACGAGAATAAGGCGTATTGCAAGAACACTACATCCTGTTCACCCGACTTCTTTACTTACGCGCCATCTGCAGGAGTACCTGTTGCCACAAGATGCATCTTCGGCATTTCCAAGCGGCCTTCGAAACTGACTGCCGGCACCCAGCAGATGTGCCATAACATCGGATGGAGTTATCTCATAGTCGGCGCGCCTGGCAACCGAACCTACTGGTTTCTTTTTGAGGGCGTTGGAGAGACCAAATACGGCAAAGACATTCCTAGGTACACCAAGGATGACTTGGAAAAGCTTGCTATGAAGCATTTGGACGATAAAGTCTTTGAAGACGTAACTTTTGGGGACGTTTACAAGAACCGCATCATGGCTACGCTGGTCCCCTTGGAGGAGTACGTCTTCGAGAAGTGGCATTACAAGAGAATCGTCTGCATCGGAGACGCCAGTCATAAGGTAAGTACAAAACGCATACAGTATCCCGGTGCCAACACTAACCATGATCTTGAATGCAGATCGACCCAATCTCGGGCCAGGGAGGAAATGGGGCAATTGAAGCGGCTGCAATTCTCACCAATGCCCTTACCGACATGCTGGAGAAGAACCCCAAGAGCCAGTCTCCCGAGGTCGTCGAACATGCATTGGCTCAAGTCCAAGCCAACCGTCACGCGAGAGCCAAGAAATTGGTGTCGGAGGGTCACCAGCTTCAGCAGATTCTGACCGGCAGGTCCCCAATCTCTAAGCCGGTCCTCAAATACTTGATCCCGATCCTGAAAGAGGATGGGTTCGTTGGCACAGCGTTGCCCATCTGCAAAGCAAGCCACCACGTCCTCAAGCTTCCGATGCCGAAGCGGTCCCGTATTGTTCCCTTTGATGATGAGCTTCCCGCAAGGCCTCTCAACAACAAGACCGTCTCCAGGGTTGCCACGCTATTGGCTTTTGGCTCCATGGCAGCGATCCTCAGCAAGTCTGGGGGACTCACGCATCTCTCTACGCTACTAAACAGCTTCCAATCCCAGGCCAAATTGCTATCCACTGGGGCATCCGGTATCAGTTTGGCTCAAGGATTCTCCGGCCTGCCCAGCGTCGTTTCTGCGAGCAACCTGATCCAGGATGTACAGTTCAGAGCGAACCTGTTTTCTGCCCTCGCCATTTCGCTTGCGGAGGGCCATCGGATCGGCAACAGGCTGTCTATCCTTCTTTGGTACGTGATCGTATTCTCCATCTTCTATCATAGCTTGATCTAGGGTTGACCTGACAACTTTCCTAGGCCGTCTCTTACTGGCGTTGCCTTCACAGCCTTTGGCGCCAAGGCTACAATGCCTCTATTCGGTCTCGGACTAGTCCTTCGAGGCTCCAACACCCTGGACGGAAGATATGTCCCAGTTGACTCTGCAAGATCGATCTTGCCTTCAGTCATTGCCGGCTACGCAATCCCCACGATCCTCGCCGCCCTGCCGGTTCAGAACCAGCAGCTCCGACAGGCCGCCAACCTGGTCGCATCAACCGCACCACTCTACTGCACCGCTCTCGTAATTGGCATCTCGTCTGTCATCCATAAAGTCCGCAACACGATCCAGCCCCCGAAAGATAAGGGCGAGGTCAAGTTTGACGAGCAGGAGGACTTCGTGGCCATGTACCAGCAGAAGGATGTGGTTCCCCTGAAGTTCACCTACGCGTTTGCCGCGGGAATCTGTGCCACAGTCCACATCATCAGCACCATCTACGCCAAGTCCGGCTCCAATGCTACTAGCATCGTAACAGGAGGCAACGCCTTGTTCGGCTTGGCTTCTGTTGTCCAAACCCTTTACTTAGCCTGGACCATGCGCTCTGAGGGTTTCGTCACCACGAAGCATGCTATCATGGGAGGGTTGGGCTCTGTCGCCAGTAGCCTCCTCATTGGGCCTGGCGCAGCGCTTTCAGGCTTCTTCTATTGGCGCGAACACGTTATGTCGAGCTTGGCTAAATGAACATTTCATTTTGTACTTTCATATGTATTTCATTGTAGATTTCTTTTGTGCACAGCATGTGGTGTTTAGACTGTAGGTATTAACATAGAGATTTTGTAGAATCACATATGGACATTTGAAAAAACTTTACCGGTTGCCGAACAAGGGTCATATTAGCCAACGGAAGTCAATGTGGCCTAACCTTATGCAATGATTCCACAAGCAGTGCGGTACAGCAGCGTCGACTGGACCGTCGCCACCGTTTTTTGTGGTTTGACGCCTGCAAAATATCATTCACCATGGAGGTTTTCATCCAACATTTCATCACCGATAAGCAGCACGTTCGGGCCTGAAACGTCGCTGGTGGACGGCTTTGTCAACTCAATTGGCTAGAATATTGCTACATATTTGACCTTGACTCAGTGTATCATCCCTCAACTGATCTTGATTCTTGATGCTCCTAGGATGAAACCGACGGCTAAATCGCCTGCCGAGATGTAGGTGCCGTCAATTGAAGCCAAAGCCGTCAGCTTGAGACCCGGACCATGCTTCTCGCAACCGTGTCTCACAAGCTCTTTCTGCCAGCAAACTTGACCATGCGGTTCATGATCATTGATTGCTCTTGCAGCCTTGCTAGAGGCTTCTGTCTAATGCTGCCTCAAAAATCAAAGTTGTTACCGGCGCCTGCTAACAAGAACTCTAGAGCTGATGGAAGTGGCAGCATGCCCATATCTTCTGCATCGCCGAGGTCCAACCCGTCTCCCACAAACTCAGCACTGAAGAATTGGCCGGCTTGAGACTCCTCCACTGTAAGCTCCCCCAGATACTGCCCTTCCTGGCTCCTTGAATGTCCTTGATTAGGTGTTGTGTGAGTCATATACGTCGGCCCCGAGCTAAGTGGCCGTCCTGAATTGTCTCTGCCCGCTAAAGACGACGATCCAGCGAGGTCACTATTATCGTATCTGAGCAGATCTGGAGGCAGTGAAGCCCTGGCGTTGCCGGTTTGGCGAGCGGCATCATCTATTTCAGTGCTTGCATCATTGCCCAAATAGTTCGGGCGGTTCGTTTGAGAATGACAGCGGCCTCGTAAACGCCGTGGTTCGAAAAGATTCAAGAGACTTTGTGCGTAAAGCCACTGGCTTTTCATGGAATGCAAGGTTTGAATCATGGATTCAGAGTGACGTTTGGATTTTGCCGCCACGATGGGATTGCATGAGTGCATCTGAGTCGATGTGTGCACCAAAGCCGTGAAGAGCATATGGATGCTGGGAAGCCATAGCTCAGAAAGCATATCTCTTTTGCGGAGAGACTCGAAGATGGTGCTGATAGTAGCTGCTGAATCAGAGCAGATGCTCAAGTCGGTGCCCGCTTCTGTCGCAGATTGGTCCGGAGCCGGGCGGGGTGACGGTCGATGGAGCAGGATGAGGAAGTTGTTGTAGGTGAGATGGAATATTGACTGCCATATGTCCGGCTCTCTTTGAGATATTTGAAGTCTCTCTGGCAGGTTCGTGACTAATTCAGCAAGGGCTGTATCGGCTTCTCTCGTTGCTTTGGCACGGTCATCTGCTGTAGACCGTAAAGCAACTCGCTTTCTCATCGCTTTGGAGAATATAATGCATAGACGAGTGTGCTGAATGATAAATGTGGTTTCTGCCTCCGGCGTATCCTTTAGATGATGCTCTTCGATTATTGGGACGTCGGATTCGTCCAAGTTGCTGCATGCCCTGGGATTAGTACATCTGTATGGGAGTGGAGTGATACCACATGACAACTTGACAGCAAACATACATGGCTTGAGGTCGACCATGAGCCATCGACACCAACACATCGAACTGATAGAGAGTCCACCATAGCCTCGTCCAAAGAAGCTTGTCCATGATGTTCAGACTGGACGGTGTTGCATCCCGGTGCATGCCCATGCCAAAGGCCGTCCGGGCGGCGCTTCCTACCCAGTACCATGAATTGGAAACAACGTCTTCAAGATCATCGCACTGCCAAGTCAGCAGAAGAGCGGCTTGTAAGTATGTTTCGCGGTGTTGCTCGAAGCGACAGTCGAACAGAGCCTTCGCCCGCTTGAAGAAAACTGCCTTTAACGCTTTAAGGTCTTCTCTCTGGGGAGATAGGACATGTGCTCCAACAAGTAAGATGGAATTCAGTAGGAGTAACGATAAAGGTCTGGACCGAACCGAGTCTGAGCTGGTGTCGACATTATTGTACTTCTTCATAAAATGGTCTTCGTCAACAATAGGTATGCCTCGGTTAACACGAACGAAGTACGCCTGGACAAGGTCATCCGCCAGCGCCTTCGTAGGTAGTTCTAATGCCTCCGGAGGCACCGACGACATTCTCGGAGCCAGAGGATGACTTCCAAAATGCAGCACATTCTGATCTGGTCGGTGAGACCGCTGTCGGACTAGGTAGTTCAAATTGGAAAATTCGGTCCCAATGAAGTAAAGCCGGCCGCTGGGCAGTATCTCTTGAGTTCCTATCTCCTCTCTATCGAGAAAGTCGGCCAAGTTACGCGTTGCGAGCTCAGTTGCGTAGTGAGTCTGCGCTGCAAAGTCGGTTGTTGAGTTTGGCCGAGGGCCCGAGTCCCCAGCGACGTTTATCCATGGGCTGGCTGCACTCGCAGCTATAGGCGTCGTTGTAGGCCGAGCGCTGTCTGTTGCGCGAGGTTGCAGTCGGACATTAGGGCTGTGTGAGGTCCTGGCTGAGGACGACCTGGTTTTCTTTTTCTCGAAAATTTGACAGTCGGCAACGTTGTTTGCTTGACATTTGGAGCATGGCGTTCCCTTTGTCAGAATGTCGCAACGAATTTTTCTCTGATGACAGGTCACGCAGGCCCTTCCATCTGTGAATCAACAAATGAAAGAGAGTCGGTCAGAAAGGCTCCTTGGATGAGGAAGGGGACATGGCGCGGAAGGCCGAGCATCAGGGAGGCACCGTACTGGTTCTTCCTTTCTTCGGCGCAACGCGGGAGGGCGATGATGCCGAGAACGCCCTATCGCGCCCTACTGCTGACATGACTCCAGTCTGCTTACGAGTTGCGGTCACGAGCAATTACCGAGACGAGTGCGCCACAACGAATGATAGAGCTCTTGCCTGACGCATGGTTTCGTTAAAGATCGATGGCTGATGGGGAGAGGATGCAAAAGAGTGTAAGTCGGAAGTTGAGGTGGATCGGATAAAAACCGAAAGACAGGGAGCTCGGAAGTTATGCGAGCTACCACAAGCGATGTCGGCGAAATGGCCAATTAGGAGCACTTATTGAGCGCTTACATAAGGCAAGATTATCCTCTCCGAAATGGCATAGTTTCCGAGTAGCAGCAAGCAGTCATGCCCTCGGTCAAATTGACCAATAGCGGTGAGAGACCGGAATGAGCAAGCTGCCCTAGAGACTGGCGGAACTTCGAGTGCACAAGAAAATGTAACTAACTACGTAAAACGTCAGAGTACGTCGAGGATTTTTTTTATATACATAAAGTCTAGCCATGAACAAGGACACAGATATCAAGACATATAAGGGGGAGCGCGCTGGTGGAGGGCGGATCCCAAGGTGTCACTTCTCGTCGAAGGATTTTAAACAACATCCACGATACAGCCGGAAACATTGACATTGTGAAACGAGTCATTTAATGGATAAGATGAAAGCACATTCATTTGAGGGCCCAGGCGGCATTACTGTCTTGACCAAAAACGAAACATTGACGGACGTGGAGAAAAGCGGCGATACATCGGACAATTCATCTTATATCGAGGCGGGAAAGAACTTGGTAGATGCTACCAACCTATCACCGGTATGTTTTAGCTGAACCCAAGTAAGAGATGGGATAGAAAAGCTACTTCTGATCTTCTCAACTTGATGCTAACTCGAATGCCCAGATGCGCAAGCTGCACATTGTTGTCGCCGGATTTACGTGCACTTTCAATGGCAACCTCGGTTCATCAATGCCGTCAGGTGCTCTTGACGCCATTAGCGAGGAATTCGGGGTATCCAGCCGTGTCCACCTTATCCTTCTCAATTCGCTCTTCATGTGCGGATACGTTCTCGGTCCTTTGCTTTTTGGGCCACTAAGCGAGTACGTTGGGAGACGTCCGGTGCTTATTGGGACGTATTTGGGATATTTCATTTTCATTCTCGCTTGCTCAGGCGCTCCTAACTACTCGGCACTGCTCGTCTTCCGTCTGCTTTCTGGCATTAATGCGGCTGCGCCGACGACCGTCATTGGCGGGCTCTATGCCGATATTCTCGACAACCCAGCTGTCAGAGGAAACGCCATGGCGGTATACATGTCGGTCACAACTGTCGGTCCCCTCATCGGACCGATTGTTTCGGGCTTCTCGTCTCCGGTTTCGTGGCGCTGGCCGTTCTGGATTGCTGGAATCATTGCCGCCTGCGGATTGCCCCTTGTGCTTATACTCCCTGAGACGTACGCGCCCGTTCTTCACAATAAGGCTGCAAAGAAACAAATGAAGAGGAATAACGACATGGAGGGAAAGCAGCAACAACACCTCAAGCTGAAGCCCTTCGAAGTCCGGAAGATCTTCCTTCGGCCCATGAAGCTTCTTTTTACCGAACCGATTCTTCTATTTACTTCCGCGTACCTCACACTTGCCTACGCCGTGTTTTATCTCCTGTTCCAAGCGTATCCAGTCATTTTTCAGGGCTTCTACGATTTATCGCCGGGAATGGCTGGTCTTGCATTTCTTCCAGGTAAGATACTGGTGCCATGTCGTATTATCACACTTGAAAGTTCTTGATTAACATCATTTCGGCAGTGGTTCTTGGTGTCTTCTTGGCTCTTGCTACGTTTTGGACATGGACCTGGTACCATGATCGTCAAAGCAAAGCAGGCGCGAAATGGGCCCAAAAGCCTATCAACCGTAGATTGCCTCTGGCATGTATGGCTGCTCCTCTGTAAGGTTCCTTCAATATGAGCACAAGGAGAATACTAGTAATGTTGCTAACATTTTCTCTACTAGAATGGTGATTGCGCTATTCTGGCTCGGATGGACCGTATGGCCGTCGACATCTCCTGTCGTGCCCATGCTCAGCGGAGTCCTCTTCGGATGGGGGTTTAATTTGCTCTTCATGGGGATGATCAACTACTTGACAGATGTCTTCCGACAATACTCTGCATCAGCGCATGCGGCCGCCAGCATGACGCGCTCGATTGGTGCAATTCTACTGCCTCTTGCGGCTAGCAGCATGTACGCTAATTTAGGTGTTCACTGGGCACCTTCAGTCCTTGGGTTCATTGCCTTGGGGATGGGCGTGATTCCCTTTTTCTTCGTCAAGTTTGGAGACCGCCTCGCAAGAAGTAGCAAGACGGCGCGGGAAGCCTTTGATATTGAGGACTGAGACGACGTTATGATGGTATAGAAGAATGATGTAGAAGTCAATAGATATGATACCCAAAATGCATGTACTTACTTGAACACTCACAAGGGCATGTCCTTCCAGAAAATATTTGGTATGTTGGAGATCAGCGCTTAATTTCAAGAAGCACACAGATGATGGGATGATGCGTAATCTTGAAAGAAAAGAACATGAGTTCTACATAACGGAAGTCACTGTTCGTAAGATATCAGAAATAATAGATAAAAATTGCAAGCGAGATTGAGAGTGCACCGCATTGAAGCTCCGTCGGTACGGCGGCCAGTGGGTCCACCAAAACCCGAACCTCGGACTTCTTGGCATTGCCGAGGTGCGAGCTCCAGGCCCGGGTACCATGCGGAAGAGGTAAGCAATGCGGCAGATACCCCACGGAGAACCAAAAAAGAATGCAGGTCAAATGAGAGCTATTGAGCTGTGTAGTTGTCGTGAGGAATACTCTTCCTTAGGCCACAATACAATGTTTCTTCCCACCTTTCAACATCTATCAGGAGGTTGGGCTGGCTTATTAGCAACACACGAGAGGAGCCAATCAGCTCCACGGGAGTAACATCCATTCAGTAGGTGCAGCAGCGTCGAGATTTGTCGGCCGAGAATGGTCAGGCCAACGGATGATGCCCTACAGCTCGTGACAAAGCCGGCCGAGTATCTCCAACGCACTTCCCAAAGGGGAATGGCCATCCCCTGCAGATTTGTTCTAGTAAACATGTGGCTTCAGGACAACTCTAAGACACATGAATCGATGAATCATAGACTTCAGCCCTGAACCATCATAATACAGATCAGAACTCGACTCGATTCCTCAAGGTCGATAAACATAACGCCTTTTAGCCTTTGAGACTTATCAGTGTATAATAGGGCATTGCGAAACAAGGGACAGGAATAGATTCCCAAAGCTGAAGTCATATGTTAGACTTGGTATTTCAGCTGCCGCGAGCGTGGCTGCATGTTAAATTAACACTTGTCAAGGCCCGGCTCTGCAGCCGTGCTAGACCCCACACACTCGCGTCGTCAAGAGATGAACGCCTACAAGGATTCAGCTTGACGACTTGTTCCAAACCCTGTTCTTCGATCGGCAGTTTGGTATCCGCACTGGACAGATCGTTCTGTCATGGCCAAGCCTCACATGCCTGTCATGCCCTGATCTCTGCTTCTGCAGCTGTCCCGTTTGTTATTATAACGGACCACCATGCCATACCAAGCAGTCTCGGCGTGTCTAAACTGAACACATCGGCTTCCAATCTTCAATCTGTCCGCCACGGCCTAATCTTCGTATCGCTATTAGGCGAAGTCAAGACGCTAGAAAATATGAGCGAACAAAGAGGTAAGCAAACCCGTTATGGCTTCTGGAAACTCCGGTGCCAGTCACTGACATTCCAATGACAGGCATTTTTGGCTACACTGATCCCAACTTCCCCAACCCGGGAGGTGAATGGGATACGCCAGTAATCATCTACGGCTACACACCTTCGTTCGTCCTCGCTGTCATCGCCGATGTATTCTTCTTCCTCCTTCTTCTTGTCCATACATGGCAGGTGGTGCGCTATCGCAGCTGGTATTTTATCACCGTCCCCATTGGCCTCTTTTTCGAGATCGTCGGTTACGTCGCGCGCTCCCTCTCAGCTAAAGCGAACCCGTATAACCTCATCTACTTCATCCTCAACTACTTCTTCATCGTCACTGCCCCCGTCTTCCTTGCTGCTGGAATCTACACCATCCTCTCGGCCTTGATTAACCGCCTTGGTCGACAGTACTCGCCGCTTCCACCCAAATTTATTTTGTGGTTCTTCATCACCTCAGATGTCATTGCGACTATCACTCAAATCGCCGGCGCTGCATTGATTGGGGTCAAGCAGTCACGCAGGGAGGACCCAACGACTGCAAACAATATCCTGCTTGGCGGATTAGCCTACCAGGTTTTCTCCATCGGATGCTTCGTCATGACCACGTCGATTTTCCTCTTCAAAGCCAGACATGCGATCAAGGAGCACAGCCTTACGACCTTCATTGCGGCGTTTGCCACGGCTACATTGCTCGTCTACCTGCGTACTTGCTTCCGCCTTGCGGAGACTGCCGAGGGTCTTGGAGGGAAGCTTTACTCCAATGAGACTTTCTTTGGCGTTCTCGAGTTTGCGCCAGTTGTACTGGCTGTCATCTTGCTCTCTGTTTGGCATCCTGGCAGATGCGTGGCTAGGAAAGCCTCTGGAGGCATAGGTGATGTTGAGAAGTCAAGGGTCTGCAGCAATGAGTCTGTTCAGAAGTAAAAGTTAGGGAGTGACGCAAATAGGCTGTGCTGTGTTTCTCGACGGGTAGGTCGCAGATGGCCATTCTTTATTATCTCGCTCTCTGTAGAGATCTAATCGTAATCTATGTTCGCCGAATCATCTTCTCCGGGTATCAACGACCGCCCATAGTCGCTTCTCCAAATCGGTCCCCTCCTCTGTCGTGACATGCCCAAAGACACCGAATCCAGGCATGATTTTGGGTTTTTGCTCCAAAAAACGTTGACGCGCTCTGATGGTCCACTCCACCAGCTTCATCAGGTCGTAACTTTGAGAAAGCCGCCTCTCCATGGCTCGTCGAGCCCTTAAGCTAGATGGGCACGGCAGCTTAGTGATAGCCTTTTCCACGTCCCTGGCAACAATCACAGACCCATTAGGAACATCGTCCAAGTCTCTGCACAGTGGGTAGCTCTTCAAGACCTTAAGCATGGTTTCAAACGCGAGCACAAGAAAGCCCTCGAGCCATTCCTTAGCGGCGTCCCTTCCACCTTCCTCCACAAGTCCCTCGATCCCGAACAAGACACGCTTATGCTTCCTAAACGTGACGTTGTCGAGTTCGGTATCGTAAGTGAAGCCGGGAATGCTGTGAAGTACTGCTCGCAAGGGGTGTTGTATACGGTATATGGCGTGGGACTGCTGTATCGAGGCAGCGGATGCATCATCGCCGACGAGGAGACGGTCCAGCTCAATCGACAGCTTGGAATCATTGACCCTGTTCTTCCACTTCTTGGACGTCTTTTTTCCGATGCCGCCCCGGGCCATATGTAACGAATTGAGAGTTGCCGGGCTTGGGGGTTCATTGACACCGTTGCGAGCAACCCATCTGGCTTCGCGCGCGTTTTGCTGCATCTTCCTCGCTCTTGCTTGCTCGTACAGTTGAATCGGGGTAGCTGGGGAAGGTAAATGGTCGATCGGTTTGGTCTCTTTGGTATCATTTGCCTGAGATGTGGCTGAGCCACTATGTAAGACATGTGAACCTTGGCTGACAGTAGCGCTGATGGGAACATGATTGTGTTCAACTTGCATCTGGGCGTCTTCTGAATGATTGACGGAAGGGTCCATTTGGGGCGTGGTGCTGTCTTGATTTTACAGTCACCCTCAAATTGAGAAGAGCTATGCCCATCCGGATGTCATGGACAGTGATTCAGGGCGACTGAGTTGTAAAGAGAAAAACGCGCCCCCCAGAAGAGGCCCGTTGGCTTCGAAGGCGGTCGTACAGGAAAAAGGCGCGACCCTTGCAATTGTTGACCCAAGGAATGGTTACGTGCCAATCAGATCAAAGTTATTAGGGAGCCATCATCGGCAGAAGGGCGTGGAGTGTTAACGAAGGCGGCGTTGAGATAAACATACTACTCGAAGGTTTCAGTCACATCGGAGAAAAGTCAGATTTAAGCTTGCGGGTAGGGCTGCGGGGATTTGTGGATCCCAGGCGCGAAGTCTCCACGTGTGAGGGAAGGAGGATCTAAGATATCTAGTACATGGCAAGGTCCGAATCAGCGTGAGACTGACACTGTGTGTTGGTAATGGTTTAGGAGCATTTAATTGAACTTGAAGCTACATTTTTCTTATTCCAAAACATGCGTGGAACAGCGTATGTACTAACTATCATGCAACCAGGAACACATCGACACATAGAACCGCTTCTAGGGTACTAATGCTGGTATTGAGAGGAAACTGAACTCCCGCATACTTCGTGCCACTCGTAAGATGCAAAGACTTGCCCTACCGGACAAACATCAGATTTGTTGCCTGTTGAGAAATATCTGCTGAGCGGTGGGCACCACGATAAGACTGGAGGTGTTGTCCAAATAATACCAGCGGTCGTATTTCTCTGGCTTCGGTGCCGCAGATTCAAATCTGCTCTTGGCCGGAATAGCGAACTTTTCCGTCGTCGAACTCTTGTCGATGAAGCTTTTGTTGACGTCTGAGCGGGAGGTCTGGTTGTAGTTGATCTCATTCGAGTCAACTTTACCTCCAATAAGCTCCGCCCATGTCTTATGACTTTCCTCGATAACGCTCTGCGTGTAGGTTACGTTCTGGTACCAGTCACCGACGATATCAATAACTGCATTTCCTCGGGCTACTTTGTAATGCTGCGTACCGGTCAGCAGAGGAAATATAGACGAGAAAGTAGTTCGGCAGAACTCACGGTCCACCAATCGCGGAAAGTTTTGATAGTTCCTGGGCGGTATTTCTCGACATCTTCGTACGCTTCAAGTAGAGTCAGTATCTGAAATATTTCAATTTGGCCATCCTTTCTCCACTCACAATCTATAAGTGGTGCAAGCGGGTCATTAACATCAATCGCGAGGATCTTCCAGTCCGTCTCATTATCCTAGTTATGAACAGTATTAGCGAAAGTTGCGCCCATTTATAATGATGAGGACTCACATCAGCTAGGGCAAGACCGCCGAGAATTTTGACCTGCTTGACTTGGCCAACGTAACCACGACTAGACAGCATGTCAGTTATGCCGCAAGGTCCAAGTCTTGTACATACTCCTTACTCTTGACCGATGTCAAATAAATCCACGGGGTCGTTATCTCCAATCAAGCCGGTGAAGCTGTGCTTGTAATTGGGACTCTCCCAAGTTTGTGGAATTGATCCATAGATGAATGGGTATGATTTGTGAGGCCAAACGCTTTCGACGAATCTGGGGGCATCGTTCAACGAGTCGTGGACAACAGGGTCTGATGGGAAGTTAGCTAGCTTTAATCAGGGTGCATCTTATTTATTCACTGGCTCCAGACTTACTCAACGGCTCATCTCTTTTTAGCTCAATTTTACCGTCTTGCCAGCGAGGTATCTCCACGACTAAATTCACAACCTGCTTGTTATCCTCGTTGGGCCAAGCAGGAACGTCATGCCAGAACGAAATAGGATCTCCATCCTTTTCGAGCCAAATTCTCCAGTCCTGTCGTTAGTGTGAGTAATGTCCAGGTGCGGAAGGGAGTCGGATGAGTCGCTTACTTTGGTGTTACGGGCTCCTACTTCTCTCAAACTCAGCGCGCTGTAGTTGAAACCCCGAGGACCCACGGCCGCAGCGTTGCCTAAAACTGACAACGCAACAAAGGGAACCAAGGTACGCTTTAGACCCATAATCAGTGTATTGATGGTGTTCAGTTGTTGGACGTGACAGATGAAATTCGTTGGGATAAAGAAGTGTAACAAAACGCGGCACGCAGTTGATGTATTTTTGTATGCGGTTTGTGGCGAATACACCGCCATGGCCCACGTCAAAATACGCCTTGGCAGGGTAATGGGGCTGAGAAAAGGGTGCGAGGTGGCGGGGTCGCGCGGGAATTAACTGTGAGAAATTCGACCTCAACTTTGGATGAATGCTGCTCATGGGGATTTGTGCATTGAGGTTCAAGGATCCTCGGTGCTACGGTTGATGAGTTGGTGCGGGGTGTCGTCTGGGCAAGCCAAGGATGCAGGGTTCACAAATCCAGACCAATGACACTGAAATACTACGCACGTGGAAACATCATATTTGTTACCGGTACTGGGAAAAGGAGAACTTATTTTCAGCATAGAATTGGCGAAAAGCATGAAACGGGGCTGATAGGAGGCTGGGGCAGAATTTGCAAAATGGCACCCGATTCCGGCCTATGCATCGTGATCCGTGACCAGATGCCCATTTAAGACAGAGGATCGCGTTGAAGATCCCTGAGAGCGTGTTGCCCGACGTCTCTGTCGCAACTCGTCTAATTGAAATCTCACGTCATCCCGCGCGGTATCCTTCAGAAACCAACCGGCGACAACGGAGAATCAGCCCCCGCGCGCCAGCAAGTCGCTCAACAACGATGCTATTGGACACTTCACACCAACATGTAGAGAAAATCCTTCGATAATGCAAGGTATGACAGATTATCGTGATAGCTTCGTCATGGCCTTACAGAGACCCTGGGCTTGTGAGATGATTTCTAAGCTCTCACCTCGTCCTTACTTTGTCCGCCGCGGAGACCGCACGGCGGAGTCTAAAATGAAGCCTAACCGAGAAATGCGGTTCTCCCACTGTAACTAGAAATGCAAAGAAGTTCTATCGAAGGAAGCATGGCGCAGATTATATAAAGAGGTTCAAAGATGCCTATGTTGTGTTCAATCCCATCCTGTCTCATCTCAGCTCAATTCAAATCGATCCAATATTCACGACCACACATCAATCGCTACAAGCTTGGACTCTCAAACATCTTCATCAACATGTTATTCTCGCAGTTTCTCACTTCTACCTTGGCTACTTTCCTGCTTTCTTTGATTGACCAGGCCGTTTCCAGTTCGGTGTCTGCCAGAGCACCTAAGTTACAACTCCTTTACCAACTCAATCTCACTCTCGGAGATGCTCTATCGTTTGGTCCTGGTCCGAAAGGGACACGATTGTCTTTCCCCATTACTGGCGGAAAATTCTCTGGACCACAATTGTCCGGCAAGTGAACTTTTGAATGACATTTGGAGTTCTATAAATCAGAAACTGACACGAAGCTTTAGGCAAAGTTCTGAACGTGGGAGCCGACTTGGGTCTTATGGACAACAAAGGGACCTTCTTTGCCGACGCGTACTATCAATTCCAGACGAATGACGATGCCAATATTTTAGTCCATGCTGATGGGCCAGGTGTGCAGGACGGCCCGCATCCTGTGACACGCATCACACTGGAGACCGGAAGTGAGGATTATTACTGGTTAAATAATATCGTCGTGGTGGGGGAGTCAACCCCTGGGGATGGCTTTGTCGCTATCAATGCCTGGCAGGTTATCCCGACCGCTTGAACCTGTTCAAAGGTGAAAAGTGACGGGGGCAGAGATTCAAGATTGAAGTCGCCATCACCATTAGCTCTCTGGTTGGAACAATCAAGCGATCCAAGCGCGTTGGGGAAGTTCAATCACAGGAAAAACGGCGCTGTTCCTGCTGAGGCGTCAATAATTGAGTTTGAGAGTAATCTGGCATATATGTATTTTTATTTAAAGAAACCATTTCTTTGCCGCTTCTTCCGACTTAAGTGGGCCAATGGAAGTTCTAAAGCTGGACATGAGGCCGTACTGCTTTGGGAAGCGAGTATCAGACCACGCCATAACCTGCGAGCAAGATATAATCTTAAGCCCTCTTCGCCGTTCACCGAACTGGATGGAATCAAAGCCGAGTTTCCAATCCTTTTTAAGGAGTGAATAGCAATTATTACCTCAAAGTAGTTGGTGTGTATTGTAGAAGAAAATCCAGAAGCCATATTCAAAAGATCTCCTAAATGATGCCCAAACCTGACCTATGTCATTGATAACTGAATTTGAAAGTCATCAGTATCGATCATAAACTGATGCAAATGGCTGTAAGGGCTTCCACGACAGTTGACAACGAGGAGTTTATCATGGAAGACTAAATCGCATAATTTGCAGTGAGACGACCCAAGTCATGACGTCAATGCTTGAATATGACGTCGTTATATTAGACTACGAACTGCACTAACATATTGTAAAGCCGTGATGGATAACTCAAAACGCTGCTCAAATAATTCAAGATCCCAGATTTCCATGACCTTCAAGGATTTTAGGTAGTTCCAAGACATTGTGATTCGTTATTTTGGCCTTCGCAAATCAAGCTGGACAGCAAACCAAGAGTAGTCAACCCCTAGTTATCGTTTGAAGACCCTTGCATTCAAAATCCTCACTTAGACCTCTATTAATTGTACAGGAGCCTTGGCCGAAGGCTCCCATTCGGAGGCTATGGATCAACTAATTGTTGACGAGAGAGAAGGTAGATCCCTATCGATGCAACTTTTGCAAATCGCCATTAAGCCTTTCAAACCCTCTCTGGTTTCGCCCAGTAGAGTACCCCCAGATGCCGAACGTTTAACTGTGCCAACGAAAACCTGGCAACGGTGCCATGTCACTGAGAGAAAATTTGATGGGATTTGGCTGTACGACTTAACGCAGAACCATACGGATCAGTCATCGGGGTTCTCGAAGAAGCAGTGCCACCGACGGATCTTGTATTTTGCAGAAGGAGGATGGCATATGCCTCCGAGCAAAGATCATTGGGCCTTTTGCACCGAGTTGGTCCGGCGAATGGACAGCACTAAGATCACGATTGTATCCTGCCCTCTGGCACCGAAACACCCTGTCTCGATCGCTTTCCCTCACATTGAAAGGGTGTACAAGCATCTTCTACTAGAGTCAACAAAAGCTAGTGAGAACGTCATTGTTGCAGGCGACAGCTCTGGGGGCAACATTGCGCTGTGTATGGTGGCTTGGGCGCTGAAGAGCCAGAACGACGAGATTTTCAAGCCTCCCGTTGCTGTTTTGGCAATCTGCCCGACTACGGATCTTCGACTGACCTGCCAAAAATCAAACAAGTTGAAAAAGTGGACCCTGTCCATAACATTGAATTCGTCAAATCCACGGCAAGAGCCTGGTGTCCTGGGCTACCAAGCCCGAAACTCAACGATTTAAGACCCTTGAAGTCGAAGGGTAACGATCAACACACTGAGTGGAGCTTTCAAGACCCCCCGAGTGTCCCCAATTCATGCAGACCTTACCCCCTTTGTGTAACATAATATTAGCGTGCATGGGGTGACGGCATCCTACGACATTCTAGAACAGGAGGCCGTTGCATTTCGCGATAAGTGCAGGGAGCATGGTGTCTCTGGTCAGTGGCTTGCATGGGACAGTCAGATGCATTGCTTCCCTCTGACTTTCAAATACGGACTTAAAAAAGGCAAAGAGGGCTTAGATTGAATTTTGAGGGTGATCGAAAAGCACCGAGAGACTTAATTAATTAGTGTTGGAAGCCCCGCCTGGCTGGTACATAGGAGCTGAAAGAATGTCGAGTAAGAACAAAAGACAAAAGAACTTTTATTGACTGTTCGACATAAGAAACGATTCGATTTCATCTTTGCACCAAAAATAACTTTAATGACGCTAATCCCTATTAGGACGAGTACCTTCCCGATGAAGCTGTTATCAGATACATGAAAACGAAGTAAAGCATCTCAAAGCCAGATTTTAGCAAAAGGATCAAACGTCGTCAGATATCGTTAATCTCATGAGTGACCTTACGATGTCATTAGTACGTTGTTGGTGACTAGCCTCCTGAGTAGGCTTCTTATTCCCCAGCACATTGATAGACCAAAGACTAGTGCCTCCCGGCCATCCGACGGCTCTTTTTGCTTCCCTCATTACTCGATAAATTGGGGTTTCGTCGCATAGATCTTAAAAGAGCCTGATGGAAAGTTAGTCATTGGTACAGAAACTCAAGCTCAGGTATACTTCCCTGCCCACTCATTCAAGTCAGTTACTCCAAGTGATTTTGCCTGCTCCTTGGCTTCACTAGCTGTAAGGTAATCCTCCTTCAGTTTACCACATGTGTAAGCTTTTCCCTTGCAATTTGAGTGCTTTTCTGCCATTGCGCGGGGTTCTTTCTCTTTTACCTTAAGATTGTCGGTTGTCCCACAACAGGACGTTTGGTCACCCAAAGCAGTGAAATACACGTTTAAGTCACTGTTGCTATCCACGATTAGGATATCTGGAAGAGAATTAGTTAAAATTCTTGGTGCTTTTTGGGAATGATGGACCTACTGTCAAACCCGGCATCCCTGAGAAACGCGTCATACTCCACAACTTGGCTAGCTCCCGCAACGCACCCAACATAGAGGGCCACGTTCTTCTTGATCCCCTCAGTAAACTCCTTGCGCGCCAATATGTCGCTAATGGCAACTCGGCCCCCGGGTTTCAGCAAGCGATAAATCTCATGAAAAACTCTGTTCTTCTCTGCTGCAGGGACGAGGTTGATGACACAATTACTCATGATACAGTCGGCGACTTTGTCAGGCAAAGGGATTGACGTGATAGGGCCCTCTATAAACTTGACATTCTTGCAGCCGGCTTTCTCTGCATTCTTCTTGGCCTTATCAATCATATTCTGTAGGTTTGGAGTCATCAATACTTGAGAAACCCTGTTTGATCATCACTGCTTACTCTGTTCATGTCAATACCAATGGCCTCGCCAGCGAGCCCGACCCGCTTTGCTGCCGAGAAAACATCGAAGCCAGCACCTGAACCCAGATCGATTACAGTTTCGCCCTAGACGGGGTTAGTCTATTGATTGATATTAAGGACAAGGATGACAACTTCTCTCAGTTTCGCAAGAGCGTGTGGATTTCCACAGCTCAGCCCCAGATTAGCATCTTCCGGTACGCCTGCAAGCTCGTCTTCCGTGTACCCAAAAGCTTTGGCGACGGCCTTCTCATATTGCCCAGTGCTGCTCCTGACAACTGAGCCGTAACGCTTATGGACATTGTCATAGATACTGTCAGACTCCATTATGAGCTGTTTTGAGGAGGGGTGGCTATGAAACTGATACTAATTTCTCCCGTTTTCAACCCTGGTTCCTAGTTAACTTTCCGAATGGGAATTGGGGATGTCCCTAATTACATACCCCGCACTGGCCACCAACGTCTTCCATTGCACAGGATCTAACCTATGAAAATGAAGCAGTGACATTCACGATTGGGAATCACGTTCAGCATTTGAGGGGAGTCTAGGGATCACAGTTGAATTCACGAGTTCAATACATGTAATCATTTCGAGTGACATTTCCAAAATTCATATGACACTGAAGAAGCTCATCCGTTGTAAAAGAATATTATTACGGACTGACACAAGACAACCAAGTTGTTGACGTAGGTGATTCTAGTTGCAAGCGTGCAGACATTCGTGCAATGCCGATCCCTCCTATTTGAGCTGCCTAATACCTAGGTTGCTTCAAAGCATCAGCTGCACATCGTGAGTGCCACAGCAAATTCTCCTTCGCTGTGAAAGCTTCCATATAAAAGTTTTCATCAGTGTCTTGCCGCTGAGAATGTACAGCTCAGGCGAACGGAACAGATGTTACTAGGGGGTGTACTGTGCTCCAACAGGTTCAAGAAATCTGAGTAGGACCATCTGTGGAAAACATGCAGGGATTCGGCAGGGATGGGAGATTGGTATCTCGGCAACCCTCAACATCTATCCCATGGGGCTTATTAGCGTGCGGGTTTGGTGAACGAAGATGTATGTATTATACTACACAACATCCACAAGCACATGATTGTCTCGTAACACAGTATCCAAATGATTAAAATTACATTTTGCTTTTTGCGTTTTGCGTTTGGTACCAGCCTATTCTATGTGTCGAAGACTTGAAGCACCCAGTTTCTATTTTCATTCATCATCCCAACGTCCAATTAACAGGTTAAGTCAAAGACGGGGTGCGAACTGCCAGCTGGCGTCACACCAAACGAGATATCAGTTTGTGCGGTATTCGCGTCAAGCAGAGTGTACCACCAGACGTTGCGCTGACCGAAGAGAGCGCAGCCAACTTGAGACCAGTACTGGCGCGCATTGTCGACAGAAGCGACAGCAGCGCCTTGCTGAGGGCCAACTGATACAACTTATTAGGACCCGAAATTTCGACTGACATTGTGAAACATAAAGGCTGTGTGGTTTGACTTACTGTGCGGCCATCCTGTCTCAGTAATGAACACAGGCTTGCCACCTGCGACACTCTCGGTGTTGCCAACTGCAGACCAGAAGTTGTCGGGAGCCTGCTCAATAGAATTGGGCTTGGTGGACTCGAAGTAGGGGAACGAGTTGTGGCCGAGCCAGTCGACGGAAGCAGCGACACCGGCGTTCTCGCCACGAACCCAGGCAGTCCAAGTGTCGACATGGCCAATGGGCTTGCCCTCCAAGGCAGTGCCGCGGATCCAATCCCGGAGCCATCCGATGTATCCCTCAATTTCCGCACCAGTAGCTCCGACCCCAGCGTTGGAGGCGACGCCGTCCGGGCTGCTTCGGTACAGGTCCTCGGAGCCGACAGAGATGCCAACGACGCGGTCGGTGAAGGCCGTGCCGTATTGCTCTGCCGCGCGAAGAAGCGAGTTCAGCTCGTTCTCGTAAATGCCACGACCGGCACTGGCCCACAAGCCGACCAGGATCGATGTATCGGTGTCGATGGCAGCTTGGTAAGCCGAGACCGGGTCGTTTACCGTACCGCACTGAATCGATGTGTAGAGGCGGGCCGACGTGAATGACCCCGCGCCAGCCAAGCTCTTTGCAGTCTCGAAGTAGCTCCGGAAGTCATCGTAGCCTCTACAAGAGCCATCTTCGTTCGTGGCGCCGTAGTTGAATCCCTGCTGCACCTGGGCCAGGGCAGTGGTGGCCAGACTGGCGGCGATGGCACCTCTGAAATACATGGTCGTCGATCAATTAAGATTAGAGTATTGAAAAAAGATTTCTGGAAGGTTGACCGAAACCTCTCATTCGACTACCCACCTGGTGGAAGACTTTCAGGTATTTAAGCATCGCAGCAGCCATGAATGCCTGACCAACAAAAATAGAACCGATCCCCTCTGCATGACGTCGCGGGCTTGTGTTTTTCATGGACCTCGTATTTTGGCAGCCACATCCACCTCCTTTACCAGCGCTCTCCAATTTTCCATTGGGTAAGCATGGTGGAAAAAGCAGCCGGCATGGCTAGCGATCGACAGCTGAGCCCGCATCTCCACTTGCACCGTCGGCCTAGATCTTGCTTAGAGGCCCCGGCATCGTCATCCACCACCCGTCCATCCGCTAATGAAGCTTACTTGGCAGTGTTTTTCTCGTAATTATGGCCCCGCCAGGCGCTGGACAGGTAATGGGTCCCCTGATTCGCAGCGGACATTCAGTAAACAATACCTGACTCTTGTTTACACAACAAAGTCGTCTTACGTATGGGTGGCATTGACTGTTACGTACAGTTAGGAGAGAAAATGTTGATTTTTTGCTTTCTGAGCCTGGCGTTTCCATCTTTCCAGTAATCCCGTTCAGACATCCTCTCTTCTTTGTGGCTTCTTTAGCTATCCACTAACAGGAAATTGTGTCCGGAAAGTCCGCCCTGCCATGGAGCAATGCTCGTTCTTTCGTTATTATTATCGGAGGTTCGTTCTATGCTGCTCTTTGTACAAGAACGGGGTCTGTCGGTGGTATGGACTCCTGTACGGAGGATGCGCACAACATTTAACGACATAGTGTCAGTGTATTCAAGATTCGGCCGAATGGACTCGTAATCCAGGGATGTCTCTTACTGAGTTCTCCTAAATTGAAATTTACTGGATTCTTGTTGGAATTGTTAGTGACCAACCAAGGCCCACAACTGACTCTAAGCATCAATGATCGAAGACTCTTCATACGCACACTCATTTCCCCATACACAGGCCCTTCCAGACCTCTAAAACCAAAACTGAGCTACAGGGGCAGTCTCACTAGCAATCCCAATCTGGCTGTTGAGACAGCCGACATCCTAATTTTATAGGCCTGCATAGAATACCTACAGCAGTCATTAGATTATACAGGTCTTACAATTCTTCTTGCGAATATAAACAAACACGACTCCCCTTTGCAGAAGCATTGGGTTTGGGCTTATGCTCTTGGTATGAAATCGATAACCAGCATGGCGGTTGAACCCACCACCCCCCCAAATGAAGCCATATTCGAAACGGCGCCGTAATAACAGTGTTGTTGAACACGATTTTCCAATATAGTTGTGAAGTCACGATTGTATTCCAGTCTTTACGTTTCGTAAATATCGTAAATCACAGCCAGTGTAGCCTGGTCCGCCCTACGACATGCAGCAGCCTTGCTGCTAACGGCGCATCCTCAGCTTGAGTATTGATCAGTGATGTCTAGAAATGATTCGGTTGGCATGCATCCGCTTTGGAAAGAGCGAATGCAATACGTTCATGGCTTGTGGACTCTTATGGGTCGAGTGCAACCCACGAAACACATCGCCGGGGTCACTATTAGCCGTTATTCGATGATATGGATACCTCAACTGCAATTGGCTGCTCTCTGTTGATATATTTCGATGTGCAGAAGCAGGCTGCCGGTCACAGTCGTGCGTCGACCGCCAATCATGTTCTCTACCATGTGCCTCTAGTCCAGGGCGGCAGTGCAAGGCAGATTTAGGCAGCTGATTTCCCGCTTCCCAAGTCATGCGGGGTTCATCTTCTTCTCCTTTTCTTTTTCCATTCGTAATCTACGTAATTAGTAGCCCCTTCACGAATTGCGGTGCTACCAGAGTCACTCTTGACGGTCTCGCGCCGTCCATCATGGAGTTTGCGCTCACTTTTGGCGCGATTGGTGATTTTATTGCAGTGATTGAACTCATAAAAAATGTCATCCTCGCATTGGATGATTGTCGCGGCTCAGCAAAGGAATATCGAGATGTGGTCTATAATCTCGAAATCCTCGAGAAGACGCTTCAGCAAGTTGCCGAACTCTACCAAAGCCAAAGTTCTGACAGTCATTTCGGCGACTTACGAGCAATTGCCTTGCGCAGCTTGCAGCAGATTCGCTTATGTCTCGATGAATTAAGCGACAAGATTCTGAAGTTCGCGCCCAGTCTCGCAAATGGAAGAACAAAGAACGTCTTCAAGGACGTGGCCAAGAAGATACAATGGAAGCTAGAGGAGAAGGACATTGACAAATTTCGGGCTGAAATAATGGGCTATACAATGTCACTGAACATGCTACTAGAGGTTACAACAGCGTAAGTGTCCGTGTCCTAGCTTGAACTCGCTTGCAATGGCATCGGTTCACACCTGTAATAGGCGTATCCTCCAGCGAAACCTTGATACTTCGACTCAGCAAGCGTCCGAAGCTGAAAACCACACAACAGTTATGATACGCAACTCCAACCAGTCACTAAAAGGATACTTTGGCATGGTGGGGCGACGAATCCTCTCAAGACTGAACCACGTTTCCAGATTGAGTATGGACTTGAAATGTTCGACGTCTCGTCTTATATCCATGGTGCTTGCCTTATCAAATGAATTGAGCAGCATCGGGATGATAATTACGAGACTAGAACGACCCCTTAGTGAAGAGTTTTTTATTTTCGAAGACGCCACTGGTAAAGTGTTTCCCATTCATCTAAGAACCATTACTTCCTGGGAAGCATTTGAATACATCATCGTCGACAGATTCAAAGGTAAAAAGGGTGCTCACCGAACTCAGCGTAAACGTTATTCGTTACAGGAACGGGCTAGTCGCCGAGGAATTAATCGTTCGATGGACTGGGAGAGTGCCTTTCTGCCGTACCAGAAAGTTGACATGAGCCTGATGTGCCGGGAGACACAAAATACCACGCTGGCAAGGCCGTCGCCCACTTGTCCTCGATGTTCGACGGTATCGCCAGGCGACACCGGCGCTGAGATACAGTGGTGAGTTTCAGATCCAAAGTTATTTATTTTTCAGAGCCTTGAAGCTGACATCATTCAGCCAAAACTGCAGTATGTTTTTTACCAGAGTCATTGAAGACGAAGAAGATCCGTCCAACGCACCGGGGGATTCGGCGTTCAGCACCGCCACTGCTGCAAAGATGAAACGACGCAGAGACCATGAAGAGTCTGAAGAGGATAGCGATTGTACATGCGCCAGGACAAAGACACGCAAAGTAAAAGAACTTCGGAAGAGAAAGGCAAGAGAAGAGCAAGAATCTGGCTCTGATGATGAGGATGTCAGAGGGTTTGTAAGGATCACCTTGGTCTCCAAGCGCAAACAAATGAATGAGCTAGGCCTGCCAATTTACGCGAATCAAAAGAAGCCTTTCGACTTTCTGGCTGGGCAAGCCCTCGGAGAAACCAGCTCGCCAGTTGATAGGTATTGTCTGTCTCAAGCATACTCTGAAATACCACTATCGACGTATCCTACACTTAGCGAATCCAGCTGGGACTTCCCGCAACAACAGACCGCTTCTTTACCAAGCAGACACCTGCTCTACTGCGAATTTCAACCTTGGACTGGCTGTCAGCAGCAGTTCCGTCTTGACGAGGCCGCTGAATGGATCAGACATACCGAGGATGAACACTTGCAAGAAAATTTCCCTGCAGAATGCATTTGCTGGTTTTGCGACAACTTCGTTTTCAGCGTCCAGCAGTGCCCCGATGCCGGATTGAACTTCACCAAACGCATGGTGCATATTGCGGACCATATCCTGGACGGGGATCATTTCGAGCAGAGGCGCCCCGACTTCTACTACCTCGACCATGTATACCAAACCGGTAAGATATCGCACCAGGCCTTTCAGCAGGCTGCGGGTATAAGCGAGGGTCCCCGACGTCGAGGGGCTCTTTATCCATCGGGTTGGAGGCCTGCCAGGCGTGATGCAGGAGTCGCCGTGACAGAGGGTGGTAGGTGACGAAGACGACATAGAGAACGTCACTTGTAGGAAGTGAACTTGCTGGTCTTTCTCGAAAGATATTTGTCGCCTAGTTACCCTTGCATGCATTGCATTCAGATTCATCAAAATAGAGGGTGGTAGTGTCGTCCTACTCCATCCTTACACTAATACACAACCCCAAAACCTCACACCAACGAGCTCCTGCCAACCATTCCCGTCGATAATACCAATTCGAGTGCCAATAAGAACGGAGCTGAAGAGTCAGAGAAAAGAACACTATCGTGGGCAATGACCGTAGCTATTGGTTTCCCCTACTATAAGAATCGCATCATTATTAGGCACTAGCCAGAACACATCAGTGCAAAGTGTCCACGACGTTTACTTACAACAAATTGCACTTACGCATCGATATGCTTACACTAGCATTTGTGTCAAGATTTAACATTCGTAAATCGAAATCCTTTTTCAATTGACGTAAGAAGAGTCCCAGGCCATCAAGCTGTTGACTAGGACATGATCGTGAATTACTGCACTGTATGTTGTTCGATTAAAATTTGATCTCAAGAGGCACTAAATAGGCATACTACCAAGTTGCTATTCTGATTTCGTCCACCTAATGTGCTAGTTGATTACCAGAATTTCCAAGTGTGGAAGACAAGGGCTATGTGCATGACACTGAACTGCAAACTTGTGCTCAGACGCTGTGTTACCGATCGTAAGTTTGAGCTAACCGCCTAACGCTGTCTTGCTGTCTTGCAATTGGTCGGCATTTCTGTCTTCAGCAACTCGGCCTTCCCACGGATCTCTCGTTTGTTCATTATTCCACTGCCAATCTGAAGCATTAAGTTTGGCTGTTTCTGTGGCACGAGGTGACATGTTTCCTGCGTTGTTCCAATACTGAAGAGTGTTACAGAGATGAGAAAGAGTTGAAGAGTCCCGAAAGAGAATACGAATAGATAATGGCGACATCTCTGGCTGTTTTCTTGATTAACCATGTCGGGAGTGTAGCTGTGATGACTACCGTCAAACTTTCTGTCTCTGTTGTCGTCTCATGTGAGTCCGACTCTCTCGCAACCTGACCCTTTGTGCCATAACTGGTCCAACTAAACTAGATTGGCTGGCCCCAAAGCTTCGTACCTTTTTAGAATGTGGCAACCCTACGCTAATTTTCAAGGGTGCTAGTGAAATGGAACAAGCTACAGCGTGGTTTTTCTTTGTTCCATAGGGGTGGCCTTCGATTCCAACCACACAATTCCAAAGGACTAATAAGAGCCTTGCTCTCATCCCAAACCCATTGGATTGCGGTAGCTCACCTATCTCTCCCAATAATCAGACGGCCGCGCCAAGGCTTACCTTAAGACGAGTAGCATCCACGTGGAACGAAGGAGACAGCCAAAATTGTCCTCTATGTTGTGGATGTAACAAAATCAAGACCAGATTTGCATTGCAGCCGTATTCGGAATATAATTATGCTGAGCTCCCTTATTGAGAATTTCGTTAAGTTCGATTCGAAAGCCTTACTCCTTGACCGTGTGAGCAGTGATCTCACCAAGCCATAATTGTGCCTTGTTCCACCATCACCCATGTGCAAATTGTAGAAACAAAGTTAAAGCCGGACCGGAATCCAGGCCACGCAGTCGAGTCTCAAATATGCTGCTGTCATGAATCAGGACCCTAGTCAATTTCTCTAGTCGTCTTTACAATGACACCCCGTATTTCGAACTTTGAGCAAAGTGGAGACGCGAGGCCGTCTCAAAGTCTAGATACTTGGACGCATTCCATGCATTCTAGGTTCACTAGCGGCCAACGTTTCCATATTTGACAAGTCAGGTTAAACTTACTCCAAACTTGGCTCAACATCTTACCTGCGTCGTCTTACTAGTACTTCAAACACACCACCAAAACGCAATGCCATCGCTCTACCCCTCACGAGATGAAAGTATAGGGCAACCTAGCATGACCGGAACCCAGTTAATACTCATCTCTCAGTGTTGGAACAAATTGCCATAACTAATTACTTGATTAACCTCTATCAGGTGGCGCCTATAGTATAACACTAATGTCTTGGACCATCTCATTGTTCAAGAATGGATTTAACAGTTGATGTCGACGTCAATCAAGCGACTTTGTAAAGTAGCATTAACAACCTGTGCCACCACCTCAGCCAACGGAGCTCATATGCAACTGAGACTGATGTTGTTATAAGCTCTCCCATCTTTTGAAATCCAAAATACGCTATCGCTCCAAATCCATCGATACAACTGCATCGCCTTGTCCATTCCTACTTTACTATGCAGCCGTCAAAGGGACTTGACAAGGACACAAAGCTGGTTCTCATTGGCGCTAACGGGAAGCTGCAGAGTCATTTGGAATACCCGCTTCATCCCACACGCAAAATATCACATCGATCTCCATGGTGGATTGCTGTATCGGTTGCTGTCTTTCTTGCCTTGAGCTGGGGACTTCACTACCCCACAACGCGTAGAGTTAAGATCCTCTTCGGCAGGGGGGATGACAAGAATGGCTCCGGTACCAAGCAATTCGTCCGAAGGTACAACCTTACAGTGGGAGCTCGGTGGATGAATTTAGGTGTTTGCTTGTGAGACTCGAGCCAATGAACCAACAACCCACTAATAAAAGCACATAGATGGAGGTTTCTGGAGGGGAATATATGTGTGCAACGGCGAGACACCGTGCCCGACTCTGTTTGCGGAAGAGGGAGACATCGTTGAGCTGAACGTCCACAATGATCTGTTTGGACAAGTATCAATCCATTGGTCAGGCATGAACCATCGAAGGTAGGCTGGCGATGACAGGTGAATACTCTTCTAAAATATCGATCGACCCAACGTCTTGACGCAGATTTGGCTTCTGGAATGATGGCACGGGGGGGTTGTATCAAGTACATTTTCTGTTTTCCTAGGCCTCTCTGACATTTTACCACTAACCAAGACCGCAGTACGGGCTCCTTCAACGAGGGAACTTTACGCCCCGCTACGACACCACGGGACATTGGGGGCTAAACTGGTATGCCGACCACACCGGTGTCGGTATCATGGACGGCGCTCACGGTTTGTCCTACGTCGCGCCCTCGTCTTCGCGTCCTCGACCATACCAACTCATCACCTCTTCTTACACCGAGCTGGCCCTGATTCGTGAGGCTGAGCGCGATGTCCAGCACATGCTGGTGTGGAACTACTACCGGCGCGATGCCAATTGGCGCGTCCTTGAGATGAAGAGTGAAGGAACCAATCTCAACTGCTACGACTCCATCCTTGTTAACTCAAAGGCCGACGGCATTGTCGTCATCCAGGCTTCCAGACTCTGAACGGTAAGAAGCTAGATGAGTCAGGATGTGTAATAGAGCAAGGAAACGATGGCGTCCAATGCACTCCAACCGATGCTGATTATGAGGTAACATGGTGTTTATTTGTTTCTGAGCGTCCCATTCTCCTCTTATTAAGATGTTATGCAGGTTATCGAAACCCACGGAAGGTCATGGATCATGATCAATGTCTTGAACATAGGCTTTGAGCATGCCCTCCGGTTCAGTATCGACGACCACAAGATGTGGATTGTTGCCAACGACGGCGGTTTTATCAAACCACAGCTTGTTGATGTGCTCTAAATCACTAATGGCGCATAGTACACTATTCTAACCAAACTCGATCGAGAGGGCGCCGACTACGCAATGCGTTTGGTATCGACGAGTACTCATCAAATTCTCTACGGATATTCCATTTTGAGATATCCGGTACGCCTTGCTTACCTCGCTCCCCAAGCACGCCTTTCTCCATACTGAACTAATGGCACTCAGGCCTTGCGCTACCCGGCGCATGGAGCCCCGATGGAAGTTCACGGCCCCCCGAGCGGCTCACCACCCTGCATCCACCCGGATGGCTCCATCCATCCGACGTGCAATACAACAACGACATCATCTCTAGCACCATACCCTCCGTCGGCTTCTCCACCTGCAAATTGAACTTTGCACTTCCAATTTGCTCAGCAGCCTTCTCGGTATGAGAAACACGTCACCGAGTGTATCCTCAACCAGAAGCCGTGGCAGCTCTACCACGCTCAGATGGCCCCCCTGCTGTTCCTTGATATTGTATCGGTCGTAGAGCCGCCTATTGTAGGCCATCTACCCCGGGGCACTACCGTCGATGTGATCGTGCAGAACGCGGTTGATGACACCATGCCACTTTACAAACATGGGGACCCCATGTTTTTGCTTGGCTCCAAAGGCAATGACACATGGAGGTGGGAGATAGTCGAAGATGCCATCAGAGCCCACACGGAGGAGCCGAACTTGGACACTCCCGCCCTACAGTTCGTGCACGATGTGCCACCCTTAGGTTGGGCGGTGCTGCGGTGGCAGACTCACGTCCGCGGCGCTACAATGCTACACTCCAACAAGTTCAAGTATTACGCAGTGAGTTTCTCTTCCACATCTTTCCCATGCCCTGACTTACCAGGATGCGCCTCGCAAATAGATGGGAATGTCAGCGCCCTTGCTTGAAGGCATGGACTCCACTATGCAAGATACAATACCTGAACATACGAAAGCCATGCCACACGTTGAGTTTATCCCTAAAAACGATGGAATCTTCGGTTAAGTTGGACTTGTCAAACGACGCAAGTTAGAAAATGGCAGTGATTAGAGTGATCCGACGGCCAAAGTTATTCTTGTTTTGTATTCTCGTCCATACTGTACCGGCAACTAAGGATTCTTCCAAGAAGAGCCTGTGATGGACGTGCCTGATACTTTTCAACAAAGTACATATATCGTTTCCTCTAATCCGTCTCAGTAGGTTCTACTAAGTAAAGCAGGTAGTAGAAGTTAAAACACTACTTCCATAGAGTGTGTTCAAAGGTCAACCCGATCTCCGGAGGTATATCAGTTGTAGATTAAGTTTCAGTAGAGTAGGAATGTCACGCGACTTGCAAGTTATAAGTCACATTTGAGTTAAGAAAAAGACCTTCACCGCAACAAGGTGTCTCCTACCCGCTGCAGCCGAAACGGGCGCCTCTTGCTATTTTGGACAAAAACTACAAGAAGAGGTAACAAGCTCCACCGTTCCGAGTGTCTCGGGCTGGATGAATCTCATGCATCCAAGGATGAATGGTGTTCAGGAATAGATGGTCGGCGGCTTCCGCCAGCACTTGAACTACTGTTGGAAACTACTCTGGTTGTTTACTATGGAGTTTAGCATAGTATCTTACTTCATAGTTGGTAGCATTCTCTCGAATCATGCCATCGGCTTTCACTAAACTTCCCTCGTTAGCCATCATGTTGATTGAGTTCCGCATTCGATTATGCATCTGCTGGCACCGATGGGACACCATGGCGCAAAATGTTGCGTTATAGGAAAGTTTCCTGGAGTTCGCGTACCAAGTTTTACTGTTTTCAGGTTCGTAAATAATTTGTTTGGCTCTGTCACCAAATTTTGTGTCAGCATCAAGACGGTCGCATTTGAAGTCAATTGGGACAAAAGTGAAGTTGAATGGGAATTGTCGATTCCAGGTACAGCAGCAGGTCAAATATGGCAAACGCGAGTTGCGGAAAATACCCAACTGAGACTTTTGTGGCAATTCAACTACTGTGAAAGTCAAGAGACTTCAGACTGTACTATTGAGTCAGTTACACAAAAGCCATTCCAGAAAAGACTAACTGGTGCTCTTGCGTCAGCGGCAAGAAAAACTCTCTTTCACAGTGGACTTGCTAAACTCTTCTGACCTTCCATACCCCAGGAAGAATGTTGTTAATGAGCATTGCCTGTAATGTCTAACTATTACGTGAACCAACATAGTTTCGGAATATTGTTTGAAGCCTTAACACTTGAATATTCAGATGGTGGGAAACGTTTCTTGGCTGTCGACAGGCGCTCCACACCGACCATGACCTAGGAGAGTGACGATGTACTTTCCCAAATAGCTCATAGATACAAACGCCTCTCAGTTGCTTCAAAGAGCAAAATGCACAACTGGGGGCTCCCCATACCCATTCACTCTGTGCAACACCCCTCGCTCTCAGCGTAAACGTCCTATACAACCCCCTTCTCGTCTCTTCTCGGCTACCTAATACGCCGCGAACATGCTTCCCACTTACATCCCAGTTCAGAAAGTCGAGGGCAACAATGGCATTGCCTATGTCTACCGCCGTCTAGGTCCGGCGAAGGGTATCCCTCTTGTACTGCACATAAATGTGAGTTGCTCAACCCTGGGCGTTTGTCAAAGATTCATGCTGTGAGTAGGTGCGAGCCTCTATGGGCTACTGGGACCCTGTCTTCATACGCCCGCTTCTGTCGAGGCGCCCTGTCATCATGTTTGACCCGCCCGCAATTGGACAGAACAGTGGCGACACTCAGCGTACAGCGTCCGAAAGTAGGCGTGACCTTGTCTCTATCGCTGAGGGAGCTGCAAGCTGAGCAGTGCCTTGCAGTAACCATAATGGGAGATAACCTCAAAGCGTTTCTTGACGCTCTCCCTCTCGAGCTCATTGATCTACTTGGATTCTCGATCGTAAGCATGGCCTGTCAGATGGCTACACTCGCGAGACCTGAGCGAGTGAGACGCCTGATTCTGGTTGGAGCTGATCCATCAGGACCTGTTCCTGGAGAGCATCTTTGGCCTCGCACCGAACCAAATCTGGATCGTTTCCTGACACTGCTGCAGAGCGCTAGCGAGGCGGACTGGCAGGCTGCTTACACACTCGCGTTCTTTCGTAATGATATTAAAGGCAAAGCTGCCGCCGATGCCTACTTCCAGCGCTTGTGGGAGAGCGAGTTCAATGAAAATGCTGCTGTCGGTGGGCGGCCGACATTCAGCAATATGGAAAGCTTCAAAATACAATTTCAAAGCATCAAGGACTGGTGCTCGCCGGGCGATAGGAACGAAGGTTCCTTCTACAGACTGCACGAGCTCACTATGCCTGTGCTTGTCATGACTGGCGACGACGACTATGTCGTTCCCACGCCTCGGGGCTACGAGCTGATGAATGGGATTCCAAACTGCCTACTGGTCGTCTGGCCCCGTACTGGGCATGCTTCCATCTGGCAGTATGCCGAGAATTGTGCGGCAAGGGTGAATGAGTTCTTGGGCAATGATATGGACGATTATGCGGAGCCGCGATTGTAACAGAGAATGATGAGTGAAATTAAGGCTTAAACCTGGGCGAATGATGCATGTCTTGTTTCTGCTTTATTGCCACCAGAACCTAGACTTTAGAGACTAAAAAGACTCTCTTCTCCTATACAGGTTTGTATTGACGGTACATGCTAGGGTCAATACTAGTGCTCCCCCTTCCTATTGCCGTCATCGCCACACCCTACTGATTTGTTTATCCCATACCTGCTGCTCCAATGACTCGCAACTTGTGTCCCAGAACCAGAAGCTTCATGCTAGAGTTTAGTAGAGTCTCACTAATGTACCTTGAAAAACGGTCCTTGTCTCAATCTGCCAGCGATTCAGTGGTACTTACCAGAAGTGTGCACAAGGCGGGTATAAATGGCATTGGTGCATGCTTTCTGCGTCCGAATCATTCATCGAAACTCCATCGCCTTGGACACCAGGACCTGCCTAATTTGCAGTTGTACTGTGCGCTTCTAGGTTGTACATCCTGTACTATGAATCAGAATCTGGATAAACGGACATATGGTACAGTTTATGGCATCCCTCACGGCTGAGCCTTCCTGTGGTATCCGTATTGTTGGAAGCCTTTACTCGAAATCATGCAAATCAAAGACGCCTGCCTAGCGCTACTGCTTTCACCCTGCGTACTTGGCAAGGGAATTAGGAGATACAACCTCACACTAACCTATGCTTGGGACAAACAAGGTATGGCAATAGTGATAAACGTGCGAACATTGTCCAATCTGACTCAGAAATAGATGGTCATGGTCGTCCAACTTACCTCATAAACGGCGATACTCCTGGACCTGTCCCCACTGTCAATGAGGGCAAGAGCCTAGAAGCGTTTGTGGACAATCAACTCGCAATTGAAACCACAATTCATTGGTACGGTCATAACAGTATCAAGTATAATTGTAGCCGAGACCTAATATTCATGCAGGTATGGAGTACATCAAATCAATGAGCCATGGAATGACGGCGTGCCAGGCGGAACTCAGGTTTGGGACCACTCCGGGCGCAAGAACTTCAGTCGTCTACGATGTCCTAACAATTCACAGCAGGCCACCGAACCCAGGGACAACTACACAAATCGTTTCACTCCTCAAGGCCAGTATGGGACTTACTTATCACGGGCACTTTGGGCCTGCGTTCTCGGACGTCAGTCATCTCATATGATGCATTAGTATTGTATGGTACTGATGATACCTAGGGCCAACGAGGTCCGCTATGGATCATTCCAGCTGACTGGCATCCTCGCCCGTATGAGCTCATATCCACAAAGGAACATGAAATCAGTGCCATGCGGGCAGCGGAGAAGAACCCTACGCCACATCATCGTTGCTGACTGGAATGATCAGCCGATGGACATGTATCTGATTCGCTTCCGTGACACCGGCTACATCCCAGTCTACGCCAATAGCCTCACTCATAACGGGCGAGGTGGAACCAGGTGCGAATCTGCCCAGGACCTCGAAGGTGCTGGTGGACCTGGACGCAACGAGCGAGGCTGCCGGTATCTGATCCCAGGCCATGAGTACACAAACGTAGAATACTGCACCGAGACACATCCGGAGCTGGAGGTCGTGCAAGCTGAGCCGGGTGAAGAGTGGGTTTGGATCAATTTCATCCATTCTGGAGCTCACCACTCCCTTGCTATAAGCATCGATGAGCATCAGTTCTGGGTTGTTGCTGCAGATGGCGAATTCGTTCATCCACAAAAGGTAGTGAGGACGCATGTTAATTTTGGTGAGAGAACGAGGTACGAGCCTGAAACTCGTCAACTCCCCGGTGATAGATGCCTCGCTCACCAATATCACAGTATTCTCGTAAAATTGAACAAACTGGCTGGTGACTATGCGCTAAGTTTGCATTCCCTTCGATCCGAGCAAATAATTCAAGGCACTGGCATCCTTCAACATCCGACAACCAAAGTATGCCTCTCTGAATTTTACAAAGCAAGTGACAGTCCTACTGACGGGAGTAAAGAACTTATCCAAACATTTTAACCAAACTGTACCCAACACAAAGCCGTGGCTTCATCTGAATGGAAGTCTCATCGCGCCGAGTAACAAGGCTTTGGATGAAACCAAGTTGACCCCATACCCTCCTCGGCTGCCACCCGAGGAGGCTGACTTCACTCTCAAATTCATGGGCAACCGAACGGGGCCCTCGGCTTGGGTACTGAACTCTGCCCCGCATGAATTCTTTCGCCAGAACGTTCCCCCCATCATGTGGAATGCGAAGTCAGGCGGGAGGACGTCATGGGGTGATTCGAATGGGTTCCTAAGGAACGGATCGATCATGGACTTGATCATCGAGAATGGCGCTGAGATTGACGCCAGCCACCCTTTCCACAAACACAGTCATAAAGTCTGGATCATCGGCCAGGGTGACGGTGGGTTCTACTGGAAGGAAGTGGACGATGCCTTGAAGAAGGGAGGTCAGGCGCAAAGTATTTCAATTGTCAATCCGACCTATCGTGAAGGATTCACTCTCCATGCTGGCGAGGGCAAGTTCATTGTGGTACGCTACAAGATCGACTTCCCGGGAGTTAGTACGTTGCATTGCCACATGATCCACCATTTCGCGATATGTTCACGCCTCTCAATCTTCGTGTATCTACGGCTACTAATCCATGATGATATAGAGCGGCCAACAGGTTGTTATGCTGGAAGGGATGGAAGTTATGCCGCCAGTCCCACAGGAGTTGAAAGACAAGGCTCATGTCGAGTTTGACTTTCCTCGGCGCTACGGACCACTAGACTGAGAAGGGACGCGCCTGGTTTTGATGTGGCTAGCTGCAACGTCGTAAAACCACATGTTTGAATAGCCAGGTCTCTCGAGGTCAAGGTAGTGCATTTCTAGAACGGCAAAGCTATCTTGTATCACAGTGAAAGAATAGATCTGAGAATGTGTACAGTGGGATATACTATCCTAGTGAATAACAGAGGTGTTGTCGCATCCTCAGTGATCTTTTCATCCCTCTAGCGTGCTGAAAGAGGGGAAGAAAACTAAGGGAGCCGAGCTGCGGTCAGCTTACATGCAATGCACCTACATGCAGGGAAGCAACTTTGTGTTACTTCAGCTTCGACAACTAATGGAATAGCGGGGCTACATTGTGAAGAGAGCATCAATTCGTCCACTCTTTTCGGGAAGGGCCGCTTCGTGCAGATTAATACCCAAATGTTGTGGACGGATTTAAGACAGCGTTGTTCCGCCCAGCGCAGATCGAGGGTTCTCGAGTGGTACGTTAACAAGGGTATCATGCAACCGGAAAGCTTCACAATGAGCCAGCTAATGAGAAAAACGATAGCTGAGTCTGGTTTGATAGGTGATTGAGTGAAGGGCATGCCTCCAATTTGGACACCATTGGAGGTTACATATGCTTTTGGGTGAATGCAACATAGCCCACCAGTCAGTCACCTTGCTCTGGGGTTCCTCTCTACATATTTCTATCGATCCATAATCTCCCTTCTGAAGCTATTTGTTATTTTACAGTTCTATTTCCCACATTCACATTTCCAAACTATATATTGTGAACAATGATACCGAGCGCAGATGTTGACATGGAGGTGACCACTAACCCTGAGGAGGTTGACCACCTGGCAGGCATTAGCGAGAAGACATATGCCGCACACTCCGGACAAGCCGTTGGACGACAGCGAGTCACCGGCCTCGAGGCTTGTATTCCCATGATTCTCAAGTGACCTTCGAACAACAGGTAACAATCTACACTCACAGAGGTACATCAGCCACTCCTCGGTCGTCAACTTCGGCGTGATCATCCTAGCCTCGTGGGAGTCCTTCGCCGTCACATTCCAATTCGCCTTGGCGAACGGCGGCCCAGCTTCCATGTTCTATGGCTCCATCCTGGCGAGCTTAGGAGCCTGTGCTGTCGGGTTCTCGCTGGCTGAGCTGGCATCGATGTGAGTATACCCAACACACCCACTGCTCTCTCCTGTGCTAAATTGAGACCAGCGATCCGACTGTTGGCGCGCAATACCGCTGGACTGCGAACCTCGCTCCCGGTGCTAACCGGTTCTGGGGCCTGCTTCAAGGTATTGCATCATTCGGGCCAAAGTCGCCCTGAGGCTTCGACTCAACTGATCATCGCTTTAGGATGGATTACCACCGCAGCATGGTGCTTCGCCTGCGGCGGCCCTCCGTCAATCTTAGCCAACATCATCACGTCCCTAGCCATCTTCAATAACGAGACATACGAGCCACAGCGATGGCATACAAGTCTCATTATGATCGCCACCTTGGTACTGCCCTTTGTCTTCAACCTGTATTTCCGCAAACTCCTCGATGTGTTCGAGATTATCGGAGGGGTCTTGCATCTTGCCCTGTTCGTCGCCTTTATCTCAGTCCTCGTCGCCTTCGGTCAACGCAGTAGCCCCGACTACGTCTTCAGGACACTGACGTCGGACGTGTCGGGGTGGAACAATCCTGGGGCGTCATGGGGTTTGGGGCTATTGACAGTGACATTCTCCGTGACGGGCTTCGACAGTGTCATTCACATGAGTAAGTCTGACGATACGGTAGAATCATCTCACCGTAGATATTAACCGCACGTCCAGGCGACGAAGTGAAAAAAGCCCAGACCCGCGTGCCGCGTAGCGTCATTCTTGCATGCACCGTCAACTCGGTCATGCTCTTTGTCTTCGTCACTATCCTCTTGTTCTATATCGGCCCGCTGGAGGACCTTTCCACCGCACCGCTTCCCCTCATCTATGTATTGTACAATGCGACCGGATCAAAGGCGGCCACGAATGCCTTGATATCGCTCATCGCGCTCATCATGTTCTTCGCCCTATTCAATATGCTGGCTTCCGTCTCCCGCCTCGTCTGGATTTTTGCGCGCGATAACGGGTTGCCTTTCTCTCCCTTCTTTTCATCTGTAAGTTGCAGGACCCGCCGTGTGGACAATCATCACCAACATTTTCACCCTCAGGTCAACCCAACCTTTAGGCTCCCAGTAAACGCCCTCTTACTCATCGCAACAGTTGTAACCTGCCTATCTCTTATATATATCGCCTCCGCCACTGCGTTCAACGCCCTCATCTCCCTACAGGCCCTCGCTCTCCACATCTCGTACTTCTTCCCTATACTATTCTTGCTGCTGCGGAAGCTCCGCGGCCCGCCTCCACCCTACAGGTCTTTCAAGATGGGTGCCCCAGGAATTCCGGTCAACATTTTTGCCTTGTTTTATCTTATTTACGTGGTGCTTTGGATGCCGTTCCCGCAGGTTCTGCCGGTAACCAAAGACAACATGAACTATGCTGGCCCGATATTCGGGGCAGTGTTGGCCGGCGCTTTGATGGATTGGTTTGTGAGTGGGAGGAAGAGGTTCCAAATGCCCGTGGATAAATATCAGTAACACACAAATCTACCCAAGAAATTGTCTTGTATTTCCGCTCCCATAAGTGTAACTCATGTCCGCGTTTATATGCTACCTTTCTGATGGCATAGAAATGTTTGAGTTAATACGAAAAACAAGGTCTTCTAGCTCTAATACGTATACCTGTATACATGAAAACAAAGTTTTCAGATAATCCTAGTTCACTAGTCTGATCTATGACCGAAACTGATAAATGCGATCGAATTAATATCACCTCAACAACTCGGGCGTTGTTGGTCTCTCGGCCGGTATGGCGGCCCGCTCGGTCATTTCGGGCCAGTCCCTTCGGCGAGCCCCAAGCTTCTTGCCGCCCCACCGTGAGCTCTTCTCGTCATCTCGCGCCAAAGCTTCCGTCATTCCCAACACTATCACTCTACACCCGCGCTGCCCAATTCCGCCAGTCATCTCCCGAAATTTGAAAGCTGTGCGCGTCAATTGGAACAAGGCCTCCGTCATGTTTGCAAGCCGCGCGTTCGCGAGGGTCCGGCCGAACCTTCGTCCACGCAAGCCGACAACGACGAGAACCACGCTCCGCAACACCTCGACAAATTCCCCTCCCTCCTCTTCCTCCACCGCCCGCGCCGCGCAACGCCTCCTCGACCGCGTCCCCCTCCGTTTTCAGAGATACACTACAGGCCTCCGGAAAGCGCCTCTGTCGCACATCATCGCCTTTCTCGTCCTCCATGAAATTACGGCGGTCGTGCCTTTGCTCGGCCTTTTCGGGCTCTTCCACTACACCAATTTTCTACCTCTCGAATACGTTACAGGCCACTGGGCGGGGTATGTCCGCGATGGGGTCGGTATGGCAGAGAGGTACTTCAGCAGGAAGGGGTGGTTTGGGTTCGAGGCTAGGGACCGCGGGACCATGACGGGGGAGCTGGACAAGAGTGAGGATTTTGAGACAAGTGACTCGACGGCAGATGCTGGGCAGAGTACGCATGATCTGCTGGAGAGTTGGCAGAAGGACGGAAAGTACAAGGTTGTGGTCGAGGTTGCCATGGCTTGGGCGATCACGAAGGCACTGCTGCCGGCGCGGATACTAGTCAGCGTTTGGGGAACGCCTTGGTTTGCGGGCGTCATGGGAAGAGCACGCGGCATCTTCAGATCAAGTCGATAATCACAATATAACCGAGGTGAATGGAACGAGATGATGTGGCTTTTGAACGCCATGGATTTGTTTTATTGACCTTGAACTTTTCTGTATCAACCTATCGACATGCCAACTAGCATCTCATTCATCCGGCGAGCGGATCAGGGACGTTTTTGGCTCGTGCAACTAGCGGACAAGAAATTTAAGGCTTCTCGTAGATCCAGTCGAACTGGGAAGACTTGTACTGGACAGCCTCACCGTCCTTGAACCAGAGAGCAATCTCCTTCTTGGCGTTCTCGACGGAGTCGGAGCCGTGGCAGACGTTGCGGCCGACGTCGATGGCGTAGTCGCCACGGATGGTGCCGGGGGCAGAGGCAAGGGGGTTGGTGGCACCGAGGATGGCTAGAAGAGACAGGGTCAGCAAGAGTTTGTGGTGGATTGGGGTGTTTGCGGTACTTACTGCGGCCAGTCTTGACGGCGTCACGGCCCTCCCAGACCATGGCGCAGATGGGGCCAGAAAGCATGTCTGTAGTATTGTCAGCCAGGAACCAGATGTAGTGTACGAGATAAGAGCATACACTGGATGAGGCCACCGAAGAAGGGCTTGTCCTTGAGGTCAGCGTCTAGCGGGCGGTTAGCAATGCGATGTGGCGGCAGGGGTCGGGGAATGCTAACAGTGAGCCTCGAGGTGGTCCTTGCCGGGGGTGACAAGCTTGATGGCGACGAGCTTGAAGCTGTAGGAAAGGTGTCAGAGTGCGTCGCAGCCATTGATCTTTGGGGTGAAAACTTACCCACGGCTCTCGAAGCGAGAGACGATGGGGCCGATCAGGCCGCGCTGTAATCAAGTCAGCTTGCTGCAGCATACAATAGGCAGCCTGGCCGTCAGATGATGAAGCGTACCTGAACGCCGTCAGGCTTGATGGCAATGAAGCTGTCTCAAGGTCAGCGGATTTTGTCTTCTGGAGATTCGACGTGTGGTGGTGTGTGCCCCTCTCTGCCCGAAACCTGCCACGATGGCGGGGTAATTCTTCAGGGGAGCGGCAGAGAGACAAAGAGACGCAGCAGATGCTGCGGTGCAGTTTAAGGCAACAGATGGACAGGACACTTACGTCTGCTCGGTAGACATTTTGGGCGAGGTATCAACGACAAGGTCTGTGGGAAGAGGAGTGTGTTGTTGTTGGTAGATTGTGGTGGTGACAACGGAGGGGACGGCGGGAGAAGAAAGATCTGCTGCTGACCGCTGGTTTTGTTGGCTCGAGGAAAAAATTATGTACAAGCCGAAGAGGAGCGCGAGAATTATGAATGTAGGTGGGGCAGCTTTTCAGCGGTGCGGCGGGCGTATTCGGGGAAGCTTTCGTCTGCATTATTCTGCTGCCGCTTCTTGTGCTTCGACGAGGCGGGGTCACCATCCTGCGAGTGGTGGGGTCCGGGTTCAGCCATGGCTTGCCGCTTGACACTTTGGACACGCTACCCAAGGTAGGCTGTACAGTGGAGCTGGCTTGGAACACGGCAGCCTGGCACTGTGGTTAGACCGCCTGTTTTCTTATGGACAACTCAGCATGCTGTCTTGAGTAGAGGGGATGGAGACTGAGACTGCTCGGTGATCGCTTACCCGCTTCTCTTTCAAATAGGAGGGTTCGTAAGTTACAAACCACTTGGACCGAAGGATGCGCGGCCAATTGACTAGAGATTGGGTGAAAAGAAGCTCAGATGCTGTTTTGTTTACATTCAGTGCAAGCAAGCTGATTTAGGCGAGGTGAGTGAGATGCCTGAACAGCGACATACGAGTGTAAAAGCAAGCTGTATCGATCCAGGTACGCACCGTGCAGATACCGCTTATATGAATATACCCTTTTAGCTCTTACGGAGCAATTGCTTCTCACCGCCCTAGCCAGTAGAGGAGACAAGAACCACCTGGAATAATACCAATTGCCATGTCGACTAATTCAGTGTGGTGCATGAGTGATACACCACTTCAGCCCCATAAGTGCTATACGTGTCTCGTGAATTGAACCCTGATAGACTGCAGCATCTCGGGTCCTCTCCTACGATGGCGGGGTAAAAGACATCGACTGGATATATGCATCAATGCCAACTAGCAGTATTCGGGTAAACGTTTCTTCCCCAAAACCTCCCCTGCCTCCTGCAGCTTGACGACCCGCACTAGACCCGAATCGGAGCTACCAAGGGGACAGCTGTTGAACTTCGGGCGTCTCACCTTCCCGCAAGTACCTTCCGCCCACGACAACCCATCCCATCAACCCAAAAAATACAGCCAACTAAACAATCGACAAGGGAGCACCACAGAGAAGCATCACCTTCTTAATGCTCCCATATTCTCTTCTTGATTGCAATTCTCTTCCGACTTCTCATTTCTCTTGGACGAACGCGTGAACACGAATCCCCCCCTCCGCCATGCGGTCCCTCGGCAGGTTGTCCGTCAAATGGACAACTTTCTTTGGTGTACTGGTGGCACTGAGCTGCATGATCCAGCCTGCAGGTGAGGAATTCCTCGTGACGCCATGACTTTTGTCCTGCTTCATCTTAGCTTTTGAACGTTGATCTCGACGCCGTACTGACGGAAACAATCGCAGTCATGGTTAAGGAAAATGACTTCAAGAAGTGCCACCAGTCCGGCTTCTGCAAGCGCAACCGCGAGTACGCCGACAACGCCGTCTCCCAGGCCTCCACCTGGGCTGCCCCCTACAATATTCTCCCCGAATCTACCTCCTTCAAAGACGGTCAGCTTCAAGCTGTTATCCTCAAGACCATCAACGATGCCCAGGAAACCGTCCGCCTTCCCATCACCGTCTCCTTCCTTGAGTCTGGCACCGCTCGCGTAAGCGTCGACGAAGAGAAGCGCCAGAAGGGCGAAATCCAGTTGCGTAACGACAGCCCCGCCCGCAAGGAGCGTTACAACGAGGCCGAAAAGCACACCATCGTCGGTGGCCTCAACCTAGATAAGGACGCCAAGGTTGCCTACCAGGACAAGGACCAGATCACTGTCCAGTACGGTCCCTCCTCCAAGTTCGAGGCTGTCATCAAGTTCTCTCCCTTCAGCGTCGATTTCAAGCGCGGTGGCTCTTCACACATCAAGATCAACGACCGCGGCTTGCTCAACATGGAGCACTGGCGCCCCAAGGTCGAGAAGCCCGCCGAGGAGAAGAAGGAGGGCGAGGAGGAGAACACGGAGAAGTCCGACACCGCCGAGTCCACTGACGTCAAGAAGGAGGACGAGAGCACCTGGTGGGACGAGACTTTTGGTGGTAACACCGACTCCAAGCCCCGTGGCCCTGAGAGCGTCGCCCTCGACATCTCCTTTGTCGGATACGAGCACGTCTTCGGTATTCCGGAGCACGCTGGCCCGCTGTCTCTGAAGGAGACCCGTGGCGGCGACGGCAAGTACACCGAACCTTACAGGCTCTACAACTCCGACGTCTTTGAGTACGTCCTTGACAGCCCGATGACTCTTTACGGAGCCATTCCCTTCATGCAGGCGCACCGCAAGGACTCCACTGTCGGTGTCTTCTGGCTCAACGGCGCTGAGACATGGATCGATATCACCAAGGAGAAGAGCTCGTCCAACCCCTTGGCCCTTGGCGTTGGCTCCAGGACCAACACACAGACCCACTGGATCTCCGAGTCTGGCATTCTCGATGTCTTCATCTTCCTAGGCCCTTCCCCCAAGGACATCTCCAAGAACTATGGGGAGCTTACCGGTACCACTGCCATGCCCCAGGAGTTCTCGCTCGGCTACCACCAGTGCCGCTGGAACTATATCTCTGATGATGATGTCAAGGACGTTGATCGCAAGTTTGATAAGTTCAAGATTCCTTACGACGTCATTTGGCTCGATATTGAATACACCGACGGCAAGAAGTACTTCACCTGGGATGGCGACATGTTCAAGGACCCTATCGGCATGGGCAAGGCCCTCGATGAGCACGGGAGAAACCTCGTGGTCATCATCGATCCCCACATTAAGAACGAGGGGAAGTACGACATTACGGAGCAGATGAACTCCAAGGGCCTCGCTGTCCTGAACAAGGAGGGCAAGCCTTTCGAGGGTTGGTGCTGGCCTGGTTCGTCGCACTGGGTCGACTGCTTCAACCCTAAGGCAGTTGAGTGGTGGAGTGGTCTCTTCAACTACGACACTTTCAAGGGCACTATGGAGAACACGTTTATCTGGAACGACATGAACGAGCCCTCCGTCTTCAACGGTCCCGAGGTTACGATGCCCAAGGACAACATTCACCATGGAGGCTGGGAGCACCGTGATGTACACAACATCAACGGTATGACCTTCCACAACGCCACCTTTGAGGCTCTCCTTACTCGTAAGAAGGGCGAGCTCCGCAGGCCTTTCGTCCTTACCCGCTCCTTCTACGCCGGCTCCCAGCGACTCGGCGCTATGTGGACCGGAGATAACCAGGCGTCGTGGGAGCACCTGGGCGCTGCCGTTCCCATGGTCCTGAACCAGGGTATCTCAGGCTTCCCCTTTGCTGGCGCCGACGTTGGCGGCTTCTTCGGTAACCCCGAACCAGAGCTTATGGCCCGTTGGTACCAGGGTGGTGCCTTTTACCCCTTCTTCCGTGGCCACGCCCACATTGATGCCCGCCGCCGGGAGCCCTACATGCTTGCAGAGCCGTTCAGGAGCATCCTCACGGCTGCTATCCGTCTCCGATACAGCCTGATGCCTTCGTGGTACACGGCCTTCTTCCACGCCCACAGAGACGGCAGCCCGATCGTGCGCCCGATGTTCTGGACCCACCCCAATGAGGAATCTGGGTTCGCCATCGACGATCAGCTGTTTGTTGGTTCGACCGGTCTGCTTCACAAGCCCGTTGTCGAGAAGGACAAGGAGTCTATCGACATTTTCATCCCCGACGACGAGGTCTACTACGACTACTTTACCTACGAGAAGCTCCTTACCAAGAAGGGCCAGTACCTTACCAAGGACGTGGCTCTCGACCAGGTCGCGCTGCTCATGCGTGGTGGTCACATCTTCCCTCGCCGTGATCGTCCTCGCCGTTCCACCAAGCTCATGCGCTTTGACGACTACACGCTGGTCGTCAGTGTCAGCAAGGATGGCAAGGCCGAGGGCGAGCTGTACGTCGACGACGGAGACTCTTTCGACCACGAGAAGGGCCAGTACATCTACCGCAAGTTCAACCTTGCCGGCAGCACCCTCACGTCCTCCGACGCCGAGGGCCGCGACACCAAGTCGGTCAAGGCTGGTTCCTGGCTCAAGGCCATGAAGGAGGTTTACGTCGACAAGATCATCATTGTTGGCGCGCCGGCCGCTCTCAACAAGAAGGAGGTCACCGTCGAGTCGGCGGGCAATACCTGGACTGTCCCCGTGCAGTACCACGCAGCCGAGAAGGGCAACGCCGCGTACGCTGTTGTGGGCAGAGTCGGTGCCCGCGTCGGAGACGACTGGAGCATCAAGTTGGCTTAGGAAAGGCCAATGTTGCACAGGCGCATTGGAGGTACAGGCTGGTTTCAAGGCACCATGACAGTTTAAAGCTCTGTCATTACATACCTGCAAATACTTCGGCGGTGGACAACCCTCAGAGAGCGGTCAAGGTCTGCGCACCAGGATTAGAGAGAGCCAATTGCGCAGATCGCTGCCGGGGTTGATGAACGGGAAATTAAGCAGCCAGTAGAAGCTTCATTAGAGGAGACACTTGACAAAGCAAGAAGAAGGAAGTTCATGAATAGATTTGGCTCCGTGTGATTTCGTTTAACCGATCCAGAACCGGGTCGACGGTAGGGGCCGTGGTTCGCGGACGGGGTCCGTCGGGGTGGACTCCGTGGAGCCTCAAAACTTTCTCACGAGGGTTCCGCCAAATCTCCTCGACGTCCCAGGCCCAGAATCCAAGAAACCACAGCGGCCATGGGCGCCATACTGCCTGCCCTGCCCCAGTGACAGTGACAGTTCGCCAAAGCTCCGCGCCTCCACGCGTCGGGGGACCAGTTGAGCAACAACGGACCCCCGGTCCCCCTCTCGTCCCCGACGACGACCCGCGACGGGGAACTCAGCCTCGCTCGTCTGCGACGTCGTGCGGACCGCGAGGTTTGGCTGGTGGGCTTGTCTTGTTTCCTTATTCCATTTATTTTTATTTTGTTATATTTTATACTAAATTTATCGGGTTTTTTTTTAACACTACTGGAGCGGAGGACCTGCTGAGCGTGTAGAGCTGAGTGGCCCGCAGGTGATCTTTGCTCTGAACGACTACCTCCTCCCACTTGACCATGGGCATTATCCGAGCTGTTGGGAAAGGGGCCCCGGACACGTCGGGAAGGTTAATCTGGTGGTCTTCTTGGGGTGATGGCCAGTGGTCTTGGGCGACTTCTTGTGAGCTCCATCCGAGTCATGATGTGCTTTCGCCCTCGCCCGTGAAAAGTTACACTGCATGTTCCCCGTATTCTTATCATTATGCAGTAGTTCAGGGGCATACATGCACGGTGCGGAAAGCTTCATGGAGGGGGGTGTTTCTCCCGGGTAAAGTGCTGAAAGCATCAGAGAAAGGCAAAATAATAAAAGATGAGAAAATGAAGCATGGACTCGAGACGCCGATGGCATGATTCGTAACGCGTCTTGTTGAAAGAGATAAGCAAACTCTCTTCATTGGACCGCGGCGGCGCCCCTTTTCAATTCCCGTTATCGCCGCACTGGCATGAAGGCACGGTGGTGATTAGGGGCGTCAGATGCTAGGAGCCTTGCATGTGAAGAAACGTCGCGTCGCGGCCGGCGCTCTCCTCACGTTCCGCGCCGGCGCGATTGGCTCGGTGGGCGGTTCTCTATTTCCAGGCTGCGCTAAGCGGGTGGCCTGGGGCCCGGGAGGCCCTGAGAGAGAGGCGCATGGCAAGGTCAGGGTACGCCGTCAGGTTAAAGTCGCCCAGGGGGGGAGAAGTCTGGCGGCCGAACGGGGGAGGCTCCGAGACGACAGGCACGGGCGACGAATGGCCTGCTGCAAATCGTCTAGCATTTCCAGCAATCAGCTGGTCAAAGGGGCGGTCTGGTGTTCTCAATCTTAATCGGCCTGTTCCAAGACCAAATGTTGGGTCAAGCAGGGCCTCGAGAGATCGCTCAGAAAAAGCGGACGGGAAATGTGGCGGCAGCCGAGATGTGCCTCCCTGTCCGACCTGACGACCGTGGCAGCGTGGATGCCAGGGGATTTGCTCGACTCAAAGCTGTTTGCTGGGTTGACGCCGATCACGACTTTGCTGGGACAGACATTTGCGGGCGCAGGATGACTCTTCGGGAGATGCGCGCGATGATTTTTTGGGGTTGGAAAGCTTGACCATCACTGTAACCTGCGAGCATTCGGGGATTGCAATGTCTGTGTTGTTGGGACTATGACGCCATGTTGCTGCTGACTTTGCTGGCTCTGCAGTTTCGGTGATCTGACAGCGATTAAGTCTATCGAGCGGGCCTGGAATCCGCTGATGTAGGGTGATGCTGTTGTCTTGCGCGTGCCTATACTACCATAGTAATTGTGCGACCCAGGGGGCATTGCCACACCCGAGCTGTGATGAACCACAATTTCGTCCTGGATGAACTTGGATCTTGGTGCTGTGCCTGCCCGCGAAACTACGTAGCAACAGCGGCTCTGGTAGCTATTTTGGGAACTCAGTAGGTAGCAAGAGAGAAAAGTTTTACACGGAATGGATGCGACCAAGGAGCAATCGAAAACGTGTGCGGTACCTGCATTCAGCATTCTTTCGGCGCTGGGCAGTGTACCAGTATACCAAACATTGCCAATGACATGGACGATGGCGGCGGTGGTGGCAAACGACTTTAGGGCGGCGGACGAGCGGGAGACTCAAGACGGCAAGCCGTAAGTGACGTGGTGATCACCAACGCTGTGCCCAGGGGCCTCTTCCCGCACTAAGGCAGCTAGAGACGCGCGAGGAGGGAGATTTTCAGGAGGGTCGGAATTCCCTAGGAGCTACACTAGAAGGCGGCCCTATTGAGCGTGAGGGGTGGGTGGGCGTGATATTAAAGCATGTCTCACGGCGCGATTGGAAGCGTTGTTGTTTAGGAATATGGCTCTGGTTGAAACGGCCGAGGGTGTGACTGCGGGCGGCGTCCAACGAGCAAGCAGCATTGGCACACACGGCAGTGAGTGCGATGCCGAGAGATTCCCTGCATATAGGTGTCTAATGTGTTATGGTACTGCCATCTCAATCCCAAAGTCTGCGAGTGATCCAGGAAATAGTGGTTCTCGGGACGGACATGACTGGCTTGACTGAAAGCTTCGCCCGCGGGCCCGCGGAGCCCAGAGGTCCAGGCCCAGTCGATCTGGGGATGAGAGCAGGAAGCCCGTTCTTTCATTTCTTCCAGAGGTTTGCTGGAACTTCTGGGAGACCAACTGGGCTCCGTATCCAAAGGACACTGGCCGACAGTCGGCACTGTCGAGGACGCGCCAAAAGCAGGGACGTCGGACAGTGACGGCACCGGGGTTGGATACAGTGAGCTCGAAGCTTCGGGGAACGGTGGGCCGAGCTGAGGATAAGGGGCTCAGCGCCGGGTCCTGGAGTCTTGGCAGGGGGAGAAAAACGGGCGAGGGGACCGGTTTTACAGTCGTCGATTGCGGAACATGGGAGGATGCACCGTGACGTCAGCCGCGATGGGTGGAGCCACTAACAGGGGAAGAGTGGGGGTACCAAGTCTTCGCCCTTGCCTGCCGACTGAGCGAATTTGAGATGGGAAGGAGCGAGCGCTGAAGACTGGCAACGCTGAACCCTAGGAGTAAAGGAACAAACACACTCGAAGAAGGCGTCCATCGGGAGAGAGTCTTGATGTTTTTCTGGGGGGGGGGGGGGGTTGGCGATACTGGTGGCCGATGGTGCAGAAATTCCGAGTCGATTATATTCAATGGGGTAGACGATGGGCAATGTTGCGTAGAGACTTTAATGCAGCAGCCAGTTTGCCCAGTCCTTCGTCTCCTTGGAGGTGCGCCATCCGTCGGCCGATGGATGTGAGTGACAGGCCACAGGCGACGGACAGATTGGGAGATCCAAAGTGCCGCTGCGCTGGACCGCTGCCAAGACACACCGCTTCTGCGATGGGTTCCGCTCATGGAATGGATTTGCGGTGGTGCTCGTATTGGGGCCAGTTTGACCCGTCGTTAGTGCTTGATGACAGTTGTTCTCCCGCGCTTCGGGCTCTCGTTATTCACCGTCTGGCCATTCGGCCACCAACCATCTATGTCCCCTCGGGCGTGAGTGCAGACTCGACTCGCAGAGTGAAAGCACACTTGTCGTCACTGGCTGGCGTTGGCGACTGCTGGCGCTTGGTCTCTTCGGTCCTTTTCACCGTAAGCTTGTACGGCCTTGGGAGGTACACTACCACCACCACCATCACAGCAACCGCTACCACCACCGCGACGCTGTTTCTGTTGAGCGTGGCTTGCAAGGCTCTCGGGGACTTGGGAGGTGGTGGCGGCCATGTGCGCGTTTGATGGTGTTCTAGCCCCTTCAGCCCTTCTTCATGCCGTCTCCCCTGTCCGGCACGACGATTCGGGAGGCAGCGTGAGATGGATGATCAGTGACCGTCTGTTCGCGGAGCGGGAGAGATGGTTCGGTGCAACGCAGCAGAGAGCCTCAGTGTCTCAGAGAAAGCCACGCCCACCAACCGGGTGGTGTGTTGACACCCACAGGGCGTTTGTGCGTTTGTTCAGGGATGGGGCGTGCGGACGACGGTGCGAGAGGCGTGGGAAAGGATCGCGATGACAGGCGATGGTGGATTCGAGGCCTGTGGGGGTCTGCCCCAGCGGCTAAAACCACAGGATTCGCGGCCAGTCGGTCCTCTGTTTATGAGACCCAATGAGGCGGTTTCGATGATGTGTATGTTTAGGGTCTGAGTAAGGAGAGATCTGGATCTGACTTGCATCGCGTCGTCGTCTCAATGCGCATGCGCGGCGATGATGAAGTCTGAAGTCTGATGGAGAATTATGACGATGATGAGAGTCTGAGAGTTGCCCCAGCTTCGGAGGCTAACAGGTCCCTGGGTGGATGTCTCGAGGCGCTAGCCGCCATTTAGCCTAGAGCTGCCGCGTAGCGAGCACGATGGGGGGAGCAAGGCGCGTTGCGATGGTGTCTTGGTGTCTTGGTGATGCGGGAAGCTACCTGCGCACCTGCACACCTGCACGACAATACGCAATGCAAGCGGCAGCGCAGGACTGAGTGGACTGCGTACTCTGTATGCCGCGCTGCAGAACAGCAGAGTCTCGGCCAACGACGAACAGGCAAGGGTGGAAACGGGCTTTGGATTAATTGCAATGTTGCAACCAAGGGGCAGCCATGGCTTGCCTTATCGCTCACGCTGCGGTGCCCCCGAGCAATCAATCAACTTGATGGCCGTACATAGTATTGTTCAGGGTCCCCCCTATATCGAAGAGGATGAGAGCCCCGGAGCTCCAGTTTCGTGCCCTTGGAATCGCCGAAATCCGTGGATCATGTCGTGGAAATGGGATGAATGGGATGAATTGAAGGAGAGTTTCGATCTCTGGAAAGCAACATCCCGGTGGGACGCAGGATCCAAGCATCGTCCAACCCGGCGTGCTTGGCCAGAGATGCAGAGGCTCTTTGCTGTCAAAATGCACCACGGGCCCCATGGCGAGCCTGCGCCTGTTCGCCAGCCGCTGCCGCCACTGCCACCGCACCTCCATCACACTCGCCCAAGCTCCCTCCCTCCCCCGAAAAGTCAACTTGATCGAACTCTCATGGTCACTCCACGCACTCCACCAAGTCCTCCCCAAATAAGGACACGACTAATCGACCAAGAACCTGCACGACTCCAGCCAAAAGAATGGAGACCCAATTATTATCCAAATGCTAATGACGAGAAAGGACGACAGACCAGTGCGCCATGGGCCCCCTCCCAGGCGCGATCAGCATTTCGTCTCCCCAGTTTTACCTCTGGGCACCGACGTGGCGCCGCAACACGACCACTGGGTTTGGATGATGCGAGTGGGAGAGTGGGCGACGAGGCCGGCCATGCAGATGGAATTCTGGGGCACATGTCGCCCGTCGTCGATTCTTGGTTTGCCCTTGGTCGGTTGGGTTCAATGAGCTCAAACACCCGCGACCGGGGGCCCCTCCAATGCCAGAGATCAGGATCCAGTTTTCTACTCACAGGAGTCCCTGTTTTCTTAAATGACCAGCGAGACCGGGGGGGTGGGAGGAGGGAGACGCACCCACGCATCCACGCACCTCTCAGCCATTGGGACAGACACACTGGAGCTTCCTTTGGCTGTGTATCCATCTGGGTTCCAAGTAGCGTAGCTGCTCTGTTCTGCTTGCTGCTTGGCCTCTTGCTCTTCCATCACCCAAGGGACACCTTAATACACACACGCACACACATCATCCCCGTACCTGCACGGAGGACCCATTGCCTATTCGGTCTCGTTCCCCTACCTAGACCCTGTTGCATCACCCAGGGTAGGCACCGAGTACGTTGTGACTTTCTACCTCTGTTGATCTTGCACCCAGGAAATATTTCATCCACACCTTCCTCCCCTCGTCCTGCAAAAGAAGCTCCTTCCCCAGCTCTTTCCCTCTCCTTCCCCAGCTGCTCCTGCCCCTACACTTCACCACGGGGGAAAAGGGAAGTAACCGACATTCAACAGTTCCAACACCGGCGGGCATTTAGTCTCTTCTTAGCTGAAGAGCCTTTGATCCCATCCATCGCCAATCCTCCGACAGCTCGGTGGTGGTGTAATTCAGCTAGACAGCAACGGCAACTAGACCCTGGGAATAGCCACAGGCTATTTGTATCCGGCGTCTTGTCATCCCATTCCCGTCCTCGCCGAGCAATACAGCGAGGCGCGTCAATAACGAACCGACCGCGACCAAGCGTACTCTACCATTGAGACCTTTTTTGGCCTCTTTGACCATCACGGTAGTCGACATCGGACCTTTTCCGTTATTTCGTCATCTTCACGGACTGCCAATATCGAGCAGGACGACTTAATCGCCTGCAAGACTTACCAACACACTTATACAACCTTCCCGCCTGTATTCACTTACTCACTTACACCCATCAAACTTCACACCTCATCAGTCGGCCCCTCGTGGCCCTTTCACTCCGCCCAACATGACGACCCCAACAAATCGCGACCGCTCCAACTCGGACGAAAATGAGAAGCAGTCTTCTCACACAGACGATAGCCTCCAGACGGCCACGGATCCCAATTCCTTGCCGCCTCAGCAGGAGAAGATGACCCGCATCAACACCGACAACCATCTCCACCTTCCCAACGACTCACAACGCCCACTGTCACCACAAGACACCCGCGAACAGGCCTCGCGTCTAAACGACGACCTCGAGCTGTTGCGCGCCGAGCGCCTCGTTTCCAACCAGGAGCATGAACTGTCCCAACAGCGCTCCCGCCAGGGTAGGACCCGGGAGATGGAGCCCGAGGATGTCTTCGCTACCAACCCCACCGCTGCCGAGGCCGTGAAGCCTCCCCCCGAGAAGAAGGCCGGCGCCTTCGCCTACGCCGTCTGGAAGTGGCTGAGGAAGTTCCCCCGCATCTTCCGCTATTCCGTCTACATGATCCCCGGAGCCGGCCTTCTCCTCATCCCCGTCCTCATCGGCCATTTCGCCGTGGATCCCAACAGCTCAACCGTGGGCGGCGCTAATGGCGTCTATCTCACCTGGTTCGGTATCTGGCTTGAGGTCGTCTGGTGCTCCCTGTGGGGTTCGCGCATGATCACGAGCTTCATGCCGATCATCTTTGGCGGCATCGCCATAGTTATGGGCTCCAGCAACCACAAGAAGTGGAAGGATATTGGTCAGGGTCTCGAGCTGCACACTGCCCTTTTCATGTGGATGCTCGCCGTCCTCTGCTCATACTCGCCTATTATCAACGGCCACCGTGCTCTGCCCGACAACTTTAACGAGAATGAGGATGATCTGCCCTATGTCCAGTGGATTGACATTGTTCAGAAGGTCATCATCGCGTTTTTCGTCTTAGCCGCCCTCAACTGGGCAGAGAAGATCTGCATTCAATGGATCGCGACGACGTTCCACCAGCGCACCTATGCCCAACGAATTGAGACGAACAAGAGTGATATCGACCACCTCGTCCATCTCTACGAGCACTCCAAGATGCGCATCAATCGCGAGGACTCTATCTGGCTCACGACAGAGAACGGCAACAGGTCTGGTGCCCGCACTCCCATGGGTGTGGTGGGCAAGAATGTGCGGTCCGCCTTCAACAAGGCCGGTGGTGTGGCGGCTCGCGTCGGAAACGACTTCATAGGACGGAAGGTCGCCTTTAACCATGCCCGCAAGATCACCTACGAGATGTTGCGTAACACTGGCTCTGCCCATGCTCTGGCCCGCCTCATCTTCCGCAGCTTGGTCAGAGAAGGCCAGGAGACAATCTTCCTCGAGGACATGCAGGTTGCCTTCAAGACCTCGGAAGAAGCTGAGCATGCATTCAGCATTTTCGACAAGGATCTCAACGGCGATATATCCATGGAGGAGATGGAGGGCACCTGCAACGAAATCCACCTGGAACGCAAGGCCATCGCCGCCTCCCTGAAGGATCTCGACTCCGTCATCAAGAAACTCGACAAGGTCTTCCTCTTCATCATTGTCATCATTGCCATCATAGTCTTCATCTCCATTATCTCAGGGTCTGCCGCCGCCGGCCTGGCCTCTGCCGGTTCTAGTTTCCTCGGTCTCGCCTGGATGCTCCAGGCCACGGCTCAGGAATTCCTACAGTCCATCATCTTCGTTTTCGTCAAGCACCCCTTCGATGTCGGTGACCGTGTCACTGTCTACGGCAACACTGGTACCCTGGGAACCGGCGATGATTACTACGTCACCGAGATCTCCCTGCTATACACCGAGTTCAAGAAGATGGAGGGCCACATTGTCCAGGCACCCAACAGCGTTCTCAACACTCTGTTCATTCTGAATCAGCGCCGCTCTGCCGGTCTTGCTGATCCTATCGAGCTCAAGCTCGGTTTCGGTACCGATCCAGAACTCATCGAGGAGCTCAAGTCTCGCATGCTCAACTTCTGCCTCGAAAACAAGCGCGACTACCAACCCCGCATCATCACCGAGGTCAAGACTCTCAACGAGGTTCAGTCCTTCACAATGAACCTGATCTTCTTTCACAAGTCCAACTTCCAGAATGAACTCCTCCGTCTCCAGAGACACAACAAATTCGCCGCACAGCTCATGGCCGAGGTCCGAAGCGTTGGTCTCCAGGGCCCTTGGCAGGTGCAACCTGGTGGTTCCCGCGACACCCCCTTCTACTGGGCCGGCGGCGCTCCCCCATCATACGACTCTTCGTCCAAGTCCGGTCCCAGTGGCAGCGAGCCTTCGGCACCTGCAACGGCTGGCGACGCGCAATCGCATCACTCCAACACCCAGTCTACTGTTGGTGGCCCGGCCGTTGTTACTCGTGCCCGCAGCGACTCGCGCACTGGCGTGGTGCCCTTTATCGACGATAACTGGAGTGATTTCCAAGACGTCTTCGAGGCTCGTAGGGAAGTCAACCAGCCACACGTCACGCGCCTTCAAAGCATCCGCGAGCGGTCCGACCTCGAGCGCCCAGACAGCTCCACCTCTGGCGTCGCTCCATCGAGGCACTCCCAAGAGTCCGGCTCGCAGCGTCGTAGGTTCTTCGGCCGTCCTCGGAGCTCCAGCAGGGTCAAAACTGGCGACATTGTCTAAACAGACATTCCATTCCCATCTACCCTTTTCCAGCAGGGCAACCTTTTCCCTAGAATGTCACCGTACGCGGGACACATACACTCCTTTCATAATGCGGTATTTGTAATCGGATTCTCGAGCGACGTAGGAGAACAGCGAAGCATAGAGGGGGAAGCTACAGATTGGGTTGTGCATGATCACCGAGCAAAAAGATGTCGCGGGTCCTGGACCCCCAAATCTAGCGGGTGTCGACGGAGTTTCTTTAAAGAAACTGACAGACTTGGTGTACGATTGAAGCCACGAGAGGCTTCCAGCAAGAAACTTTCCTTAGACTGAAATCGGGGTAAAATACCCAATAGAGATCTCGATTCATAATTCATGTTTTTGGCGTCCAGCTCGTCGCAATGATGTGATCCATGTCACCGTCGTCTAAGCCGTGGTGGGCCTGATGTCTTTCCCGCCCACACGGAAGGGAGTCCCCGGGGTCAAGGTTCCAACTTTCCTACTGGCTATGGATTGCTCACCAGCCTTGATTGAATCGGCGCTTGTGGCCGAGCACTCCAAGACGAGCGACTGCTGCGATTGCGCGCTTTTGCCCGCACTTCCACCCAGGCCACCAGGGACGAAGACCTCCACCTCGTTCATAGACATTGTAGTTCGAACGAAACCCTCGGTTTTGCAGATGTCGACAGTTCAACACAACATCGATTCACAAAGGAAAAGCAATTCCTCGAAACGTTCAGCTTAAATAGAAATGTTATCGACCCCAACAGTCTATGGTCCGTAGAGCATATCAGACCATGGTATTTATACTATAGGTAGTCAACCGAAACCAAGGACACCTTGAACTCCATCATTCGGCCAGCCCCCTTCATTGCGAATAACTTGTGCTTCGCGATGCAATAGTTGCCAATGTCGAATCCACGTTGCCCCTGTTAGCAATATGCTGTCCATCTAGTGATATCATACTCATACCAATACGCCGCCCAAACAGCTGGCCATGATCTTTGGTTTTGACCAAATCCCTCAGTCTCATTTTTCCTTACCAGCAAAGTGTGTCAAACGTGCACTTGCTCTCAATAGCAATCTGAGAGTAGGTAGGATATAGCACGTCGAAGGCCGAGGCGATGGCGGTATTGTAGTTGGTGTCGAACTTGGTGGTGTTGCACTCGTGGCAATGGATACCAACTCCTGGTTCCGACCACTTCATCTCGTAGCCGATGAAGCCTTTGAGCTCTCCTGTTGCCATGTCATAGGCGGTGAGATTGAAGGTGGCGGGTAGGTTGAGTGTGTCGTCCGAGGTGTCGCTGGCAAAGGGAGCCGGCCCGTGGGTGTAGACAAAGTAGCCGTCAGAGCCGGAGAGGGATCCAAGGTTTTTGAGGACATTGAAGAAGACAGGCAGGAAGTTGAGGGGGGTATCGTTGGTGCCTTGGCAGCGAGCCGTGACGGTAGAGTTCAGGCGGTTCGAGAAGGGGTTGGGGCTGCACACGCCGTCGGTGGTGAAGATGATGCTGCTCAGGAAATGGTTGATGGTACCATACCAGGTGGCAGGACGCGGGCTGATCTCGACCTTGACAGTCAGGGTATTGCCTGCGGCCGAAGAGTTGTTGGGAGTACCCGTGAAGACAGTGCCGTTGTGTGAAAGAGTAGCCACACCTGGGATCTGGGCCCAGGGGGTAGGTCCGGCCTCTAGATAATTGCAGACAAAAGCCGAGGTGCAAGTCGAGTTGCCAGAGGCACTTTTACTGACCGGGTGTCCTCGGTAGGTGTAGCACCAAAGAGTGGTACCGCCGTCCTTGGTGCTCATGGCCTTTCCAGCACGATGGAGCTCGGGGGTGCCGTCTTCGATCCACGCGGACCAGGTCTCGCCGTTGGAAAAGGTGGCGGAGGCACCTTCGAAGTTCCAGGGGTATTTGCCATCGCCGTAGGGCATCTCTACGACCAAGTCAGGGGGCGCAGGGTCAGCCTCGGTGGGAGCAGACCAGATGGCGCCCTTGTACCAGTTCATCTGGCGGGAGGTGGACCAAGTCTGATTCTCGGGGTTGGAGCCAATGCCGCAGTCAGCCAAAACAAGATTCTGGTCGGTGTTGATGTGGGCGTGTTTGTGCAGGTTCAAGGAAGTCATGGCCGTCAAGGCCTTGAGGGCACGAGAAACTGTCATCTTGACAAGATTTCCAAAGGCAGAGAAAATTTGTGTTAGGGAGAGTAAGAGAGAGACGAGCGAGGAGGTAGAACCAAAAACGAGAGGCGAAGAAAATCTCCTGGTAGAGTCAAGGTGATGAGGTAAGGTCCAAAAGTGTGGTTATGCAGACAGGTGTTGTAGAGAAGATGGAAGACTAGAAATAGGCGTAAAGGAGACAACGAGAGGGAGAAGAGGCTCAAAAAGAATAAAACCAAAGGTGGAAGGCGAATCGCGTGAAACTGCGGCTCGAACCAGAGTCATGTGTGAGGCTGGCATGTTCTTACCGTGACAAGCAAGATATCCGGCTTGTTAGGGAAAGAAGGACGAAAATCCCACAGCGGAGCCCAGCCAGTAAAAACCACTCAAGTCATTATGATTAGGAAAGGAAAGCGGGGACTATCATGACTTTCTGAAGAAGGAGTCTGGTGTTGTTTCGTCGGTTGATGAGGTGTCTCAGTTGGATAAAGTATTCCACACGATGCTCGGGAAGCTACGGCCGCGCCGCAACACGTTGCACCCGCTTGGAAGGTTGAGGGCTCGATGACGGTGGTTGTAAGGGAAAGCAGCGTGGATAAGGACAAGAGAAGTGTCGTCCCTGCATTATACTCGAATGCGTCAGGCACCAGGCTGAACCCTTCGTCGAGGCCATGACAGCTGAGACTGTGATCGGGCTGTCTCCTCGTTTGGGTTCTCTCTATAGATGACTTCTTCTTTCAAGAGCAGGCAAATTGCATTTGGCGAAACTAGCCGATTGAAACGGTATTCGAACTTGCCATGTTCCTTCGATACGTGGAGAGAGCCGGGAAGCCCTCGTCTGCCTGAACAAGGGCGGGATTGAATGATGCTATTCCGGCTGATTTTTGAACAGGGATTGGCCTTGGCGCAGGGCTGCTCCTGTCAACTACCGTCAGATCTTTCGAACAAGGTTCCCAAATGTTTAATGGATTGTTCTACAAGATGGTCCGTAGGGTATGAGACGAAAACAATAAACTAGCCACCCTTCGCCTGCTGCGCCACGACGCACCTCATCTGCAAAGAATGTCTAAACTCGAAGGTGTCGAGAATCGAAGATGCAGGATCACCAAGCTCAGCGTCCAATTACAGCCGTCTGACCCGGATGGAGTGGGGCGGATGACAAGGACTCGGCCATCATCACCGCACAGACATCACTGAAGCAGCCGGGGAATGCTACCCAGGGCCCCCAAGCCTCCCCAAAGACCCCTAAAAATAAAGCCCAACCCGCATCTGGAAGTGGGGCGGCGTGCGCCCACGGTCCCTCATCCAGCAAATGGTTCGTCCGTCTTGTTCTCGTCTTATTCGTCTTCCTCCTCACAATCCCATCAAGGCACCCGTGGGAGACATCGCCCATGCAACTCAGCCGCACCGCTTCTCTCGATCCAGTCTAGCCGTCCAAGCTGGCCAAACCCGTCCGTTTCCGCCCTTTCTGTCGACTGTCCTACGCTATTAGAGTCATGTCGCAAAAAAACGCCCGGCGCCACGTTTACCTCCATTTCCCTCCTCCTCCCCTTCTCCTTCGCGACATGGCTGTTGCTGGTGCTGGTGCTGGTGCTGGTGCTGCTGGTGCTGTTACGAGCAACCTCGACGCGACAATGACACCTCGCCAACTTGCGCGGAAACTTGCACCTTGAAGCAGCATTTCTCTCACCCCGCACGACGACCGCTGCACCACGAATCCACCTCATTGTAGCTCTGCTGAATAGCCATTCCTGCGCAACGCCGTCGGCTTGGTCTCCCTTCCAGCAGAGATCGCAACTCGGGCCCACGAAGCCTTTGCGAGTGTTCCCCCTGAGGCCGCGAGGTTCCCAACAGTGTCGCGCACACCACTAAACAGAGACCCATTCACCCGTTACTGTCGAAGCATCACCATGTCGGGCCTCCCTCCCGGCTGGGAATGGGACTACGACGGCGCCCGCTGGTTCTACCGATACAAGCCCAACGGCCACGTCCAGTTCCATTTTCCCAAAGAAGGCGACGAATTCCCCGACTTCATTGACAACTTCGCACCGGTACCTGACCTCGCCCCCGAAGAAAAGCTGGAAAGCCAGCAACAGCTCAAGAGGCGCACCACGGTCGATACCGATCCGCAGTCCAAGATGCGCGCCACTGGCGGGCCTCTGACTGACTTTGGCATGAACCGAAGTGGCTTCGGAGGGCCCATGAGCAACGATGACGACGACGATGGCTTCTTCTTCCAACCGGAAAACTTCATGTATCTGGGTCCCGGTGCCTATACAGATGTCAGTCCCGAGGCTGACGAGGACGAGCGGGAAGAGCCCCTCAAGAAGGCTGGCGGGAGCGACGGTGTCGAATCTAACAGCAAGAACAAGGCACTGCTCGACGCGGCCAGTGAGAAACCGGGTGTGTCGCCTCTTCAAAGCGAGGCCAATACCCCTTCCGTCATCAACAGTGTGCCGGTGCAAGAAGCAAGCGTTGTGCAGGAACACATCACGACAGGACCCCCCGCTGAGCCACCCCTCATAATCAACACTCAAGACCTCCCCGTACCCGCTAGCACTGTCGCGGCTTCTCCCGATGTTCCTCTTTTGGATTCCGTTGAAAAGCCTCGCCAGGGCCCGTCTTCTACCTTCCAGCCGCCGCCATGGGATCCTGTAGGGATCATGGCCGAGATGGCTACAGAGCATACCGCCCCAGCTCATATTGAAGTCCATCCAGACCCCGTAGAAATGGCTGATAACGCCGTACTGGCTCCTATAGAGACGCGAGTCGTCGACTTTGGCATTGCCGAACTGTCTGAACGGACGAGCCCTTCAGACCCCAAGCCGCCCGCGCAATCGACTCACGAGCTACTTCATCAGACAAACATGAGTGACGATGCTTTGTACGGAGCAACGTTTGGGACAGGATCAAGGCCTCAGACTTCGTCGCCGCCTCGCGCATCGCAGGTCTCTTCAGACCCCAGCTCACATGCTGTGGGGGACGAGACAAAGCCCGATAGTTCACTTGCCTCATCAGCACCCCAAAAGACGCCAAACCCACCGACAGATGCCAACAACACGACTCTCGCCATCAAGCGGAAGCCCTCAAATTCAGAGGCAAGCCAAAGCAAATACCAACCTTACGTCCCTGGTGTCACAAGCAACGCAACTCCGGTTCACCCAAACAAAGAACTCGACTTCAAGCCCCGAGACCATAGTAACTCTCTGTCAAGAGAAATGTCCCTGATGATGGGCCCGCGTCCCAAGCTCGATCAGAAAAGCATCCCATCTATCCTGCAGCCTCCGCAAGTGCCACCGAAAGTTCCGGTTCAACTCAACCAGCCGTCAGTTCCTCAGGCCGCAAACCCTGCATCGCTCCCAATGCCCCGAGATTGTACTCAAGGTCCAAGTGCTGATATCGGTGTCAGCCAAATCTCAGATGCGGGCCCGCAGGGCAATTTGCAACATGTTCCGTCGGTGTTGAAGCCGGCAAGAGGGCAGCCGCCAGGCCGACCACAGCAATCTTGCCCTCCGCAGCCCGCCTCTGCTCAGGATCCGAGCATATCAAGACACTCCATGTCGGGCCCGTCTGCTCCGGCCCAACCTGCTTCTAAGCCCCCGTCCGACCGAACAGTAGAGAACATGTTGCGATATACGGCCTTTCAGCCGGGACGCGTGAACCCCCAACTCCCCCAATCTCTACACGCAGCCCAATTCTCAGTGTTGCCTCATCCTGAGGGCATTCCCCGGTCTCTTGCTCCAGGACGTGACCCTGAGTTAACGCAGAGTTCTCGGCCCCAGGCTCGCCGAGTCGAAACAGCACCAATGCAGCCACTGAAGAACCAGCAACAGCCTTCATCGTCCCAGAACGGGTTGTCTAGCAGATCTACGCCAGCCTTGCCTAACTTCTTGCAGCGTCCTAGAGCTCAGAGCGACGTTCGTCAACAGCAAGGCTCTTACAATCAGACCCAAACACATGTGGGATCTGCTTCCAATGGTGCAGTCAGAGGCATGCAGTTATCGGATCCTTCTTCGCCGCTAAGCCGCGACCTCGCACGTCAAACATCGTTCGCATCCAGTGAAGTTTCGTCCCTTGGCCCACCGACAGGCAGTCAGCCTTCCGCGCCTTTAGAAACACCTTCACCCCTAGAGAGTAGTGGAAGACGCTCATCATCTGGCTTCTTTCGTGGTATTAATTCTGAATCCTTTCCGTCCGAATCTACAACAAGTTTCGCTGGCCAGAATGCTCCAATACGGTCTGCAGGCTCAGGAGCTGCGTCGTTTTCTGGCCCATCTCCGACCACACGAAAGGAAGATGCTATACAAAACACAAGCCGGGGTCCTCCCACAGTACCTCAAAAGATTCCAATTTCCGCCTCGACTAACGATTTTCAGCAAGCACCCAGCCAACAAATGTCCGGCAGCTTGAGTTCGCCAGCATCGAGTCGCCGTCACTCTTTACCTCCCGATAGCTTGGCCAGTCTCGGATCGCAGTCTAATTCTCACGCAGCATCACCCGGAACCTATGAACTTTCTGGTCAAAGCCATGGTCAAAATACTCAATTTGACCAAGTTCAATGGACGGGACCGGGTGATAGAACCACAATGGTTGCGCAGAATGTCCCAAGGCCGCACTCAGCACATCCTCCCAACACGCAGACAGGAAAGTCTCTTGGGATGCCGCCGGTCTCTAAATCTCCTCTCGGTTCTCAACCACCGTACCCATCTGATGACAGCGGTACCAGCGTCCAACGTGTTTCAGAGCGCCCATTACGTCCCACAGTCACAACGACATCACAGCACATCTATGGTCCAATGAGTCCTTCGACGCCTATCAGATCTCCGGGGCATCTCCTGCATCCTATTCAAGAGCATTTGGAAAACGACAACCATGTGAATAGAGCTTCAGCCGCCGCCATGCCTCAGGGTCCTCGAGAGCCCCGCCGTTATTCCCAAACCTCTAGTCTGAATCTGTCATCTGCATCATCTTATCCTTCGTCTGCTGAATCCCCTCGTGGCTACAACGCAGAGAAGATGATGAATCAAGTATCCCAACAGCAGCCAAATGCACAATCGGCTGTACCCCAACGTCCGCAGTCAACGAATCCAGTTGGTCTGCCCTCGTATCCGGACTACTCCCCGGTGGCAAACAACCCTTTTCAAAATTATTCGCCGATCAGTGCGAGCGGCTCGCCATTGCAGAATAACATGCGCCCAGGGTCTACGCCGCCAGTCATGCAGGTTCTTGCCAAGGATAAAGACAAAGTAGGTTGGCTATCCAAGTTCAAGAAGAGCAATAAACAAACGGTCCTCCAAAAGCCGCCACCCCCGCCGCAACAGTTCCAAGTAATGCACAGCCTGTCACAATCTACGCCTCCGCCACATGTGTACACTCACCAAGGCCGACCTGATCCTCGTGTTAATCGAGCAGCCGACAACTCAGCCACCTCAACTACCACTGCCTCCTCAAACACAATGCCTACGTTCGGCCAGATGGCTTTTATCCCGCCAAATTTGTCAACGCCGTTGAGTAACCAGGTCCTGGCACAAAGCCAAGGCCATGGCAACGTCCATCAACCTTTAAATAGCCAAGAGCCCTTGGTGCAGAAAGAGCCACTCTTGACTGCGATGTCGCAGCCTGGCCCAACACTTGCTGTTCAACAACCAAATGTCCTAGGAGAAGAAGTAAAACAGCGTCCAACGAGCGTGCCGCCAGTTGAATTAGCCTTGCCTGGAGGGCCACCCAGAGACCAAGCCGGTGACAACATATCAGACGCTGCATCAGTTTCTACCATGGATGTGTCCGAGGCTCAAGCACAACCTGTTCTGAAACCACAGTTGGTGACTGTTGAGAAACAAACCGTCGCTCAGCCAACAATGCCACAAGGCCCTTCAGTCGAGGCCGCCACCCCAGCACAGGTGCCCCAACTGCCATCCGCAGTGCAAAGACATGACGAGGCTAGAGTTCCTGTGGATGAGGAGCTTTTCGTAGCGCCGCTCTTTTCGAAACCACAGTCGAAGACTGCTATCAGCACTGTCGCGGTCAACGAATCCCCTGGGTCGCAAGATAAGTGGGCGAAAAAGCCTGCAGTCGATTATTCCGGAGACGATTGGGGTGATGACCCGTGGGACTACCAATGAAAGCTGTCGGCAACTCTTACCATGTTGGAGTTGTTTTTGAGTTATTAAACACCCCTGTTTGATGGAAAAGGAAAGACATTGCATGTTCATACCAATTCATTAGATTTCAACTCTAATACCTAAATTGTACTGGCTAACCACAGCTTTGAAGGTTGCTTTGCAAAGCATCCGTGAATCAGAGCAAATTTCATTCGAATGTGACCCGAGAGTAATACTCACGATTACCTGTTTCTCAACTGGACCATAGTATTTAGATCAAGTCACCCAAAGCCCAGCAAAGGACACACAATGCCCTTTCGTCGGCTTAGAGTTCCGTTGTTGGGTTCTTTATTGTTGTCGACTTGTGGTCTTTGACTGTTGTCTTCCTCAAGAATCCGTCAGCTCTGAGCAACAATCGCTTTTGTGACTGAATTAGGAGATGCTTCAAGACATTGGTCAGTGGCCATACTTTCTCAACTGGTCCTATCGCCTCTTTGAAGGCCATTGTTCAGACAAGCCTAGAAAGACTATCTATATAACCAGAACTTCAGACTTGGTCATCAAATCCTACTCGTTAGCAACACTTCCTCTCTACGACAGCAGCAAAGGAGAACATTTTTACTTTCACTCGACAGCATCATCATTGCATTTCAGTACGACTGAGCTTGTCAACCGCGACAATGTCCTCGCCCGCCTCCTCCAACCCCTCCAGCAAGTCACTCATCGACCTCATCCGCGACGCACTCGTCGACGTCTACAACAGCTCCCCTGCCCGCTGGCACGAGTTTGAGTGCGCCACGCTCAGCGCCATCGCCGAGATGAGCACCGAGATTGCGAAGGCGACGGCGGCTATGGAGGAAGACACCGATATGATGGATGTCGACGGCGACGACGATGAAGACATCGAAGAGAAGGATGAGGAGGAGGAGGACGACAGTGGCTCTAGTGGCAACACACTTCGTTGTTCAGGTGTAGTCGACTCGTTGAGCTGCTCGCCAAGACGCGGCCGATTTTAGCCTGGTCGAGGTATACTTGACCTCAGCAGGGTGAGCAGGGCGATAAGGGTGAATATGGTGAGTAAGCAAGCAGGCACAGGTTGATAGGTGCCAAGCTTCCGTTTCGAGGCTCTGAGGGGCGGAACGGTCTACTATTCACGGAAACTAGGCGCTAGACCAAGCATTAGTCTAACCTTCCCACAAAACCTGGCGAGCTTCAGTTCTGGGAAACAGCTCGGCGGCCACACACTGAGTCCCAGAATGAGCATGTAATAATAAAGCCTACAAACAAGGACCTGACTTGCTGCTACTAGAAAATGCAGACCCTGACAGGCCTTAACCCCAGGTTCAGACCCTGCTAGGAAGAGGGTCGGCTACAGTTTCTAGGATTTAGCCGTCTCTAGGCACTGCTATTTCTAGGACTCAGGGCCATCGAGGCACGTACCTTTGGGATTCTTGGTCGACGAGTGCTGCAGCATATGCTGTGATAGGATTATAGCAGTGGCTGAGCTCATATGAACAATATTAATATGACCTACAGTTAGTAGACTGGGATGAGAAAATAGAATCGCCAGGTTCTTAGGCACCCAAGATCTTCAGAAAGTCTTGCGCGTTCGGAAAACTAGCATCCCCCTCACACAAAACTTTAATATCGCAAAATAGACATAACTAGCACTTTATGTGTTTATTTTGATAAAACCTGACTACAAGCTAATTCACTGTATAAAGTGTTAAGAGCTTGAATCTACTCTATTTGCATAGAAGCCCAGAAATTGGTTCAACTACGCTCAGCCTAATATCAAATCGAGGGGCTCTCTTTTCTCCTCCCAGATCTTCTTACAAATTCTCCCGAGACCTTTACGGTAAGCCACATTCCCCTTCCATCCAATCCACATAACCCAGTAGTACTCGTACCAACATCCTAATCCAGGTCGCTGAGGATGCCGGATCTCCTCGATCCCCGGATACGGTGATGTTCTATCAAAGCAAAAGCCCCCAGCAATTTCAACTAGCTCTATCGGCTTGCCGGTATCTTTTAAAGCAATTCTAGAACCGTCCAAGCCGTCATGCGGTTGTAAGACTCCAGACCAAGTATTCGTCTCATCCTGGAGGGAAAGGACCGGGCGGTATCCGTTCTTCTTGGGTAGCTCTTCGCCAGGAAACATCCAAGCTCTATGGGTCTTACAAGATATGTAAGGCATCTTGATGACGGCAGTAGAAGGATTTTGCTTTATGGTTGGGATCGGGTACCAGAACTCATTGTTAGGATAATCTTCGTGCTTGTAAAAATCTGTGGTGGGATACCGGGGATCAGGTGGCTCAAAATCTTCGTTTGGGCTTTCTTGAGAATGGTGCTTGGACCAACCTCTGTCATGCCCAACTCGATTTTCTACCCATGCATCTTTGGCATCGAGAATTCCAGAACGCAGCGCAGTACCAGGACACGACAATGTCTCATGGAACTTCCAGGATAGCGTCCGTATCACCCGCCTCTCACGGGCATATTTTACGGACTCAGGGTGTACCTTCCTTAGAAAGTCCGAGGCCGATGTGGCATCAAATGTCAAAGGTCCTCTCCAACCGGCCCAGCTCCAACTCGGAAGGCAGTAGTTTTCTCCGGAACGTTTTGAAACTCTTCGTGATATCCTATCATTGGGCTGCCACAAAAGTGCAACGTCGAAGACAGTCATCGGAAGTCCGGAAACGAAGCCGCTGTTGAAATGGGAACCCATTGAGGACATGATGCCTGCGAAGGCGTCAAGAATGTCTTCTGGGTACGTAAATTCTCGACAGTTATAATCTCGGAGTGATGATTGCAGTTTCCCCAAGACATCATGTCGACTACCTTCCATGATGAGTTGGCAGCCGATTGTTGGACCGTCCAGTACTCGAGGAAGCGACGAGTTTTCGAAGTGCTCGCGCCAGATGGCACCAGCACACTCCCAGCGTATGGAATCCCCATCAAAGACGAGTCTTCGCCTGGCAAAAAAGTCCTCCTGGTAGGTCCATCCGCGTGTGGGCCAGACAGTATGGGGCGTTCCTATCTCAAGGTTCTGTTGGATGGGTATTTGAACGATCTTCGTTCCATTTTCCAAGAAATGAATGCTCTGCTTTAGTTGTCTAGGCTGGGAGATACGACGAAACCCTCTTAGGCCACTATTGGCGTCTTTTCCTTGTACGGCTAGAAGAGTGACTGTTGAGTTGGCATAGATTTCTCCCATCTTGGATATCTCGGCTTGCATGTGTGTATAGTCATCTTGAACAATACACAAAGTGTCGACCCACAAATACCTTTCGTCCAAGAGTTCAACAACGCCCATGGCATCTTGTATGGTTCTAGCTACGGGTGTGAACAAGGACTGTGATAAAGATCCTTTCTGCTGGAGTCGATCCACGTTGCTTTTGATAGCTTGCAAAGTAATTTCGTTGCCCCAAACGTAGCTCAAAGCAACGTAGGAACAACCAACTCTGTAGGGAACAAGACATTTGTGAACAACATCCACAAGCCAGACCGGTTTGATGAATGAGGCGTTGTACACAGGGTAGGCTTGACATAAGCCGCCATGAGAACGTGAGCAAGCAGCTTTCCAAGTTTTTGGAAGTTCGCGATTGATCCATTGAGGGTTCAATAGTCGGCCCTTGACTGACTCAACTAGGCTTCCTGATTTTCGTACGGCGTATAGCACCGAAAGCGGTAAAGTCGGTGCCATGGGCAGGGGACATGTTGCCTTGACGATAACTGTCATATCCAAGATGCTCGGGAGTATCTCGACAAGATTTATTTTCGTCGCAATTGAAAGCAGTGTCTCTGTTGGCTGGTCAAAGTCTAAATGCAATGCAGAGGCGATAATTCTCTGATGGTAACTGCAATTCGTGGCAGGCCGTAAAACGTCCTTGCCAGATCCCAGTTTGACCATACACATTTGTGGGCAATGTAACATAAGTTCAATCTGCGTGCAAATATAGCATCTAGTCTATTTGTTGGTCCGTTTTGTCAGCATCATCATGAACCTTTTTGGTTACATTGTTAACTGTCTTGGCGTCAAATTACCTCTGCCACATTGCTTCCAGGCTTGTCATTTTGAACCAATACTGGAGTACTTAGGTTATGTTGATGTTCAGGCTGGGAAAAGGATGTATTCGCATCTGCCGCTTCGTGATCAGGAAGAAACCTGATCGCTTGCGAATTGGAGAAATCCACAAGAGGATCCAAATCCCCTACGAAGAAGGACCTTGACGGGGAAAGGGGGGAAGATGTATCCCGCGGCCGCATGATGCTTGTACTAGATAACTGTATCCGTTACGATCATGCGGTTTGGCATATATGTCTGACGGTAGGAAATTTGATACAGCGCGATAGGTGGTGAGTGGCTGTTCCTTGGTTTTGAGTTCGAGAATGAGAAGTGAGGTTCGGAAGGCATGGGTTGAGGGTGAAATGTATGGAGAATGGCGCATGTTAACATTGCGGTCGCTGCGAGAATTGAAGGGTACTTTACTCATGGTCGGATGACTAAAGGCTGCAGCTGATATTAGTCCATTAAACTATGCCGTCAAGCTTATGCCGTCAAGCTTCTAGCTAGCGAATGAGAGTAGGATTGCTCTGTGCCAAGGGCGGCTATGTTGGACTACTTATTCTCAGATCCACAATCAGAGCCACTGTTGCAATTTTAGTTTTGAAATGTCTACTTATGGCCTAACTAGCTACACTCAGCACTACGAATCAGACCCTATGGGTCTGATCTACGGCGTCAATCCTCAGCTTCTGTGAGCAGACCCTAATGTCGGATAGCTGGCCGTAACACGTAGGCGTTCGGCTGAGGCTATTTCACTTCAAAAGCTGGGTATATTGAACTTTGGCTTGCTGAATATGGTTAGATCGGGCCGAATAACAAAACGACACAGTCAATTCAATAGCTACCTGTCTTATGGGTCATAGCATGTAAGGGGCTTGCCCCTAGGCTTGTTCAACGTAGAGGTGCCGTCGATTGACTATTCTAAGCTGAAGAGGAAAAAGATGTTACAGATGTAGGCGCCTAGCTGTGGTGATGCGTGCCGGGGCTAGGCGGTGGGCTGCGGTGAGCAGTGCATCCAGCGGAGCCGGAGGTCGTACAGCTGTTCCGGCTTTGCCGGAGGTCTCAGCCGGGCTCTAGCCCGTGACATAGCAACATCTATGTTACGCACAGGTTAGAGCAAGTTGCAACCGCTATGGCACAAAGCTTTTGCTTTGAGAATGACTACTATACTTTACTATGTAGTTACGCACGCAGTTACTAATTGCGCTGAGGCCAAAATCCCTACTGGGTAGCTTAACTTTCAGGTTGAGGGTAATGTAGATGGCAAGCTTATCTGATGAGCCAGCACGGTCGTCCCGTCTCGCGATCTTGCGGGATGGATCGATACCCAATCAGCTGACAATTGTGATATCCGACGTCTAGCTGAATGAAGCTAGCAAAGGATCGGAACGGGTCAGCCTCCCACTCGTTCTGTTCCCAACGAGGGTCTTTCCCCCGCACGGGAGGACGACGTAGGCATCTTGGTATGTCTGACAGCAGCAGATTTGCCCCGCTAACGGTGCTATCTTGAATCTCACTGCATGACAAGCGCACCTGAAAACGAAAAGCTCACTGGTTCGGGGGTGCAGCCATATTTGTAACGCTGTTGGGGCCATCAATCTTTATGACGCATACATACCCGTCTTATCCGTCCTTCCTTCTACAACTCGATTATCCACGCTTTCGAAGCAATTCTGTCTCGCCAGCTTCACATGGCCGATGCGGAAGCTTGTATTGATGTCAGTGGCGTTGTTCTGAATTATATTCGATTGTACTGGTGCTCTTCTAAATCTTGGTCGATCGCACTGGCGCTGAAATTATACTCTAGAGAGACCGTCCAGAATTGGATGATGCGGATATCACACATCGTGTTACTTCAGAGTATACAACCTGCCGCTTTTCCAATCCGTAATGCGCGCGCACGTATTGCGACTACTTGAGCGGTAGACCTTGGTGTAAAGTCACGATGTAACGCTAACATTGCAATGTGGCGCAGGCTCTCGCGCCAATTCCTGCCTAGAATCCTACGTGTGGCTCCTTGTAAATCCTTATCGAGTGCGCTCTAAGACGACTTCTCAGTTGACGATAGTTGCGTTCTGCTGATATGCCGCTATCGGTGCGAGCAAGCGAGCAGGGAGGAGCTATCTAATCCGAGTTTTCAGTATTCTGGCTTGTTTCGTTGGGAAACCGGCAGTTGAGTTGGTAAAAATACAGAAGCTCAAGCAGTCTTTTCATAAGCCTAAGCAGTTGAGAGGAAGCACTAACGGGCCAGGATACCTTTTCGGCGGCTCGCATACTGGGCACTTGGCAGGGGGCGCATCCTAAGTCGTTTGATAGCCCTGTCTGCATGCAAAAAGTTATATGAAGTACAGGCCTCTCAGCAGTGTTCTCGCCTCGCATAGTAGCAAATCATTTGCGTATTGTTGGGGTGCACGCCACCACTCTGGCACTGTTGTAGACTAGCGCGGATGCGATGTCCTTCTTTCTCTCAGACTATTGAGTGATCATTACAAAAACGAACAAACGAACGTTCAAGTTGGACATTGACCCGTGTAGGCAGCCAGTAACCTTTCAGCCCTACATGTAACATTGGGGGTTGATTGGGACATACCTATAAGACCTTCAACTTCCCTCTAACTCCTGCCACAATCTCTATTCTGAGCTTTTTGGAGAACTGTCCTCGCTGGTTTTCCACTCTTGTAGAAAGTCACTGCGTTTTGCAATGGAGAGCCTTTCTTTATTGTTCTTTTACCTCAGCATTCTGGCAGTGCCTGGTCTTCTCTTCTCCTTGTTCCGCCGCTTTTCAGTATGGACCAGCCAGACATCCAATGACAGCAAGGCACCCAAGAAACGCGCCAAGTTCCCCGGTCCCAAACAGTATCCTATTGTTGGCCGTGTCCATGACTTGCCCAAAGTTGCCATGTGGCTCAAGCTAAAGGAGTGGGCGGACGAATTCGGACCCATTTACCAGACAAGCATGCTTGGCCAGAAGTTTATCATCATCTCTGATGAACAAATGGCACAAGAGCTTCTTGTAAAGAATGGAAACAATTTCGCAGGCCGACCTCAAATTCGGGCGCTCATCAACCACAAGCTAGGGCCTACGTATTCTGCGTTGATGGACCGTCACGGTAAGCGACCACTACATGGACCAAAGGCGTGGCCAGCAGTATTACCTGACGCTTATAATTACTCACTTGCATAGACACATGGAAATACCAGCGGAAATGGGTCCACGCTGCCATGGCTGCCGCCTACCAGAACCACTTTTACGGTCACATTGAGAATGAGGTCAAACGATGGCTAGTAACTCTTCTTCTGGACCCTGAGAAATTCCACAGCAACACCCGCGAAATGACCGGCCGCATCATAAGTCGACTCGCTTGGGACGATGCCACACAGGGCAAAGCCAATGGTGATAGCGCCAATGAGACACTGACGCAGATGTCGGTCTCAGGTCCCATTGTCAACACCATGACGCCGTTGTGGCACCTTGCAGACCTAGTCCACTACAACCCATGGCGCGAATTCGAAGTCAACCGAGTGAAAACTCAGCGTGCGTGGTGGCTGCAGCTGTTTCGTCTTGCCAAGGCAAGGTTTCGCAAAGGCGACTTACCCGCGGACACATGGGCATATAGGTACTTCGAGCAGTTGGAAGCCGGCGGGAACAAGACGCTGGAACAAGACGAAAAGGAAGAGGACTTTGCCGCCTGCATGCTCGGGTTTCAGTGTCTCGTGGGAGTGGTGACCATCTCCGGGCCAATGCAGTTCTTCTTGATGTGCATGGCGCTTCATCCTGAGTGGTTAAAGAAGTGCCAAGATGAAATTGATAGGGTCTGTGGTAAGAAGATGCCAACCCGAGATGACATTGCCGAGCTGCCGACCGTAAGGGCTTGTCTAAAGGAAACTCTCCGATGGAGATCTGGAGTCCCTCTCGGTAAGTCATGCTGTCGGCAAAGAGCAGTTAAATAGCGGGACGCGGGAGCTGACAGACTGCTATAGGGGTTCCTCATCAATGCGAGAAGGATTCTGAATTTCAAGGTGTCAGGATCGAGAAAGAAACCATCATACTTGCTTGCGAATGGTAACTAGCCAACCGATCCATCTCGACTAAGTGTTGCTGACAAGAGTTTACAGGAATATTAACCGCGTCCCCGAAATGTACCCTGACCCTGAGCACTACCGCCCGGATCGCTACCTGGACCCCAGCTTCCCGACATATCAAGAACCCCTGACACGCTATCCAAACTTTCGCGAGGGTGTGGGTATGCACACGTTCGGATGGGGCCGTCGAACATGTCTCGGTCAGAACCTCGTCGATGATGAGATGTTTGTTGCGGGAGCGAGTGTGTGCTGGGCATTTGATATGGGGTTGAAGAAGTGCCCGGCTACTGGAAAAGACGTGACTTTTGATACCCAGGCGACGAACTCGAACGTCATTCTTGAACCGTTGCCTTTCCCCATGCAATTCAAGATTAGAAGCCCGGAAAGGGCCCAGCGGGTATTGGACGGATACAACAAGGTTCGGGAAATATTACGAGTCTAGAAACATGTGTATTGAGTTGTTTTAGGACATGTGAGACTTTTACAAGTTAGTTTACGTAGTATTCATGCCGTCATATCGTTAAGTCGACCTTGGCACTGTGCGATAGCTGATACGATGCAGTCGGTGCATAGGTATTAACTATTCGACTACTGCTTCTTCCTGTAAACATCTCCAGTTCTCTCAATCTCAAAGTTGACGTTCTTCCCCCGGCCCTCCTTTTCGTACTGTCTGACGAGTGGCAGAACATCCCTTCCGAACTGTTCAATCTCCTCATCATAATGCAAGAAAGCTGTCAAAACCAGGTGAACGCCAAGGCTCTTGAGGAGAACCAAACGTTCAGCAACCTGCTCTTTCGTTCCAATGAGCTTCGTCTTGAAGCCGTCGTTGTATTGAACAAGATCATCAAACTTGCTGTCGGCCCACATGCCTTTCTTGTTAGAGGTGCTGGCACCAGCCTGCTGAACAGAGTCGCGGAAGGCGTTGACGGCTTCCTTGTCCGCCTTTCCTTGGATCTCTTGCAGCACACGAACGGCCTCCTCTTCGGTCTCACGGACGATCACGAAGCCATTAACAGCAAAACGCACCTCGTTTTCACGGCCGACCTTTACGGCACGAGTCTTGACGTCCTCAATTTGGGCCCGGAAGCCGTCAAGGTCATTGCCGTTCATAAAATACCAGTCGCTGACCTCAGCGCCGTTATTCCGGGCGTCGTCGCTGTTGCCACCTTGGAAGATCTCTGGGTGAGGCTTCTGGACGGGCTTGGGGTTGAGTACGTAGTTTCTGTACCGGTAGAAGTCACCTCCAAAGGTGAAACCAGTGTCTTCTGGTGCAGTCCAAATACCCTTGAGACAGCGGATGAACTCATTGCTACGGCGGTAGCGCTCAGCATGCTCCAGCCACCATTCACCGATGGCGGTAAACTCGCCCTTGAACCAGCCACTGACAATGTTCACGGCGATGCGACCATTGCTGTAGTGGTCGATGCTAGCAATTTGCTTCGCCACTGTCGTTGGGTTCCAGGGTCCAGGAAGGATTGCCGCAATGATTTTGATAGAGTCCGTGGCTTGAAGAATCGCTTGGGAGAACGAAACAGATTCGTGCTGATTGGCGGCACCGTATCCAGAAGTGAATCGAATTTGGGTCAGGCCATATTCGATTCCGGCCTCCTCTGCTGCCTTGGCGTACTTGATGTTGCTTGCCAGATCCCAGTTGGTCTTCTGTGGGATTTTGCTGATGATCAAGCCCCCCGAAACGTTCGGCACCCAATAACTAATAGGTCAGTCATCCGTCTATGATGTGCGAAGATATGAGACATACGCGAAGAGTAACCTGTCAGATTCAGTATTCAGAGGGTGGGGTTGAGCTGACATCTTGGCTGACAATAAATGGCTTGGTGAATACTAGATGGAAGAGTGCTGGTAGCATAGATTACTTGTGCGAGTTACTATGGTTTCTTAACGAAACTTCTCCCCAGAGGCTATGGTAGTTGTTTTGGAGGACGTATTCTTTTAGAACCGTCGACAAGAGCGGAAGAACCAGAATCAGGATGACCCTAGTGTACTGCCGTGTGGCACTCGAGGCGAACTGAAAACCTGACATATAATGTGATCAGCAGCATCCAATGTCGCAGCCTTGCTCGACGACGAACTAGCTTTGAGTTATTTCTGTGACCATGAATCGGCATCACGATCGACATGCCTCAGGTAGGTCCAGTTGGGGTAGCTGCATCACTGACCTGATATCGAAGTATGACGCGATTTTAGAGTGCAACTCCAGGATGCACATGTAAGGTCAGATAGATGCACCTTACCCAGACCGCGGCACATCGCGGTATGTAGCGGCAGATTCAACGCTGATGTAGACCTATGTTCCGCTTACCCGGCCGCTGTCTGACGCAATCACATCATTATGGTCCCAATGGCGAGCTTGAGACTTCCCAACTGATTGGGGTATGAGGGTTGTACGACGACGTGGCGAAAGTTACCGTCCCCCATTCTTCTTGTCTTCCCAACTCTTCCTCGTCATCCCTGCCGCTTCTATGAACTTTACCAGAATATCCCGAGGACATAAGGAGACAGCCAAAGAATACATGAACCGGCAGAGAGAAAATGGGGGGAGGGGGATTGTAACAACTTTAGTGTGGGGCTCCCCACTATCCATCGCTCCATTCATCTAAGAATGGCGCGAGGTGGGATTTCTGCGAGATCTGCGAACCTTGTTCAGATGCACAAATTGATTAATTGCAACGAGCCCAAGCTCTAAGCTCTGAGCTCTGAGCTGCTCTAAGTTTTGTGTTCTTGGAACGAGCAAGGAAGCTAACAAATTCCGGAAGGCTTACTGTGTTTGGAGAGCATTTTGTCTTATCGTCCTTTGCTTTCTTCCAATTCATTAACAGGATTTAAGTTGGAAATCAGCATCCAGTTTTTCCTCCTTCATCTCGTTATTGGTTTACGGCCTACTGTGTCTAATCTTCATATTTGTCAATCTTTGTCACCCAAGATGTCTATCCACTCTTCAGCCCGAAATGGGGCAAGCGAGAAAGGGATCGAGACCACGAGGCCTGAGATGACTCTGGAGAGATCCGAGACGGTCCAAATCAATGCGTCTCGGTTTCCAGCATCAAGATCACTACCAACTGCTGCAGTAAGTCAGCTCTCCAACGAGCACAACTACTTCGATTATCTCTAGAAAATCCGGCTTCTAACCCGCGTGTTGACAGACCTCGTTACCCATTGGGGCTTTCTCTACAACTTTGACAACACTTTCGCTAAGCTTGATGGAATGGCGAGGAGTTACCACAACAAATGTCTACATCGCGAATTTCTTCTTCCTCGCTGCGTTTGGCCTCCTGATCTCGGCTCAGTGGGAGCTTACTGCTGGGAACGGTTTCGGATACAGTGTCTTCAGTGCTTTCGGTATGTTACTTTCCAAGTCACGGATTGCATGACTTGTTCATTAACATTGACTCTAGGGCTGTTCTATGCAGGCTACGGAGCTATATTGACTCCCTCGTTTGGGGTAGCTGCCGCATACGGCGATGATATTCAGCAGTATAATAATGCGTTGGGACTTTTCATGATCAGTGAGTTCTGACGTGTACAATATTCAGGTTTCTAACGGAAGGAACTAATTGCTTTCTTCACAGTCTGGAGTGTTTTCGTTCTCGCATACTTAGTAGCATCTCTGCCAACTAACGTCGTTTATATCTTGATCTTCGTCTTCGTAGAACTTGCCTTTATGACTATTGCTGCGAGTTATTTCGCTGCAGCAGATGGTAATAAATCGGCCTCGACCGGACTCAAGAAGACCGGCGGCGTTTTCGCATTTCTCGCGGGACTCGTTGGATGGTGAGTTTAATACACTCATTCAACCAACTACGCCACTAATGTTTCCCAGGTATCTCACTTTCCACCTGCTACTGAAAGATTCGGTCGTGGAACTGCCATTGGGAGACACATCCCAGTATTTCCCAAAGACCAGAAAGAACGTGGAATAGTGCCGTCGTGAAATGGGAAAACTGTCCTCCTGATGGATTGTGTATATGGATTGGTGGGGGAGCAATGGAATCCTAAAAATTCCGCATCATGCCAATAGTCGTCTCCACGACCCAGTCAAGCTCGAACCATAATGTGCAATAGCTATCCCAAACCTTAATTACTAGTTCCGACGACAGATATGGTTCGGGAGCGCGAAGCAAGTTCCAAGTGATGATCAGCCAATTTCTTGATTAACCTTTGATTGCTGAAAAATAGCGTGGATTACGAGCTCAACGTCCGATGCAACGTCGCTTCAGCACAGCAGCTTGAATCACAAGGAATTCGGAACTGAGGTAGCATGTTTGCTCAAACACACATTCAGCTGACAGTGACAAACAACACATATCCTTGCATGGGGGGGGGGCGTTCTTTGGATGTTACTCTGTCCCTGCATGGCCCGTTTGCACTCGGCGTGGGATTTTGGGGGCCGGACGCGGTGGAGAGCTGCAGATATGACATTTATTTCACCAGTGACGATTGCGACATATCACAACATACCGGTGGAACCTTGCGCCAACGGCGGGAAGAATTGCCGACCACCACCCAACCGTCTGGCAATGTGAGGGGCTTAGACTCCCATGTATTAAGTCCATCGAATGCGCATCGTATCACCTAGTTTGAACCAAACAATATCCAGCTTCGCAGGCATCACACATTCGCAGTGATCTCAGTCTTGTTCTTCAAGCTCTACTCCCTCACACTCCCTCATCTACAATCCACCTTTGGAGTTTAAGGTCCACTCTATTTCATAGCATCCATTCAAGCTTGTATTGAGCGGGATACGATGACCAGTAACGCCCACATCGTGCCGTCCACGGACCCCAAGGTCTACGATGAGTACAAGACAAGATGGTCAGAGCTTCCCACCGACGAAACCAGTTGGTTGCAGCGAGCCAAAGAGGTTGCGTCTGTTCTCGCTCAAGATGCTGCGTTACGTGAGAGAGAGAACAAGTCGCCTCGGGCGGAGATCGCACTTCTCAAGCATTCTGCACTCTTGAAGGTCCTAGGCTGGAAGAAGTACGGTGGTGGCGAGCAGCCATGGAGTGTTGGCTACAAGGTCATTCGTGAGGTTGCTAAAGGAGATGGGTAAGAGTTTGTCCAAATGGCATAAACGCGCCTTCTGACTAGCTGCCCTAGTTCAATTGGAATGCTCCTGGGTTACCACTTGCTCTGGTCAACTACCGCAAACGTCATTGGAAGCTCGGAGCAAGCAGACCGCTTTCAAAATCTGATTATCTCAAACAATTACTTTGTTGGAGGAGCAGTGAATCCCCGTGACAGTGATCACAAAATCATCTCGGACGGCGACAAAGTTGTCTTCAACGGTTTTAAGAACTTCAACACGGGTGGAGTCATCTCCGATTTGACGGTGCTTGAAGGTGTGCTGGAAGGCACAGAAGACCACCTTTACGCCATTGTAAAGACGGACCAACCAGGAATCATATTTTCTCACAACTGGGACAATGTAGGATTACGCCTCAGCGAATCTGGAAGCGTCAAGATTGAAAACGTCACTGCGCCTTGGGCTGACGCCCTGGGGTGGAACGCTAACGAAAAGAAGCCAGATCCGTCGATTCTGAACATCCCATTTGCTACTTTGCTTCTACCAACGTAAGTCAGCTACTGCTTACAGTACCTACTGTATTCTGATGATATGGAACAGGATTCAATTAGTATTCAGCAACTTCTACATCGGCATTGCCTGGGGTTCCTTAGACTTTGCATCGGCTTATACCCGGAAGAACACTCGTGCCTGGCCTTTCGGCGGCGATGTAAGTATTCTTCATCAGTCTCATGAAATGCGCAAGACAACAGAAAGAAAAAGTAAATAACAGCGTACCTGTAGAACAAGGAAAAGGCAGAGGATGAGTTCTACATCCTTTCCACCTACGGCAATTTCCTCGCCCATCTCCGCGCTGCCGATGCACTGGCCGACAAGGCAGGTCTTGAAATCGACAAGCTGTACAAAAGCTCTGGAGACACATCAGAAAGAGCCAAGGTCACTGCACAGGCTAGAGGAGAGGCAGCTGAGTGGGTTGCTAGCGTCAAGGTCACTGCAACTGATACAGGCTTGCGGGTGACATCAGGTGTGTTTGAAGTCACCGGAGCTAAGGCTACCGCGACCAAAGTTGGACTAGACAGATTCTGGAGGGACATCAGGACACATAGTTTACATGATCCGGTGGCTTACAAAAACCGTGAGCTAGGAAGGTATCAGCTGCTGGGTGAGATTCCCGAGGCTACATGGTACACCTAAAAGATAATGGGACATAGGGCGACAAATCAAGACGTGATTCCCCCATAGGATATCAAGAACACCACCGCCGAATATCATGGTTTAGGTCCATTGTACTAGCTTTCTTGTTCGGAAGCATATGTGGGTAGTGCTCTGTGACAACTATGTACCTAATCAAGTTATCGTAAACATGATACCAGAGTGAAACGACTTGTAAGTCACATTTAGAGATACGGATATGGCAAAAGACTCTTTACTGGCCATTGGGTGCGGATTTCTATGTATACCGTATGCTCACAGTTGCGGCCATTCGCCTGATGTGCATACTTCTGTGAGCAAATCCACTTCTAAAGAGCAGTAATCATCGAGGCCAAAGTAACACTTAATAATAACCGCACACTGTCTCCTACTAAACATGAGATTTACGTCAGTGGAATAATTCCCCCCCGAATAGTCGTTATGTATGACAAAAGTCAAGCTGAGCTGAGTTGCAATAACATCAAGAGCGTGTCTTGTTCTCCCAGCTAGAACAGGAAGTGGTCAGTCGGCTTCGAACCATTTCTGCAGCGTGGTTTCATAACTCACAGATCGAGGAAAAGCTTCCAAAGGATGGAGAAGAGAATGCCTTGCAGACCGTTGGCGAGTATGCGGGTCTTGAGACCACGCCCAAGGAAACCGAGGAAGCCGTCTCGCTGAATAACGAGCTTTGCTGCCTTTGCTGCAAGTTGGAGCAAACAGAAGTCAGTAAAGTAGTTCGTGACCATACAATTGACAGGGAGATGTATGGAGCAGTGTAATGCAACAACTGACAGTAGGACACCTGAGTGTCATTGACCTGCCGATAGGTCTTTACCACTCTTAAGGAGTTTGACACAGAGTCCGAGATGACAGACGCGCAAAACCCGATGATAGCAAGACGGAGAAGCCATAAAAAGATCTTGCCCTTTTCCGGCTCTGGGATGTTCGCGGAGAGGTAGTTGTACTGTCGTCATCAGTAAGTCATCACGGCACAAGTAGCAGGCAGGATTTATCTGCTTACTGTTCCAAACCAGGGGTAATGCCCAACAAACGTCGCTGCGGCTGTCGCAAAAGCACCCCACCACAAGCTTCCAACTCCATGTGTCTTGACACGCTGGCGGAGGATGGCGGTACCTTTGGCACCTTGGGCCTGCAGTGTGGTCTTGAGGGTGTCGATGGGCGTGAGGATCATGCGGAACGCAGCAGCGCTTCATTACGAGTTCCGGTTAGCCAATCCCCACAGGCTTATAATTAATAAGCTATCAATGAGCTAGAACTTACCAGAGGGAAGCAAAGATGGTCTTGATGAGCGTAGGAAGCTGGTTCAGGAAAGAGTTTGACTCAAGGAGGGCGAGGATGCCGGCGTTAGCGGCGGTGTCACCGAACCTAGATACGGGACCTATCGTTGCGATGATTAGTTTGCGGTCACTAAGAAGTAGCATCCGAGAGAAGAATGGCCTCTCGCCTACATGTTCTTGGGGGCGTACCTTGAATAAGTGCAGCTCCAATACCCTGATAGTATCTTCGCACCCCACCATCCTGATAAAGTGTACTGATAGCCTCTTTGAACCCAGCTCCAAATCGGTATTGATAGTTCATTACCGTCCTTATAGGCTACGCAAGAATTTTGTTAGGGTGATTGCGGTGCCGGAGCGAGGCTATACGCCATGCAGGAAGGTTGTCGACGATTCGTACATACCATGAGAGTCAACACCTGCAAAACCATGGCCGCAGCGCCGCTCAAGCCGCCACCAAGGGCCCTTTTCAGCGCTGCTTTAAGATCAAACTGCGTCATAATTAGTTACTGGGTTGTGAGGAATTTCCAAAGCAGCTGAACAACTCACATTCGTGTCTTTGGCATCAATCCAGCCTTTAATGAAGATTGCCAAAAAGAAAATCGCAAGGACAGTCCAAAAAGCTCTCCACAACCACCAACTGGTCGTGCGCTTCTGCTTTCCTTCCCCTTCATGAGACGCAACAAGAGGAACCTGCTCCGCGTCTTCGTGCTCCTCAATGCGGTCGTGGTCGTCACTCCGGTCCCGGACGGATCGCTCGTTTGCCTCGTCTTCAACGGACGTCCCCAGGAGCGGGGTCCGCTCATCCGACGCCTTCCGCTGGCTTTCCAAATCTTTCTGAGTTGCCATGGTCTCAACGCAAAGTAATGAGAGGATCGAATTAGTTAGATGGCTTCGAAGATGTTCCGGTAGAGTTGACAGCCGCCAAGTTCAGTACTCGGACTATTACTAATTGATAGTTGTTTCGCTATCGCGTGCATGCGGGGGGTTATCGCGTGCTTTGAAATCCGATGGGGCGGCCCTTTCGGCTACGCCACAACAATCTTCAGCCACATCTCAACCTGACAGGGGTAAAGTTGAGATGATCTCAAAGTCTTGACATCACCATATTTATGCAAAATCATTCGTTTCGAACGATGGACTCAACCTATTGTGCAAATAAGTTGGGCTATTTAATTCGAAAAAAACTACTGTCATTGGTTGCTTTACTGTTTAGCATATTAAGCGATGGGACCAATAGGGACCGTTGCCCTCTGTCGTCCTAAAGCCCCTCAGGCCTCTTCACAAGTTCCATTATGAGTATGGTTTTGCGATTTTGACTCTGGAATCAAAATGAAATGATCTTCTTTTGAAAATCCCCGAATAAAGAGTGTGCAAACTTAAGCATAGCACTTCACCCACCTGATTCTCAATGGTGGTAAAGGCCACAATCAGCATCTCCACTTCCCTTGTCATCAAATTCGGAAGGTGCAAATTGCTGGAACCACTGTGCCGCACAAGCAAGCCATGAAGTTGATTGGCCGATAAGACCACCACCAAGATATAGCCCGCCATTGTTTTAGAGGGAATTTATGAGTCTCCAGATCTCTCCTGAGTGTGACGGGACAGTCAAGAGGATCGCTATTCAGTGCACTCTAGGAACTGAACCATGGTTTGTGTACCTTTGCTCTTTCTCGAATGTAAAGTGGGTTGTGACTATATTGACCACGATGGACATTAGGCAATCTCGCAAGAAGATGGACAGTTGCCCATGCGCATTCGCATGGAGCATTTCATCCGAAAGAAGCAGCAAGAGATCATCTCGGCTCTGGAGAAAGTAGACGGGACGAAGTTTCGGACAGATGAATGGGAAAGGCCAGGCGGAGGCGGTGGGGGCCGGACATGTGTTCTACAGGATGGCAATGTGTTCGAAAAGGCGGGCGTGAACATCAGCATCGTGCATGGGAAGCTGAACAGAGCGGCGATTGAGGAGATGCGGCATAACCACAAAAGTCTGGCGACAGATGCTGCGGATTTGGAGTTTTATGCGCTTGGTCTGAGTATGGTCGTTCATCCCAGAAATCCAATGGCACCAACAGTGCACATGAACGGCCGGTATTTCGAGACCGTCCGGTCAGACGGTTCAGCGCAGACGGCATGGTTTGGAGGTGGTAGCGACTTGACACCAAGCTACCTATTCGATGACGATGCTCGACATTTTCACCGAACTCTGAAGCAGGCTTGCGATGAGCACGATCCCGAATATTATCCCAAGTTCAAACAATGGTGTGACGAGTACTTCAACATCAAGCACAGGGGGGAAAGAAGAGGTATTGGCGGCATCTTCTTCGACGACCTTGACAAAGACATTTCGGATCCTGAAAAAGCATTTGTATTCGCTCAATCAGCCATTAACGCCTTTTTACCAGCATACATCCCTATTGTCGAGAAAAGAAAAGATTTGCCGTATAACGACAAGGAGAAGGAGTGGCAACAGATGAGAAGGGGACGATATGTGGAGTTCAATCTTGTGCATGATCGGGGGACGGCGTTCGGATTAAATGTTCCTGGTTCGAGGGTTGAAAGTATCTTGATCAGTCTTCCGACGACGGCTCAGTGGAGATACATGCACGATGAGCCAGATCCCGAAAGCCGGGAAGGAAAACTGCTCGAGGTACTCAGACACCCCAAGGATTGGGTTTAAGTTGGCTTTACCTGCGTAACACCAAAGTTGCAGAGAACCACATGATTTTCCAAGAATAGTCAACAATGAGTCCGTGAAGTTGAATGGTCAATCACCGCCTTGTCACATCTCGCCTAGTTCGCCACGCACTCCCAGTTGTTCTAATCCTTGTAGTCTTCAATTCCTTTCAAAAAAACATCGCGTGTGGGCCAGCGGCAATGTCTGCGCTTGTAGTCGATACCAGCGCTCTTCGTTTTGTTGACATACGCAGTTCCAGTGACATGCTCAGGGGCAACGCTCTCTTCTACCCAACGAACCATGGCCATTAATACGTTCTCCTCTGGGTCCACTACCAGCGGCAACATAACGTGCAAAAAACCAAGTTGGTAAAAGAACGTACAAGTAAATGTCTCAATGAACGAGGTACGTGGATGCAAAACCGTTGCAGGAATGTGCAAGAAGTCCAAATATTATAAGCAAATTGGTGGCTTCATTCGAGCATGAACTGGGATAGGAGCCATAAGGATAAGGTGAGCATTTCATACTTTCCATGGTGCATGTACGTTCTAAATCACGGTTCGTTGAGACGTTGAGACAGATGATTATTGCATGATATGTAGCCAAGTTCTCTACACTATTTGGGTTAAAGGTCTGGGTGGTTTGAACAGGGTGGTGGATGTTATGCAGATCCATATCCTCTTATCCCTCACTCTTGTTTATCACGGACTCCTCATATAGCTGGCCGAGGAACTTTCGGTGAAAATGCGTGGTTCGACTTTGCTCTCGGTTATGATGCAAGGACCTTACCTTTCATGCTTGGTTCGACACAGCGCAAGCCTCCCCATGTCTACAGTGCGTTTCTCGGTGAAGAGTCATTCCTTTGGCAACTCCTAGTCGTGAAGTCATGGAGGTAGGGATAATGCAGTACTACCGTCACCTCTAGCCGTGCGACGCTGGAGCTAGAAAACCTGGTGACAAATCAGACAAATAATTTCGAATCCATCAACGAGGTAGGGGAAATGAACTTCTACCCCCCTCCTGTCTACGAAGACCCTTGCTGTTTAGACTGTGCCCCATCGTTAGCGCATCAACCTTGACATTTGCCGATCAAGCCAAGAAGGCGGAGTGTCAGGATTCGTAGATGGCAGATAGCACGGCAGTTGTTTGTACATAAGGTCATAATTGCTTGATGATGATTTTGTGATAATTAAAGGATATCTCAAATGAACACTCAAATCCCGACAGACCCTCAAGCATTGTAGACTTCGATCCAGTATGCTTCCGTTTCGGGCCGCTTCGATGCCGAAGTGTGGATGGTAAGTGGTCTGGCAGTCTCCCTGTGTTGTTAGGGGGGGAGTGGCAACCTCTAGGTTTGCGAAGACATCTGCGCCATAGACCTCGGATGACTCTACTCCATCTATGGGATATGTCGATGTCAACCCACTCAATCGAACATGACGTTACAATTAGAACAAGGTGGATATATTCTGTTAGCTGAGAAAATATAGTAATCAGAAGCAGATGTTTCCAAGGGTAGTAAAATGATCAAAAGAGACAGTGAGACAGTGGGGGAGCTCTATATCTAAGCTTTCATTCAAAATGCATTTCAACACAGACACCGGTGAAGAGTGAACAATCTGCCAGCATGATAGCACACCGACTCAATGTCACAGTGGTAAGATTGAAGTACAACCGTAAGTCTCTTTTTTTGTGGATTGCAGAGTATTAAATAGTAATATCCTTTGAACTCCACGGTAGGGAGGCTGTACCCTTACCAGGTGTTAACCTGTACACCAAACAGACCTACCCACCTCCGCCATACGAACTTAATTGCAAACGTTTGCCCAACACTCATCCGTCTAACGCTGTAGTGAGCGAGAGTCATTTGTGTCACCTCAACTGCGCTGTGAGTCAAAGAGCTATAATGGGCACTAGTCCGTGTTTTCAAATGACGCGGGCTGTGTTCCTACGACCCACCTCCAGCCTGACTAAGTTTGTGAACATCTAGAAGGTTGGCAACAGTTCTCATCCTACCTGCTCTTCGGGCCCTTGTGCTGTTTTGCTGGAACCCGGAAAGACGACAACGAGGCAGGTTGGCTTACGAAGCCGATATTGACACACACACACACACACACACACACACACACACACACGCACCAAGAGACCAAGAGCGTCAATGCTGGTCCTAACTACTTAACCACGTGTGCTAATTTCTCTTTTTTTTTTCTCCTTGGTGGGTTTTCTTGTCAATGTGGCTTTCATTGGAGGCTCCGGCTCCGGTAATGGTCACTGCAGGTTAGTCAACCTTTTTGGTGATTGGTACGACCCCTGCTGGAAGATGAAGGTCAGATTGAACTCATCAATAGTCACTATAGTCGCCTGTCGAGACTTCAAGACATAACTTTTACTCTTCGTTGCATTGGTGGCTGCTACTGGGAATAGATTCAAGGCGCTGGCCACAAAAAGCCAGCCTTGCTGACATTTGGTCGACTAAGTCGCCTATCAATATGTAATTATCCCAAGTCGAGGTCTGTAAGCGCCACAGGGCTGCGTTTGCCGACCAATAAACTCATAATCCGGAGCAACCCCCACTCTGGATTCGTAGAACTTGGATGGAGCAGGGTGAGCCCATTTGTCTTTATTTCTACGCAAACCCAGCAGTTGTAGGCTCATCTCAAGCGCTCGAAGTCTATAACATAATTCTAGATCTTCTACCTGAAGGATGCTGTGCACTTACTGCCAACGGGTGTTCAACCAAAAAATGGAGCACGGTCAGGGTGGTCGCTGGTTCGCTGAATCGAAATGGACCGCATCTCTCGCTGATATCCGAGTCAACGGCCCTACGTGTGTCGCCTGCCACGCTATTGTGCGTGGACTGCAGGCAATCAACTTCGAGCAAGCAGAAGACCGATCCTTGAACATAAGAACTATTCTCTTTAGCCCCGGAACGCACGGCGGGCTGTTCAAGTCATTGCCGTACGCGACTGTCGATGTTTCCGACGCAGCATCACAGAAACACCTTTGTCGCCCCCAGGTACTCTTAGAACAAGTTGACACCGAAGGTACTGTGATTTCAAGACTCTCCGTTACCATCTCAACTCAACTCAGTCGTGTGTCACAGAAAATCTAGGTCTACACGCAAAAGTGACTAGCACAAGTACCGGCTCACCCGAAACTTAAGGCTTCATTAAGTCGTGTCTTCAACACTGCCAAGCCAACCACCAAGCCTGTCACGCCTCAAAGGCCAAGGGAGCTTGGTATCCAACTCGATTGATCGAATTCGAAGGCACCAGTGCTCGACTGATCGTAGCTACAGAAACCCTGCCCAAAGGCCCTTATGTATCACTCAGTCACTACTGGGGCGGCTCAGACATTATTAAATGTACTAGTAAGACGCTCAGCCAGCTACAAGAAGGAATCTCGCCGTCACAACTCCCCGCTACCTTCCGAGACGCCCTCAGCACTATCAACTCCCTGGGAATAACCTACATTTGGATCGATTCTCTATGCATTATCTAGGACTCCCCTTCCGACTGGACTGTCGAGTCAAAAACAATGCTTAACGTCTACCAGCACAGTATTTTGAATCTCGCCGCTACACAATCCCACAACAGCCATAGCGGCCTCTTCGTCAATCGCAAGCCAGAGAGTTTGATCTCCGGCCCATTTGCCATCTCTAACAGTGCTCTCAGTGGCTCCTTCATCGCCGTTGAGGCTGCACTTGATTCACCTCATTGGACCGCGGCAGTCGAAAACGTCCCGCTCAACACCCGTGGCTGGGTCTTGCAGGAACGCGTCATCTCGCCGCGCGTGGCGCATTTCACCTCGGATCAGGTAATTTGGGATTGTCTGGAGCTTACCGCGGCTGAGACTGTGCCCTCCGATGCGCAGGCAATGCCTCTTATGGTTCCGTCGAGTATTGGGCCGAAGCGCGAGGTGAGCTTGTTAAAGGTCCCCCCGAAAGCAAGATCGAGCCCTTGGCCAGTGGGGGGAAGTAGTACAGACGTACTCTCAATGCAACCTAACGTTCATCTCCGACAAGGTCATTGCTCTCTCCGGTGTGGTGGACTACTTGCGGCTCAAGCTCAAAGACAAGTTCTGTGCGGGTCTTTGGAGGGCACAAATGGAGATTCAGCTCTGCTGGTTTGCTGTGGAGCCGAGTAGCACGACACGGAACGCCATTGCGCCATCGTGGTCATGGATGAGCGTTTACTGTGCCATCAATATGCAGCAGCAACACGAGTACGACGGTTACGTTGTGAAACTGCTTGCGGAGGTCGTCGGGGTCGACGTGAAGATTGGGGCCGACGATGTTGATTGTATTCGGCTCCGCTGCATGCTGAATCTAGTCAGACTCGAGGCTCTGCCACAGCCTCAGTTGGTTGGCCGCGGAATGGAACATTTGGTTCAGCTGGCACTGGACACGGCTGATGCTGTCAAAGCAACCGGCGATTTGTTTTTTGTTCCTATATATGATGTACAGGAACCAAAAATGGCTGGGATTCATCGGCGATTCTCAGAGACCAGGGGCCTTCTTCTGGAGGAGGTAGACGAAGAGGCGGGGAAGTATTCGCGCCTTGGGCATGTCTTCATTTCAGCGCGATCAGACACGAAAAATCAGGAGTTCCCGGAAAGCTACCTTAGCTTTCACCAGGCTGGCGACCAGGACCGGCCCCAGGATGTAGAGAATCGTACGACAACTTCTCGCTTGATTACAGTTATATAGTCAAAGTCTGTTGGGGGGGTCAGGTCGCTGAAAGGGTGTATTGGCTTACAGTAAGTGGTGGTGCTAATGAGATGATACGACCAATTTTCTAACAATAACACTTTCTGCCAATAGCATTTGGAGCTTGAACTCGTAAATAGTAATCTTTGTGCTACAGAAAGGTGAGAGTTCTATTCGCAGAGTAATTAGTATATCGAAGTCTTGTCTAATACAAACCTTCCAGTTGAGATTATGACTTGCTACTTTCCCCCTTACACTAGCAATGTCAATCGCATGTTCTAAGCAAACTTGAAAACACCTCGGCTGACTACAACTAACTAAGCTGCCAGTGCGTCTAGAAAGTCCCGTTTAGTACCCTGTAGCATCAAAGTACCAGTATCAATTTAAAGAACGAACTTGAAGCGCTCTAAGGACATCGTCTTTGCGCCTTTCGCGCGTTGCTCCGAGATGATGCAGTGCTGACAGCCTTGGCCGGTATGACTCACATGCCAGTCCTCAATGGTAAACAAAAATCATCAGGAAAGAAAATAGAGCAAGATATCCAAAGTGAACAACTTATTTACAAAGTGAGCACTGACGGCCTCGGAGACAATGCTTTAGTTTTCAAAATAATCATAAGAAGAAAAAGAATAAAAGAAAAAAGAAAAAAAAAAAAAGAAAAGATTCCCATTATGGCTGCTTGCGAGGCAAACCCCAATGCGACAAAGTCTGAGTTCCTGCATACCGAACAACGGTTCTACCCCTCACAGCATGTTCTCATCTCTTGCGGCACCGTCCCCGTCGACCCCTACAGCCGTAAAATCGCAGTTCTCCGCGACAGCGCAGACGGCACCGTATCCCTACCAAAAGGCCGCAAAGAAATCGGAGAGGACTTACTGGCCACCGCCCTGCGCGAGACGCGCGAGGAGACCGGGCTGACGGTTGAGACCATGCCGCTCAAGGTCGCGACACGTGCCACACCAGCGCCGGCGCTTGAGGGCACCTTGTCCGTCGGCAAGAATCCGGATGCTACGGATGAATTGCTCACCTGCGAGGCATCTTCGGTGTGTGTGTATCCGTGTATCTATACTGGGGCGCTGAAGATTGTTTTCTGGTTCGCGGCCAAGGTGGATTCACGCGAGATCCCGCAAGATGTGACGCAGGCGCCTTGGGACAAAAATGTGAGGCTAGAATGGGTCGATGCCCAGAAGGCGGCAGCAATGATGGCGTTCAAGGCGGATGGTGAGGTAGCGAAGAAGGTCTTGGAAGATATGAGGAGCTCGAGCTATGAAATCTAGGAGGGAAGCCAACACGGAAGCTTTGACGCATGTGCGCAATTTGTGCTTTCGATACGGAAATAAGGTAGCTCAAGGGTTTATCACAGCCTACAAGCCAGAAACAGTCTGCGGAGAGCATAACAGATGGCAAAAGCTGTCATTATGAAGATGTATCATTAATTATATACTGAGTTATGCTATGCAGACCTAGTCTACGCGGTCTTTGCTTCTAGAACGCGGGTTATTCTCCGCGTTGGCGAAGCCATTCAAAATGCTGTGCGATGCCGTCGAAGGTTGCGAACCGATTTCCACCACACTCATATCCGAGCGAACGTTGAACGTCCGGCCTCTCCAGTTGACAGTCGATCCACAGAACACAGCCCAGGTCCAGATCGGCATAGCAAGAAATTCTCTTCCGATCCAAGCGGGTAGCCATTCCAAAAACGATCTAGGAGGAGCTCCGCCAGGTGTCGTGGTGCCTCTGGCAAATTTGGGCGTGTTCTCGTCGACTTCCATGGTGTATCCAGCATGGAGACGGTTGTAGGTGAACCAGTCGCAAACCATCCAGATGGTCACAAATGCCAGCCAGTACAGACCCGTAGCGCTCCACGTCTGCGCAGTACCGAAGGTGTTGTGGAACCAGGGAAGAGTGGTAACAGCAAAGGCAAAGTAGGCGCAGCACAACAGCGACTCGACGCCAGGCTCAATCAGCGTGGCGGCGAGGACTGTCCACTTGCGTGCGCGGAGCCATCGAGCACGACGCGCAAAGTATGCTTGGACAGACATGCCGGCCATTGGCTGAACGGCAAGGTCTCCCATAACGAGGCCATGATTTTTCATGCCTGGTAGCTTGGACCGCCACAGCAAGTCTCCGATTAGGTGGTCCTCGCAAATATATTCAGAGAAGTAGTCGATTCCCTTCGGCAGCTTCTTTCCGGCAGGGAAAATAGGGTTTTGCGCTGGGTCCGTCACCGTGTCCAGGTGAGACTTACGGAACATGTTGCTTTTGCCGACGGCGCAGGGAGCAACGCCGACGGTATTGATGGCGCTGTAAAACTTGGCGTGAGTTGTAGCCATGAACATTTCGTCAAGTCGACCGCCACCTTGCTTCTCGGCATAGTCGAGTAGGGAGTGACCATGGCCCGAGCTTGCACTTTGCGAGGAGCTGCCCTCCGAAGAAGACAACAGCGCTTGCGTTTCCGTCGAGGTATCTCGGGGAGAGACGTTGTCGACAACAATCGGCAGGAGGTGAACAAACTTATAGGGCTTGACTCGGCTTCCATCAGGACTGTATCCCAAAAGCTTGTCCACCATGCGCCCAGCAACACCCTTGGCAACCCAGATGTTGCAGTCCATGACCCAAATGATGTCCCCCTTAGCTTCCCGGTAGGCGCGGCTGATGTTCCTGATCTTCGGGTTGGGGCCAAGGTTGTCGATATGGCCGCCGCTACCGTGTAGCAGAGGGTCGTCCTCCTCGACCAGCACCCGCGCATCGAAGCCAGGGAAGTCTTCAACCAGCTTGACCAGGACCGGGTATGCCGGATCGCTCTTCTCGGCCACGCAAAGGTGGATCGTCAACTTGTCGCGCGGATAGTCTTGTCGAAACGAAGATGCGATGCAGTCGTAGAGGCCATACTCGAGACCCTTAACAGGGCGGATGATGGTGATGTGCGGCACATCTTGCTTCTTCAGCGAAGGGGAGACGGCTGGTTTCAGGCGCGAAGAGTACGAGAGGAAGCTAAGCAAGGTTAGTTGCGGTAAGTGAGGGGTTGGATTTCATGCTGACATTCTAATGATGCCGATAGATTGAACAATGTACACAAAAGTGCTCCAGCCTGCGCAGACGAACGCAATGGCTTGCACCGCCGAGGGCCAATTTGCCATGGCGTCAACGTATGATGTGGGCGTACGGAAAGGAGATGTGGCCCAAGACAAAATTGTCAGCTACTACCAAACGCCATGGGAGGAGAGAGCCGTCAGCAGATTGTAAGCATGGTAAAAACTCTACCCACAGAGCCTTCTAATAACCAAATTGGTTGTCTAATGAGCGAGCGAAGGATCGCTGTCCGAAAGTCGGTCGAACCAGAAAGGAAAGTCATGTGGCATCGAATTCCACGCGCCCCACCATTGCCGGCACGGAGCTCGCTCGCTCGCTCAGAGCTTGAGATTGCACGGGCATTAGCCACAGCAGACACCTTGCGCTCGAGGCAGGAAGCTTTAGGTTCAGACAAGGCATGTGGCTGGTGAAGCAGTTTCTCTATCTGGGTGTGGCTTGATCGGTCCCATCTGCAGCCGCATCCGTCTCCACCCGAGTTATTCCGGACGGGACGCACCCTGAAAAGAGTCAGACGGCGGGGACCTGACGGAAGCGAGCGATGGATACGGCGGATTCCTTTTTTTACGCTGAAATTTTCTGCGCGAAGCATCTTCCTTCTTCCCCAACCACACACGTCTGCCGCACAGGATCAAGCTACCTCGAAAAAGTGAGGTGATTTTTCGGCTTGAATGGCCCAATTGACGGGTGATCTGGCGGCTAGACGGGTGGAAAATTCCCCAAACAAGTAAGTTGCTGCGCGCTCTCTCTGTCAGTTCTTTCCTTCGTCCATGATGGCCGTAGCCGCTGAGCAAGGCTCTTCTCTTGTCGCGATCCTCGACTGTGCTCGCGGGAGCCTGCTCTTTGTCTCTTCCGTCTGTTTACTATGATGACACCATTACCCATTTGTGCGAAGAGGCGTCTTCATTGAACCTCGATGATGCCACAAATATAGACTACAACGGTATCTGATGCAAACACTTGATCATTCATTGAAATTGCGAACTTTCTGCAACGGACATCCAGCTAACCATTGCTCGAAGATAGACATGACTTGCTAGCACAATGTCTCAGACTAAGAACCCGGCTTCGCCGACTGCACAGGCTATGACGCCTGCTGCTTCGCAGAGCGCCTCGGGCTCTCCGACGACACCAAGGCCGAAAGGCCTACCGTTGTACAAGATCTACGAGTTGCCTGCTCCCATACGGACCTTTCCGCTCCCTAGCTTCTATCCGAATAATCCAATTTCTCTTTTCCATGTCCTGTTTGCATGGACGAAACAAACCTTGTTCCCACCGCCTGCTGAGCCGTCCATTGTGCACGAGGGTATCTGGTCCCCAGAGTCCAAATCTGTCAATATCACCGACGAGAAGTCCATGCGCGCGCTGTGGGAACAAGGGTTCTACGGCAAGGGCAACTTGAGTAGGAGTGAGCCCAATTGGCTGAAGCGCGAGCGAGTTAGGCGCGGACTAGTACCGGGCCATGTCAGCGAGCTGGTGACGGCCAGCAGACGTGAAGAGCGAAGACAGATGAAATGGGAGAGGGCCAAATCCGAACAAGAGGCCATCAGACAGTTACGGCTCCGAGAAGCACAACTAGCGACTCAGCTGGCGACCGATGATACAGTAAAGCCGTCAACTTTGGCTGCCGAGGCTGAAGAATTTTCACCGAAGCTCCCATCCAACCATGTTCCTGCCCGAGAAGCCTCCACAGACGCGGGATCCTTGCCTGAACCAACCTTCCCACTGTCTAAATCCGGGCCTGCGGCCAATGGCATCCAAGCAGATGTACCTGAAATATCTCAAGACGCACACCGAGTCACGCTCGTCGCCGAACCTGAGGTCCTTGATCTGTCCGTTGAAGACGATGCACCTGCAGCAAAGAAGACTGCCGATGGACCGGTCAATGGGGTGTCCTCTCACGTCACATCATCAACCATTACGCGACACTCTCAAGCACACATCGGCTCCGCCAAGATCGCCAAGCCCATTGACTTCTTACAATCAAGAGGAGAGGTGGAGGTCACTGTTGAATCAGAGATCGTTCTCAGGCCCGGTGACGTACTGCCCACATCTGTGCCATTGACCTGGGCGCCTGTCGGGCCGGCGGAACTGCTATCTCTCCCCAACTCCCACGCCTCCATGGCCAAGGTTGAGGATACCGAAGGTGTCTCGGAGAGCGTGGATGTTGTTATTGATAGAGACGTTACTCTTAAACCTGGCGACACTATCCTGGCTACTATTCCTCCTTCTCTGTCTGCGCCCGTTGGACCACTGGAGATTCTACGATTGCCGAATTCGCACATTCGGTTGGCCACCACGACCGACCAGGTTGCGAAAGCCGTAGTGAACGGCCACTTTGAGGCCGTCGGCAATGGGCAGTTGGAATCAGCGGATGCCAAGACTGTGTTAGAGAACGGAGCATCACAACACCCGGTCGCCAATGGCTACCACGCATCATCGGTCGTAGGCACTGTGTCTCCTGTCGGCCCATTGGAACTTTTATCTTTACCTAACGCGTACATACCGCTTGTCAACGGGATGTCGGTCGAAGCTCCCGAGACTGTCGATACTTCTCCTACTGGAAGCTCACCGACTGTACCGCAGAAGCTCTCCACGATTCACGAGGGTGTCTGCTTCAGTGACTCGGAAAGTAAAGGTCGGGCCGGAACAGGACACCTGATCAACGACCTGGTCAACAGTGACAAAGCGGCCCATTTGAATGGGTTGAACGGAATAGCGAAGTCGGCGGTTGCCTCTACTGAAATCCCATCGACGCCGAAGTCAGCCAAGCGCCGTAAGAGCGTTCGCTTTTCGCCTAAGGTTGAGTCGACCACCTACGAGCTTTCAGACCCTCCCAGTCCCAGTCTGGCTCTGTTCAACGGAATCAATGGCAAGGCCACACCGCCGGCCAATGGCACATCGCTTGGACCTGGCGTATTAGAGACGGAGACGAAGGACGTGACAAAGTCTGATAGCAAACCGCTCGACACCTTGACTGAAGTCGAGGCAGAGTCTATCGAAATCGTCAACAAAGAGCACCTCCAACTTACATCTGAGGAAGCCTTCTTCCTGACTTTCGGAATGGGTGCCCTCCGGGTTGTCCACCCCGCCACTAAGTTGCCGATTTCTACATCGGATCTCTTCAAGCTGTTCCGGTCGTATTCCTACTTTCCCTCTCGGGCCGCAGAAGAGCTCCAACCGGACGACGGCTTTCTAGTGAACTACGCCGTGTACCACCACTTCCGCTCGCTGGGGTGGGTTCCCCGAGCAGGCATCAAATTCGGCGTGGACTGGATGCTCTACGCCAGAGGACCCGTGTTTGACCACGCAGAGTTCGGCGCCATCATCCTGCCATCCTATTCCGACCAATGGTGGAAGGACAGCGATCGGCAGCTGCCGCGCAAGACTTGGCATTGGCTCCACGGAGTTGTGCGTGTCCTGTCGCACGTCCAGAAGAGTCTGGTCTTGGTCTATGTCGACGTCCCGCCGCCTCCTCAGTTCGACGAGGCTATGAAGAAGGGTCCTGCGGAGGTATTCAAGCTGTACAAGATCCGCGAGGTGATGGTCAAGCGGTGGTCAAGCAACCGCAACAGATGATTGGTTCCACAATCAAAGCTTAGGGCGGCGTTGCAGGGACATAAAGGTTTCGGAAGGGAGGCGAAAATACACAAGCAAGGATGCTTGAATCGATGGGCCAGAGGTCGGTCCAGACCAGGATTGGCTGTGTGTTTACGAACATTTGGGAACGTTTATGCCTGCAAGACGCACTGGACACATTACATTGTATGAGTAAAAACGGAAAAGTCGGAGGACGGCATCTTCGGCTCGCGGCACGCCATTGAGTCAATGGTACACTAGTATACCCCCAATTGTAAGATGATAATGAAGCAATGTATCTTTACAGCTAATTTGAGTGGTAACGACGCGCGACTTCATCTATACTCTCACTTCCATGAGTCAAGTTCTTGGTCTCCATGACCTTGCACGTGGAGAACGAGGTGGTGGTGCCGCACCATGGCCCAGACGCATTTGATTTTCGGCCTCCCACGCCCAGTCCGAAGCAAAGTTCATGGCTATGCCCTGGCGCTGCCCCGGCCTGCCTTCGTGTCCTAATGGGACGAACTGCGACGGCGAATTTCATTCCAGGGACCGAGACGAGTTGCGGGGCCGCCACAAGCGCGACGTAGACGGGCCCAAAACGGCTGTGTGTTTCCCGCCAGCTAACCCCCCGAACCCCGCGATCTCAGGGAATCCTTCCAGAGATCTGACTGGACCTAGTGCCGTCCGCTCGCCCGACGTGCAGTTGGGAGCTGCAAGCTAGCCATGCCGGCGGACGGAATATGCGCAAGAGCTGCACCGGATGACGTGGTAGATGCATCCCCCCCGGCTCGAGCCCCAAAAAAAAAACGTTGAACCCTTCGGAGAATCATTACAACCTTCCTTCGTTCTTTGGGCAATTTCATCCGAGAAAAGCTTAGCCACGTTTGAGCTAGTGGAGGGTGGGAAGGGGGGGATTGGAGGGGTAATGTATTAAACTTTGACCTTTTCCCATTGACGGAAGAAATCAAGCTCACCACCAGGAGTGGAGAGAGGGAGATCTGTCAATCCCAGTATCATCCCGGACCTGCCAGGGTTCAGCATCGCTTACCGGAACCTGCGGTGTAATTCATCTACGCTTCCTGGCTGGAACTTTGTGGAATTGCTTTTCGGATCACGACGAAGGAGCATCTGGGTTGGTTGGACTGGGGTTGGCTGGGTTGCACCAGGGGAGCTTGACTGGCCGGCATTACAAGGGACTCAGGACATTGGTTCGCAGCTGCTTTGCCCGCCGTATAAAAGGGGCGCGAGATGGACCCCGCCCATGAGGATGGAGGTCCGGTGCGACGAGGCGTCTCTTCTTCTCCTGCTTCAGCTTCACAGTCTTTACCACCAGGATCTCACGAAGCACCATCACAAACCCAAGAAAGGCCCGACAACCCCGAACCGAACACGATGAAGCCCCAAGCCTTGCTTTTTGCCGCGGCCCTGTTGCCGGGCTTTGTGACGGCGGCCCCTGCGGATGTCAAGGCCGCCGCGAAGCCGCCTGCTTTCTTCCTCGCCGGCGACTCGACGACGGCGGTGCAGTCCACAGGCGGTGGCGGTTGGGGCAACGGGTTCCTCGGCTTCCTCAAGAAGCCGGCGTTTGGCACAAACTACGGCCGCAACGGACGGACGACGGTGGACTACGTCAGCCTGGGGTACTGGGATACGGTCAAGAGCGCCGTCAAGGCCAACACGGCCAACTTTGACGTCTATGTGACGATCCAGGTGAGTTGATCCCTACGACCTTGCTGTCTTCCTCTTCCTGCATCTCCTCTTCGGGGCACGGAGGCTAATTTGGGATCTCCGTCTACAGTTCGGCCACAACGACCAAAAGCCCGAAAAGAACATCACCCTCGACCAGTACCAGACCAACCTCGGCAACCTCGCCAAGGAGATCAAGGCGCTCGGGGCGACGCCAATCCTCGTGACGCCGCTCACGCGCCGCAGCTTCAGCTCGGCGGGCGTGGTGACCAACAACCTCGCCAATGAGCGCGAGCGCACGATCGCGGCGGCGACGGCGACCAAGACGACGTACATTGACCTCAACCTCAACAGCCGCAAGTACGTGCAGGCCATTGGAGAGGAGAAGGCGCACTCGTACAACCTCGTCCCGAGCGACAACACGCACCTCAACGCCGAGGGCAGCGTCGTGTTCGGACGGCTGGTGGCGGACTTGCTGTTGCAGAAGGAGACGCAGCTGGCGCAGTGGTTCACGCCGAACAAGACGCTGAGCGATGAGATTTGGAAGGCGATTAACGGCTCATCCGTGTAAGAGGTCGAAATTGCGAGGCGGGAGGGCAGGTTAGCGTAGCGGACTGAATGTTGAGCCAGTCTGCTTCAATACTCAACTGTCATTTTCAGCATTCTCTGGAATCATTCATAATGTAGTGATGGATTGTATTGCGTCCAACTCCCAGTCAGACTAAATGGACTAGCTGGAAGTGTCGTGTGTTGGTGACTTTTGCGGTCGCAATGTACGACTGATCAGCTTGGAAAGCTGATTTGACTTTGATAAGTCTGGGTGTTGACTGTGTGCGAAGCTTCAGTTCCGCTGCGTCTCAATAGAATTGCCGCAGTAGCGATGGTTGGCGGTAAAGCACAGCCGCCGTAGACGCAGACAGGGGATGGGGCCGATGTAGTCAAATGACTGCCCGTTGGGATTCACAAGTAAACCAACTAAAAGCAGCTGTTACCCATGGGTCGTTGTTAGTCCCAGGCTCTCAACATCCATGTGAAGGAGGCTAAGCCACGCCGCATGAGATTCCCGTCGTCCGGCTGGGCCACCGGGGAGGAGCAGAGGAGGTCACGAGGCCGTATGCTCCGGGAGTTGAGTCGCAGCATTGACATGTGAATCAGATTGCTGCCAAGAGCTTGCTCGTACTCGAGTTTGATCCAAAGAGCCGACAGACATCATGGAGCTTCGCTGGTGAGATCCAATCCGGAGGAGTCGTTCAGTGAAAGATTGACGGCCCCGAAGATCTTGACTAGATGAAATCGGGTCTCACAAGAGCTTGGCTGACATAGTCATATAAAGGTGTGCGTAGATGGGATGAAGGAAGAACACCTAGAAATGCATCAAATGCATGTGAAAAAGAAAGAGAGAGAAAAAAAAAGGCCGATGACGGCAGAGCACCCCGCACACTGTACCACACACACCACAAACCCACCGTGCCCAAGCTGCCCCACGCTCCCCAGAATATGCCATCCGACCGAGGTTCGTCCCCTCGTGGCGGGCCCTGTCTGCCGCCCTAAACTCTGGGAGCTCCCGTCCCGCGGCCAACGGGGGAGGGAAGCTCTCCAGACATTGGACCAAACCCTTGTCCGCCGCGCTCTTTAATCGGACCATTGTCCACTCGTTCCTCTCCCCAGGACAACCTCCCCTCCCTCAGTTCATGCGAGATGATGAAGGCGGCGCAGAGCTGATCACCTCGTATTCACTATTTCTCTTTTCCTAGAGCAGCTTCCCAGCAGCTGCCGCGACTGCTTGTTTCCTTTCTTGTCGTAGCAAGCGATCCCCGGCCTCTAACCTCCATCTTAACCTCGACCTAGACGTGAAACTACTTCTCAGCTTCGACCATGGCTCTGGTAACAGCACTCCGCCCCGCGGTGCGCGCGACGGCAATCCTCAAGTCGGCCACAAGACCGTCTCTCTCCTCCCGTCTCCCCGGGCGCCGAACCCCCATCATATCCTTCGCCGGCGTCCACACCACGTCCTCCAAACCCCAAGAAGCCGCAGCCCTCCGTCAGAACTCGGATGTTGTCCGTCAAATCGAGATTGCCCAGTCTGCGGAGCCATCCGGCGATGAGCTTCGTCGCTCACTGCACCCCCTGTCCAGCTCGACGACAGGCCTGGCCCAGGGAGTCGAGGACTCGTCGGACGTCCTGCGGCACCCGCTGCGCTATGTAACTCAGCAAAAGGACCCCCATCTGCTCCACATTGTCGACGCGAGCACGGAGAAGCCGCGAGCCGTCTTCGACGCCGCTTGGCTCCGGGACCGCTGTCCCTGCCCGCAGTGCATCAGCCCGACTTCGGGCAACAAGGCCTTCGCCACCTCCGAGATCCCCGGGGACATCAGGTTCGCAGAGGTCCAGGAGCTGGCAGACGGCTCCGTCCAGGTCCGCTGGGACAACGACATCCCACGAGCTGCCGCCGCCGACCACGTCTCGGTCTTCCCCGCCACAGGACAAGATGCCCTCCGCGTCATGACGCTGGAGAAGCCCGTCCTCTTCGCCCGCCACGACTGGGCGCCCGACCACATGTCCAAGTTCGGCTGGACCAAGGAGACGCTCACCCCGCGCCTTCTGAAGATGCACTACGAGGACTTCATGTCCGGCGACGCCTCCTTCCGCGACGCCGTCCTCTCGCTGTCCCAGATCGGGCTGGTGTTCCTCACCGGCGTGCCGCAGACCGAGACGGCCGTCGCCGACATCGCCCTCAAGTTCGGCGCCGTCAAGGAGACCTTCTACGGCCGCACGTGGAACGTCATCTCCAAGCCCGACGCCGAGAACGTCGCCTACACCTCGTCCTACCTGGGCCTGCACTCTGATATGCTCTACCTCGACTCGCCGCCCCGCATCCAGCTGTTGCACTGCCTCGAGAACTCGTGCTCCGGCGGCGAGTCCATCTTCAGCGACGCCCTCCACGCCAGCAGCCGGCTCCAGCGCGACTCCCCCAACCACTACAGCGCGCTCTGCGCGTTCCCCGTCCCGTACCACTACAGCAAGCACGGCTTCTTCTACCGCCAGGCGCGCCCCGTCATCAGCCACGCCGAGGACCCCGACCTCCGCGAGGTCTGGTGGTCGCCGCCCTTCCAGGCCCCGTTCCCCGTCCACCGCACCGCCGAGCAGGCAGCCGCGTGGCCCAAGTGGCTCGCCGCCGCGCGCGCGTTCCAGGGCCTCCTGGAGGACCCGGCCAGCGTGTACCAGTGCAAGCTGCAGCCGGGCGAGTGCGTGCTGTTCGACAACCGGCGTGTGCTGCACGGCCGCCGCGCCTTCGACACGGGGAGCGGCCGTCGCTGGCTCAAGGGAACCTACGTTGCCGACGAGGATTTCAGGAGCATCCTGCGAGGCATTCCGCGAGAGGGAGACTAGACTTCGCTCTCGAGGCCCGGGGGCTATTCAAACAGTAGTATCTCGGGAAACACCGACTGCGGCGCCCTCCATCTTGGGTACATGATTGATGTCTGACGTTCCAATAAGGATTTCACTAGATGGGAGCATAGCTGATCACATTGCCGTAATGGCGGCACCACAGCAAATATGTCATTTGCCGTGGGATGCAGTCGCAATAGAATATTGATAATGATGGTCAACTGGCAAATACCAAGCCCATTTTGAATAAACCCGACGCCACGCCACGCCCAAGGAGAGCAGTAGACTCTCACGATGCCCTGATTTTCTTTCTTGTTGTACGTTAATAAAAAAAAGACGATGCCTCATAACCACTGCCAAAACGCCGTTATCGTCAAGGTCTGCCCACAAACCTCTGGTTGGAATCAATCACTGTTCTACGGGTTAAGCTGTCACTCGCCGCCCCCGTCTAAGAGTCCCACTTCTTAGCCTCGACGCCCTCAGGGGGCACGGTGTCGACCTTGCGGCTCTTGACGTCGTCCCAGTCGGTGCTGAGGGCGGTGCCGTTGCTCTCGGTGAAGCTCTTCATCATGGCGCGCTGCTGCTCGGGGGTGGCGCCCTTGTACAGCGTCTTGAAGAAGGCGTTGATATCGCGCTCGTCCTCATCGTCGATACCCTCGAGCTTGTCCCAGTTCTTGGGGCCAGACTTGGATGATGTCGGATAGGCGGGGCCGCTGGTGGTGGTGGCAGCGGGCTTCTGGGCTGTGGGTGCTGAAGGCTCAGCGGGCGTCGGAGCGGGTGCCGCGGTCTTGGGCGCCGCGGGGGCGGTGTCCGGGGAGCGCTTGAGGGTAGGCCATTTTCCTGCCTCGAGCTTCTTGAGGGAGAACTCAATCTTGTTCGCGGTGACTGTGTGCTTGGAGCCCGCGGGGTCAATCTGGCCCCAGAGGGGGATCGGGTACCAGGGTTCGTGGCCGGGGATGTGCGTCATGCGGATCTGCGAGTAAGCATAGTCAGTATGTCGGTCCAATATGATAGTAGTTCGGCACGAAGGAGAACATACCTCTTGATCGTCATACTCAACTTTGAACTCGTCCTTGGGGATGTTCTTGGCAAACACCGACACCGACATGGTGGCGTTGCTCTGGAAGAAGTCGACGCGCACATCCTTCTGGACCTCGGGCTTCTTGACTGCAGCCGCGGCCGCGGCCTTGACCTCCTCCTTGGTGATCTCTTCCTCCTCCTCTTCGGGCGCGTCCAGCGAGACCCCCGGGTCGTACTTTACCGTAACCTTCCTCTTCTCATCGTCCTCGGCGAGCTTCTCCAGTCCAACGAGGATCTGCAACCGCAGAGCGCACGTCGAGTTCCACAGCGCGCCATACTTGCTCGTGGCCGGATCCTCCGTCGCCCGCACCGCAGTCATCTCGTCCGTCAGCTCCTTCTTGGTAGCCGTCGCGAAGCCACGGCTGTCGACCTTGGGCTCCTTCCACTCCGGCAGGGACATAGTCTTGCCCTCGGACAGGCGCTGCGCCCAGGTCGCGCAGGCGTCCGCGTTGGCAAGCTCCCCGAGGCGGAAGTGCGCAACGGCGCGGCGGTACTGAGCATCGGTGATAAAGGCGCGGTTACCGCGGGCGGCAGCCGCCGCGTAGGCGAGCTCGGCGTCGCGGAGGGCGCGGCGGTAGTCCTTGGTGCCGATGTAGGCCTTGGAGCGACCGATGAGCCACTTGGGCGACTTTGTCGACTTGAGGGCCGCGGACAGCTTTTCGATGGCAAGGGGCCAGTCCTTAGCTTCGACGGCGTCCATGCCCGCCTGGCCGGCCGTGTATTCGGACATGATTGAGTCGGACTGTGATGAATGCTTGGGTGTGGTGATTAAATGCGAATGGTTCGCTTCGAGTAGTGTTGTTGTATGGTGTCTGAAGGTTGTACTCGCCCAAGGAAATGTCGTTGCGAGAATTGCGTGGTATTTTGAAGTTGGGAGAATGGGCAAATAAAGACAGTAGACAGCAAACGGTTGATGCAGCTGCAGGCTGAAGGTTTAGTGCTGCCTTCGGGGCGCAGAGGGGTCAGACTGTTCTGGAAGCTGTGGTGGGGTAACTGCCTGGTGCTTCCACTTTCTGCCGCCCCAGCTTGAGCCACCCCGCACTAGTCTCTTCACCGCCTTATTGACCAAGTCCGTGATGAGAGGCAGAGTCCCGCAGAGACCAGCTCAATGATTCACGTCATCAAGAGTCAGTTTTGAAGGTTGACCCGAATGTGGATACCGTAAGAGACAACTAGTGAGTCCTCTGGTTTATTATAGACAGAAATCTAAACAAGGCAGGCAGATTAGGCGCAGTAAAGTGAATATGGTAAAGTCGGCGATGTGACATTCACGAGTAATGTGATAAAGGTGACCAAAGATCCTGCAAGTGTCATTTCTCATTAAAGATTATTTATGTTGTGTTTATCATGTCGAAATCTAAGAAGCAAGACGATCTAATTTTTATTTGTCTCCCTTCTCGCTGATGCCGGGGGTAATCTTCTCGTTGGGATACTTGCGGGCAAACATGCCGAGCGCCTTGATGGGGAAGGTGAACTTGTAGTTGGGGTACGCGATCGTGCAGCTCTTGTTGAAGACGCCCTCCATGGTCTCCTGCAGCCACTCGCCGTTGGCCTGCTGCCGATCCATGAGGAACTGAATGCCCTTGCGGAGGGGCTCAATGTGGGGGTACTCTGCCTCCATGAGGCCGATGAGAGCCCATGACGTTTGTACGACCAAGGATCCTCTGGGATGCTCGTGGTATTCCATCGTCTCACATGCCTATATTGCTGTCAGCCAGATCTATCCGGGGTAGATTTTGCGAAAGTTTACCTTGTAGCTCTCGGACCAGCCACCATCCTCTCTTTGCTTGGAGATGAAGAACTCGCACCCTCGCCTCGAGACCTTGCTAGTCTCGTAGACGTCTCCAACGCTCGCCAGGCTTTCCAAGGCGAACATACCGGCGTACGTGAAGCAGATACCCCAGCTGCCATACCACGAACCATCGAAGTTCTGGTGAGACCGGATCCAGTTGACGGCACGCTTGATGAAGATCCGGATGTCGTCCTGTCGGTGGTCGGGCCAGTGCTTCTGGAAGAGCGACAGGGCCGTGACGCAGGCAGTCGTGCACTCGGGGTAGTCGTACTCGATCATGATGCGGCCAAAGACTTCGGCGGCATTGAGCATTTCCATGTACTCGCCGCCACGTCGTCTCTCGTAGGAACCCACACCTCCCGTCTCGTTCTGGTACAACAGAATGGAGTCAACGGCATCAAAGATACGCTGATCCTCGAGGAGTCGGGGATAACCCTCGGTCTTCTGGAGCATGATGACGGCCTTGAGCGCTTCTGAGATGCAGTCACTCACAGCGTAGCCCTGTTCTCGGTTGCTGAACGGCCAACCGCCCTTGCGCTGCTGGCGGTAGCACTTCTCCATGTCCTTACAGTCCTCACGAATCTGCTGCCTGTCGAGGAATCCGAGCGCCTTCTCGAGCATCGGGCGCCATCTGTCGTCGGTCTCAAGGCCAGCCGCCACGACGGACTGGATCATGAAAGCGGTGTCCCAGCACTGGACGCCGTTTGTCCCGTTGCCAAGCATGCCTTCGGCATTGACCCACAACGAGTCCAAGATCCTGTCGGCATGGCGGCGAACGGTATAGGCTCCGGGACCGTCCCGAATGTAGCAGACGACGTGGTTCATGGGGCCATTGACGGGCGCCAATCCCAGATAGTCCGTGTTGGCGTCCTCCATGTCCACCAACTCGCTGGTCCATGCTTCGGCCTTCTCCTTGATATAGTTGGTCCGCAGGTAAGGGTTCCAGATGTTGACAAGGCACCAGTTGACCGTGTTGAGAAGCCAAGACTTGGGATGGTAGTTGTCACCCGGCGCGATGCTGTTGCGGTGCGCCTTCCAGTTGATGGACGCCCAGTCCTCGGGAAACAGCTCCTTCTTGAGCGACCGAATCACGTCCGTCTCCTCGCAACTCCAGCGCCTCGAGTAGATGTAGGACATGGGCAGGAAGACTTGGCGGATGTGGACCCACCACCGCTCGGGGTGAATTGGTACCCATTTGGGCAGCAGCCAGATCTCGGGGGGAACCGGGTTGACGATGTCCCAATCCAAGATGCCCAAGACGGCGAGCCACCACTTGGACCAGTGGGGTCCCTGGGTGGCACCTCCGAGTTCATGTAGTCTTGCTCTGGCCTTGACCATGACGGGCTCGTCCGCGTCGACGCCGACGAGTCGCAGGGTCGTGTAATTGAGGGACGTGCCGAACACGGTGCTGAGACCTTCGGTGTGGAGACCCCAGCCGCCCAGCTCGGGGTGGGCTCGCGCAAAGAGGTAGTTCTTGATCTCGGTCGCGAAGGCCGACGAGATGGGCGTCTTGGTGACATACCAGGCAATGACGGCACTCGGGAGAAGGAACATGGGTCCGCCGTACTCGCATCCCCAGTCGCCGTAGGGCAGCTGGAGCTTCTCCATGAATTCCAGGCCATTGAGGGACGCATCGAGAGGGCCTTTGGGTTCGGGGAGGATTGGGAGGTCCTGCGTGAGCGAAGTTGGTTAGCGACGAAGAAGAACACATGCTGCGGTGTATCTCGAGGTGGGCTGACCAGGGGAAGACCCAAGTAGTACTTGTCAGCGTAGGACTGGGGCCAGTTCTTCGCAGCTTCATCATCGTCGCCCAGGTACTTCCACGTGTGCCGGCCGTCCTCGTCCTTCATGCGCCATCTTGTGCGGTCGGTCTTTGCGTCGACGCGGGGCTTCTTGGGCCATTCTTGTTCGGCAATGGCCTCTGCGACGCGCTTGCGAGAATGGACCGAGTCGACCCTAAGGGTGCCATTGCTCGAGGCGAGGGACGGGTCTTTCTCGACAACCATCTTGCTGTACGATTGTCGCTATGGGCTCTGGTTGGAGAAGGCGCAGGACGAGAGTTCTCGAGAGACTATGTCGAAGGCGAGGTCGAGGCCAAAGGGGAGGGGAGGGCGGTCGGTGGATTCATGCATTATTAAATGACCGGCCTAGTCAACCCGCAGGACGCGGTCCCCTTGCGTACCTCTCTGAGGCGGTGTCCAGAAAAAACACGACGGAAAGCTGCATGTGTGCGGGAGAAACCCACCATATCCTTGTATTGCACCCCTGCTCAAATTGGGTTTGGTGGAGAGGTATGAGCTACTAGGCCCCGGTCGTCTTACGATCCAATGAGATACGGGCCCGACCGACCAGCGACTGCGGTTGCAGGCGCCGTGTCAACTGTACAGAGTAAGTTACGTTATATCAAGTCCCCCAGCCATATAACATCGCTACCTTCGCCAGTTCGTCGTATGACCTCAACATTGCTCATTCCCTCAGCTTGGCAGGGCCGCCTGTGCTGGTTGACTTTTCTGGTGCATCAGGCCCAACCGTGCAATGCTGGCAGTCGATTGTGCGAGCGTTGCCATTATGTTCGTTCCGTCGCTCTTCTGGCCTCTTACAGTTCCATTGCACGACCTTCCTCTTCCTGCCTCCTGGCCTTGCTTCGCCTCGCGCGGAGCGTATTCTAAGACCGCTCATTGATGCCTAAGGTCATCGTGTTTGAACAGACAACCACACTCATCTATGCCTTGGGAATTGCTGTTACCGGTTGATGCAGTGCACTTGATTGGGCCCCATAATGCTGCAGGGACTTTATTGTAAAAGTCCAAGTTATATCTGCAGTTATCCCAGTCAGCGCACAGTCAGCGCACACGGAGCTCAACACATACGAGATGTAGCATGCTCAGACTGACCTGACATAAGCTACAGCTATATAAAACATCATCACCCAGTGCTTCGGCACGCAGAACGGCGCCGGATATCACTATGACACGCACTCACACGATTAGCACTGGTTTGTGAGTGATCGATAGGTGTAGCTCGTGATCAGCAACACACGAGTTTGAAATGCAAGCGTTTTGCGACCAATTATTTTGAATGGCAGAGGAATCGTCTCATTTATCCAGGAACCTTAAAGAACCTTGAGCTAGGGTGCTAACGTTTGGCGTCAGTTGTCACCCAACCACTGCTCGGTGAGCTGTCACCTGCGGCGCTGTTGGGGTAGATTGTCGATCACCCCTCCATTCTCCAGAATCCCACCCAGGATTAGCTTTCCGTCTGACAGATGCCAATTCGCAGCACAAAAAAAAAGGTACGATGCACCGTATTGAGTTCAAGGGCTCCGGGTGCTCGAAGCCTAAGAAAGCACGGATAAGACACCCATGGAAGTGATCGAGGTGGGGGGGCACCAGCATCTCCTTCCCATCCACCCATCCCACATGGGCAACTGGGCAGTAGCGCACCATCCCGAAAGTCCCATTCATCTACAGAGTAACCAGTACCAGGCAGTCGTCCATTGGTCAGTGGGGTCTTTGATGCGGAGCCCATTGGCCCACCTTCAACTTCCGAGCCAGTGGCTTTCTCCTGATGCTCGCGAAACCTCACCAGGGCCAAGGACGTCTGCCATCAACGTACAAGACATATCATCTGTGTCCTATTCTCGTCGAATTGCACGTGTTGCGGATCCGTCGCACCGTCTTCTTGATGGACTATGCTACAACTCCGATGCTCAACGGCCGCCAGCAGGGCCGACTAACATGCCAGCCAACTCATCCAAGCCAAGCAGGCGATGTTGTGACCATTCCCGATCATGATCCTCATCAAAATGCCACAGGAGCCGCCATTACCAAGCTGGAAGAAATTCTCGTTTCGGTCCAGGATTCTTTACATCGGAACGAAGAGATGTCGATTCCTTACAGGTCTCGCCCGTCTTCGGCCAGTCGAGCTGCCAGCAACCCTGGCCGCTCTCGATCTGTGGTTCGCTTTCCTGGCCGAACAGTCCACGAAGCCACCAAGTTTGGTGCGTGAATGCACGTTGCTGGCGTCTACGGTCTTCTGATATTTTGACCATCTAGCTCGCTTAATGCGCATTCTGCAAATGTCGCTCAGCGCTCTGACAGCTGGCCGGACCATCACCAAGAGGTTTGTGATCGACACCCTGCCGTTTGGTTGCACTTCGTGTTGCTGAAGGCAAGAGAGCGCAGGAGCATATACTATCAAGATGAAGATCTTTTCAAGCAGCAAAGCGTCGTCGACAATCTCGTTGATGATCTAGCCTACACTCTGGGGCTTGGTCGGGAAGATCTTGGCATAGTAGGTCACCCCACGCTGGTGATGGTGCTCTCTCGCTCATAAAACAGGTCGCTACGGGTAAAGGCCTGGTTGCAGGACCGCTTCTGATCCGCACCAAGCCTCATTACGACCTCGATCCATCAGAGACGCCGTCTGAACTCAACACATCCTCGAGTGCAACCGTACGATCGCGAGGGACGATATCTGTTGAACAGGCTTACTGACGGTTTCGTAGGGGGTCCTCATACCTCCGGCGAGAGACATTTCTCAGATTGACCTCGGTCTTGCGCGATGGGTGCTAGTCATTAAGAAAGACGTAAGACCACATGTCGTTCCACTCCCAGGGCCTTCACTGATTTGCAAGGCAACGTTCCGTACACTGGCCGCGACAAAATACTGGGATATCTCTGCATGCGGAAGAGGCATTCTTGTCACGGTATCTAAACACCGCTGGATGCAAGTCGACATCGGTTGAGCTTTTCTAACACTCGATTCAGGGCAAAGGCTATCCAGACTTGGTTACCAAGCAATTTCTTCATCTCCTGCACAGCGCAAAACCAGAGCTCCCAATCATGGCCCTTGTGGACTACGATTATGATGGCATTGCCATCATGCGTTGTTATAGCCATGGCTCCCGTGGACACGCGCACGAAAGAAACACTGTCGTCCCTAGCATGACATGGCTCGGCATCAAGAGCGGCGACCTCGCACCTCAGCCAGACCTACTTTGCTCCCAAGAATTGAAGAGAGGTGGCAACCGGAGACCATCTGCCACGAGCCTGTTTAAATACTCGAGCTCCTTGACAAGGAAGGACAGGATTTCAGCCGCCAGGTTGATCAACGACATACATCAAGACGGTGCTGATTACGACATTGCATGCAGACGGGAATTGCAAGTGATGTTGTTTATGGGCGTCAAGGCGGAGATTCAAGCCGTGGATGACGCCGGTGACATGTCAAGTTGGCTTGACAAAAATATGATGAATCACTTGTTCAATACTTAGAGCCGTCCGGGTATTTTTGGTTCCTGGTAACCGGTTTGTTGAGGCGTTTATCGAGGATTTCACTTGGGCTGGCGCATGGCTCCGATTCATCAAAACTGATGGCGGAGGACTGTGTGGGGTGCGCGATACTATTTTACACACTGTACCTCCACACACATCAGTCGAAAATTTCTACTTCACTTCAAGACTCATTCAGGTCCTCAAACAGCGCTCACAAAAATCACCGAAAATGGCTCCCAAACTTTCAGGAGAAGAGATCGATGATCTGATTTACTTCTCGCGAGCCGGCGAACTCGGCGATCTTCAGGAGACTCTCAAATCCCTGTCGGAGCGCGAAAACGCCTCTGTCGGCGAGGTCATCACCGCCGCCAAGGATGAGGGCAAGTCGACCTGCCTGCACATGGCCGCGGGCAACGGCCACATCGGTACGATTCTTCTGAATTTTCACCAGGAATTCCGCGAAGCATCTCGCTAACCCCCAGACAGACATTGTCAAGGCCCTGATCGCGGCCCTGGACGCCCGTCCCGCCGACGAGAAGAAGGCCTACGTCGACGCGGCCAACGAGTTCGGCAACACCGGCCTGCACTGGGCGTGCCTGGGCGGCCACCTCGAGGTTGTAAAGCTGCTCGTAGCGCACGGCGCGTCGCCGGCCATTGCCAACGACAAGGACCAGATCCCGCTCGACTCGGCGCTCTTTAACAGCAAGAGGGAGGTGGCGGACTGGTTCCTGGCGCAGTCGGAGAAGATGGAGGGCGGCAACCAGGAGGAGGGCCTCAGCGGCGCCGCGGCGGGGGTCGATATTGAGGATGACGGCGAGGAGGAGAAGAAGGCCGGGGAAGGCAGCAAGGCCTCATAGAGGGGCATTTTATGAGTAAAAAAAATCAAACGAGTGAACGACCATCTTGGATTTCTGGTTTTTGGTTTCTGTGAAAAATGTGTTGGAGTAATAAGGAGGTCAGGAGTTTCCGGGTCCGACCCCGAGAAGATGGAAGAAAATATGTTCGAGACTGAATAAACGACAGTGATTTTCTTATTGATTCTTTGTCTCTTTGCCGAAACTGAGTTTCCTCCCCATTGCATACAAGGACTTCCGTTCTTGCCACATCTTTAGCGCCTGACTGGTATGAGACGTCGATCAGTCGCCGAAGGGGGAAAGACCGAGACGTAGAGTTCAGGTTTTGCGATACCGCCGAAGGCCTGGGGACATGGGTACGATAGTTTTCAGCTCGGTCTTATAAGATTCGGCAAGTGGGCGAAACCTTGTTTGTTTTTGAACCTCGACGTGAAAGAACAAGAACGCGACATCTCAACTACTGGTTTAACTAGAATCCCTTTGGTCTTCGCTTATCTGGCGTCCAAGCGCGACCACATTGCCACAGGCGGCTCTATGGTCAGGTAATATGAGGCGAGTTGCCTACGATGTTCAACGCCCAGAGCCGCAGAATGTTGCAGGTTGAAGAAGTACAAACACGGCTACTAGTCAGAGAAGAAAGGTTTGACAACAAATAAGAGATGGGAGTGCTATTTCGCCCGCCCTGACGCATCAAGTCCTGTTAAAGCACCAGACTAGGACAGAATGGCTAGGCTTATCCTGAGTCTTCAGAGAGTCTTTGGGAAAAGTTCAGGTAGATGAATATTCAGAAGTGAACTCTATTCATGGAGATCTTTCGTGAGTCAAGTCTTGACTTTACTTTGTGCCCGATTTTATATTCCTGCTGCCCCTTTTCAACGATTGGTTCATAGCCGATTGTAGTATTTCCATCACAATACCCAATCTAACCAAGGGACGATTATTCAATTCACACGTAAACTAGTTTCATACCTTCATGGGTTCCTTTTGGTTCAGTAAAGGCTTTTAAGAGGACAAAGTTTTCACCACAGGCAAGGTTTTTCAGAGCAAGATGTTTCAATATTAACAACACAAATTGTGACTCTATGTTTGGGTCATTTTCCACACTCTAACTCGCTCCGCCTTATATTCCAACTTGTGTGTATAGTACGGGATCCAATTGACAACCGAAAAACCTTCACTTTCTTCTTCCTCTTCTTCCACGCTCATTTCGTGAATGGCATCTAATCATGGGATTGCATTTTGAACGGCTGTAGGACCGACACCCAAAATGAGGCGCGCCAGTCGTAGTTGCTACAATATCTCCTATTTCATGTAATAATATGTGTAGCTCAAGCCCAGAGCAGCCACTCTTTCGGGCTACAATCACTTGGAGCAACAAGTGCACTGCATTGTGATTAGCGAAATGGCGGACATGATATTTAAGCCGAGGGGAATACTCACGGAAACGGACCCGCTGTCCTGTCCGGCAATTGAAGTTGCCGAGCAAGTGGCAGGGTCAGCTGTTTCCGTTGTGCCACAAACTTGTCCTCCGTTCAAGTTTTGACAGACAGAAATCGGGGACTAGTCAAGATTTGTGAGTCCGAGTTGAAGTCCGCTTCGCAAGGCTTTGGCACTTACGCATGGGGTGTTCCGGGTAACACAGGTGCCGGACACGGCAGCAGCCATGGAGTAGATTATCAGGAGCGAGACAAAACCGAAGGGACGCATCGTGGCTCGATGTTGTAGGGCAAGTGAGACGTGATCGTGGCGGCTGTAGGGACGTTTCTGAAGTTGCTAACGCGAGGCTGAAGATGGAATGTCGAGCTCAGGATGGTCTTGTTAAGTTGGGATGAACCATTGACCTCCCGGTAGTTATATGCCGAATCAACATGGGGCGCGTGACGTAAGGCATGGTTATCCGACGAAGAGACAATGATTCTTGAATCAACAAGTGTAGGATCGTCCTCTAAAAGAGGCAACACATTATAACGATTTACATATCTGCAAACTCTAATCTAGGCGTACACGCACACACTACTCGTTACACCCGGGGATTGGTCCCTAGATTGATTGTGGAGGCGTAGCCACAGTTATATAAAGCAACAGTGCTTCAGCCAGAGTCGCCTGTGCCCTTGGAAACAAGTTCAGCCGATGAACAGTCTTCTCTCGTAGCAGGCACTTGATCATAAAGTGAAAGCCAGAGTCCGACGTTCCTGAATTAAGAGACTCAAAGTAGCCGAGGTATCGTCTTTGTTTGCTACCAAGGCTTCTGGCACCTCTTGCCATTGAGGAAGAGGAGCCGCTGCGCTGCGCCAAGTAGCCCGAGTCAGTGGCATGGCGGTGCATCCCTGCGGGTCTGCTTCGCCCTACAGGGCCACCAGGGGGTGTGTGTCAGACGGTGAGCTGAATACTACGACTTTAATATAGAAGACGTTGGACAGTTAAGGGTTCCAAAACCCGATCCCGTCGCACGTTCGTAATGCTCGCTGGGTCAGTGAGGAATGGCATGTTCCTGCGTCGCACTGCCTTCGCGTACCAAGTCTCGGTGTGACTCGGCGGGCAGAGGCAGCCCGCCAATCGCAAGACGCGGCTTGCAGCATTCAAGGTGCTATTTGATGCGATCCGCATCCGCAGCGTAAACACTTCTCTTGAACAACAACCATACTTGTTGATTCTATTCTTATTACAATCTGAGTTGGTTTTTAATATATTCCAACTTTGTGTTATCCACAAATTAGACTTTACTACGTCAGCCCGTGCAGCATCGAAGCTGTTTATACCCATGGCACACCCATCACCGCGCCTTCTCACCGAGGCCGAACTGCGCAGGTTCGAGGACTGCGCCGACGAAAACACCAAACTCGCAGACTGCTGGGAGAGCCAGCAGGTCGCCGTTGTGACCTGCGAGCCATCGGACTACTTTCGATCCTACGACATGAAACACTCAAAAGCTATCGCAATAGATGTCTTGACGCCAATCGAGAAGCCCGTGTCGGGCGCATCCCGGAAACCACGGCAGACTACCAGACAAGTATCCCAAAAGCTCATCCGCGTGCTCGAGCGGTCCAAGGTGGACAAGCGATTCCAACCGAAGCCCTTCCACTCGACGATCAACTCGCTCGAGAGGGTCGATATGTACACTGAAGACGCGCATTCAAAGGCGCAGCAGACGTTTGACGAGCTGGCCGCGGCGTACGTCACGGTGTGCATCGCGAGCTACGACTTGCGCGACACGACGCGCGTGATGCACGAGTTCGGCATCAAAGTGCCGCCGCGGGCTGTGTTTGTGGACCTAATCAAGGTGCTGGAGCACCAGACGCGAGACGACGGGATCCCGAAGGAGCTGAGGAAGTACACGGACGAGAACGTGACGATGAGGAACGGCAGATACGACCGGCGGCCCGGGACGCCCCAGGGCCAGCTTGGGATGCCGAGTGTGCGGTTGTTGGAGGTGCTCGGCCCGGCTGCCGTGAGTCACCGGGCGGATTTCAAAAAGATTGAAAAGGGGTCCGTTGCGCTGAAGAGGATTGCGAATAGAGCCCGGAATAGTCCTTCGTAAAGAGCTGGGCGCTAAATTCGAACCATGTCGCAAGTACTCTGTACTGCTCGTTCCGCCGCTTCAAGAGGCTGCCGCCAGCTTGGTTCCATTCGCTGCCTCGCCACACTCTCGTGGCATTGTGCTGGAGGATGTCTTGCTTCCCATCTCTACGTCATATTGGCGGATAAGTCTAGTGCATTCCACCACAAGCGTGATGAGAGTGTCCCTGGCAAATACTTGGAGTGGAAGAGATGATGTTGGGTCGTGTAGGTGAGGTTGATGGATGGAATGACAGGGAAGAGACGGGACGGAAAGGAAAGGAAGCTAAAGACCCACACAGTGCTCTGACCCCACCGTACTGCATTGTAATACTGTTAAAGCAGCATCGTTGTGAGCGCATGGGGGTCCGCATCTCTCATCTCACGCATTGCGCTCACCCTCGTCTCCGTGAGGGTAAAGAGAGAGATGCAGGGATGTATGGGGAACGGGGGACCGTTTTTGGGGAGGAGCTCACACTTCCCCGCGTTGGCCCGGGCGCCTGAGGCGCAACTCTGCCAAGTTAATCTCCATTTCCGTCTCATCACCATCTCATCGTAATCTCACCAGCCGTCGCGACATCTTCACCTCCCTTGGCGCATCTCACTTGCTTTTCCTGATGAGGAGCCCACTGTCTAGCGCTTGAGGCCATCTGCACGACATCTCATCGCCCAGGCCTGCGGATCACGACCCAAAAAAAATAAAAAAATACTCGACGATGCTGTCGTGACCGCGCTCGATGGCGAGCCACCCATCTCCCGGTCAGCATGGCGGTGCTGGGCACAATTACAAACGTGCAAGTCGCAAAGGCGCGCCACGTCGCTTCGTCTGCGACCACCCGGGCTGTGAGAAGCTGTACTCGAGGGCGGAGCACCTTCAGAGACATCAACTGAACCGTGAGACCTCACACCGCGGTTGCTATACTGCTCATGCTACTGACGCGACTCATCAGACAACCCGAGAGAGATCTTCATCTGCGACATCCCAGGCTGTGATCAAAAGTTTGTCCGCGCCGACCTGCTTTCGCGACACAAGAAGCGTCATTCTTCCTCGTACATCCCGCGGAACCGCGCGCCCAGCTTCAGCGCTTCTGCCGCCTCCGGCGCTGTCTCATCGCCGACATCGGCTGGTCTGCCCCGAACGACATTCCCCCAGCCATCGTCGAACGGGCCTCACGACGCTGCTATTCTTCTCACACCAGACTCCAATGCAACGCCTACGCCTACGACGGCCGGACCAAATCCATCCTTGGCGCAGCAGCATGTGACGAGGATCGGCCAGCCGTCAACGTGGCCATCGATCGACGATATGGCCGTGGACATGATGCGCCCAAAACCTAACTACTATGGCCGCGAACAAGTGTCCCTGTCCGAAGCGCCAGCGATGATGCCGTCCTTCACCTCCGTCGGCTTCCAGCCGGATGAGGCCTTGTCAAGGGAGAATTTCGCCATGTGGCTGTTTGACCCCCAGGCAAGTTTCAGCGAGTTCAACGGCGTCGCCAACTTGCCTTTCCTCGAAGGCGGTCTCGAGTCAACCTTCAACAACAACATCCACTACGACTACGAGTCCCTTACGAGTCGGTCGCAGCTGGACCCTACCCCGCCACGGCAAGTGGAAGTCAGCGATGAACTCATCAGCGAACACCGCCGGCAGGAGGTCTTGCGGTGGCTTCAGGTTTTCCGACAGAAGCAGCCAAAGTACGAGCCGCGCATCGTGAGCCTGGTGCAGGAGAGCGGCGGAGACCTGCCTGCGCTGAACCTGGACATGATGAGGGACTGCTTGCAAGAGTACTGGAAGAACGTCTCGCCAAGGCTGCCGATAGTTCATCAGCCTACCTTTTCGTCCAACCGCTGTTCCATCTTTCTGTTGATGGTCATGATCGCTCTCGGAGCCGCATCCCTCAGCAGCAGGGACTCGACAGGCAATCTGGAGCAGTATGGAGGGTTCGCTGATGTGGTCATCTCTAGCATTCGATGGGAGATCCTCACTGCCGAGGAAGCATCGCCACCAGTGGGCCTGTACATCGCCCAGTCGTTGTTGCTGCTCGAGTTCTACGAAAAGATGTTCTCATCCAGGCGCATGCACGAACGTGCGCACATCTACCATTCGGCCACTTTGACCCTCTTGAGAAGAGGGAGCCCCTGATCGGAAAAGGAGGCAGTGAATCGCCTCCCGAAGAAGCAGCCCCGACAGCAAACGACGGGGTTTCGTCAGACTCGAGGACGTGGTGGATCCGATGGGCCGAAAGCGAATCGATGCACCGCGTCGTCTTCGCAGCCTTCATGATGGATGTGGTCCACGCAGCCATGTTTGGACACGCCGCCGACATGGCCCCTCACGAGATCCGGCTTCCGTTGCCGTGCGACGACGGCCTCTGGACCGCGCCGACTCCCGAATCGTTCCGGCATCTCGATGGGAATTACAGGATGTACGGCATCAAGCAGGTGTCTTTCCTGGACGGGCTGAAGAGCGCTCTGCACGGCCAGGAAGTCAAGACACACACTTTTGGCCGCATGATCATCATGTCCGGCCTGCTCAGCGTCGGATGGCACCTTTCCCACCGCGAATCCCACCTCAAGTGGCTCGATCTGCGCACACCCAGCACGGAATCGCACGATGGCTGGAAAAAGATTCTTCTGCGCGCCTTCGACGAGTGGAAGGAGAGCTTCGACAACGCCGTCGGGGCGAACGACACGTCTGAAGTCCTCGGGCAGCCGTCGAGCTCCAACGGCCCAATCCACTCGGCCGCCGTGCTTTACCACTTGGCACACATCAGTCTCCACGTGGATATCGTCGACTGCCAGGTATACGCCGGGGCCAAGTACCTCGTCGGCCGCAAGGTCTCGACGCGCGACCACTCCAACGCGGTGGCGCGGATGCGGACATGGTCCAACGCGCCATCGACCCGCCACGCCGTGCTCCACGCCTTCAAGCTCCTCTACCGCGTCCTCGTCGACCAACGAGGGCCGAAGCGACGGACGAGCAGCTTCGGCTCTCTCCCGGAGCCCGTGTCTGTTTTCTACTCCTGCCGCAGTGAGCCGGACCCCCACCGGCCGTGGATCATGTACTACGCGGCGCTGACGATCTGGTCCTTTGTGCAGGCGCTGGGAATCCCCAACAAGAACGCGCCGCCGGGGAGATATAGCGAGATCGCCAGGTACCTGGCGCACTTTGCGAGCTTGGAAGAGCTGACTGATGAGGCGGCCAGGGACCTCAACGAGAGGCTGCCCGAGTTGTTGGACCTGCTGAAGACGAGCCTGGAGCAGTCTCATTCGGAGCTCCTGAGGGAAGCTAGTGATAGGCTGAAGCTTTGCCGGGAGATGCTGAGATGATGAGCTACGTCGGCTTTCGAGCCGCTAGCAGGATAGGAGAATCACAAAACCGGTCGCCATTTTTTAATGCTGGCCCAGCTAGGCAGAGAGAACGCCGAGCTGAAGGCTTTCGTCAGCGACTCAAGCTTAGGTACCGTCAGTCCCTGACAGCTTGACATGTCGGAGTGCCTACGGGCCTATAATTATGTTGGGGAAGGTTGGTTGCCAACAGCATGTTCGATGCGTAGAGAAGCGTTTCAACGGGTAAGGTGTCTGTCACTGTCCTGAATTCAGAGGACCATTGTCACCCTGTACGCCAAACCAACAACTAACGGTGCTACCAGAGACCCAGAACGTCCACCGCGGAGAAAGACGGGGCAAATAGAAAGGTATTGAGTTGGGACTTTAGAGGCGTTCATGTTGACGTGTTTATGGACCGCGGCTCCTGACCTTGAAGCACCTGCTGTCTTGACTGCGCCGGTGGGCTGCTTGGAGACAAGACGGTGCACCTTGGCAAGTCGTATCTTTCACGATACCCTGAGCTTCAGACTCACTGCGACTATGATAAAGAGACATTGCTTCACCTGGCTTGCTAGGCATGAAACCAAATGATTCCTGGTGATATCCGGTCTTTAGAATATTCGAGCATATCCATGATCTACATACCCGCTGCAGTCACAATGTTGGGGAGCCTAGCTTTTCAGACTCATCGGTCTTACAGGGCAAGCTTTGCGGTTTGAGCCATTCCAGCCTCGACCTGATTCAGAGGGCTATTCCAGGCAATGGTTTGAGACCGAAGTAGAATTGTTTTAGATTGATTAAAAAAAAGAAATTTGTCAAAGTTTTGCACCCATCCCTCAGACAGCCCCGAGTGGTTATTCCCCAGACTTCCCCAACAACGAGCCTTGCAGACTCAGGCCATGCGTGACCCGTGACACTTCAGGCAGCCGCAGCCTGCGGAAGGAAGACGGCGAACTCGCCATTCATGTTGGCCACCGTCAGCGTCAACTCGTTCTCCTCGGCCTCGAACTCCAGTTCGCCGAGCGCGGGGTCAATGATGAAGGCGTTGATTTCCGGGAAGAGGCGGCCGATTTGTCCCTTGCTGATGTCCAGCGCATCTGACGTGGTGTTAGTCCACCGTACAGCAGCAATCGCATTAGTTCGCGTAAACTTACTGCCTGGGTTGATGATGTAGTCGACCTTGGACAGCTTCACGCCCTGCGCGCCCTCGGCTAGGCTGATCTGGTAGGAGACCGGCTCGACGGCGGTGAAGCCCGGCGGAGGGGCTGCGGGAGATCTGTTCTCGGTCACGGTGAGGGTCCGGCCTACGGCGTTCTGGAACTCGACTTCGAAGCGGCCGTTCTTCTGAGAATGGTATTAGTCTTGCCATCATTTGAGGACCGGTGTTGATGCTTACGCCTGGGGGAAGAGAACGTCCTGCTTGACGTTTGCTCCTCCTAAGCGTACAGGCACGATGAACTGTCCCTCAATCTCCTTCTCACCCGCCTCGCCTTCCTTGGCGCCACCGCCTTCGGCTCCCCCAGCAGCGCCTTCGCCGGCCGCAGCCTCAGCAGGTAATCGTTTCGTGATGCCCAAGTCCTTGACAGCACTGTTTAGAGCATCCTCGTTTCGAGAGACTATGCCAGTAGCCGGGCTGGCGGAGAGGGGCAGTGAGGCCGCCAGCAGCACCTGAGAAGAGAAAAGGGTGAAGGTTGAAAATTTCATTGTGAAGACGAATGATGACGAGAAGAGAAGGACAGAGACCAACGCAGTTGGCTCGTGTAATTGGCGGACTGGCCGCGAAAAGGTTGGTGAGTTGGTTAAATTGGTTTAAAGAGTGAATGACAAAGTGAGCAACCAACACCACCCATAGAGATGGTGCGGCTCGGAAGCCAAACAAGTTATATGCCCAGACAAACGCTCGCCGGCCATCACGGGCAAAAGTCAGTGGCTTCGTAGAGGCAACCACCCGCCAAGAACAGCGGCATCATGAAACCCACATGGGACCACCAGGATGATTGCTTGTCCCCACCATCCGTGTCGCCAAGCTCGCCAAGGAGCGCCTTGACGAGCAGATTCCCCCTAAGAGCCTCGCCGCGAGGGTGGATGCGGCAAGTCGTGAGTTGGACATGCACGCTGCAGGCGGCTGGTCATGCCAGTTTTGCTCGAGGTCCGGCGTCGGCGCTGCTTGGCGCTGTGGCAACCCGTCTCTTCTTGACAGTTTTGGACGTTTGGCTCATGCGGGGAAGGGGATTTGGCTGTGGTATCACACAAGATGACAACTTTTGATGGGTTTACGACAAGAGGTCTGCTTTTTGGCTAATCCGGGGTATCTCCTACGTATGAGGACCGAGAACAAGGCTAAGCTTAATATCGAGGTTTGTTTAGCGGTGACCCGGCTGAATGGTAGGTTGCACATTCCCCATCAACTCAGAGCAGAGGTTCGTCTCATGACCCCGAAGCCCTGCACCGACTTTTGCACACTAGTCTCTTTTCACGTCTCTAAAACCAATGTTCACCCGTCGTTTGTGGCAATTGCCTCCTACCGATCCTGAATTTCGGCTGATTTCGTCGCGGGGGGCGCTTCGCATCCCCATGCAAGACTCGGATGGCAGGTGTCGTGGGCTAAACATAGACTCTCAAACGTGGTTCTTCTGGCGGCCGAATCAACAGAGGAAAACCCCTGTCCCGGCCCTACCTCCATGGCGACAACTCTCCCCAGGGCGGCGGACGGCGGTCATGCGACCAATAACCCCCCGTAGATTCAAGCGCTCTGCGCCGGGGGCTGTCGGCTCAACTTGCTCTAGACTGAAACACCACCGCGGTGACACCACATGGCTGGTTAGCCCCTGTTTGTGATCGGTTCAAGGGTCGTACACTAGATTCATCACTCACGTGCGATTGAACTGCGGCCTGCACAGAGAACAGACTGCATGTAGTTGGACGAATAAGACCATGGCCTCGTTCAAACACCTCCTGGTTTAAAGGAAGAGAAAGAAGGGAAAAGAAGAAAAAAAATGGAGGGAGAAGAAAAGCATCCCATATCCCTGGATCGTGAATAGCACTTGGCGAACGGCATTTTGCTCGCCTTGGCAGTCAGCCCATTTTGACTCGCACTTCATGGGCGATGGCTCCCCCCACGAAGCGAAGCTACGGCTACCTTCGCAGCCTTAATTAGCTCTGACCTCGTCGCTTATCTCGGTAACGCCCAGGCTTGGTGCTTGCAGCTGTGTGCATTTCAGAGTATCGGCTTCAGCGATGCACCTTGCCGTCGGTCTTGAGCAGGCCGTACTTTTTCGGCTGCACCAGCGACAGGCAAGCCGGATGTGTTTCTCGGAAAAGGTGACGTTTGACTTGGCAAAGGCGTACTTGTCTGCTAGCTGAGTTGAGGCTGAAAATCCAAGCATCTGGAACCGCGGCCCATGGACTGAGCTCTTCTGGGCCTGACTTCCCACACTTTTCTCACATTACCAAACCTACTAATCCTTTGAGTTTGGGGTGCTGAGAATAGTCTTACAGTGATGCCAAGAGCTTATGTTTACCTGCATCGATGCAACTTGGGGATCAGATGGACAGTCAATACTTGGAAGAGGTGCCTTATCGGCTGCCGTGACCTCGATGTCTTGTGCTGGACTACTGTTCAGAAGGCCGTGACCGGCGGCAACCGGTACTTGTTCCGGCCTTAGGGACAAAGTGGAGACGTTATCGGGTCGTAAACGGGGCTCGGTTCCGGCTATTACGGCACCTGCCTAATAGGATTCACGAATCTCATCAAGCGTCAGAGTTATTTTCAACCCCTCACTCAAGCTTTGGCTCACCCTTATATCTTCCTACACCCACTTGCAAACGCGCGTCTCCATCTATATTCTATTTCGGGCGCATCGCTCTCTTCAACGCAAGAAAATGGTGACGAAACGATTGGCCCGATACGGCAATTGGGAGAGCCCGATAACGGTCGATACCGTCACCTCCAAAAGCTGGTCCGTCGCGTCGCCGCGGGTGCATGTGAGCTGTTCAATCGAGCAGAAACGAGCCCGATGTACTGACTGCTACCCCAGCGCGACACTGGCCGGGCCTTCTTCGTCGAATCCAAGGACGATGGCCGCAAAGGGATCGTGGAGATCACCCAGGATGGCCTGAAGGACTTGCTCCCAGCCCCTTACAGCGCCAGTAACACCGTGTATGAGTACGGCGGCTCCGCTCACGACATAGTTGCGGATGGAAGACTCATCTTTTCCAACAAAGACAACACCGTCAAGATCCTGGACCCCAACACAGGCAAGGTCTCCGATCTGACTGGCAACCCGAAGCTGCGGTACTCCAACTTCAGCGCGAACCCCAGCAGTCCTTGGGTTTTGGCCACAGAGGAGGACCATGAGATTCCAACACCCGAGGGAATCCGGAACTACATTGTGGCCATCAACGCGGACAGCGGTGAAGTCAAGCGAGTCGTCCAAGGGGCCGACTTCTACTACACGCCCCAGTTCAGTGAGGACGGCAAGAAGTTGACCTGGATGGAATGGGATCAGCCCACCCTGCCTTTCTCAGCAGCCAAGATCTTTGCCGCTGATTGGACATCCCTAGCAAGCGTTGAGAACGCGGTGCTGGTCGCGGGCGAAAACCGCGAGGGCGCTGCTGAACCGCGATGGGGCCTCGACGGCAGTCTGTTTGTGTGCATTGAGATTGATGGATTTCGACAGCTGTTCCGTATGGCTCCTGGCTCGGAGAAGCCAACACACGTCAAGCTCGAGGGACTTGAGAACGCCGAAATCGGAGAGATTCGTTGGTTTCAAGGAAGGTGAGTGCTCCAACGGCCGTTCAGGTTGCCATTATCGTGATGCTAATGGCTCACAAGCCGCACGTATGCCCCGCTGTCGGCCCGCTATGTCGCGGCCGCAGCTATTGTTTTCGGCCAGGCAAAGCTGATCCTCATCGACCTCGATAAAAGCGATTGGAGGCCTATTGGCCCTTCTGAGATATGCGGCATCGTGAACGACTCTTTAGTCCGGTTGAGCGACGACTCCTTGCTTCTTGTTGCCGATCAGTCCGGGGTTCCTTCTGCACTGTACAAAATCGACATCTCGACCGGCGAGACCACGACTATTCGGGACACCACGGGCGAGAAGCTGGAGGATTCTCTATTCTCAAAGCCGGAACTGGTTAAGTTCCAGTCGACAGGCTCGCCGTCGCGCACAATATACAGCACTCTATGGATGCCACGCAACCCGAAGTTCCTGGCCCCAGAAAACACGCTGCCTCCGCTGGTCATTTCCTCTCACGGAGGCCCAACGGCTTACACTGGCTCCGGTCTCAAACTCCGCACACAGTATTTCACCGCCCGCGGCTACGCCTATCTTGCGTTGAACTACACGGGGTCGACCGGTCACGGCCGAGACTATCGTGAGGCATTGTTCAGCAACTGGGGCATTGTCGACGCAGACGATGCTGCCGAAGTTGCCAATCACCTGGTCGAAGCAGGCAGAGTTGGCAAGGTCGGTATTGTTGGCGCGAGCGCGGGAGGATACAACGTCCTCCAAGCTCTGGTCCGCCACCCCCGAATCTTTGATGCCGGGTTCTGCGTATGCGGCGTGAGCGACGTTGAGAAGCTGGGCGAATCCACTCACAAGCTCGAGTCGGAATACATGGGAGCGCTCGTGCTCGATCCGGGCATGACGCGAGAGCAGGTGGAACAGAGGTACCGCGAACGAAGCCCTCTGTTCAGTGCCGATAAGATTGAGGCACCGCTGTTCCTCTTGCATGGCGTCGCCGACACGGTGGTCCCCATCGAACAGGCTAGACTCATTTACAAGGCAGTCAAGGACAAGGGAGGTGATGTGGGGATGAGGGAGGTGGAGGGCGAAGGCCACATGTTTGGCAAGCCTGGAAGCCAGAGACTATGGCTTGAAGAAGAGGAGGCTTGGTGGAGATCGTATTTGATTTAAACGGAACAGAAAATAGCATATCTAGGAGGACGTTCAGGCTAGGTATATAAAACTGACGTATGATGCCCTCGAGAGCTCAACAGTTCTTATGATAACCTTTAACCCGTGTTGACATCGGAATCGGACTGTAAAGGAAGCTTTCCATTAACTCTTTCACATTGAAACACTTTTGATCACAGCGCTCACAAGTCGCGGCAACAGATAGTAAACCACCCCATGGTATTAAAATGAGCTCCAAACGACTGGACTCAACGCCTATTTCTATCCATTCTCCGCCAAGATCAACCGAACCTGCTTATAAACGCCAATTTCTAGTGGAATTCTATCACAAACAGAAGTAAATGCAACCCAGGATCTCCATAAGAATCGTCATCAGCAAAATGCATTCGCTGGTCCCAGACACTCCCAAATCACCGCTGTACTCGTTTCCTTTCCTTGCGTCTCATCTCCGAATTCTCTTTCTGAGACCTCCTAATCTCCTTCAAGGCAACCTCCTTCTGCTGTTTCTCCAAGATCTCGGGACTCACCCAGTTGATATTCGGGTCAGGGAGCCGCGGATTCTCGTCAGCGATGGCCTGCCTCTCCTCTTCCAGCTTCTTCCTCTTTTCTTTTCTCAGCTGACGGGACTTCTTGTTCACTTCTCTTTCTGCGTCAGTCATGCCGTTCATCTCCCGCTGCTTGTTCTCCAGGGCATACTTCTGCTTCGCAGCTTGTCTTGCCTGTCTACCGGACGGTGGCAAGCCATAAAACAGTACGACAAACTCATTTCCGTCATCCAATGCCGCCATGAACTTGTTCCTTTCTTGATGCATGGCATGCCAAATATCGAAATAAAATGGCCAGTACTCGTCGTCTTCATCACCAGTGGCGTTTGGGGACGCATACCGTCCACAGCACCAGGAGTCCAGGAGACGTTCTCGAACATCAGCGAAGATATACAAGTTGTATATATCGCAGTCCTCAGCAAGACAGCCCCAGTAACGCTCGTCTGGCTCCTGTTCTTCGTCCTCCTGCATCAACTGCTCGATGGAATGCACCCCGTAGCGAACTTCGCCGTAAATGGTTCGATGATGCATTCCCGAGTCGATCTCAAAGGGGTACTCTTCCATGGACTGCCCCCTCTGGAAGAAAGGAATGAGGGACACCAGCTCGATCTCCAGCTTGGGGCGCTTGACTGTCACGTGGAGTACTTCAAACCTGCTTGTCATGACGATACGAGGTGAGATCTGTAGCCGTCTCAAGCTGAAGCACTTTGAGATCGTGTGCCAGAAGAGGGGCCAGTTCTTAGGACAACTGTCACCCAGGCTCGACCCATCAAGCGAGACATGTAGAGGCGCGCCATTGTCGGCGGGGCTCATGAGGCAAATTTCAGTCACGCAGTTGCGGTACTGATGACGGAGAATGTGCTTTAAGGCCACGATGACCTCAAAACCGCTCAAAAAGCAGAACGTTTTCTGTGACCAAAAGATGGGCGCTGCTTCGGCGTGAATCTGGCGATTAGCTTGGAGCAGGTTGATGCATTTTCGCTTGTCACAGGTACAAGCCGATTTCGTAACGAGACGATGCGGGTTCTCGCAGACCGTGACGTTTTTCAGCAAGAAAGCGGGGGGTTCCCATTTGGTAGATTTATCCGACTTGAACTGACAGCCAGGCTCATGGGTAATTTCGGATCTTTTGGGTTCGACGAGAGCATCACGGTAGATTTGGTTGCGGATCTCGCGAGGAAATTGCATGATAGGGATACCGCGCCGCTGAGGTCTTGGAGGTAATGGAAACTCGGGGCGGATGGTGATGGTCAGATTGAGCATGGTGGAAGGGGATTGTTGTTCAATAGATGAAATTGTTGTTCAGTAGATCTGATTGTTGTTTAGTAGATGATAAGATATGGACAGGTCCGAGTGTTTGACGGTACGATGCCGGCCCTATTTATCGGGATGAGAAACCACGAGGTTGGCGTGTCTGAAGAACAATGTGATTGTGTGGATTTGAGAGGCAACAGCACGCTTCCAGGTTCTTTTACTGAAGTTCTACTTTGGTACAGGACATAAAAATCTTTCCTTCACAGAATCCTTGTTGGAGTTTACTTGAGAGTCGATCAGTATAAAAGGATGTGAAAGAAACTACATACGCATCCCTTTGCTCGAGCTCGAAGGTTGCGGCGCAAGCTTGATCCCAGAATCACTATGCTTTACTATCCAAGTTTTAGACAATGAAGTCTAAATTACTTATGACATGGCAGCCAGACATATGCAGTCGACTATCAAGTCACACCCAAGAGTGGCAGCTTCAACCATGACACGAAACATTCTCTTTCGAAAGTCAAGTATAATAACAAATTACACTAAATAACTGTATTACCTATTTATAAGGACTTTAAGGTAAAGAAAAGAAGAAATCTATAGCTACGCTAGGCCAGAAAGCCTGACCTTTATGGGCGCGCTAGCTAGAGCGTCACGTGACTTGGCATTTGTCTCACTCCCAGCCATGGCTCCACCAGCCACTAGCCGTCACTGCCTTGACATGAATGATTACTATTCTTATGTTTAACTCGTTTCCAAGCTTCCTTATCAAAACTGGAGCTAGTAATACTGACCAGCCCTGCATCCCTGTGGCTGTAAACCTGCTTAGATATCACAGGCTAAAGATAAGCTCTGGCTTTACCTAAAGCACACTGCCTTACATCAGCTTAGCACTCTCTTCCACGTCTATTGTCATCGAGTCAATATATGTTTACGAGCCTGCTGGCCAGAGGGTGTACAGTCTTACAACCATAGGCGCATCGCTGAAAGGTAGCTATCCATTAAAAGAGGTCACTCTTCATGTACCTTACTTCTTACGGCAGGATAACGCTAGAAGGTAGGAAGCAAGCAAAGATAAGAGCAAGGAGAGTCCAATTGATTGAACCTGTTCACCTTTACTAACTTATCTGGTCACAGGTCTCTTAAAATTTTTAAGTAGTTGCACTGACTCAATAAACGAATTTGATAAGAACGTTCTTCTGTAAGGGCTTACACCCCTGCTTGTAGACTTGCCATACTACGTAATATCTCATTAATCTAATCAGAACCTGTAGGTCCATCTTAATCATACCATAAGTGTATCCTTTTCTCTTGCTTGGTAGCAGGTCGGTTAAACGCTTTTCCCAAACTAGGAAGAACCCCTGAGTGATATCTACGCGCTTAGAAAAAAGCATAAAGCATAAAAGGAGACTCAATCTCTCAGCAGCATCCTCCTAGACGCTCAAAAGATTGCGCAGAACAAACAAACGATCAACAAATCAACAAATCACTAAATCACACCATGCGGGCTTTCACTATTATGCTGGCCCTTGCCGCGACGGTCCTCGCTGCTCCCCAAGTCGCTGAGAGGCAGAACACTGGCTGCTTTGGCGCTGGCCGTAAGTCTTCTATTCCCGCCCAGTTCATTCAATAGAAAGATAGACTTATACATCCCCCCCCTGGAATAGAAGCTTGTATTTCGACTACCGACTGCTGTAACTACCAAACCGGCAAAGGAGGTTCCTGCGTTTGGCCCAACGACGATAGCGCTACCGGCACCTGTACTTGAACAAAATAGCCGTATCATCTCAGCTTAGCTCAGTAGGGATTAAGCAGGTTTACCACAGCTGAACGTCAGTATGGCAAATAAGGCAGCGGTGCGTTACGTGTAGTGATAGAATCAGCCAATCGGTCAGCCGAATCCGCGCTTGACTATTACTGTAAACCCTACCAATCGACTGTATATTCTTCTTATATTAGGAAATGGCGCGACATTCTGCCTCAAGAAAGGGGTAGCTCGTCTCATTTTTCATACATTCTTGCTAAGCACGGTCTCAGGGATATAGAAACCCTGTGAAACAGGGTTCTTATTTCACAGGGTTTTTATACTATTAGCTTTATAGATAAAAGAAATGGGCTCTTGCCAACATTGAGGGGGGAAAACGATATCAGAGGAGCTGTCCTAGCGTGTACTTACTATACCTTGCTTAATGAACTGCGTTGTGGTGGTACTGCCACAGTCTCCTCACGCACCATGAAAGCCGCTATGGTAATTCAAAGGTACTTATTCTATGAAAACTCACATGCGATCGCACGAGAAGCCTCAGAATTTCTAAATGTCAATAGAGTTATAGGAGTTATTAGGATGTTACAAGGGTGATCATGCACACATAAATTCGGAGAAGATAACGGTTACGGGCCACTGCGTTGAGAAGGAATCTTCTATTCCACTTGGAAATCACTTTGATATGTAACGGCTCCTTCTCTATCTAATTAAACTAAGTTGCTGGGCTTTATATGGATTAGTGAGAATGACCATCTTCGATCTGCGGTAAATGAAGTGAACATGCAACAGTTCAGTCTCTGCCACTAGGAAACCTAATTATTGCAAGCATCCTAACCGAGGTTGCTGTTGACTACAATCGGGAGGTATCCACTTCACTACTGGTAGAAGTAAACACTACCGCCCTGGACAACTGGCTCAACTCCCCTGAGATATTGCCGTGAGATAATGCAGACGATGAGAACTGTTCTCTCCACCTATGTCTATGACGACTAAGATGTGAAAGTAGACAGTTTAGGAGATGGAGGGAGGATTGAGCCAGTAAGTTGTGAACGTTAAGTTGGTGCAATGTCCAGGTTATGGTAAAGAAACAACCGGATTTTTGACAAATGACTGAATCCTTTGCTTACCTAAATAAACAGGGCACATTCTCGAAAAAAGCTTGGATACATGCCTACGGAAGAAACAACTGGTCAAATTTGTGGTGTCGTCCAAAGTTGTCAAGGTGGAAAACAGGTGCCAAAGGTGTTTGCAAAGCCAATGCGCGCTCTCCCCTCCGTCGAATAGGGGGTCGGGAACTAGCCCGGTTGGCCTGCTAATCATCCGATGCTGGTCTAGGTTGTAAGGATGGAGCGAAGAAGCGGCATGACAGCAGGTGATATTTGTTCTGGAAACTAGACGAGTCGCTTGTGCTGTTCATCCCTTTGCGAATGCTCGCCACTCAAAATGTTATTAATGGTGTGAGATAGATTCGCTTAGCTGTAACAAACACGTCCGCCAGCCAATTACATTGGAGGCGGAGGCGAATCGCATCATTCTCCGAGCTCACCGAGACGTGCAGGGATGCTGTCCCGCTCTAATCGAAGACTTTACTCCGCAATAAAGTTGCCAACCGCCTTCTCCTCTCCACAATGTCGACACGATTTCGAGCCGGATGCCGTCTGTGGATATCGAGCCGCGATGACATCCTAGTCTAGCAATCGGAGGCTACGCCACAATCAGAAGGAGGGGCGTAAGATCAATTCGACGAAGAGCAAAACCCTCCCTTCACGTCCTAGCGGCTGCCGGTCGGCGTCACTGCGAGACAACCCAAAAGCCGTGCGGCGGCCTCCTCGCAAAGGGGTTGTTTCGCAGTCCTAGACTTAAGAAAACCTGACCCCTTGAACTTTGATTGGCTTATTTCTACAATCCCTTGGAAAGTCTATGGAATCAACGGTATTCTAAAATCAGGGATTTTAACCATGGTATGTCATACCAGACATCATCGGCGTTGAGCGGTAGACTAGTCACTTGGAGCAGCAGATAGGCAGAAGAAAAGTGCAACAGTTCTCCTATCATCGTGCGTCGGCTGTGCATGCGTACTCAGAAGTGTGGCGGATGTGTCTGGGGTCGATTGGTGTCTCGCATAATTGTGTTTAGTCTAGACCTATCAGACCCCGGGACAACCCCAGACTCGACGTCACAGACCGAGGACGCACGTCAGCTCACACCACCCTCCTCATCCAGTCTCTGATCTACGTCATCGCCAACAGCTGCCACAGAGCATATTCACGTATATAGAGTACAAGCCACACATGAACCGCTCTATTCTTTTGTAGATTTAAACTGTGATAATAGCATCTGTGCATATCGCGAACACATATTGCAAGAGTAATATATCATATCCACAATATGTCATCAACAGCAAAGCACCATAGTGCTCCTTTGGAAGGTAAGATGACTAGTACTATTTCCCATCTGCTGTGTGTGAGAGCCTAAGAGTGTGTATCGGGACTAACACCGCCGGGCCCAGCTTCAACCCCACACAAGTCGGCCGCTACGAAGAAGGCAACGCCAGCTAAGGTCGAAGAACGCAAGACACACGCAACCCCGAAGAAAGAATCATCCACAGCCGCCGCTATGGAGAAGACTACGCCCGCTGCGAAGAAGGTTTCTTCATCAGCGTCTAAACCTGCGGCCCCTACCACAAAAACACCAACTTCAGCCTCCAAGACGGCGACGTCCGCTTCGAAACCAGCAGCATCAAGCGCACATAAAACAACTTCCAATGCCTCCAAGCCGGTCAAGTCGGCATCTCAGACCGCCCAGAAGACGACAAATGGTAGCAGTGGCGCAGACATCGTGAAGAGACTGCAAGAGAAGAAGAAGCCACAATATACGGAAGTGACTGGTTCGGATATTGTCAAGAGGATTCAGGCAAGGAAGGCTGCCGCAGCCAAGGCAGAGGCTACACCATCGAAGGCTGAGACCACAGTCAAAAAGACAGCACCGTCTGTCAACCCGTCTACTCAGCCCACATCCGTATCCCGGGCACCGATCAATGTTCCCAAGACAGCACCAGCTCCGGTGAAGAAGGCGGTTAAGCCTGCGGTTATCCCGGCCCCGCCCTTGAGGAACGTTCCTGTTACGAACCCTACCCCAGCCAAAACTGCTTCCGCCCCAGCTCAAAAGAAGGAGAAGGTTTACGCCCCTGGCGCCTTGGTACCGACTGCTGAGCTCGAGGCCAAACGTGCAAAGGCTGCTACTGCCAAGACGTCGGGCCCCAAAGAAAAGAACTACCACCCGAGCGCTTTGGTGCCCACGCACGAGATCGAGGCCAAGCGTGCCGCGAAGAAGTCTGGCCAAACCGGTGGACCAGTTGGCCAAGTTACCGACACTGTTGGGAAGACTGTTGGAGGTGTTGGCAAGACTGCTGGAGGCGTGGTCGGTGGAGCCGGCAGGACTGTCGGCGGAGCTGGAAAGACAGCCGGAGGCGTTGTCGATGGAGTCGGCAAGTCCGCCGGAGGCACTGTCGACAATCTTGGAAGGACTGTCGGCGGTGTCACTGGAGGTGTCGGCAAGCAAGTCGGCAACACAGTCGGAGGCCCGCTCGGCAAGGGTGTTAGCGGCGCCACCGATGGACTTGGCAAGACAGTTGGCGGTGCGACTAGTGGCGTAGGCAACACGCTCGGAGCTGCGACTGGTGGCGTCGGCAAGACTCTCGGTGACACGACTGGTGCTCTCGGAAGAGGTGACCTTATGGGCACTGTTGGCGGGGCCACCTCTGGAGTTGGTAACACCGTCGGTGGTGTCGGAAAGGGACTCGTAAGTGGACTTTCTAGGCTACATACAGTTGAATTTTGGCTAACAAATCAATTAGGGTGATACTGTTGGCGGCACACTTGGAGGCGTGGGTGACACAGTTGGTGGCCCAGTCGGAGGCATTGTCGGCGGTGTCGGCAAGGGTGCTGGTGATGCTGTTACTGGAATCACTGGTGGCCTCGGCAAGGGCGTCGGGAAATTAGGCAAGGGAGACGTTCTCGGCGGCGTTGGTGATGTTGTTGGCGGTGTTGGCGATGGGTAAGTAAAATTCCATGATGTTTTACGAACGTGTAAACATCTCCATTTCTAACGGATAGTTGACACTAACCTCATCATAGAGTTGGAGGCCTTTTGGGAGGTGTCCTTGGCGGTGTTGGTGGAGGAGGAAAGGACAACGGTGGTGGTCTCCTCGGAGGAGTGCTTGGAGGAGGAGGAGGTGATGACAAGGAGGGAGGAGGCGGTGGGGGCTTGCTCGGGGGTGGTGGAGGTAAGGGAGGTGGCTTGTTGGGATTGTAAAACGCCCGTCCATCCTTGTTGTATTGATAGTTGTATACCGGTAAAAACTAAAATGAGACTGTTCTAAAACAGCGTACTATTGATGTAATTCTTACTCACATATTTTTGAAGTCTTCAACCGATACACAATGTCGAACATTCTTTTAATACCCCAGTCGCTTATATATAGATCGAATGAATACTAAAGCAGCTTCGATATTCTGGTGTGGGAGGCGCAACGTTCAAATTAACATTGAGCGTTCCAACGGTGACAAAGAGCTTGTCGTAGACTATCCAAGCACTGTGTTCGCTCATTCAGAGGTCTGATGATCAGGAGATCAAGTCTATTTCAATAAATTTGTGGCGGCAGTTGAATATCAACTTATCTTTGCCGACGGAGCTGATGAAGTGTTGATTTGCTGACCGGAGGCTAACGCTGTCGGTGCTTCCAGTGCCTAGAGAAACGCAGTCCCTGAAATCGAAGGGACTGGACGGATTTGGAGGTCGTTCAAGACGAAGATTTGAATCTGGTCTCTGTGGAAGTTGGCGGCGATCATGGCACGGTGCTCGCGGCCGTTAAAAGTCATTAACCACGACAAGAAGAAACAAGCTCGTCCTGCTATGAAGCTTTCACATTCTGTCTGCAGGAACTTCCAATTATGAACGATTATCTATCTAATACTATAGTTATCGCCAAATTTCATAATTCAGGCATTCTCAAGACAGGAACGGGGTCTTGGGTTTATACCTGCCGGTTGGCGGAAATTACTAGAGTGCCTGGCTGAGGTGTTGGGCTTGGAATCGTAGGCCAAGCGCACAGGGCTGTCAAAGGGAGCAACCACACCCTTTTCCGGATCAAGTAATCAACCGCCACTCGGTCATATGTCGATGATCCATAGTGTATGGTGATTGGATAGCAGATGTGCGATTTTCGCTTTCAGTTGCAAAACTTTACATTAGACAACAACCCCAAGTCTCATTAAGCCATCCTCAAATAACGCTAATGAGGTCCTCAACGGCCTGTTTTGGGACCTTATTGCAATGATACGATGGTCCTAGTTTGGAAAAGGTAAATACATCCCGTTATTGTCAAGCAGTGACTACTCGTCCACCATCCTGAGCCACGTCACGGTGTTGACCCTGAAGGCGTTGCGCCTCTGTACTTCAATAACCAATACAACAAGGAAGAAAAAGAGGGAATCCACGGGTCCGTTAGATAAGCATCAGCTAGACTCGTGCCACGAGCAAAGGAACATTGGGCACTGGGCACAACCGTCAATCATCCGCCCCTGGGGCTAAATGTCAATTTGATGCTATACACGTGCAGTGTGAACCACCGAGAATACTGAATCTTTGACTGCATCAATAGGCCTGGACGCTGTCAATGTCATGCACCCGCCACCAGTCTCAACACGGGAGAGTACTGTGACTTTCAGAGACTGGTTGACATTCTCGACCGCCTTGGCACGTTCCGTTACACAAGATCGAGTCCTGTTGTCTCCGCTTTGACCACCTTCAAGAATGATACCGGTAGTCATTGTTGCCGGTGGGATCATATTTAACGGAATTTGCCCAGACATACTACACGTTTTCGGTCGAGCTTTTGATGGCAAATGAGAAGCTTGCCGTGTGCGTTAGGGGTCGTCCGCTGCCGAGTCGAGACCTAGAGGCGCAGGCAACTGGCCTGCCAAGATGTCTCTGAGTAGACTTCTTCCAGTTCCGGTGGTATGGCATCATCCCAGCAACTGGACAGTACTTGGCAACGAGATGATGAGAGCCCGGCAGATCTAATGAAAGCAGCGTCCTTCTTCTTCGGTGACGGAACGCGAAGCACGAGACTATGGTGGTAAGCTCCCAGGGTCCTGTGAGTACAGGTATGATACAAATGTAGTCACCGGGAACAAAAAGTCAAAAAGAATTTCAGGAAATCCAAGAACGTGGATTCACACCACACCAGGACTGTGAGCCAAGGATATTCATAGCCCTCGATGTTGGACTTATCGCGACAAATTCTTTGTGCTTGCCATCAACCCAGACGCGATGCCAAATTCTGAAAATCCCAGGGCTATGGTTCAACGGCAATTATCGTCGTGTCCTCGACGCCGTCTACAGTCAAGCATCATCGCAGCCGTCGCTGGACAAGCAGCCCGAGCGGTTCCGGATCCGAAGGAATGAAGGAAGGGTGGATTCCTCAGCACTAACTCCACAAATATGTCTCGCAACGTGATAATCCTAAAAGTACCCCAACACATTCCTTTCACATCCCCTCAAGCCAAGTTACTTTGCTAGATCGGCATCTTACGCCACGAGCGTCTCTTTTGAGACTAGGTTCATTATTTAAACTCCATCTGCTCTCGTCCCTCAACGAGGCGCATCATGAGGCGAAAGTGAAAAAGAACTTTACAGGCATTTCAATGACGCATGCGGTAAAGATACTGAACCACCTCACTGTCCCAAAGACGCCTCCCGAGCGACTAGGAGATCTTGCCATGTTTGTCTAGTTTCTTTCGACGACAGACTTGGCCAAAAAAGGATTTTTGCAGCTCCTTCATCGGCCCCTTCGTCCAATCCATGGGCCGCAGAAACCCGCCCGCCATAGAAACAACATATGTCTTGGGTGTGAGACGGTCTACAAACAAACCTCGCCGTGTCCAGTTGAATACCTCACTAAATCTGACCACGTGCAAGTCATTTCCAGCCTTAGGCTTCGTAACCTGCAGTACCTATGGTTGCCAATTCTCCTTATGGAATTCTCTACTTAGACAAACTTGAACGTTACCTAGGGACGTAGAGGAGCGACGTGGGTTCTGTGAAAACAGAACGAGGGGTGGTAGGCTCTTTGAAGCTGCCGAGGCTCTGTCTGTCATAGGTCATGGCTAGAACCCAATCATGACAGCCCGGGTGGTCTGGGCCAGGTCTTCCGCACCCGGCGAGCCATTTCGCCATCTTCTGCCGTGGCTTACACGAATCCGCCTCGTTTGCGACGGCTGAGTCGAACCGGGGTTTTGCCCATATTTGTTACCTTTCCCCGTATCTCGCCCTTGTATGTAGTGGTCCTCCCTCCCCTTCTTTTCTTCTTCTTCTTCCCCGCGCTACGGTCACCCAACTTATTGTTGTTTGCCTGAGATCCATCGAGTCATAAATCCTGCTCCATTCCGTCATGTTTTGATTATTGCAAGTATTCGTACCCCCAGCGAACTATCTTGCAATGAAGCCCTATCTCTGGGCCGTTTCGCTTTTGTCCTGCCTGCCAGTCGTGTACGGCCTCTACGATGATGTCCCAGACTGCGCTGTGAGCTCACCTGATCCTACTTTTTGCTGCTATCGGGTTACTCGGCCTGATGCTAACGATCACTGTCTAGTTGCCGTGTCTCTTCGAACCACTCGACTACACGCCATGCCAGTTCTCGAACTCGACATGCCTATGCGAGGACATGAACTACAACATGGCTGTGATCCATTGCGTCCGAGTACAATGTAGTGTGCAACAAGCTTTGCGTAGGTCACACGCCACTCTGTTGGAGAACTGTGATTAACGAGGGTGTTCGATAGTATCGAAGAACCAAACCTGGCGAGACTGCGGATTCGAATATCATGATGAAAGCGCCACAATCTCCTGGGTTCCATCGTTCCTCTTCGGCCTTGTGACACTCTTCTTTGCATGCCGATTGGTGACAAAATGGATGGGGCTCTCGACATGGGGCATGGACGATTGGACCATTTTGTTTGCATACGTACGTCGAGGTTTCCCTTGGGGAAAAGGCGACTAGACAGCTGACGATTGATTGAATAGGGCATGATGATTGCGTTTTTGGTTGCGACACATGTAGGAAAACAGGGAGGATTCGGGAAGGACATTTGGATGCTTACAGTAGAGCAAATCACTACCTTCATTAAGGTAAGAAAAAATCGCACACTCTTGTATGGTGAATACCGCTGATCTTAGATTTCAGGGCTTCTTCGCCTTCGAGATTCTTTATTTCGTGACTCTCGCAGTCATCAAAGCTTCGATCCTGTTCCTATACCTACGCATCTTCGGCTCGATCACGGACGTATTCCGCAAGATTCTTTGGGGCACACAAATCTTCAACGTCGCTGTATGCATCACGTTCATTATTGTCAATCTCAACCAGTGCAAGCCTCTCAGCTACTTTTGGTACGGATGGGATGGCAAATATCCTGGGTCTTGTATTGACCTATCGGCCATGACGCTTTCGCACGCTTCTCTCAACATCGCGATCGACGTATGGATGCTGATTCTCCCCGCCACGCAAATTTACAAGCTCAATTTGCAGAAGAGGCAAAAGGCGGGAATCATGTCGATGTTCGGCGTTGGCATCTTGTGAGTAGATGTTTAATTCTCTTCAGTCTCATCGATGAGCCTAACACATGTTAGTATCACAATCGTCAGCGCTGTGCGTTTGAGAAGCATATCGGTCTTCAACAAATCATGGAACCCGACTTGTAAGTATCAATATTGATGCTCATGTACGAGGCTTAGCTCACGGAACTCCCAGATGACTTTTTTGGCCTCGCGCTCTGGTCACACATCGAGCTGTGTGTGGGTATGATAGTTGCGTGTATGCCTGCAGCCCGGACCCTAAGTAGACGCCTCTTTCCTGAACTTCTTTCCGTCGCCAACATGTCAACTAGAAGGGGGTCAACCAGAGCGTCGGGAAACGTCAAGATTGTATCACAAAATATCAAAACGATTGCCGTCGATGACGCTCCAGAAAGTTCGACGGCACAAGCCAACAAGAAGGACTCAGAGGGTACTTTGACGCCTGACCGAGTACCCTTAAGGCGACTTACAACTACCGACAGCATCGTAGAAATTCCGCCTAGCGAGCATGGTCAGTCTTTATTCGGTGGCTCAAACAGAGGCAGCAAATTCAGCGATTGGTAACTGGGAGCCCCAAGCGGGACACGTGAGTTTAGCAATATGACGACATCGCGGGCGCTAGAAAAGCATCAACAATACCCTTTATCATACGGAAGCAGATTGATACGAGCATTGTATCAAATGCACAGTCTTAACTGTATCATTTGTAATTATAATAAAATCAAGTTTAATTAGACACGCAGGATGTCCGCAGCGCGAGAGACCGCGGACGCGCTTCTCTCGACCCATTCCTGAGCCTGCTCATCGTTTCCGGAGCTAAGACTATCCTGCACAGCGGGGAAGACGTCCGCACCGTATCCGTTGTCTAGCCCGGGAGCACTAATGACGTTATGGAAGGTCGGGCGGCCCGGAAGGCCACCAGCGCTCGCGAAACCGCGGGAGAAATCGCGGTACTTGCCGTTAACAACATCAATGAGAACTGTGTCGTTGAAGGCGAGGGCTTGCTTGGCAATAGTGGCGATGCGTTCGGCAGCTGTCTTGAACTCGGCGATTGCGCCGTCAATAGGAGAGAGGTCGAGGTCAGGATAATCTTCTGCGAGAGTTTCATTTAGGTCTTCGTAATAAGTCCGCAGCACACGACCAGCATTGGGGAGGTCCCATGGGATGATCACGTCATCGGCGATGTGATAGGCGATCAAGGTAAGCCACTGGCCCATCACTCGATGGATCTTGAAGCCAGGGTCTCCAAACTTTGCCATCCAGGTATATGAATCATAATGCCTGTTTCACGTTAGTTCGAGTATTAGGCAAAAAAGCTTGCATAGACCTGCCCATGATAGTGATATACGGGGTCAGTTTTCCCACCGTCGGACCCAATATCAATCTTTGGGAAAAGTCAGTTTCGAATGTTCAATCTCGATGCTCTGGCTGAACCCACAGCACTGATACCGTTATGGTAGAAGGCAGCATAATCACTGCCACTTCCCAAAGGGGGATCTCTCCATCAGTTGTGTTGAACCACATGTCGTACAACGTTGGACCGACACCCCAACCTTCAGGGAAAAGAACCTTCTTCATCATTTCAATCGCAACAGTCTGAATCTCCCCAGAACCGGAGAGCGCGGTGCGCGGTCCTGATACGGCGACGTCCAAGTTCAGATAAGCGACGGCATTCGTGACCAACCAGGGTAGGTGGCTTTCAACCCATTCGGTTGAGCCCTGCAAGCCGAACTCCTCGGCGTCCCAGGAGCCAAGGATACTACGAGATGGGTCAGTCTTATTAGTCATAGGCCTTGGAGTGTCAGAAGTGACAACACGTACATAGTTCGCCGAGGCTTCCATCCTTTTTCAACGAGCTTCCCAAAAGCCTTCGCCAATTCAATCAAAACTGCAGATCCCGAGTTTGGATCTGCAGCGCCACCAATAACCCACGCATCGCGATGGTTACCAATAACCAGAACATCGTTGGGGTGGGTTCCATTGATGATACCAATGACATCCCATGAGGGTGCAACAGTCTGGTTCATGAAGTGCACCATATCAAGGGTGGCACCAGCCGCCGGTCCACTGCTATAAGTGATGTTCGGTAGTGCGCCAACCCAGCTGCTGCGGTTGACTTGCTCCGCAGACAGCCCACTTCCGTCTAGCGCGGCGAGAAGAGGAGCTGCATCTTTCATGCTGATGGGGACGGATGGGATCGTTGGGTTGTAAGGGGTCACGTCGTTTCTTGGACCGTCTTTCTCAGATGCATAACCAACAGTGGAGGGATCACCAGAGTAGAGAGAGGAGAAACGAACACTGCCTCGTTGGATCATGGAAGGGTTTCGAGCGGGTCCGTCTACAACACATCAGTAATTGAGGTCAGGATCGACAATGGTCTGGAAAGCCAAGAAATTCATTCTAACCTGGGTAAGCAAGATAACCGTTGGCGACTGTGATTTCACCGTCGTCGAGGGGATCGGTGAAGAGAACTGCCCCAATCATGCCGTTATCCTATGCAAGCCATTCTTAACAAACATCTAGGCATTATCACAAAGAAAACATACCTGGGCATTTTTTACTTTGGTGCCTCTGTAGATGCCGCCGTACATGGAGAGCGCGATTTTGCCTTCCAATTCAATGCCAGCATCCTTTAGGGCTTGGAAATCGGCTCGCTGGCCACGGCTAGCAAGAGTTATCAGTCTATAGATAATGGCTTCCGGGGGTTTCGAGTAATGCTCACCCGACATAAACGTATTCGGCACTGATGTTGCCGCTTCCACTCATCGCATGATAGGCCGGAATACGGTTAGGGTAGCTTGTTGTCGGATCCTCTTCCAGCATATCCTCTATCAAGCTCACATCATGGATGCTCCCGTCTGGCCTGTTCAATCTCAGTGTGGTCTCGATGGGTGCAGTATACCAAATCCAATATTCTTCAATGAATGCATTCCATCCAGCATCGATCCATTTCTGCTGCGTCCACTCTGCCTGGGTTCGGTTGTGTCCGCCCAGATGATCTCCGGAGGTGTAATAATGAGACCACTCATCCAACGACTTGCTGTCAAACGAATTTACGAGAATCGTCTCATACTCGCTGAGTCGAGGTGGGTATTCAACATCAAGATCCCGCTTCTTGTGTCCATGGTTGACATGGCTATGACTGTTGATGCGTCGTTTTAGGGCATCCCAGTCACGCTGGCAAGCGTAGATGCCGGTAGCTGCAATGGAGAAAGCTAGTAGAGTCCAACGCATGATGAGGTTGTCACTGATACCACCGTATGTTGGATGAAAGCGCTGATCCCAGCCCTTTGGTGTTTCCAAACCTCAGGGACAGTCAAAGAAGGGTTATACTCCCTGTAGTATTTATATGCGGGCTTCACGCTACGACGTTGTGCTACCATCATCAACCCCTCATCTGAGCATCCGAAAGTTCCATATGCGAGGACAACCAAGGCAGAAAGCGTTCGATGGCGCCGGTCAGCGCCGGGAATCCAGTCCTCCGACCCGGCCTCCGAATGGCCGCAAAAACATTTGTCTTATCACAATTGCATGGCGTGCTGTGAGCTTCCTATCCGGAGTAGCGTTCATGTAATGCAACGTGATCAAGCGGAGAAGTAACCCAGTCCTTGTGGTCAAGATGCAGCTTATATCTCTGGAGGATTGGGTGCCAGTGAGGGGTAAGTAAACTTGCTCGATAATCTCGAGCGTGGGGTAGATCTTGGCGTACGTAGTTATACGCCTCGTCAGTACCCTGACGCTGACTAGCTAAATTTTTCGGACGTTATCGACTCAGAATTGACTGAGAAGGTAAGGCAGGATGGCATTCATATCAGTGCCGTTATCGGAGTGTCCGAAAGCTTGTTCCGGGCTAGGCAGCGAAGCGGAACCGGGAACGTTAAGATCGGCTACAGTATCCCATCGACTGCAGCTTAATGTTAGTAGACTTAGGTCCGTCTTACTGCCCATTCTTACTCCGCACATCGACCGGTTCACGCATTTTGTCGAAGTGTAGCCTGCCTCTATGTATCAATAGAGAAAACTAGTACTTCCGGCTTCACCAGCATAAATCGAGAAGGGACGTATAGGAAAACTTGAATATTCATTGGCCAACTCAAATAAAATCCCATGTCTTCATTGGCTCTACTCGGCACAAGGGCTTTGCTGACGTTAAGCCGCAGCCAATGGCATGACCGGTCAACTCAGCGATTAGTAGGGGGAACAACGATATTGCAATCGAGGTGAAGTTTGAACAAAGAGCCTTCTCGTGTGCTGGTTGGCAACATTGGGCTTACGGCGGTCCGCTTGGCCTGTGGCGAGGCTAAAGATGGCCGCCACAATGACAAGCTCCATCGAAAGCTGATTAGTCAGGCTGGGCCTAGACTGCCAAGTGAGTTGATGAGCACCATTCGTGGCTGCGGATTGGACCCTCAATCAGATGCGCCCATTAGAGCTAGTGCAGGAACAGGCATGTCGCATGGAAACGAATTAGGCTCAACGCGTATGAAGCAACGGAATATGTCAAGCAAGTCTGACGACAACAACATAAACCAAGCAAACCCTACAACTTTGACAACAGATGTCATCAAAGACCAAGACCAAACGATGGTAGTCGTGCTAGACTGGAAGAGTCACTCAACGAGACGTGTGGAGTGATCTAGAGGGCAAGAGTAAGAGTGAGAGTAGGAATAAGGACGACAGTATCCGTACTCTGTAGTGAAAGGAGAGGCCTGGAAAACAAGGTTTGAAAGAGCAGTGACAGAGAGCGGAGTTTCCCCAGTGCACGGGCCGTTGGAGCGCAAGCTCCGTGGAAGAGACAAAGGCGTCCGCGTAATTTGGCTGTGCGCGATGACGCTTTGATGCAAGCTCCAAGCTTCCAGAGCTCCGAGAGCTCCATCAGGTCACCAACAAGATCCACTCATTTCCTGCTCCTCTCAAACCACCATCCAGCCATTGGATCTCTCCTTATCATCATATCTTGATACTCAGCTGGCTGGGTATTCTAACTGTCTTATTGTCTTGGCCCAATCAAGAGCTAGTTGCTGCCCAAACTGCCACCATGTCGGAGAAGGCGCCCCTCATCCCGGAGCAGCACCTCTCCCTTGACCGGCCGGCAACGCGGTGCCCATACGCCAAACGGTGCTCCGCCGGAAGAGCCGCTGTCAAGATCTTTGTTCTTGCTGCCGCTGCCGGTTTCCTCTACTACAATTTGCCAGAAGGTTTGTAACCCCTTGTAACCTTCTGTCGCTCGCTGTTGACTTTGGCTCGATTAGCCCAGAATGACTTCGACGAGAGCAAGACCCCAGTCTGCATGACTCCAGCTTGCGTCCATGCCGCTTCCGAGATTCTCTACAACCTCTCGCCCGACTACAAGCAGCTCGACCCATGCGCCGACTTTGAAGAGCTGGTGTGCGGTGGGTGGAGGGACAGGCATGATCTTCGTGCGGATCAAGGCGATGCTTTCACTGGCACCATCATGTCCGAAAACTCGGAGCTCCTGCTTCGTCACATTGTCGAGGCTCCTTACCCCAAAGACTCCCAGGTAGGTGTTCTCGTTGTGGTAATACTCGGGAGAACAGCGCCTAACTTTTCTGCCAGCATTCATACTTCTCCCCGCTCCGGCTCGAAGCAACCGAAAAGTCCGCCGACGAACAGAACTTTGATAAAATGAAGGCTGCCTACGATGCGTGCATCGACGAGGACAAGATCAAGAGCGTCGGTATCGAGCCTCTCGCCAAAATCCTGGACGAGATCAAAACCGCGTATCCCATCGAGGGTGCTGCCTCTGTCGACCCCAGCCCGACGAAAAATGCCATCCTTCTTCTCGCTAGATATGGTGTCAGCGCGCTCATCTCATCTGGTACTGGCGCGGATGACAGAGACCCGGACACGGTCGTTGTATCTGTTGCCCCTCCCTGGAGCTTGGGTCTCCCCTCCAAGGAGCGTTACGAAGACGACAAACTTGTTGAGAAATACCGCGGTGTTGCTGTGGAGGTTCTCAGTAATATCTTCCCTGACCAGAATAAGGAGAAATTTGCTCAGGTCATAGACCTCGAGAAGCTTCTGGCGGCTGCCTCTCCCAGCACGGAGGAGCGTGAAGATGTCACTGTGAGTAGCTACATAAGACGCCACCGGCATGGTTGCTAACACGAAGACAGAAATACTACAACCCCATGTTGATCGATGAGGCTTCTGCGCTCGCGCCGGAGATTGAATTGACGGCACTCATTCATGACCTGGCTCCCGAAGGCTTTGTTGTGGAGCGCGTCATTGTTATGGCGCCGAAGTATATGTCGGAGCTGTCTACAATCCTCGCTGAAACCGACAGGGAGGTCATCCAGAACTACTTCATCTGGAAGGCCATTCAGTCTTTCTCTTCCTACGTCGATGCCGACGCCGTCAAGCCCTATAGGCGCTTTGTTAACGAGCTTGCTGGAAAGGTTAGCTACTATCTTTCTACTTGCGAAGTTTCTGATGCTAATATTTGCAGGATCCCGAGTCCGCCCCTGAAAGATGGCGAACGTGTGTCGGCCATGTTGACGAGGGCTTGGGCTGGATTCTCAGCCGTTTCTTTGTTGAGAAGGCTTTCTCAGCCGAGGCTAAGAAGTTTGGCGACACCATCATCACCGACATCAAGACCGAATTCACCAAAAAGCTCAAAGCCGCCAAATGGATGGATAAAGAGACCACTGCGAAAGCAGTCGACAAGGTCCATAACATCATCCAGAAGATCGGCTACCCGACCAAGAGCCCCGATATTATGGACCCTCGTAGCCTGAACGACTTCTACAACACAGTCGACATCAACCCCGAGGCCTTCTTCGAGAACGGTCTCGCCGTACGCAAGTTCGCTGTCGGCTACGAGTGGTCGGCATTGGGCAAACCCGTCGACCGTGATCAGTGGGGAATGACCGTTCCGACTGTCAATGCCTACTACAACCCCCCTGGCAATGAAATTGTCTTCCCGGCCGGCATCATGCAATTCCCAGTCTTCGACGTCGAGGTCCCTGCCTATATGTCCTACGGTGCTTTTGGCTCTGTCGCCGGCCACGAGCTTAGCCACGCTTTCGACTCGACTGGTCGTCATTTCGACCAGAACGGCAACTACACGGACTGGTGGTCCGATTCCACCGTCAAGGCATTCGAGGAGAGGGCGGAATGCTTCGTCGACCAGTACCACAACTTCACTGTCCCAGGACCGGACGACAAGCCGCTCCACGTCAACGGACGCCTCACTCTTGGCGAGAACCTTGCTGACGCCGGCGGTCTCTCAGCGTCCTACCAGGCCTGGAAGCGCCGCGCTCACAAGCACCCTAACAAGGATCTGCCGGGCCTGGAGCACTTCACACAAGATCAGCTCTTCTTCGTCACATACTCCAACTGGTGGTGCGGCAAGTCGCGTAAGGACACGGCCATCAACCGGATCTATACTGATCCTCATGCGCCCAAGTGGGCCCGTATCCTTGGCACAATGGCGAACAGTCGGGAGTTCAGGGAGAGTTTCCAATGCAAGGACAAGAAGCCGACTTGCGAGTTGTGGTGATGTGTTGGAAGTGGGCCGCCAATTTAGCGGCATGGGAATGATAGGGGGTGTGTAGCATATGTGGTGTATCACAGAATGAACTTTGTGTATTCGATCTTGATTTAATTGATGAAACCATCACCACCGAGGCGGCGTGTCCGATAGAGTGTCATCGCGCTACTCGCTGCCAGTACGGTGATGTGAACAAGTGCAAAAATCAGACGAGTATGTAATATTACCCTAGAGCTGTTAGCTAGTGGTGCAAGACTCAAGATCGACAATTACTAGTTCCACAGGAAAAGTTACTCCAGTCTTCACGAAGGTTTTGGAACTCCGAGATCGACATCTTGGCCACTATTCACTGGACTCAACGAAGATAGCTGTAACACCAGACTGAAGTCAAAGACCTTGGAAAATACGGCCCCGGGATTTCCCGAGGTGGCTCTGGGAAGCCAGCGCTTCCGTCGTTACTGTCTTGGTATCAAACATTAGGTCCCGTTTCCAGATATAGGTCCCCCTGAACTAACAGCCAGGTGAGCAGCTTAGTGAACAAAGAGACACAAGATCGGGGCAAAGGTATCCATCTGTACGGTGAATCACGGTATCAGCGGCCGCCTCGCCAGACAAACCGGCCGCCGCGGAGTTCCAGGGGCAAGCCAATACAATTCATTTCAAAGACCAGGCCAGTGTTACCTTGAGGGACTCTTCAACCCCCAGATCTAGAGTGCATAATGTGCCTTCTCTATGGTTCTTCCAGTGCCCAGAATGCGGAGGGTTGCTTTCATCTTCATCAATGTAATCGAAACCGTGTCACACGAGTTTATGTTCTAGAAATATATGAATTGGAATGTTCGAATGAACCGGTCTTTCACTCATCAACACCATATAATTAACGGACGAACACGTCCAAACCGTACCCTCAAGATTCTATCGTCAAGTATGTATTTTGTTTGTGATACTGTTGCTGCTTTGTAAGTGAGGGAGTGATACTCGGTAGTCTTGAAATAGCTGCGACCGTTGAGGTCACAACCACCTACCCACTGAAAGCAGCCCCAGCAAACGTCATTGGGTACAACAGAGTTCAACCTTGACGCAGCGGTTCACGATAGCCATCCCCATAGTTTCTTTTGCTTGCAGCTACGGGGAGCCAATAATAACCCAGAAGTGAAACTCTTGCACTTGACAGGTTCGCGGGCTAAGTGGATCGGGGGTGAGGTGTAAGCAGGCTAAGGTAGGGGGAGCTCCAGATGTGTGGGGACCGACGCATCGGAGTTGTTCAACCTCTCCTTGAGACAACGCCGACCCGGGGCTCCCGTTTCGCAATTGTCGAGGCGCGGGATTGCTGCTTTTTACTGGGGCGCGACCCACGACTTTTGCGGACTGAGTTGTGACGTTTCTATATTTGACTTCAATGGCCTAATCACGGTCTCGGGTCGAGGTTTGGAAGTTTGGCGTCGTTTGGTAGTGTCCCTCTAGTTTCTGCAGATCCTGCAAAGCGAGAGCGCTTTGGTCGACTCGCGTGGGGGTCTCTCCTGCGGATGGACCTGGAGTATTTCTTCTCCAGATTGGCGACTTGAGTCTGGAGAGATGGCACTGCCATATGGAATGTTTGTTGAAACAACTGTGGTCTCCGAGACTCTTTGGGACTCGTGGCTTCGGTGGCTCTACAATCGCCGGCGCACTTCCACAAATAGTAATCGCCAAGCCCTCCGTGTAAGTCGGGTTGACTAATCGCGACTGACCTTTGAGTACGCAAATGCCGCAACTGTAAGCTGAAACCACACAGAGTATTGCCATTCGCACTAAGCGATGATGTTTCTAGTCTTTCACGCTTCCCGCCGGTTTGTCTATCTGATGCATCGACGGACTTATAGTGCAGTTGTGGAGTCTAAACAAACATTGAACGACTGTCTTTCAGGGGGCGTCCGCTGGCCTCGGTTACCGGGCAGGTAAACAGCGCCCGCCGATAAGGGTTACACTGCAGGATCTCTGTCATCCCCCATCATTATCAGATGCCCATGCTGGCCAGTGGCGATTTGGATAAAGTGGCGAAGGGCTGGAACAGTGAGGGCAACAACGAAGCTTAATAAATAGGCCCGTTCTTGAGATTCCAGGTGGGTGTGTTGAAGTGTGGTAAAGTCGCCGTCCATCCGTCCCCGAACCTTGTGCCGATGACTCGATAACGGTCCGTTAGCTTCTGGAACCGCCGAAGGTAGCCCGCTGGAAGACGCACCGGGCCACGCCCTGTCGGGCTCCGTGCACGGAGGGAGGGAGGATAATGGGTGATGGATGATGGCATGGAAGCTGAGAGGAACGATTTGTGGACACATGGGATTATCGGGCATCAAGGGAGTGGATAGAGCTCTCAACCTGGTCATTTTCACATGCATGGTGCCAAGACTCTGATATTACATCGTCAAACCCAGCATAGCACCGAGCATAGAGGAAAAATTTCTGCAAATCCGACTCGGGGCTTTTCGGAAGGAGTCTCGACCCATGGTTAAGTGACTTGCTGCTTCATTGGATGCTTCACGTTCGCGAGCGGATCCAGACATTAGATTTTTGTGGTATTATGAACTGGGTTTCTTGGGTGCCTCCTGGTGCTCGGATTTGCTATACCGTTGGGATCTACGGGTAAGCTTGACAAGACTCGTGGTCTAGCGCGAGGAGCGTGTAGGGCATCCGTCATCCCGCGGTGGCAGGCTCAGGCTCCGGGTGGCTAGTGCAGAGTAGATAAGATGGAGGAAAGAAAATTGGGCAATTTGCTATACAGCGGCCGGATGATCTGCAACTGTGCATGTCTTGGGGCACGTCTATCCGCCAAGACAAAAGGCTACTGATAGGCTCCATCAAGAATGTCACGGTGTGGACGCAGTGCGTGTCCCAGGATGAGGAGGATGGCGAAAGAAATGCGATGGGTCAAGGGAGTCATCGTCGCCTGGAGTTGATGAACCAGCTGGGTCAGGATCAGGATCAGAGTCAGAACGTTTGCACTAGAGACCGGTGTGCGAACCGACGTCCAACGCGTCACTTGGCGGCGACGCTCATCTCGTTGATTTTCGAGGCGGTGCTCTCAGGACCCGTGCGATAGTCACCACCGGGTGTTTCCTCTTGTTTCTCTTTGGACACTACGCAAGTCTCGAGTCTCTGCCCGGTGGGATTGAGGGTCTCGCCAAGAGGTGGTGCCCACTGCCATAGCGGGAAAGCAATAGCTGTTGACGCAACTTTTTGTTATCGACGCTCAGAGCCGTAAATTGTGAAGTGGCAGTGGGCGGTGCAATTTGGCATTGCCAACGACGGCAGTGAGTGCAGCCGGGCAATGCTTATCATCGTCGACGCTTGCGCGTTTCGAGGCACGCCTTGGCAGATGCGGCGCAAGAGATGTGATCGCCTGGGGGGCCTACTGCTAGCTTTGCATGGCGCCGTTAAAATTGATGGGGATTTTCCCACTTGGCGACTCGGCGGTAGATCATGGCACCCAATCTGGCCAAGAGCTTGAGAGAGAGCCCACCGCAGAGATTGTGATGCGGATGCGCGCGCTCACCGGCGCCCTCCCTATTGGAAGGTAGGTTAGCAAGCGAAGAACATCGCTATACTCTCTGTATCATCGCATGCGTTGGATGTGCGTTTTACCTGCCAATCTGCTGCTGGTAACCTGGTCACGCACTCTCAAGTCTTGCCTCTTTTAAGCAAAGCACATTTGTGATGCACCGTCTTGGCTCTCGTTTTCAAGAGCTTCATTGGAGGTTGTTGTGATGCTAAGCAGAAGACACGAAGCACCGATGCGTTTCCGGTTGGAGCGGGTTGATTCCAGTCGATACTGTCGGATGCCAAGCCGTTCGGTGGGGAGGGATGATGAGGTCAAACATCATTGAGGCTTCGATTGCGAAAGAACAGGGCGTAGAAAACCAAATCACCACGACGCGCAATACCAACGGGTATGTGGGCGCAAGGAGAAACGAGAGCCAAGACATCACCAGAATAGCAACAGGCGGCTACGAAGGGGGTTTTGTACGTTTTGCATCCCATACGGGCAACATACCGTGCGGCGGTTTTGCAGGTCTCCTAGCGGCAGCGCATTCGTCCGAATTGCTCAGCGGTCCGGCAACGTATGGTAGTATTCCATTGAGCCTCACACGCGGGAGCGAAGGGAAACACAGTTAGTGAGAGGCTCTGTGCCAGTGGCGCTGGAAGGAATACAACAAGCCGCTTATGATCTGCGGTGGCACGCCTGTACACCAATCTCTTTTCTGTCCGAAAGGAGGTGGGTGTGGCAGGATGGACGGCCAAGAAGCCAAGGGGGTCAAGGGGCCAAGGAGGCTTACTGGCCACGTTGTGTGGCGGCCGTCTGTGTGTGTGTGCTTTGTCGCCCTGTGCCGCTGTCAGCATCTCGGTCACTGGCATGACAATGGACACTGGACAATGATGACAATTTCGTTGACGGGGTTTAGGCTCGGACGGCACGGCTCTTGGTAAATTCAAATGGGCGATCAGGGAACATCAGCAGAAATCTTCCGTGGCAGCATCTGTGATTTGCGGCGCGGCAGCTTTGTTCAGTCTCCGCCATTATCAACGCTGTCAAGTACATCACCTGTGCGACCCAGCCAACCCGCCAAGTATCAAAGCCCAAAGAGGCCCAAAACCCAGGGGTGTTGTGAGAGGTGAGACCTCTCGACCAGGAGAGGGCAACCTGAAGAGGCAACCCTGGGAGGCGACGGGACGGGCGACCCTCTTTTTTGACTTCTATTTCAATATGGATGGGTGGGACAACCGCAGACCCGACAGCGGGAGAGACTCCCTTTTGCCCAGGGGTGATGCTCATTCAGCTCTTGGCAGGTGTTCAAGGTGTCAGAGAGTAGGGAGCGATGGTTAGATACCGGAGAGTGCCTGGACAACCTTATCTCTTGGCAACCGGAAACGGAGACAGATCCCTGGCCGTTATCTTCACATGTCCGGCAGAGCGGTGTTTCGCCCGGGTGGGTTCCGTCTCCTGAATCCCGTCGAGACCGCCGTGGCCACCAAAATACTCCGGCCTAGACTCTCTTTGCTGCAACCCGCGGCGGCGTTCTGCTGCAACTGGCGTTCTGTATCGAGTATTTTTTGGTCCCGACACATTTTCGTGTCCATCGCAGGTGGAGAGTGTGCAAGGTGTTTGGTTAAGGTTGAGCGTGTTTGCGATGACATCTGAGTTGGCATGCCCAAAGTGTATCGAGGCCATCTAAGTGAGGCATAGCCGCTGACGTCTCGTCTCCGTTGCGCAAAACAGAAGGGGGGAAGTGTGTGCACAAGCGGTGGCAGGACGATGGCTAGACGGATGAACGTATGGAGCCCATTTCATCACGCCTTCAAGGCAATATTCCAATGACAGGCTGAAGTCGGTCTTGGCAGAGATGCGCAGCCTCTCAATACGAATGCTTCTTTTACTATCGCTGTGTGCCAACTGCGGCCAAGACCAGAAACACGAGCTGGCAGCAGTCCAATATTGTTGAAGCCGGCTTGGCTTGGCTCTACCGGTACTGCACTCTTCAGGCGCCCAGGACAGAGAATTTGGAAAAAAATCTGCGGTGTGAATTTCGTCATTGCTCTCACTCCCAGAACGTGTTTCGAGGTCCAAGAGGCGGGTCCTCCCATCTCTTGGCGGCCAGAGCTTTCAGATCGTGAAACGAATGTCCCGACTCGGACAGTCGGGGGCCCCCGTCCGCCACACCCGCCCCTCCGGAGCCCTCCCCCCTTTGAGACTCTGCTTTAGTTCTTTACAGCTCGCGGCAGTGTGCCAGCATCACCCGTGTGGTGACGGCAGCGGGAGGGAAAGGGAAGGGAAGGGAGGGCGGACCGCAGCGCAGAAGCGCGTGCAGACGCCCCAACTCGGATTCTAGCGTGTGTGTCTGATAGGCCCCGAATTTCTCAATCGTGTACCTGTCTGTGCCGCTGCGAACACGAATACCGCAGTAGCTGTCTTACCGTCGAGCCAACGACGATCGTGTTCCAGGCCAATCTGAAGCAGATACCACGTGCATGGGCTATTAATATTTCCGGACGTCATGACCTACCGGCCACCTTCGCACCCCTAGACATTCGTAGGGCCTTTCATAGACTTTATTGAGACATAGATGCAACGAGCATCCTCTGCGTGGACGATCGACGTCGAGAGAGCCGGCCCCCATGGGCCATAGTACAGATAAGGAAGCCTCAAGGAATGAAGCAAAGAAGCAAGCCAGCAGCAAGTGTGTGTGTGTGTGAAGCACGGCCCCGAGCGCAGCGAGGATAACGCGGCCTTGGTGACCTGGCGCCCCCCCGGTTGGCCATGACACCCTCTTTCTGCTCTTCCAGTCCATCTCCCGCATGCCTTCTCCCCTTGGCACGGCTGTGACCGAACTGCAGTCTTCTCCCAGAGGGCGTGTAAATCCAAAAGTACCCCTTAGGCCCCGAAATACTTTGACGCTTGTATCACTTCACGTTGACCGGCCTGCCCCTTGACCTTCACCGCAGGTTCTTCTCTCATCTCAATGTACATCAACTGCCGCATTGGGAACCCCCGTCTGAGACATCCAGACGGTAGACGCCTTTCACCATTAATCTTCAACCGCTGTCTCTCTCTTTCACCCCCGGCCTTGTACAACCCTCGCTCGCTGCCTGCCGGGGCCTACGACGACCAGGCCCCCTAACCTCGACATCCTTCCTCTTCTGGCGAACAGTCGTCGCCCAACTGGGTCCCCCCCCCCCCCCCCCCCCCCCCCCCCCCCCCCCCCCCTACTGTGCAGGTGTACGGCCGTGGGGGTATGTCTTAGAAACCCGCAAAGCTAGCCACCGCCACACCACACGCGCCCAAACGCCAGCACACGTTCTTCTCAGAGAGCCTCAACAACGTACATCGTGGAGTCACGGTAGGCTTGGCATATTGTCCGGCACATAAACGGATGGCTTAGTATTCGCCCACCACGCCAACGTAACCATATGTGACCGCGCTGCGGTATCGCCGCTGGGCATTGGGCCTTCATATCCGTGGGACCCTCGTCCGCGCATCCATTATCAAAGTTCAAAGTCGATTTTCTTGGCCCTCTGGCGTGTACGTATGGTTCTCGAGCGGGTCTCTCGTCCTAACTTTCAACCAAATTTGGTATTGAGACGTGCATTCTGGTACCTCACAGTTGTTCAAGGGTCAATGAGTTTGACAAACACCCAAGAGGGGACCGATACGTAGAGAGATCCCCTTCTGTTCTGTTCTCCCCCAATCAACTCCAGTCTCCTCGGACAAGGGTTGTGGAAACCACACGCATCCACTATCCTACTGTAGATACCGGACCGTCTCGAGTCGTCTCATACACACACACTTGGTGTATTTTTGTTCACTCTCATACTCCCCCTGCTTCTCATCCACATCGCAATGCACGTACCCGTCTCCACCGGACTGATACCCCGTTGTCACCTCCCAGTCAGTCAACATCTATTCTGAGAAACCCAACCTTGGTCTGGAAAATCCGGACTCGTCGCACGCCCTCCAGTCACTAGAGATATATCATCCGGTCCAAGACCACAATCTTAGCATTAGTTCAGCGGAGCCGGAATCCCCTTGTAAATCGACAGCAAGTTTTTCCCTTTTTTAGTGTTTGTTTAGTCTTTCACCAATTTCATCATCGTCAACCCCATTTTTTCACTTCGAGAACATATATCCCCCCGTTTCCCCCGGTTTCCCAGTGTTTCGTCCATTTGTTCAAACAACCCGACACTCACTCGCAAACCGCTACACCCCCCCCTACGAGCGAACGACTTATTCTCTGCGAGATTCGACGTGCGCTTCCTGTTCCTTGCTTCGGGTAGTCAACCACCCAACGAAGCAAGCAGCATTACCTAAAATCAAAAATACCAAAAAAAAAAATTCAAAAGAGTCCAAGATGGATCGCAGAGATCCAATGAACTCGGCCTGGACCGAGTCGGAGGTGTCGACACGCAAGAACTCGATGGAATGGCAAACATCAAGGCCAAACTCTCCCAAGCTGGCACCGCTGGACATGCAGTTCGACAAGGGCAAGGCGAACGAGAAGGACGGTTATTCCACATCCATCACACCGATCGTCGAGAAGGGCGCCGCGCCCGCCCACGACCACGGCCATGGCCACATCGACATCAACGACCCGAACCGGCCGAGGATGGCATTCAAGGCGCGTCTGCACCACTTCACATGGGCGTGGTACACGCTCACCATGAGCACGGGAGGTCTCTCGCTCCTCATCTTCGCCCAACCGCACCAGTTCCCCGGACTGAGACAAATCGGTACCGTCGTCTACGTCGTCAACATCATCCTCTTCGTTCTTGTCTGCTCCGCCATGCTGGCGAGATTCTTCCTGTACCCCGGCGACTTCAAGAAGTCATTGACCCACGAGAGAGAAGGCTTCTTCTTCCCGACCTTCTTCCTGTCCCTTGCAACGCTCATCACCAGCACGAACCGATACGCCATTCCCGAAAACGATGAGACCCTGGTCTGGGCCGTTCAAGTGGCCTTCTGGGGCTACCTCGTCGTCACGCTCATGGTGGCCATCGGCCAGTACAGCTACGTCTTCGCCAAGCACAACTTTGGTCTTCAGACCATGATGCCGACCTGGATTCTTCCCATCTTCCCCATCATGCTTACCGGTACCATCGCCTCCGTCATCGCCGACACCCAGCCTGAGATTGCGGCTGTTCCCATCGTCGTCGCCGGCCTCACTTGCCAGGGTCTGGGTCTGTCCGTCGCCGTCCTCATGTACGCACATATGGTCGGCCGTCTCATGTCCGCAGGCCTGCCTAACCGCGAGCATCGCCCCGGTCTGTTCATGAACGTCGGCCCTCCGGCTTTCACTGCCCTCGCCCTCATCGGCATGGCCAACGGCCTGCCCAACAACCTCGACCCCGACCATGACGGCATCATTATCGACGCCGGCGTTATCAGGACCATCGCCCTCATGAGCGCCATCTTCCTCTGGGCTCTGGCCGCTTGGTGGTTCGGCATTGCCATCATCGCCGTCATCTCGTCGCCGCCCGTCTACTTCCACTTGGGATGGTGGGCCATGGTTTTCCCCAACACCGGCTTCACTCTGGCAACAATCTCCATCGGCAACCAGCTCGGCAACCAAGCTGTACTATGGTTCGCGACGGGCATGAGTGTGTGCCTCCTCGGCGCCTACTTCTACGTCCTTTACCACCACGTCAGAGCAGTCCTCATCCAAGACATCATGTACACCATGAGAGACGAGGACTTCAACGACCACTAAGCAAGAGGGGGTTGGATGAGGGTGTGGAGGGGAGCGAAATGGTTTCGAAAGGCGCTCACCGAGCGTCCACCGGGAAAGACGAAATTGGGGAAAATGGTTGCAAGCGGCTTTGCCGCAGGGTTCATCGCAGTGCGTTCCCGCTCACGGATACGCTACTAGCGCAGTTCTTGGGCCAGGGTGGGCTCACTGTTCATGCTTCAATGTTCATAGCACCAGGACATGGGTCTGGGAGGGTTTTGGCAATATTTCCGCTCTGGCCGAGCGAAGTGGCGTTGTCATTTTTGGGGGCACCAACGGCATATTTCATCATCATCATCATCATCAGCGTGAGAGAAGCGCGCGTATTCCAAATTGGATTCTTTTCTTTTTTTTTTGAATACCCTTTCACGGTCCTTACCTGCTTAGAATATTTTAACATGTCGGTTTTTTGGACTCTCCCGTACGGACCTGTATACCATCAGAACGCGGGGCATTAAGTCTAGTCATCACTCTATACCATAGACTTACTTCACATTAGAGATCAGACGTGTCGAACAGCACGCCTTTAGAGGAAACACTTAACGAGTGTACTTCAGATAAAACAAAACTTTGCTGCTCGAGCGCGCTCCACTTTGTCTCCCATCCCCCAACTCTCAGACGTGTTCCTCCCCTTGTTTCTCTCCCACACTTTCGTGAATGACGACCAAATTAAGCAATCAGAAAGGTCTCCCGCTGCCGCTTAGTCAACATCTCACCATCCATGACACTATCGCAGTACGCCTCGCCGACGAAACAGTGCCTCGTCCCGTCTCCGGACGGTCTCAGAACGTACGGCATCCGAGAACCGAACAGTATCACGACCACGTCGCCCGGACGTGAGTTGCCTGGGGCCATGCCCACGTACCCTTGCCGCGTCACGTATGGGCGCTTGCCCGACATCTTGTCCATGTTCTCGCTGTAGTTGGACTGCCCCGGCATCATTTGATAGAATTCCTGTAGCCGCTGCTGTCGCATCTCTGGCGGGACGACCCCGAAACCTTCGACGAGCAGCGTCAGGACGGCTAAGCAGTCCTCATAGTCGCTCTTGTCAGCCAGGACAACCCGATGGTAGGAAGCCGCATTGGTCCAGTAAAGATCTCCTACCGGCACCCTCCACACGGCTTCGGTTCGCCTCTCGCTGGTCTCGTATATCTCGTGCTCGTTTTCCAATGGCTTCTCACAGAAGGTCTTAATCGTCTGGAGATGTTTGGCGCGAGCCTCGCTTCCCGCTTCCCACTCCCACACGTCACCTGTTTCCTCGATGGTGTCAACAACGAGGCCGCGTATCCCAAGCACGCACGGGTCGTCTGTGTGCACGACCTCGACCGTGCTGTCGCCCGCCGCTCGTATGAGTAGCTTGTCAGCGTCTTCGAACGCGAATATGTATGAACGAGTCAGTGTCGGTCTCCAGTCTGGGACCCAGGATGGCAGCCTGTCGATGTCTTTGGGGAACTGTGAGAACGAGAGCATCTCGACGCGGCCGACACGAACAAGAGCGCGGGCAGTCTCCACAAAGGTGGGATGACAGTCTGGACAAGTATAATCCGGAACAATCTTCAGTTGTTCTGAATCCACGGCGACGCTGAGCAGACCGTAAACGCGATCCCGCGGGAGAGTTGCTTGAGCGTCTCCGTCCACGTACGCCTTCTTCAGGACGTGATACAGGTCATCCCCGGGTCCCTCGCCCTTCACAAAGTTGCGTCTTCGGCGTCTTACAGCCATTAACGAACCGAATCGGTGGTTCTGGGCCTTGGCCAATAGCTTGATGTGCTCGTGATCACCCGGGTTCTCTGTGCCTTGCTTACTTATGCATCTGTCGAATATCAACGTTGCCAAGGGCAGCAAGTCGAGGCTCACCATCTTCGACCCGCATAAGAAGAATGTGTTGACCCCAAGAGCTTGCTCCTGTATCGTCCAAACGCGGCTGAACCAAGGCCTATTGTTCCATGCTATCATCGCCTCCAAGAGAGCGTTAAACATCGGCACTGCCTTTTCAAGCAGAATCTGGAATTGTATTGTCACCGGGTCCTCGGGATTACGGTTCTCTAGTATCGGGGGTAGAAGCGGCAGCCGCTCTCTCGTAAGATAGCTCTCAATGTTCAAGTCGCGAGCTGCTTGACCAATTTCTTTCCAGCATTCCATCAGCGCATCAGAGTTGTCTGCCGCCGGACCGAGCCAGACGAGGACTAGTTCGGCCTTGCTGTATACCTGTGTCATGAGGGGCACCTGTTCGTTCTTCTCCCCCATGTCCACCTGATTGATGCAGATCTGATCTACCCAAAGGGTAACGGGCTCATCTTTTTGACGAAGATGCCGTAGTGCCGTGTCGAGAGAGGCCGTGATCGCGAGGTGCGCACCCCCGATTTCAATGCTGTGGGACTTGTCCGGCTGACCCCAGGTGTAGGAGAGCGCCTTGTACGGCTGCGGGGTAGCGATCGGGGTGATTGAGATGGTGCATTTCAGCGGGCTCGAGTAGTGTGCAGCGTGTCCGGGTTCATCTTCGTCTGTAGAGTCTGCCCCGGACGAAGATGCAGATGTGGCGTGTGTTCCGCGCCCGGATGGGTAGAGTTCGAGAAGTCTGATGTGAGTTGATGCCGAGGGTAGGCGTGCTTGGGTGTCGTAGCTGAAATTAGAAGCGCTCTGCCGAGACGGCAATGTCGGCACGGAAGCCATAGCTGCCGTCGATGATGGGACGGGGAAGCGCGCCTATTCAAGTCAACGCAAGAGGAGTCCATGCGCAAGTGAGGAGTTGGTGTTGATCTGCAGGGTCTGCCCTTTAAAGGCCTCGTGGAAACCGACATGGTAGGGCTGGTGTCATGGTGGCCGAGGATGGGGCGATGACAAGTCCCTTTTTGGATGTGTCAATAATTGAACTATCGATTGCACTACTGCACGGTTTACATTCTTCAATCCGACTGGCCACATTAGAACAATGTGCAGCAACTTTTGTAGGGGTTCATTTAAGCATGTCCAAGTTGAGAGGTTCCGCAATCAGCCGCACCACGCTATTGCTTACTTTCACTCTTGGTAATGGCGCGTCTAGGGACCTATCAGGCCACATTAAAATGGAAGAGGGTCCAATTTGAGGAGGCTGTCGAAGCAAACTAAATGCAGCATTACAACGAACCGAAGCAACTGAACTTTTTGACCCGAATCACCCCGGAAGTTGATGGGCTCAGAATGAAATGCGGCAGAGTGAAAGAGAAAGCTCCTGGAAGAGGTTTACCTGGATGTTTGGCCCGTATCGATGCCCATTCTGCCAAAGGACTCTGAACGGTTTGGGCTCATATATTCATTGAATGCATGTGATGAGGATACTTAGAAACAATCCTTTAAAAGAATCGGGCGCGTAATTGATGGAAAAAACAAAATTGAAATCATGCCTTTGCCAGGGGTAAAATGAGAGAGTCGCGAGAAACACCCATCATGTTGTGTCCAGCTCAAGTTATGTTCTGAACTTCAGCACGTTATCCCTGACTACACTGTCTAATTCTCGTCCTGCCTTTTCTTCGAACCCCAAGGCCAACGTGGGAAAGTCGGAACTCCTGGGCTGGGATTAGTCTGATGCCCGCTATTCTCATCAACCCACGCCGCCGGGTTCAGCGGGCGATTGGCATTGACGTCGACACTAAAGCGGATCCAAGCATATATGCCATCAGAAAGAGTCTGACCATCCAAAGCATAACGCAGAACCGGGTCGTCCGTGTTGAAAGCCATTATCGCCGACCCGTCTTGTGCGTTCTTGGTGATGGCCTGGTGGTTGGTGGAATACGGCGGCAGCTTCTCGACAGCGTCCGGAAGCTTCTGGTCAAAATATATCTAGCCGGTGTGGGCGACCTTGCCGCCAGTAATGGTATTGTTGGGTTGTTTGGTGGAGCCAATGTGGGCGATTGCTAGTTGTGATTCAGTTTAGTTGTAAGGCGGTAATTCCGGTTGATGGTATACTGACCGTGGACGTGGTTGTTCCTTCCTACATGGTGACCAGGCACGACCGTGTCGAATGTGCCATGCCCTCCTTGTCGGTGAACTGAACTCCACGGAGAGTGGTGGTGTTGATGAGAGACAGGTCGTTGGGGTTGCCGTTCCCAGGGTAGTTGAGGCACCTCCGTAGACACCCTGAGGTCCTTCAGCAATATTAAAAGTGCCATCTGTAAGTGTTGGGGGAAGTTGGACTCCCCGTTGAGTTGGCGCTCCAAAAGTCAATGGGCTGGCAAATTCGGACGTCCACGGCTTGAATGTCGATGGTCATCTTGACACCGTTCTCACCTTCAGTTAGTTCTCTGCGAACTTCTTCGCCCTCTACATTCAAGCACAGTCAGCATGCGCATCAGTCTTGTGGGGTAGTCCCTACATGGAGGGCCTTCGGTCTGCTCAGGAGTAAGCATGCACGCTCCAGAACCAGCAAACAGCTCGGAAGCCAGTGTATTTCTCATTGTATGGCTTGTTGACGCGATAGTCTGTGTTAAGGATAGTATCAAAGTCTCGCCCGTGGATAATTGGTCTGAGAGTGAGACTTGATTAGTGTTGTATCTTTTAAGCAGTCAGGACTATTCACATGTCTCTAATGCCCCTTGTCTTCCGGAGCCTCTCCAACTCATCGTGTCGCCTCTCGATATTTCTCTTGACAAACTCCAGCGGAGTAAAGGCTCCAGAGCAACGATCCAGGGAGCTTCTATACCAAGGTTGCGCGGAGTGTTGAAATTCCCTGTCTTCTGAGCCGTGCGGGTGTGCCACCTCAACGGGGTGGCAAGTAGCAAATGGAAGAGAGTGCTTTTGATCGACATGTTTAAGAGTTTAGATTCAAAGGGGAGAAGCACTTGTTCTAGCTATATAACTGACTTGGGACCGAAGAGTAAATGTCTGATATCCAATTTGGTTTGCACCCCTCGAACGACAATTAGTGCTCACAATTACCTACCGCCCAATAAACTGCCTCGTATTAGCAACACGATGTCGCCAAGATGACACTCTTAAAAACTGACTTGAAGTGAGCGGTTGTATTGCATTATCCTGTTTACTATCAAACTGACTAACACAACAGTGCTGCCACAGCGCCCTCTCACAAGATCGCCCGTCGTACAGTGGCTAAACTCAACCATGTCGGTAGTTGGACTTCACAAGTCAACTCCGAGAGTGACAGTATGACATTTTAGCCGTACTACTTTAACCCGTGAACATTCACCATTTTGGGAGGAGGCGACTTTGTGTCTCAATTTGTACCATCCTCCGGAAGAAGTTTTCTGGGTTGGGGGTTGCATTTCAGAACAGGTGGATTTGTGAAAAAACAAGTCTCCCAGCAGGATTCTTATGTTGGCCTAGACTTTAGAACCCAGTCTTTGTCTATGTGAGTGGATCCTCCGAGCTCAACTCATCTAAAGGCCTAAGAAAAAGAAAGACACCAGGCCTTAGGGGGCTGGCGTATGGATAACGCTACATAATTCCAACATCGGACCTTCGTCCCCGGTTCATCCTACCAAGCAAAAACTGCAAGCATCTCTCAAAACATTTCCGTCATTGACGTTCAAATACACCATCGGGTTGTCGGGCCAAGATGATATCTGTCATCACCTTGGAACTCAGGACAAGCCCCTGCAGCTTCTCACAAAGCTCGCCAGATGACATGTTGCGACTTTCCATAAGCTCCCGGATTTGCGTCGAGCTGATATCCAAAGGATCTGCATCGGCTGGAACAAACCGAACCCACACACGCTCATCCTTAATGCAGTGGCAGTCCCTGACCAACAGTCTTTTCTGACCGTTGTCTAAACACAACGCTTCGGCCGGCTTTCCGGCAGGCACTCGATCTGGTTCCTCCATTAGCAGGACCCTGTGATACTATATGGCAATTCTCACCTTGATGTTCCTTTTTCTGTTTTTTCGAGTTGTTCCTTGAATTCTTTGAACTCTTCTTCGGTTTGTTCTTCCATATCGTCTTGTTCTTTGTGACCTTTTTCGCTCTTCTCCTTGTTTGTTTCCTCGTCTTTTTCTTCTGCGACAACAGAGACGACTTCAGCGTCTGCCGTGTAGCATGATACGGAAGTCCATCTTCCACGCTCTCCGCGGTGGCAAGTACATCCTTCTAGGGTGTAAAACCGCCCGGGAGCGTGAAGAGTGATCCGTTAGCTTTGACCAGGTCACTCTGTCTCCCCGCATCGCTAGTGATCGTCTCGTAACATCCCCAATTCAATCCACTGTATGACCCAAACCGCGATATGTGGTCCGGTCCAAGCACATTGGTGAATCGTAAATCGAACCCATCCATTTTAATCGCCACTTTCAGATCTTTCCACAGCCATTTCCACTCCTCTGTGCTGCCGTCGTAAATCCACCATTCTGGCAGGATCTTGGCGTCGGAACGCCAGAGGCGCACTCGCTCGGATTTCGGCAGAACGAGACTCTGACCTATTTTCTTGCATTTTCCTTGGACTCTATCGTCGTCGACGGGTAGGACGATGGCGGCGATGGCATTGATATCCTGGCTTGCTTCAAAGGCTCTTCGGAGAATGCTGTAGTGGCCAAGGTGAGGTGGGTTGAAACATCCTGCGTAAAGGAGGACTCGATTCTTTTGCCCTTTCTTCAGGAGAGGTCGGTTCTCCATGCCGAAGATGCGGCACTGTCCCTTTGAGGTTGTTTTGCGAGAGAATACACTGTGGTATTTCGCAATGTATTCGCCCAAGTCGGCGGTCTGGTCCGTCATGCCGATCGTCTCGTGCTTTCATCAAGTGCGGTGTGCAAGCGGTGTGATGGGGCAGTGGAGTGGGATTTGATCCGAAATCGAAGCTTCGAAGGCATAGATAAAAGGGTAAGTTGCAGTCGATCTATGGAACTAGGTAACTGGGTTTGCTCTCCAAATAAGAAGTTGAAAGAAGGTCCGGCGAGAATACCTGTGGCTAAATAAAGAATTTGCTGCTGTCTGTTCTGTGAGGTTCCTGCGTATTCGCTCTTTATTCAAGTTTTTTGGTTTCACACCGTTCAGGGCCTGTTGCAGCAACGTTCGAGTAAGGAGTGTAACTAATTCCATCGAGTCACACCTGGAGCGGTCGTTGGCCATGGAGAACCAGCTCCATCACGAGACCAGACAATGATCAAAGGAGGAGCATAATGGCACAATACCTCTTTGAAGCCTACGTGTTTCTTTAATCGTCGGGACCAGCCTCAACTCCTGGAACACAATGACTCCAAAGAACATTGGAGAGCCGTCGTTTCGGTCGTCGCGGTAAGAAATCCCATTTTCAAGAGGCTAGATGTGGTCCAGCTGGCCCAGCCCATTCATCTTTGTCGCGGCCTGGGGGAATGATTGAGTACAGCAGGATGATTTTTTCGATACAGAAAGCAGCCTCAACTCGGTGTAAGTCACAACCCCAAGGATAAATCCGGCTTCCGCGGAAACCTTCACGGTATTCTTGGTGATCGTTTAGTAAAAGCCAATCGTTGCAGTATTTCCTAATTTGTCCTCAAAGTTACACATGGCGCGATCCTTGCTGCTTCAGTGTACCGAAAATGGCATTTTGAGAGCAATTCTTCTGCAAACCCTACTTGATCCAACTCTACTGCGTATGTAGTTAGAGCCATTGATTGACTCGGAGAGAAAATCCATACAGTCAGCCAAAGCAAAATCAGAACTACAACATGAGTGTGATTCGTGCCTCTGCCGGCGAAGCCAAGTGCGCACGGGAGCCGTTCTAGCGGGAGCGGGAGCGGGAGCCCCGCCCTGGCCCTCGGAACCTTACGCCGATGGAGGGGCACTGACACGCAGAATGCATTAGGAAAAGGGACCCCGCTCCACAGTCATCGACGCCTCACTCTTACCCACTCAGCCCTGAGATATATACCGAGCTCGCCGCCTCACTAACAACCTACACTCGTGTTATCAACAACATCGAAGGGGCTCTCCAATCACGGTTTCATGATGTCGTCCCCTCTCAGAATCGGCTACGTGCCGGAGCACTTCTCTACGCCCCTCTACTTTGCCAAGCAGTACTTTGGCCTCGACGCCACCCTGATCCCCTTCCCGTCCGGGACGGGCCACATGATCACGGCGATCCGTGGCGGCGAAATCGATATCGGCATCGGCCTGACCGAGGGCTGGATCGCCGGTCTCGGAAAGGAAGATGCGTCCGGCGACGGCGGCTACCGTCTCGTGGGCACCTACGTCGACACCCCTCTGTGTAGGTCATCCTCTCTGCACCCCAGTCACATACGGACTAACACAACCCCCTTCAGGCTGGGCCATCTCAACCGGCGCCAAGCGCCCCGAGATCAGCTCCGTAGCCTCGCTCAAGGGCGGCAAGATTGGCGTCTCGCGCATCGGCTCCGGCAGCCAGATCATGGGTTTCGTCCTCGCCGACCAGCACGGCTGGCTGACGCCGTCGACGCCGCAGCCCTTCTCGGAGACGGTCATCCTCAACACGTTTGAGAACCTGCGCAACGCCGTCAACTCGGGCGCCGCCGACTTCTTCATGTGGGAGCACTTCACCTCGAAGCGCTACTACGACTCGGGTGAGATCCGCCGCGTCGGCGAGATCTACACGCCCTGGAGCAGCTGGAAGATTGTCGCGTCCACGGCGCTGGCCAAGGAGGGCCAGAAGCTGGACGCGCGCGTCAAGGACCTGTTTGCGAAGCTCGACAAGGGCGTGCAGCATTTCAACGAGAACCAGGACGAGGCTGTCAAGTACATCAGCACGAACCTGGATTACTCCGAGGCGGATGCGCGGGAGTGGTTGAAGACTGTAAAGTTCACAAAGGGCGTTGAGGGCGTCAAGCCCGAGGTGGTGAGCAACACGGTTGACATATTGAGGAAGGCCGGCGTTTTGGTCGAGGGGAAGGGGAGGCAGCCTGAAGCCATGGTAGCCAAGGACTAACGGGTCACTAAATGAGAACAAATTTTTGCATGTCTCACAGCCGCCTAATCAATTGCTGCAACGGCAGAGGGTGTCATGCCCAACGTGAAGATTATTCTCAGAGGTGAAACGGCGAAGGAAAGTAGCCGTGGCAAACCGTGATCCCAAATGCTTTAAATTTCCCCGTACTCCAGAAACGTAGTCCTGACAATGATGCTAGGGTATCTACCATTCCCATCATTACTTTTGATGGCCGTGAACATCAGATCTTGCTTTCTCTACGCAGCCTCCGCCTTCTTGTTCTTCTTCCTCTTGCCCTTGCCCTGGAGCAGCTCGCGCTTCTCCTGCTTGCGCGTCTCCTTGTCCTTGGCCCCGATAACCCGCGTCTCGGCACCGCACGGCCATTTCGCGAGTGCAGCAGCCTCGTCGTCCTCGCTCCACTCCCGCGGCAGCACGGCAAAGACAAGATACGAGGTGTGCGTCTTCAGTTCAGGCTCCGCACGGTGGATAACACGGCCCTGTAGCCAGGGCTTGCCCGCGTTGGGGTCATCATCCCGGCTGCCATTCGTGGCCTCTACCGTTTGGTCCAAATCCATGGCGTTGCCAGCGGCCGGCGAGTCCTCCGCCGAGTTGGGGTCCGCAGTGTTGTGATACTCCCTCGTGCGGCGCTCAATCTCCCGCAGCTTGCCGACTGCTTCCTTGACGTCGCGGGCGATGGGCGGGATACCGCGCTCGGGCTGGCCGTAGCCGGCTCGGTCGCGAATGACGTTGAACTTTTTGTGGGATATCTCAACCATATCGATGTCTACCCAGCCCATTGTTCTCATCGTGTTGATTGTTTTTTGCACCTGCTCAATACAGGGCGAGAATGTGCAGATATAGACAGACTTCTTGGGATTCAGCGGCGAGATCCATTCTTCCGCCGCGGCTCCGTCGTCTTGCTTCGATGTCGCGGGCTTTCGTCGTGACAAATGGGGGAGGGCCTCCCAGGGCGCGGGCAGATCGAGGAACACAGACTCGGCTTCAGGGCTCTTGCCGTCGACGAGAAATCCGCCGTTGTAAACGTCGCGATGCGAGAGCTTGACAATCCCTTCCAGTGCATGCGCCTCAATCTCCTCCTGCATCTTCTCGTACCGATCCTTGTTGAACTCGAAGCTGAAGACCTTGCCCTTGCGCTGAGTCTCGTTCTCCGGATAGCCATTGTAGACTGCGCGTGCTGAAGCGTGCGAGAAACTGCCACTGCCGGCGCCGGCCTCGATCAATCGTGTGCCAGGACGGGCTCGTATGCGTTGGAGGATGAAGCTGTAGTCGGGGGTGTAGACGACCTGTGTTCGATGAGGCAGACCGGCGGTCCATAGCTCGGCGGTGGGCTGGAGGATGTGGACGAAGCCGCTCGCGGCGGTAGTGGCCTTCTTGACTGGCGCGCTTGACTCTGCTTCAGCATCGTCCGCAGCGGCTGGTGTGGATGCATCGGTCTCGTCTTCCTTTCTCTTGCGCTTGCGGCCTCGGGAGCCTGTATCGACGATTGAAGCGCGGATTTGCGAGCCCCATGGGACGTTGATCAGGGTGGAGTGAGGGAAAGATCCGAATCGGGTGTTGAGGACTGCTCCTTCAGCGTAGCCATCGACGGCACTAGTCGAGTCCTGGAGGATCAAGGGAACGAGGTTGTCGCGAGAGAGCTGGACGATGGCGAGGGAATTGGCCGACGTCCTAGGACCGGGCTCGAGAAAAGGCGAAGGTTTCGCCATTTTGATGTTTCGAACAGCCAAGGTCAAGTGCTGCTGGCCGAAATTTGTGCGTGCGCAACACCCTCGAGGAAAAAGTGAGCAAGGGACTGGCCGAAAAAGGTTGGAGGCAGTCTGGGGAAAAACTTCGCAAGGCTGAGCATTGGAGAAAAAAAGTTGAATGTGGCTTAACGCGGGGCAGATGTGGCTGATGGCCGTCCTTTGGAGAGTCTGGCCACTCAGAAGTCGACACACCGCCCCATTGGCTGCAAGGCTGAAGATGGTGTCACACCCATAATTTTCAATAGACGCGGCTTGGCCCTTACTCGGCCGATCCCCTCCCTTCCCTTTTGAGTCACTCTCCCCCAACTGCTCGACCCTCCCTCCGTCTCGACCCTTTTGACGAAGCCCTTCCTCCTCCCCCGTCTCCTCATGCACCTCCTTGATTCCCCGTTCTTTTATACTGGATGAATCGCCTCTTTAGACTCACCAGGTTTTCTGTTACACTCTCCACTCAGATACCCAACCTTCGATTCTCTAGGACCTGCGCCACCCTCGCGACAATGGAGTCTCTGAAGGTGCACAACTCACTGAAGCCCGGCCAGCCGGTGCCCTTCACTCCAATCAAGCCGGGCAAGGTCTCTTGGTACGCTTGCGGGCCTACCGTTTACGACAAGAGTCACTTGGGCCATGCGCGCAACTATGTTTCGACTGACATTATCCGGCGCATCATGATCCACTACTTTGGGGCCGAAGTGAAGTTTGTCATGAACATCACCGATGTTGACGACAAGGTTGGTTCTTTGCCCACATGAACTGCTCTACCGACCGCAGTACCTGACCATGGTGTTTCTGTAGATCATCATCAAGGCCCGCAGACAACGCTTGCTCGAGCTCGAGAAGCAGAAGAGCTACTCCGAAGATGAGCTGGCCAAGCTTGCTCTTACAGCGTTCCGCGCATACGCCGAAAAGAGCTTGCCTCTCCTCCAATCCACCGACCTCGACGAGAACAACTACCTCGAGCGAAGAGACAGCGCATACGGCAAGGTTCTGGCGGGTGGGACCCTGACTGGAGAGGGCAAGCCCGGCGACGACGAGGCGAAGACAAAGATGCACATCAGCAACATGGACGCCGCGGCGTTCGCGATCAAGGACAAGAAGTTCTACCCTGGTATCGACGAGATCCTCCTGCCGTACCTCGACTCCCTCTACAAGGAGACCATCGACACAAGCGACCAGACCATCTTCACCGACCTGACTCAGAGCATGGAGCGCGAGTTCTTCGACGACATGGACGCCCTCAACTGCTTGCGCCCCGACGTTGTTACCCGAGTCACCGAATACGTGCCCCAGATCGCGGACTTCGTTGCGCGGATTGTGGACAAGGGATTTGCCTACGAGTCGGACGGCTCCGTCTACTTCGACATCACGGCCTTCGAGAAGGCCGGCAACACATATGCGCGCCTGCGTCCTGGTAACCGCAACGACAAGTCGCTGCAAGAGGACGGAGAAGGAGCGCTGTCCAAGAACCTGGGCGAGAAGCGCAACGAGGGTGACTTTGCGCTGTGGAAAAAGTCCAAGAAGGGAGAGCCGTACTGGGAGAGCAGATGGGGTCAGGGCCGCCCCGGCTGGCACATTGAGTGCTCAGTCATGGCTTCCGACATTCTCGGAGCGCGGATGGACATCCATTCTGGTGGTATCGACCTGGCGTTCCCTCATCACGATAACGAGCTGGCGCAGAGTGAGGCCTACTACGTGGACAACGCCAAGGGAGAGCACACATGGGTCAACAACTTTTTGCACATGGGCCACCTGTCCATCTCTGGATCCAAGATGTCCAAGTCTCTGAAGAACTTCCAGACCATCCAGGACGCTCTCGCAACGACATACACTTCGAGAGGAATGCGCATCGTCTTCCTCATGGGCAAGTGGAACGACGGCGTTGAGATCTCTCCCGACATGAGAGCCCAGGCTTCCAGCTGGGAGGCTACCGTCAATGTGGGTACCCCATTGAGCCCCAAATACCGAGTATAGCTGACCGCCTGCAGAACTTTTTCACCAACGTCAAGGCCCTTGTTGCGGATGTTCACGCGTCAACGGGTGGGGTCGAGTCCCTCTCGATCTCCGACAAGCCAACAGGCAACCTAGTGGCTGAGCTGGAGAAGGCCAAGAATGACCTGCACACCGCCCTTAGCAACTCCTTTGATACCCCCAGGCGATGCGTGTGATCCAGGAGCTGGTTAGCGAGGCGAACAAGGTTGTCGTCTCCCAGGAGGCCGAGGCGAACCTGCCTGCCCTTGTTGCCGTCGCCCGTTGGATCACCAAGATTCTTGGAACCTTTGGCCTCGACGAGAACGCCACGGCACCGTACGACGGCCTCGGCTGGGCTGCTGCCGCGTCCAACGCGAACGTGGACCCCAAGACTGTCGTGCAGCCGTACGCAGCCGTGTTCCAGAGTGTGAAATCGGATGTTGAAGCGCTCAAGATTTCTGCCGAGTCGGTTTCTCAGCTGCTGAGCCAAACCCCAGAGGCGGAGTTCTCATCCCTCGCGGACAAGGGCGTGCGCGACCCCGAGCAGCTGGCGCTTCCGTACCTGCGGGCGGCTTCGAGGTTGCGTGACGAGCTCCGACGCATCGTGTCGACGGTCGCCCCCGAGACGAAGAAGGCCATCCTGTCGCTTACGGACCGGATCCGTGACGAGGACCTCACGAACCTGGGAGTGTACCTCGACGATCGGCCGGACGGGAAGTCGTCGCTGATCAAGTTCGTTCCGGCGAGCGAGCTGATTGCGGCGAAGAACGAGAAGCTGGCGAAAGAAGCCGAGAAGGCCCGGGCCAAGGAGGAGGCGAAGCGGGCGCGCGAGCAGGCGGAGAAGGAGAAGTGGGAGAAGGCCAAGCTCCCCCACACGGAAATGTTCAAGGGCGACGAGAAGTACAGCGAGTGGGATGCCGAGGGTCTGCCCACCAAGCTCAAGGACGGCAGCGACGTGCCCAAGAGCCAGCTCAAGAAGCTGCAGAAGCAGTGGCAGAGCCAGAAGAAGGCGCACGAGGAGTATCTGGTCAAGTTTGGGGGTAAATCATAGACGGGTTGGGATACATTGGCGCCGAGTAGCATCTCCAAGCAGGCAATTGACGACACCGTGAAGACATTTTTGGGTGCATGCGTCGCCGTCGTCGTCGTGTGGTTTAGGCTAGAATTCACATGACAACAGAGCTGCGACGTGGCAGCAAATAGCCTTGCCCAGCTTCAAAACCAAACCAACCAAGCAACCAAGCCTCCCACGACGCCGTGTGCGCTGCCAACATGGCGAAGCTGACATCATGAGAATGCATGGTGGGGGGGGGGAGAGCTGTAAGCTTGACACTCTGACTCTTCACAGCGGTAGCTGGGCGAGCCGAGCGGGCACGGGGACCCCTGAAACTAGACCCTGCCAAGCCCCGGCGGGGGTTCCCAACGATGCGCGATCCGCTATTGCCAAGAAAGGCGATCGTCTCTGCCGGGGACCTGGCAGCTGCTACCTCACTGCGGGGGGGGCTCGGCTTCGCATCGCATTCAACGCCGACGATCTTTAGCAGAGCCGCTCGGGTTATCAAACAGCCTTGATAGAGTTTTGAACGAATCCATATTGAACCCGAGAGCAGCGGCGGCAGCAGCACCCGTAGTGTAGAGGATCGGGTAGGTTTCCCGGAGGATCTCAAGCAAAAAGCAGCGGTCAGCGCGAACGAAGCTCGGTGCTTCTCTCGCCGCTTGGTGCAAGTCAAGTTTGCAAGCCCGCAACACAAGCCTGCAAGCTCCAAGGCACGGCTGTAACCTCGAAGCAACGCTTAACCAGCTTGTATCCGAAGTTGGATCAGGATGGGACGGCCGTGTTCGCCCCCGTCCCTTGTGTGAAGTCCCGCATCGTGCGGTGAGGAGGGAGTGAGGGAGGGAGGGGAGGCGACCATCTCGCCCGGCTTACGAAGCTCCCCCCTCCTCTCCTCCATCACGAAGTGCCCCCTTTTTTTTGGGGGGGGGGCCTGCATCGCCTCAAGAGACGTGCTCTTGAGACGACGCCCGCTGCACGGAGCTTCGCCGACACGTCACGATTGTCGGTGAGGAGCGTGGACCGCGCCTCAACTTATGCAGGGTCAATCAATCTATGCGCTGCCCAAAATGCCGGGCTTTGTGTGGGCTACATGCCGGGCCACGAGCTGAAATCGATCGATGGGGAGACGCACAACGGGGGCATCTACATAGTACCGACTATGTATGTCCACAGTGACAGCTTGGGAGGGGGGGGGGGGGGGGGGGGGGGGGGGGGGGGGGGGGGGGGGAGAGGGGGGCCATGGAGCTTCTCGCTGCCGGTTAGCCGCGATGGTCAAGCTTTCTGGCCGCAGCGACCCCGGTTGTTTCCTTTCTTCAGCCCGGCAGGGGTTGCTGACGCAGTCGATTCAATGCCGAGCTCCCGGGGTCGGCGGGGCTACCTTGGCCGAATCGCTACAAGCGTGGCGTGTGGCTGTTTTGGGGGGAGACTTTCCAACATCTCCAGAGTCTAACGCAGTATGCCCACAAGCAACACGATGGCGTCGGGCCAGAGCCTTTGTTCGCTTGCGTTCGTCCAGTGTTGCTCAGTCAGACGATTGACAACTCTGCTCGTCTTGCCCAATGGGTGGGTAGGTCTCGAGACTGGGCGGGCAGCCTGGTCTTTTGTGTGCAGCAAGTCCAAACTCGTCCTCGGACTCTTTCTCGAATCACGACCTCGCAACCACACACGTACCTACAAGGGCGCGGACGAAGCCGTCCTCCCGCGATAGCGAAGGCGCTGCCGATATCCCGAGCAACCCCGCCTAAACGCATCCGCGACTTGACGTCAGGCCATGTCGGGCAAGGCTCAGTCGGCAGACCGCCGCCTCCAATGGCTTCGCACTCTGCCGCCCAACAAGCTACCCCCCAGCCCAGACGATCTCCATCTAATGGAGGTTTCGACAAAATCGGCCAGGTTCCTCCCCGCCAGCCCCTCCCCGCAAGGGTTGCTGCTCCAGCTAAGGCCTCCCATCGGTTTGTTCCAGAGACGCGGGCTGGAGCATGAATCAAAGGGACACACGCCACCTTGGTCAAGCTGCAGGATAACTGGCGGGGAGGAGGCCATGCGGGCCCTCCATCGTCTCGTCGAATGGAGATCAGGGGCAAAAAGGTTAACGTGTTGCTGAGAATAGCTAGCTTACCTGGCCTGCCTTCGTGAATCACATGAGAGCTCGGGCTGCTGGCGGGGGTAGGGAGGAGGGGGATAAGTACCCGATGGGCTGCCCCTCCTTCCAGCGAGACCAAGTCATCATCACTTGCAATCCATCTCAGTCACATCACCAAGACCCAATTCACCTACCACCGCATACTTTTCAACCCCCCCCACCCAAAGACTTCACAATGTTCGGATTCGGTACGTGCCGCCTCGCTCCATTCGTCTGCGAATGCCGCTGACCCAAGGAACAGGAGAGGCCAAGGAGCACCGTGACGCCGTCTACGATGGCAACCACGAGGGCAAGCTCAGCCACGAGATCGTTGCCGGCGGCGCCGCGTTTGAGGCCATGAAGCTGTTCGAGGACCGCCAGCGCAAGAACGGTACGTTTCCTCCAGCCGCCAATACAACTTCTCGTCCGACCTCCTTCTGACATGTCTTTTGCGATACAGGAGAGCCCGTCAAGCACGCCTTTGCCAAGGAGCTGCTCGTCGGCATTGCCGGCGCCGAGGTCGACAAGCTCATCGAGACCAAGGGCCTCGACTACATTGACCGCGAGAAGGCCAAGAGGCACGCCGAGAAGCAGGCCGAGCACCTATACCAGGAGCAGTATGGCGACATGGACGAGTACAACCCGTAAGTGATGTGGTTATTGAACACCCAGACCAAAAAAGCTAACCGTGGACTGCTGCAGTGAGCAACGCGGACGCCACCAGCAGATGGACTACTAGATGGGATGATGATACCGACGGCCGGATACATAGCATGATGGAATGAAACTGCTTTTTCTTTTTTTCTTCATGAACCGCGGTGAAAAGATTTGCTTGATTATATATGTGATTCGCAAATAGGTATCAAAGTGCTAATAATGACAGACGGAGTCGTTTCCTCGTGACCATGCTCTCGCAACCCACGGCACCCCAAGCCGGCTCTCCCGCCGGTCGAACCGGGGCTCACTGCTTCAGCTCGATCGGCACGGCACTCGACGATGCGCCCTTGGCCTCGGCGTGCCCCCGGCGATCTGCTCAAACAGCCGCTCCCGCTCCTTCTGCAGCGCCGTCCGCGTGCTCTCCAGACTCGCGCCGCGGCTCTTGAGCTGCCACGTCAGCTCCTGGTGGCGGCCCCGCGTCTCCTGCAGGAACCGGCCCAGCACCTGCGCGCACCGCTCCACCGACACGCGCGACTTCTTGATCTCGTCGTGGAACGCCATGTCGGTGAAGATGTTGTCGAACAGCACGTCGCCCATCAGGCTGCCGTGGTTGATGCTGATGGGCGGCAGGTCGCCAATGTAGGGCGTCATGCGCTGCGCCTGCAGGACGAGCATGCGGGCCTCCTGGGCGGCGCTCTCGGCGCGCTGCAGCGCGCTGCGCTCCATCATGTCCGTCATGGTGCCGCCGCCAAACATGTCCATGCGCGAGTGGCTCAGCGCGTCGTCCATGTTGCGCAGCGCGTCGCCCATGCGCCGCATCGCGTCCGTCAGCAGCCGGATGGCGTGCTGCTCCGCCTCGGTCTTGGACCGCGTGTCGTGGTACTCGTGCCGCGCCGTCTCGGCCTCGCGCTCCACCCGGTCCTCGTCCGGGTAGCTCGGCGTCGGCCCGGCAAAGATGGAGTCGTACAGGCTGTCGAGCGCGCACTGCGCCTCGTCGTGCCGCCGCGCCTCGGCCTCGAGCGCCTCGGCGAGCTGCTCGCGGAGGTTCTTGTTGAGCTCCTTCTCGCGGTGCTCCTCCTGCAGCACGTCAAAGTACTCGCGCTCCTCGCGCGCCGCCCGCTCGTCAAACTTGTCGCGCTTGCCGACCGCCTTGTGCACGAACCGGCGCATGACGCTGTCGCGGTACTTTTCGTGGTCCTTGAGCTCCTTTTTGCGGCGCGCGTCGAGCGCGCCAATGTTCTTGTCCGACTGCTGCAGCTGGTGGTCCAGGTCGGCAATGAGCCGGCGCTGCTGCGTCAGGTCCGGGATGGCGTTGTCCGTGTCGGCGAGGACGGCGAGGAGCTCGCGGTTCTTGACGGCCGCTTGGAGGATCTTGGATTCCAGCTCGGAAGACATTATGGGCGATGCGGCAGTAATTGGTGTGTGGGAGGGATACAGTGCTGATTGGTTTCTGTCTAGAGTGGTGCTCAAGGCTGCGAAGGATAAGACGTATGGACACAAAGGCGAGGGTTATCGCAGGATTCAAATACACCAGCAGGACCCTGGCGAGGAAAAGGGTGCCTTGATGAGGAGGTTCGAGTAATCAATAGTCGTGATGGCGGCACAGCAAAACACGGGAAATGCTTCGTTTTCCGTATGAATCATCATCATCAGGGAGACCCTCCCGGAGGACATCTGGGCATTATATGGTCGCACGGCCATCCTTGGCAGGCGGGACGAGGCACCCTTCTGTCGGTGCTATTGCAACGACGATCCATGGTAGAGACGGCAGACTGGACAGACAAGAGACACACCAAAGCAACCCTCCCACTCTGCCTGTCATAGCATGATGATGATTGGGGGCATGTGGCATGTGTGGCCAATGACATCAGACCCCTCAAGCTTCCCGGCCGGGTTGCCTCTACGGCACCGCACCAATGAATGCGGATGCGGGGGGGGCGCGCTTGACCATCTACGGGTCTCGTACCGTCCTCAGTAAGGGTCTTACCGCCGCTCCTACTGCTTATTCCACAGCAGTAGGGCGAAGATGGGCATGGGGGATGGTGTGTCCAACACCACTTCCGGTCCGGACTACTGGCGGCCTGGACGGGGATCATCGGTGCTTGTAGGGCTGCGCCACGGACCAACACGGCGGGAACAGCACCAGTCTCTGCGGTGTCGCTCCTGATCCACGGGCGGATAAAGCCCGTCTCGCAGGTCGACTTTTCCCTCTTGGGCCACCCTGCTGCCCTCCGCCCCCCCGTGTCCGCCCTATTCGGTCATGTTTGTCCACTTCGCGTCGAGGGTTGTGAGAGAAAACCAGGCAGACGGTATCTGTTGGCCAGCGGCGAGTCTCACGTACCAAGAATCTCCGCTGGGAGCCCGCCAAGAATCGAAGGATTCGGCCGGATAGGGACCGTGGGAGGGCTAGCACTCCTAAATCTCTTGGGATGATGCTCATGTCTCTGCCCAGAGGCCGCCCTTCAGCAGCAGGGATCTTCGCTCCTGACGATGACACTTGCCGACTGGGATGGGCCTAGAGGGCGTTTTGGATGTGGCTGATGCGTTGGGATCTGCCCTTTTCGTTCTTCCCAGCGAAGACCACGAGTTCATGTCGACTCTCTCCAAATCCGTCCCCCTCACCATCAACGGCGTCGTCTCCGTTGCTTCGTTGGTTGTCGCAGAACCTCGGCCACAGAGCTATAGCGCTGGTACTATTACCGTGGTTCTTCGTTGGCAAGTCTAACAAGCTAAGTCAAGGCATGATGATGCCCGACAACCTAAAAATCACAACAAAGACTGCCGCGAGCCAACTCCGAGGGCGCCCAATTTCATGCGCATTGACCTGGTTTGATCGCGAGAAACAACTCGAGCGAACCCCCCTCGTTTACGTTATGGAAGCCCTCGTATGATATTTTAACCTGATGCGCTTCAGGTCAGCCTCGCTCCGGTTCTTCATAATCTGCTCCAGTCCGCTACGTGGGCGAATGGCAGCTGGCATCGTCCACCGCCAGCGAGGCTACCCGAGCCCACATCGTGCCCTCTACCCGGGATCAACCTCGTTGTTTCCATCATGCTGCGTGGACCAGTCGAATTTTTTTTCGGGCTTGTCGCCAGCGCCCGGGATGTGTTCGCATGGCAACCGAATGCCCTCCGCGGTGATTGTGTTTGATGACTGCGGAATTGATAACAAACGCCTTTTGTTTCCCCTCTTCTCGCGACCAGTCTGAGTTGCCGCAGACTAGTAATGATTTACAAGTGATTTTGTCTAGACCCTTGACTCCATGATGCCCAGCCAATATGCGCCCACCCAAGTCTACAAAGAAGCACCTAGAATTACACTGGTTTCACAGAAAATATGCCAACGTGATGCAGCCTCTCACAGCTCATCCTCTGCCCCGGACTCGTAATCCAACCCCTCAACGCCATCCTCGCTATCCAAGCGAATGGGGCCCTTCTTCCTCGGCTCCCTAACAAGCATCAATGCCGCCCATGCTATCATGGCCAACAATGACACGTAGAACCAAGGCAGCCCCTTCCATCCCCCCTTCTTCTCCAGCCCGACCGAGAATGCCCACGCAAGCACCGGGCCGCCTAACGGTGACCCGAGTGTATCGACCATGCTGGCCAGGGCGTACAGCCGCGACGTGTGTTCCGGCGCGACGAACTCGGTGATCATCGCGCGCGCAAGGGGCCCGCTGGCGGAACCGAACGTGCCGACCACAAGACCAATCAGGAAGACCACAATCTCGCGACTGAGGGCCTCGATCAGAGCGCTGCTGGCAATCATGATGTACGACGCCTTCGTCAGGAGCGCGTCCTTGCCGAAGCCGGTGCGGCGGAAGCGCCCCCTGGGGTCCATGATGATCTTGGAGATCCAAGGCAGGATAAGGAGGATGCCGAGATGGCCCACCCCCAGCGGCGACAGGAGATAGCTCGTCTGCGCCAGGGTCCAGCCAAAGTTCTTGCTAATGTACTGCGGGAGCGTGTGCATTTGCGCGGTCATGAGCGGGCCCTGTATGAGCGACGGCATCAGGCAGAGGAGGATGTTGCGGTTCTTGAGGATCGCCACCGACTCCCGCAGCTCGTGCAGCCCGTTGTCCAACGCCTCCCTCACCGCGTTGCCGAGGGAGAGATGCCGTCTGGGCGAGCCGTCTGCCTTGCCGCGGAGGGTTTCAGGCAGGAGCATGATGATGAGGAAGACGAAGGGCGTGAGGACGAAGACCAGCCGGACCGGCACCCAGGGCCCGTACCGCTCCATCAAGAAGCCCCCCGTCACGGGGCCCAGGAGACCGCCGAGCACGGAGCCGACGGAGAGGAAGACGAAGTTGGAAGCGCGGTCATTTTCGGTGCTGACGTCGGCGGCCATGGCGTAGATGTTATTGAAGACGACGACGATGCCGCCGCCGATGAGGAAGAAGGCCGACCCGAAGAAGAGGAAATAGATGTTGAGCTCTGGGAAGTGCGCGAGGATAAGGGGCGACCAGCTGAAGGCGAAGACGGTGCCCAGGTAGGCGAGCAGCATGCCCGCCTTGCGCCCGATCCTGCAAGTTTGTTAGTCGGCGTGCCCCCTGACGGCGCTTGGCGCACTCACCTGTCGGATAAGACACCGTAAGGAAACGCAACAATCATGTTGACGACAGCCCCGATGAGAGACTGCCAGCCACCCAGCCACGCAAGGTCCGTCTGCACCTCGTCGGCCTTGCACTTCATCTCGGGGATCGTCTCCGCCGGCCCCAGGTGATAATGCTTATGGCAGATGCCGTCCTCGATGAGCCGCATCAGCGGCATCATGAGCAGCGTGCCCTTGCACGTGAGGGCGAACTTTAGCAGCGCGAGCATCAGGATGACGGTGCGCGGCGAATGGGCGCGGAACGGGGCCAGTACCGCGTCGAGGCGCGAGAAGCCCGCACGGAGGCCGTCACCGATGGCTTGAAAGGGGCCGCTCCATCCGTGGACCGAGGGCCGGCGCCATTTCTTCGCCGCCGCCGGCCGGGAGAAGGCGTGGAAGCTGGCCGGGGACTCCGGGTCGTCTTCTGTCGGGAGGACGCCCTCGTGGTCCGAGTACGTGCTAAGGAGATGGTCTGCCTCCACTTCGTCCGACAGACGTGACATTGTGTTTTCTCGCTTGCGTCCCTTGGCTCAGTCTCTGGTCTAGGATAACGAGGAAGCCATTGGCAATTGCCGCACAAGAACTAAGGAAAGGGATATCAAAGGCAACGAGGAGAACGAGGCGTTCATTCCGGCAAGGGAGGGTTCTGACGACGATGATGAGGTCCTGGGCAGAGAATTCCGCGGCCAAGACGGCCGTTTCAGCTGGAGCCGCATGCTGCGGGCTGTGTTCGCCCGAAGCTTACCTTGCGCGGCGTTGGAACCCCACCGAGGCGTCGGATTGGCGATATTGGTAGACAGATACGAGAGTACCTTGCTGATGCTGTGCATTTGGGCTGTGACTACTTTCCTCCTGAGGTAGATCCTTAACAGAGGCCGGTAATCTCATCCAGCTATGAACAGGCACACAGCCTCCGCTGGCCCCCTATTGCGCGTATCCGCTAGCTAGCGCAGTGATGGCTGAATCCAGCAACGAGCAGCGCCCTTACACGGGTTCTGCAGCGCTGTTGTAATAAGCAATAGGCCACCACGACCACAAAGCATAACCTACCCCATGATTTCACGGTGGCTGTGCAGCTGAGCTTAAGTAACGAACTCCCAATTGCTTTGAAAACCTAGTGGTCCTATCTCGGCGAGGAGATAGAAGCCTTTGTATTGAAACCGGCATCGGCAAACTTTTGGTAGGCGATAACCCGGTAACTTTCCTCCAAGCAAACCCTATTGTAACCACCTTCACTATACACACCACCGCAGACACGTCAGAGTACAGCTCGAGTCAATAGCTTGTACAGACGAAATGGCCATATCCGGCTCAAGACCGGATATTTTACAGGAAGCCCAGCTTGAGGAGGCCATTGTCTGTAACTGATTTCACTGTTGAGCGGATGCTTCGTCACAGGCAATCCCCACGGGTGGCCATCTATTAGGTGGTCACACCAAAACTCTCACATGTGCCACTTGCGACAGGATCATGATGTGAACTACTATCGTAACATCACTTACAAAGCTGATAAGTTAACTGACGGTTTTGCGGGGACTGTCCCAAAACGCCGATTGCGTGCCGGGTTGATCACATGACGTCAAAACATAAGATGGGGGTAGGAGTGCGGGCAGCATCCGACAACGGCGATAAGGACGAAGCTGTTCTTCAAAGTTTCGAAGGCGAAGACTTAGGCTGAACTCAGAACTTGAACAATTCCAGTGCCCTTGAAAAGACACAATGACCGAAACCACTAACAAGTCATACCTGATCGTAGGTGCAGGCGTCTTCGGCGCCTCTACGGCTCTGCACCTTATCAGAGCGCACCCGGACGCCAGTGTAACTCTCGTCGACCGCAACGCCTTTGACGCCCCCATTCGCGTCGCTGCCTCCTGGGACTGGAACAAGGTCGTTCGCGCTGACTACGTCGACATTGAGTACATGCGCCTTACGCTCGAGGCCAAGAAATATTGGTCAGAGGATCCCATCTGGAAGCCCTTCTACCACGAAAGCGGCGTTTACTGGGTTTCGCCGAACAACTTTGCGGAGCAGATGCAAGATAACTACAAGAAACTCGGGGTTGATTCGGGGCTTTTCTCGCTGTCAGTGGAAGAGGCGAAAAAGCAGTATGGAGGCATCTTTGATGATGCTGACTTTACCAACGTTAAGGAAGTCTTTGTGAACAAGAACAGTGGGTGGGGTGAAGCGAAAGAGGCGTTGCAGAGGACAATTGAGGAGGCTGTCAAGCTGGGAGTCAAGTACGTCGAAGCCGAAATTTTAAAGGTCGAGTTCGACGCCGAGGGTGCCGCGACGGGTGTGCAGACAGTCAAAGGCGAGAGCATCAAAGCCGCGCATGTCATCCTGTCGACGGGCGCTTACACGGCCAAGTTGCTAGCTGACAGCGCTCCTGACCGGACTGAGCTCCACGCTGGAGACAGATTTGTTGCCGCTGCTGTCACTGAAGGATTTACACCCGTTACTGGCGAGAATGCCAAGGATTTGTATGACGGGCCAGTCGGTATCTCGATGGTGCCGCCCTCCAGAGGTAGGTCTTTGTGACACGTACCACTTACCTTGCAGTCCGAACACTAACATCACATCAGGTGCAAGCAACGGAAGTGTGCCTCACTCAAAAGACAAGACGCTCAAATTCTGGGGCCAGATCATCTTCAGAAACACGCAGTCTCACCCGAATGGAAGCCGGTTCTCCGCGCCTCCCCCAGTCTCGGACTATGCACAACTCGATGTCCCCAAGACTTTGAGAGACGACGTAGACTATGCGGGGAAAAGCCTCTTTGGCAAGAACAGCGCCGACTTCAAAAACGAGAATTACCGTATATGCTGGTACGTACCCGGACATTGGAAGCTATGCAACGGGGACGTAGCTGACATCCAAATAGGGAGGCTGTGACGCCCGACGAAGACTTCATCATCTCTCCGCACTCCGCGAGTAAGAATCTCTACGTCGCCACCTGCGGGTCTTTCCACGGTTGGAAATTTCTGCCCATCTTGGGCAAGTATGTTGTACAGATGCTAGAGGGCTCTCTTGAAGAGGCTTTGGCAAAGAAGTGGTCGTGGGATCGAGTTCTTCCTCCTCCCACTCATAGAGCTTGGCCTAGGAGGGAGCTTAGCGATTTGAAGTAAGGCTTTGAAGTCATAGGCGTGAGCCAGCCAAAAAGCTCCATAGGTATTACGCAAGTCGACCCTTGTCGTCATTCAGCTCAGCTCACGCAAACTGTAAGGCCGAGAGGATTGAAGTGGCTGTCCTTTCATCTCAAATGGGTAGATTTGGCTACTTTGGTGATTGTGACCTTGGCGTCTATCTGGATTGGTTCCAGTAGCTGCTTCGGGGATGAAAACTTAAACCTCATCTGTGTGTTCTATTTCTATATGCCATATTGGACCACCTGCTCCGTTTCTGTCTGATCGGGTATTTTATTTGCCCAGAGGTAATACATTTATTGTGGGGAAGCGATCCGCCTTGGACTTCATGGGCTTCGGCAAAGATCGGGGCTACCCAGTTTGACTAGGACGTTGAGGAGATCTTTAGTGACATTGGAAGCGCACAAGACATTAGGAAAGACAATGCTGAAAGATTGTTCGGATAGCAGCACTCCATCACAGGTGCGTTATGGGTCTATACTTTTCACGATCGGACAAAAAGAACCTATCTAGTCAGTCAACCATATGATGAAGTCATGCAAGATACCATTGAACGTGATGGTCCGAACGGCGTCAATAAATGAGCAAGAGCCGACAACGGGTGTACAATAAATCCGCTGCGCTTCGATCCTACAAGACCTTCTTACTATGATGGCCAAGAGTAAATGAGGAGATAACTCAACCACCCTGCTTCCCACGCAACCCCGCATACCACGCAGCCCCAAACCCCCATCAATATCACCATACCCATCAACAACATCCATTATTCCTCATCCCTACCACCTACCCAGATGCAACTTTCTGCTTCACTAGATAATTCAGATCCACTGGATTCACTTGTGCTACTCTCTGCTTCGCCAGCAGCAATTTGCGCCCGTCGGATATCCTCGATATTAGCGAACGTCGTGTTAGGGTCCGTCTGGACCCTTTTTCTCCTGCCTTGTTGCTGACTATCCGTCTGGGCCTGGAATGCCTGGGCCTGACGCTCTAGGACTGTCAGTCTATAGGCCTGTTGGTCCCAGCCTTTTTGGACCTTTCTAAATAGGTGGCGTTGGGTGTAGATTTCTCGGGTATCTTGCGTAAGCTGGTTGAATAGGTGCAGCTGACGCTGAAGATCAGCAGACTTACGCGGGGTTGACCATGGGACTATAGATACAGCTCCATCCCACTGCTGACTTCCTGACTGCCCAGCTGTCTGGCCGTCTAGCTGTCTGGCTGGCTGGCTGGCTGATGCCTTAGACACGAAAGGGCTAGATAGAGGTTGCGCTACATCAACTGGCCATAACCCAGTGTGTTTCCAGCCGCTTTTAATAACCTGGATAGTCAAGGCGTCTAGACGTGCCCTTCTATAACAGTCTATAAAGTTCCTCTTGCCTGTTACAGTTGAATCGCTTTGTATATCTAGGTACCCTAGATACTTCCTATAGGCTGCCTTAAGAGGTCGGAATACTGACTGATCTAGAGGCTGGAGGACGTGTGATGTGTGCGGCGGCAGAAACAGGAGGTGTATGTGGTTCCGGAAGCATCGCCACAGAAAGTCTGTTGTTGTATGGCTATGATGGGCGTCTAGAACTAGTAGTCTAGTATCTGAAGGGTCCTCTGGGACAGTCTGAGGGATAAAGACCTTTTCTAGCCATTCTAGGGCATTCTGATCAGTTGTCCAGCCGTTCTCTGTTGCTGTGAATTTCCAGCTAGCATAGGGTTGAAGATCTAGAGGAAACCACTGTTGCTGGACTGACTTGCCCTTATACATAACAAGAGGCGGAAGTGCGCGTCCTCTGGCAGAGACGCACTCGATCAGAGATACCCATGCCCGCGATCCAGGCTGTTTTTTCTGGATATACTTGGTCTCTGACGATCCTAGTACTAGCCCATTGCTTCCTTTGCCCTCGAGGATACCAGTCTCATCCATGTTCCATCTATTAGCTGGCTTGATGGGCAGGATTGCTGGCAGATCAAGGCGATGAAACCATTCCTGGATAATGTCAGCAGTTGCCCCATTAATTCGCCTAGCGTCAATTGCCCTGCATCGCTGGGTTCTGATAGATGGGTTTCTGCGAAGAAATCGCTGCATCCACTTCCTCCCAAGTGGTCGCTGCCCATCGCCCAGCATGCGCTCAGCCAGCCCTTTGACTTGCTGATGGCAAAACGCAGAGCCTAGGGCAGCCTGCTTAGATATCCACTCAGCAAGTAGACCTTCCTGGTTCTGAGATAACCGCTGCAGTCTACCAAAGGCAGTATTTCTAGACTGGGTACCATGGAGACGTTGTCGTACAGTCGCCTCTGGGATGCCCCATTTGCGACCTGCCCCGCGGATACTAAGCCCGTCAGCAATATCCCAAAGTGCCCGCTGCAGCTCATGTTCACTATACTGCTTCATCTTATAGTAAAAAAGATATCCTCAAAAAATGGCGTTGTTTGGGGTAGAATAGAAGATGTTGTGATAGTTAGAAAAGAGGAGTAGGTTTTATGGTGACGCGTTGTTGGGCTGCGTGGTATGCGGGGTTGCGTGGGAAGCAGGGTGGTTGAGTTATGGGCAGGAAGCCATGGCCGATATCTATTTCTCGTCAGAATTGCAATTGATCTGACTTACCGTCTTTCCCAAACCCGCGCTCCGTCTTCATATGCTGTACGTTTACACCTCTTTCTGGACAGAATACTGAGCCCTGGTGGACTGGACCATGTCGATGATTGCTCAGTTGAGTCAAATCGACCAGATACGGTGGGCGGGTGGGGTATACAAGATGCCCGAAACATCATCTCCTACTTAAGCGCCGAAAGCTGCCAATCAATCGACATCTCGGGGCTGTCGTGGCTTGTTCGGCAAAAGAGCTGCAGGCCTGGGCTACAATTATAAGAAAATTTTCGTGCTTCCTGATCCAACAGCCTCAGCGCTCGACTTTTTCTCTTTGACCCTTCCCCCGCTTGGCCTTGTCTTGCAATATTCAACATAGCTCACCGTAATGGATATCGATGTTGAGAAGAGAGCCGGAACACATGATGGCTTCAAATCTGTTATTTCGATCCCCGCTTATTTCTGGAGCGCAATTGACGAGGAAGACAACCATAATGGCGCAGAAGAGGGGAATACTCGTGGCTTAACGCAAACCGCATCCAGCATCTCAGAGGCGAGTGGTTCTGTCGAAAGTCCCGCCAATTCCAGTGATTCAGGTTCCTCCATCAGATCAACAATCACACAGACCAAAAAAACGAGAGAGTCAACGCCTTCCGGAGACTCGACACGCTCAACATCCAGGATTTCGCAAATGACGAGTGGTTCCTACCACAGCTCCACCGAGCCCAACGAGGGATCTAACCCTCCCGGATCGATACGTAGTGAAACCAGAAATTCCGAAGACTCAACAGTCAGAGACCCTACTCGTGAACGGCACCGCAGGGGGCCATTGCGTGGGATTGATGAGGGTAAGTAGACGCCAAAGCTACGTGGATTCCAGAAAGATCATCTACTCATAAGCAGGTGTAAGCGGCCAAATCAAGACAGTCTGAACAACAACATCCCCCCACATCGTCTGCACACCAGGAAGCGAAAGTACACCATACCACGCCATCTGTGACTCCAGATTCACCACATTCAGAGACTTACCAGGCAAGAGGGGCAGGTGTGCCTGCTACCCCAGGTTCCAGCGGTACGTTCAACTTCATTCAACGACTGCGGGAAAAGTACGGTAAGGGGGTGTTATTCATCAGGCCCAATGGCGGGCGTGTTGATGTGAATCTGGCCACTTTTCAGCGCGTGCAGCTGGAGACTATCCAACGACGACTGCTCGAAACCGTACTTGACTTTCAGTATCTTGAAAGGAACAGCACCGACTGGGATAGTGACAGCGATTCGATTATCGCCTCTCCAGATGGCTTGGCCATGCGACTCGATGAAAAGATTTACGCGTCGCAACAGCTGATGAATGACTACGGTAATGGACCGCTGCAGACATCCCTGCCTTACCACACTATCTCAGTTCATCTGTGTTAATTCTGTCTGTCCAAAATAGTTACAGCCTGCAAAAACCTGGATTTCATGACGGAGACTCGCAAAAACCATGGATACGATCCCTTCATTGTCCGGACCGACAGTTTCATGCGGCGAGAGAGTCTGCGCGATGCTCACCAGCACTGGCGTAGACTAGTAGATCGCGGCCTGAAAACAGTCGATGCGGCGCAGAACTTCACGCAGTTCGAGCAAGCCATGGAGCTGCTCCAATCAGACCAAGGACTAAAAGACAAGGACGACCCCGTGCACATGGGCGGGGGAACGAGGTCGATGAGGATCAAAGACGACGGATTCCAGGCGTACACCGAGAAAGTGGGCATGGCGCTCGTCGGTGGCGTGTTCCTCATTGCGCCGATGCTCATCATGGTGTTGCACCCGGGCCTGGTCACCTCGCTTGTCACGACTTCGGTCTGCGTCTTTGCTTTTAGTCTGGTTATGTCGTTGCCGGTGTTCTTGAAGGCGCCGTTTGACGTGCTTTCGGCGACGGCGGCGTATGCTGCTGTCCTGGTGGTGTTTATTGGCACTGGTGGTGGAGGAGAATGAACACTGAAAGTTCTGAATGAATTGGTCTCTCTGTAAATTGGGAACGACGGCAGTAACCTGTGGGACAGTGTCATTGTTGAGATCAGGAGTTTTCAGAACCCTTCAACTTCAAGTTCCGGTCGATAGAGAGAACAGGTGCCGACTGGGCAAATACAAGGGCAAGTGGCGACATATTAGTGTACGTACTCCGGATGTTTTTCGGGTTTAAACCCTCGTGAGATGCTTGGCGCGGCGAGAAAAGGCGTTCATTGTTGAAGTGGGCAATCTGGGCGAATGTCGGATACCTTTGGGGTGGATTTCGCCACTATGCTCCTCAGGTGCGGCCAGATCACACGCCGCCCTAAGGTCAGGCGACAAGGGTAAGTAGTGTAGGCATGGTAAGTAGGTTCCTTACGCAGTAAACAGATACCATGTGCCTGCTTCTAATCTACCCGGGGGTGTTAGTCAGCGCAGCGGAGAGCTAAACACCCCCTCCTTACGGAGAGGGCAAAAAAAAGGGGGTCGCAGCAAGAAAAGGGGGGTCACAGCCTGTCCCCACTTTGTCCTGACTTTTTGTAAAAGAACCGTAGTCAGGAATAGTACAATTGCAAAACGTAGGTCTTGTATTGAACAGAAGCTGGATCTTAGCCTGCTAATCTCTAGCCTTTCGCCCGTTAAATGGGCCCTGCACCCTGAGACAGTATTATAAACTTTATAATCCTGTGGCTGTTCTTTGTGGCTATGTCACCTTGTGCTATAGTGCCCGTGGGCAAGCTACTCTATTGTCCTTTAACAATTATATCCCTTTTCGGCTAGTTATCCTTAACCAGCTTACTTGTCTTTTTTAGGTTTAAGTAGAGTTACGCTAAGGTATTAGCGCCCATTAGCTTGCTTGTCTTACTAATAAAAACTCTTTCCTATTATTATCTATTATTTATATAGTCTAACGTATATGCATAGCGAGTCGCCCATCATAGCGAGCCGCCCACTTTTCCTTAATTCTACACTCTTCACCTTCACAACAACCTTCCTCTACGTACGACCATGAGTTCCTCTTCAAATGAAAGTCGCATTATCCTTGCAATTGAAGCTATTAAAAAGGACCCAAAACTATCCGTTCGAAAAGCAGCTTCTATCTATAAGGTCCCGAGAACTACACTTCGCGACCGACGCGCTGGACTTCTACCACGACGCGAAACTCGTACGAATTCAATGAAGATGACTCAGGTGGAAGAAACTGTGATTCTTGAACGAGTTATTGACCTGATCGATCGAGGATTTCCACCGCGACTTGACGACGTACGAGATATGGCCGATTGTCTCCTTGACGAACGTGACGCGACGCGTGTCGGACCGCGATGGGCAGAGAACTTCGTACGACGCCAACCACAACTAAAGACGCGTTTTCGACGTAGAATCGACTATCAGAGGGCATTGGCTGAAGATCCTGCAATTGTGCAGGCCTGGTTTGCCCTCGTACGAAACACAATCGCGAAGTACGGAATACACGATGACGATGTCTACAATTTTGATGAGACGGGCTTCTTGATGGGAATGCTGTCGCACGCAAAGGTTATTACAACCTCTGACCGCCGTGGAAGGCCTCGTACGAAGCAGCCTGGCAATCGCGAATGGGTTTCTGTCATTCAGGGCGTATGTGCAGATGGCTGGGCGCTGCCTCCATACGTCATTGTTAAGGGCAAATATCACCTACTCTCATGGTATACCAATGGCCAATTCCCACCCGAATGGCGCGTCCACCCTAGCGAAAATGGATGGACTACAAATGAGATTGGCCTAGATTGGCTAAAACATTTTGAAAAGTGCACAAAGTCTCGCACGAAGGGTGTTAAACGGCTCCTAATCCTTGATGGCCACAACAGCCACAAATCCACCAAGTTTGACGATTACTGCAAGGAACACGGCATTATTGCTCTTTGCATGCCTCCGCATTCATCGCACGAGCTTCAGCCTCTTGATGTTGGCTGTTTTAGTCCGCTGAAGGCTTCATATGGCAAGGAAATCGAGAAGATGATGCGGATGCAGATTACGCACATTACTAAGGATGATTTCTTTCCTGCCTTCAAGGCAGCCTTTTTTACTTCAATAAGCAAAGAAAACGTACAAGCTGGTTTTAGACAGGCTGGCCTTGTACCATTCGACCCAGAAGCAGTTCTTTCCCGCCTGGATTTCAAGCCAAAGACGCCAACACCATCCAACTCATGCCCAAGCAGCCAGGGCTCCTGGGACCCAAAGACACCAACCACAGCACATGACGCCGTACGAAGCTCTGCTTCACTTAAGAAAAGAATCACTAGTCATCAAGATAGCTCACCAACTCATTTGTACGAGGTTGTTGATTTGCAAGCTAAAGGTATTAGCAAGTTAGCACACAAACTAGCTCTTGTTGAAGCCGAGTGCCGCGGGCTTCGTACGGCAAATGAGATACTAAGTAAGCGCCGGAGAGCTAAGAAAACCCAACTACGTCTTGGAGGGTCACTTAATACAGCTGAAGCTGAGGCAATACGGGTAGAAAAGGGGGTTGTTGATGCTGGAGGCGAAAACATGCGTCAAGAGGGTGCTCGTACGGAGGGGGTGAATCGCGCGGGCGGCGATGTGGTAACTGCGGAAAGACTGGACATAATGTACGAACATGTCAGGTAGTTTGGGAGACCTCTGAAGAAGAGGCTGATGAGTAGTTTCAATTGATTTCGTACGATGTGGCTTAATTGACTTACACAAATGGCTGGAGGGTAGTGAAAGGTGGGCGGCTCGCTATGATGGGCGACTCGCTATGCATATACGTTATATATAATTATTATTTTTTTTATAAAAAGAAATTTAATTATTTACTTTTCTAATTTTTTTTTTTATTTTTATTCTTTACTACTAAAAATCCTTTACTTTTTTATTCTTATAATATTCTACAAATTTCAACTATTTGCTTACGTTTTACTAACTATATTTACAATTAATATAAATCATTTCTTCTTTTAGTTATTACCTATATTTCCCTTATTTCTCAGTTATCTTTCTGCTATAACGCTATAGCTAGTTTTTTATACGCTAAGGCTAAAAAACCTACTACTACATAGCTATTTACCTATACAAAGAAAGCTACTGCTATATGTGTGCATAATTATTGTTACAAAGCTTATTATAATACTAGCCTTTTCTCTAATATAGAAGAAAATAATAGTAAAGTTTAAGGTTTTACTTAGGTTTTGTTAACGTTATTAACTTCTTTCTATAATATAATAGCAATAATTAGTCGGCTACACCTAACCTATCCCCTTAACTGTTACTATCTCCCTAGCTATTACCTAAGTTATTATAATTACTTATATTATCTAATAATAGAGATACTAGTAATAAAGAGCCTAATAATAATTTAAATAATAATTCTTTTTTTTTTTACTTAGGTAATAGTTTAGAGTTACTAGATAATCTCCCTTACATCCCTGACCCTAAGCTAAAGGGTATTAATCTTAAAGCTATCTAGGCTTATATACACTATATTTATACTATTATTAAAAGACACCAAAATAGCCAAACCTTAGCTAAGTAGCCCCTTATTCTTTAATATTACTTTGCTCTTTTAGGTTCTTATTGCTACACCTAGTATATTTATTACACCAATAGCTATATCCCTATTTATTTCCTTTCTAGGTTATTCACTAAGTTCTTACTAATATTTCTTTATAATATACTACTACTATCTTAAGTAATTACTAAGATACCTTATTTATTTTTTATAGTATTTATTACTATATTAATTACAAAAAAATAGCTAATATTATAAAGGAATTAAGCAATATTATAGCCTAGTTTCTCTAGGCTCTTACTAATCTTAATATTAATCATTATTATGACTTCTATAATCCTACTTTTAAGCATATCCCTCTAATGTAATTACTTTTCCTTATTTTACCTATATTTCACTAATATTTCTTTATAAGCTAACTTCTATAACTATAAGTCTATAATTAACACCCATTATATCCTTATAGCTAGTTACACTAGCTAAGTTTAGGTTCCCCTTAGTTATTTACCTACATATATTAACGTTTATTTTTAAGTTTTCTTTATATTTCACCAGCTTAATTACTAATTTTCTTGTTTTTTCTAGAACTTCTATTAAAACTACTACTTAGTTCTTAGTAATTAAAGTTTTATTACTTAGTAGTTATATAAACAAAAGGCTTATAATAACATTATACGCCTTATTTATAACTAAGCTTTATAGCTTATAACTTACCTAGACCTTATTAACTTCTTAGCTAATATTTATTAATATATTAAGCTAATAAAGCTTAGCTTAACTTATCTTTAAAAGACTTTATATTTAATTTAAAATAAAAGGGTTTAATAGAATTATAACATTTTTATTATTATAGTTAATATCTTTTTTTTTTTTTAGGCATTTATATTTATAGTTAAAATATAAGAAGTTCTATATTTTAGTTAAAATAACTAGTACCTCTTAGTACTAATTTAGTTTAGTTTTATATACTTTTTTAGTTTATTTTTTAGTCTTTTTAGTCTTTTTTTTATAATTAAATACTACTTTTCTTATATTCCTTATATCTTTTTTATTAACTTAAAAGTTATATTTTAACAGCTAGCTAGTCTATTTAACTAAATAGTATATCTTATCTTTAGTATCTTAATAGTTAACTACTTAATTTAGCTTTTACTCCTTATTACTATCCTCTAGGTTAAGAGTTAGTAGTAGTTTATTATCCCTTATATTAGTTTTCTAAGGTTCTAGTAGACTAACATAAAACATATTGTATAGTCTTATGTATTTTTCTAGTAACACTAACTAATATACCTATAATCCTACTTTCTAAAGGATTTAAAATAGTTCTATAAACCTAAATATTAACTTTCTTTTAATAGCTTTAAAACATAAGTTTTTAATTAATAATATAACCAGTTATTTTATTTAAAAAGTTATAGCCTTATAATAGTTATTATAGGCTTTTACTTATCTTTTAATAGCTTCTTCTTAGTATTTC